AGACACCTAGGTAAGGGCGAAAAATATGCGTCATTATTGCCTGACACGTCGCGACAGCATTGCAGTCGCCCTGGAGCATAACCTTGCTCTTCACGTTACCATCAGGCGTCGCCATGATGTTAACGTCTTCGTACTCAGGTAAGACACGTATTTGCTCATAGTGGTCTTTCCCGTCGAGAATTGACCAATATTTCGCAGCGGCGACGCGACGCAAGATCGCGTTCTGGTCGGGGAGCGGGGACGACAACTTGCGCGTGTTGTCGTTGCGCTCGCGCAGGTCTACAACAGTACGTAGCTTCGTCTTCTCGCGCTGATTCTTCGCGATGAGAAGCATGGGCACCGTGTTCGTGGCGGTGGTGAATTCCCACCGCCCCGAGCGCATATATGCGTCGCGTTTCTCATTCCATTGCTCACGAAAGATTGCAGGGCAATTCGAGCGACGGAACGGGTACCGACGGTCGGGGTCTATGATGGGAATCGTGTGATTAATCGCACGCAAGGGCGGGAGCTCAGTCTCCGCGATGGTCTTGCACAAAGGTAAGGCCATTTCGACTAGATGCTTCCGAATAGCTTCTAACTCGTCCGAGCCAGGCTCGGGCTCTACGTTCGCCATGAACAAGTCGTCGACGTGTGGCCCCTCAAGCGGCAGCGCCTCAACGCTCCCAATGAGGATCTTCGGCGGGTTGATGGAGAACGAGATGGAATGCTGGTACAGGAACGGAGTCCCGAGGACGACGTCGTAAGTCGCGAGGTTCAAGACGTCAAAGACGCGCTGCTCGTGTATAGCTGACCATTCAAAATCTACAGACGTATGAAAATTACATTTCGAGCGCGACCCGCTCACTGCCATCGTCATGGACACCTGGCCATCGTGCTCAATGAGCGGAAGGCGCAGTTGAGTAGCGAGAGCCGAGCTCACGAGATCTACTGACGAACCAGAGTCTACTAACGCCTTGCAGGGATGCCCGCTTACACGAACGACGAGGACGATGGGCCTCGGGATGCGGCGGCCGCTCCCCCGCGGGAAGACGGCTGTCCGTTGCGCAACGCGTGCGGACGAGGACGCCAACGGCGCGGAGCGCCCCTTCGATACTGCGAAGACCGTCAGCTGACGCCATGGAAGACGCGAAGCTGGGAAACGTACCGGCACGTTGGACGCCATGCGCACCATCGTTGCCCACGCCTGTGCGAACACGCCGGACTCAATCAGGTCCTCCGCGGGCTCGCGAAACCAACGCGCGGGGAACGCGCCGTCGGGCTGCGTGAAGACGTCGAAGCTTCGACGCGCTGCGGCATCAGCAGGCGACTCGAACCAGCGCGACATATAGCGCTTCGGGTGAGCCGTGTTCTGATGCCCACCCACGAAGTAGCGCATGCGCTGATACATGTACCAGTACCAGACGTTGATACCGGCGTCAATGTCCTTGAGACGAAGACCCCACGACACGCCCAGGAGCGTGTCGCACACGAGGATGACCGGCGACCCAGAGTACGGCCGGAAGGCGTAGAAGCGGGAGAGGTCAGCGCGACGCTGCTCCTCGCCGACTACGCGTCTGACTGCCCAGTTGAGGGCGTAAGCGACGCTCTCGGGCACGAGATCCCCGAGGGTAGTGCCCGTGGAGTAGAGGTACGCCATGCGACGAGCCTGTGAGGTGTCCATCCCGAAGTCGACGCATATCTGACGCGCAACGTAGTCCTCCATCGAGAAGCCTTCGCGGATGAAGAACGCATTCGGGATGCGAAGCGGAGCCAGTTCGCGACGCCCAGCTTCGGCCTCAACAGTCTCGAAGAGGGAGACACAATCGTCCTGGGTCTGGACTGGCAGGAAACGGACGGGCGCGCCATCGCAAAGATACGAGAGCGGCGCGAGGTTGTGGAACATCGCATCGCGCAGCTTCTCGCCGTCGCCAGGCCAAGCGCGCACGGCGTTCAGCGCGAACGCACCACGCACCCGCCACTGCCCCAAGTCGCCAACGTATGAAGGGTCGCAGGCGCGACCGATAAAATCGGCATACTCGGGTGTCTCGCAGAGGGCGAGCAAGTCGTCGCCCGAGCAAAACTTGGGAGGCTCGCGCCTCGTGCGCAGCGCAATTCGCGTGTAGTAGTCGAAGAGCGGCTGCACGTAGAGGTGGGGGCGTCCGGGAACGTCGCCACAGACAAGCGGACAGTCCGCGAGGACGTGTGTTGCCCACGGCGGTGAGCACGTCGTGCAGCGTGTACTGTCCGGGTTAGACCCAGGTGAGTCGTGCGAGGGTTCGAACTGAACCATATTGACTGACAATGTAGTCGTGTTAGTGATGCCAGCACGTCTCTGGTCGAGCAGACGTGCCTGTTCGATTGCCACCGAGTGAATCGCGAGACCAGGAGGTCCAGAAGACGTCGAAGGTACGTGGTTCGCTTCGGGACAGTTTCGGCTTATATGGTCCTTAGACTCACAGCGGAAGCAGCGCCCCTCTTCACGGAGGCGCTTCAGGAGCTCAGGAGATTTTCCTGGCTTGCGGTTAGGAGGGGCGCGACCGTTCGCGCTCCTTCCATTCGGCGCGGAGGTACGTTGTGACCCCCTTGCCTGTCCGCTGAATTTACCTCCAGTGGTCCTCGAGCGTTCATTAGAGCTCGAGGTGCGCGTTCCAGCGGCAGCAGACGCGTTCGCTGGCGGCCTAGAGGAGGGAGCAGAAGAGCTCCCGCCTCCAGAACGTCGGGACGATGCAGATGCGCCACCCGTGCCGCTTCCGCGGTTGGGGGGCGATCCACCATGGTCGTCAGGGCGCCTGCCCTTCGCTTGGGCTCGGGCAGCGTAGCTAGCCTGCCAGAGCTGCAGAGCACGTCGGTACGTAGGCTCTAACTCATCAACTTCTTTGCTGAAGCCGTCCTCCATCAGGCGCTTCACGAGCCAGGAGTCAAGGCCTTCCCAAAACTTCAAGACCCGGTTTCGGCTGGTCTCCTCAGTCAGCACCACCCAGAAGCGCTCTAGATCGTGCATGTAGTCGCGGAGATCGCGATTGTCTTGGATACAGGACTTGTACCGAGTACGACATTTGTCTTTGTAGTTTAGACTGAAACAGTGATCGAATAAATCTCTGAAAAAGTCGTCTAGATTTGCGCTTCGAGAAGCACTAAGCATGTAGTTCTGCTTGTAGAACCTTCTGGCCTTGCCAGTGAGCCAACGCGAGACAACGTCGGCCTGCCGAGTGGCTGCCACTCGACCATCAGTGACATACTGAAGAGAATCAATGACGAAGGTCCAGAAGGCCTCATCGTCCTCCCGGCCGTCGTAGGACTCGGGAGGCTGCGGCTTAAGGCGGCTGGCCTTACCCGCGCTGTCAAACTGTCCGTCGTCATCCGAGTCTGAGCTCGGAAGGCCGACTACACGGCTTCTGATCATAGCCATGTACTTGTCCCAGTAGGACTCGCCCCCAGCTACATAGCTCGGACGAAGCTTGTCTTCGGGACTAGAAGCCTTCGAAGGACGTTCACGATGCACCGCGGGGGGCACAGAGGCCTCCGCGGTCTCGCGCTTGATTGCGCTCAGGTCACGTGTCGGTTGAACTTCGTTCGGCACCGATCGCTCACGTGCGACGCTCGCAGCGCGCGAGCGTGCGGCGCCAGACCCATCCGTGAGGAGTTCGACGAGATTGTCGTACCTCTCACTGAGCTGGCTGACCTGCCTCGCCAGTTTGGCATTGAGGGCGGCGTAGTCCGCGGCCTCAACAGTCTTGAGGTGGAGTGCATCGAACAGATCGGCGATCTGCTTGTTTTCGGCGGCGCGGGGTTCCAGATTTGCCAAAGACACCCTTGGCCCCTGATTGGGCACTTGAGCCCGCGATCCCCGAGCTCGATTTGCGGCATCCAGGATGTCCCGCTGAATCTCGGGATCGTGTTCGACCTCGTCGAAGTCGAGATTACCGAAATTGCGTAGATCCGGGCCTTTACCCTTATCCATCCGGTCCCTACTGTTTCCGGGGATAGAGCTCTCAGGTACGTTCACGCTTTCGGACTCGCGAGCCCCGTGCTCGCTGTTCTCATCATACTGAGGGAAAATTTTATTCGTAGTATTATCTACTTCCGTGGACTCTGGCGCGATAGCGCGACTGCCCACAGCACCCGGTGCACGCGGCTGAGCACCAGCTTCAGGCACGAGGCCGTCGGCGGCATGCGCGTGGGTCGGGGACTGAGCAGCGGCATCGGCCGACCACTCGCCCTCTCCAGGGTCTGCTCCGTCGAGAGCAGACACCTGGCGGGATACCCCCACCGTCGTGGCGGAAGCACCCGACGACGGCACAACGTCGTGTTGCACCGTCGCATGCTCGATGACCTGGTCATCGGCGGTGGCAGGCGGCGCATCTTGAGCGCCCGCCGTACCCGAGTCGGACTCGTTGTCCGAGAGTGCACTAGTGAAGGAGTCGTCAGTACCACGCCACGCGGTCTGAGACTCACCGGTGTCAACCGACGCTGCGCGAGGGCGGAAACGTCCGCTGGAGTCGCGCAGAGGTTGAGCTTTTGGCGCCATTGAGATTGTCGACAAGGAAGAAAGGGTAATTAAGCCGCGAAGGGTGCCGGGTTGATCAAGTCCGTTGCCTTAGCGGGGGGAATAGGGGTAGGTAGTGAAAACTTTGCTGGTTGCTGGTTGTCGAAGTCGAAGTCGATGTTTCTATCGAGGACGTCGAGCGAGAGAGTAAAAATATGAGGCGAGTACGGTGACGCGGAGAGCGGGCCGGGCTCGGCTCACGGAGATGATGAAGAAGATTCCCACGAGGTTACTCTGTAACGAAGTCTCGATTGAAAACCCTTGCCCTCCTCCCTTGGAGGAGGGCCCTTTTATACCTACAGCTGTAAGTAGTCATAACTAGTCACGGAGTATATATACGAGTCATAAGAAACCAGGAGAACCTCAAGGAACTCCAAAGGAAATACCCCCGCGAGGGGTGAAGGCAGAGCACGTGGCGTCGGCTAAGGCCGAGGCGTCACACCGCGGGAATCACTGTTCGGCAAATCCGCGCGATCATTTCCCATTCTCCTCCCACCGCTATGCCGCCTAGGCAGAGTGTCACCGCACCATCCGCTCCGCCGCCTGACGTGCCACCCGCGAAGACTGTGCGTGCCGACTGGGGCCCACAGGCTGAAGCGATCCTCAAGGACACGCTCAAGAAGTGCCTGCAAGATGGGCTGGGCACGGACAGCAACTTCAAGAAGCAGCATTACGCGCGTGCGGCGCTGGCGCTACAGGCCGCCGGCTTCAACTTCAGTCCCGAGCAAGTGAAGACGCGCTGGATGCGCTACAAGCGCGACTACAACTTCGTCAAGGAGCTCCGGAAGGAGTCCGGCTTCGGGTGGGATGAGGAGACGAAGATGGTTGTAGCCGAGGAGGCTGTTTGGGACGCGCTCATGTTCACTCCGGTGCGTTCCCTGCTCATATTTTTGTTGCTGTAGCTCACAAATTCATAGGACAAGAAGAAGACGAAGAAACACAAGGACTACAACTACTGGAAGAAGCACGCATTTCCCGACTACGACGACATCGCGCAGCTCGTCGGTGATGCTGGCGCTACGGGTGGCTGTGCCTTCTCGTCGGTTTCCGGTACTGCAGCCGCCCCCACCACTGAGCAAGACGCTCCCCAGCCCGGGGATGAGGAGGAGGAGATTGCTGAGGATGATGAAGATGCCCTGGACCTCAGCCTCATCGATCCCCAGCTGCTTCAGGTATGCTGCCCACCTCTTCTTGTGCTCCTTGCCTTACCAGAACTAGGAGATCCCTCCCCCATCATCTCGTCCTGCGCCGACGACATCTACTGCCGCTCCTCCCTCTTCTACCCCTTCGACTTCATCTCCTATTACAAGAGCCCCTGCAGTCCCCGCAGCAACGTCTCATGCCCCACTCCCTGCCCCTGCTGCATCCCGCAAGCGTGCTGGCTCACCTCCTCCATCTGTCTCGTCGAAGCGGGTGCGGACAGGTGATCAGATCTCGCAGCTGTTTGGGCGTGTCGATATAACGCTCGACAAGATTGCGGACTCCTTCGTCTCACCCCCAGCTGCACCGTCTACACCACCTGCGTCTTCGAGCAGCGCAATCTCGCCTCTTCGTCGGCTCTGCTGGAAGAAGACGAGGGACGAAGGGCTCTCACCCCACTCCCTTGGTCGTTCTCGCAGGGTCTTCCGTGATGATGTCAAGGTGAAGGAGTATTTGGGGTTTGACGATGATGATGAGCAGGACCGTATGGCGCGTAGTGCATGGCTGGCTGATGAGATCAATGCTGCCGACCGTTGATACATTATATCCCTCTTTTACCTCCGCTCTTTCCCGTACCATACAGCTTTTTAATGTACTAATCCATGTTTGGTGTCTACTGGGTTGCCCGAGCCTGACGGTTCTGCCTCCGCAAAGCAAGTGTGGCCTGGTACTGCATCCACATTGCCTGTGCGATCTCCTCCCGTCGTAGGTTGGCCTGCTCATCCTCGGTGTCCGCTTCGGCTCCTACCGTGCCATCCATATCAGGAGCATCACCATGCGGCTCGAATGCAGGCTCTCGGTGGAGTGCAATACGGGCCTCACGGTTGTAGCGCTCGGGTTCGTGGCGACGGAGGAAGTTGTGCAAAAGCGTGAGTCCAAATGGGATGAGACACTGCACCTGGATGCGGTACTCGCATGCCTCAGCTGCCATCTTGAATTCGCGCTTCAAAGCCCCAAAGATCCTTTCGATCACGTTGCGAAGCTGGGCATGGCGAAGATTGAAGAGTTCTTCCTTATTTTGAGGCCTACAACATAATGAGAATGATGTCACGGGAGGAAGACCATATATACCTGCTATTTCCTGCCGCCCATTCCCGAAGATGGTACCGGACATTGCGGTAGGGCACAAGCAGAGTACTGCAGCTTGCAAAACCCGCATCCGCTATCCAGTATTTCCCGTTGGGAACGACCAGACCACCATTACGTGTAGCGTGCAGATATAGGGTGCTGTCTGCGACGCTTCCCTCCCATCCAACAAGAACATACGTGAAGTTCATGTTGAAGTCGCATACCGCCAGCATGTTCTGCGAGAGGTTGCCCTTGCGATCACGCCAGGGTCCCCGCGTAGCTGACGGTGGGCGAACGAACATGTGGCTGCCGTCAATCGCACCAACACAGTCCTGGAAAAAAGGAAAGAGCTTGGGGTCCTTCTGAATCCGGTCCGGTACGCCATCCCCCTCACAAGGAAGCTTCATATACTCCTGTCGAAAGCCGTCGGAGGTGAGGGCAGCAAGTACTTCACGAAAGCAGCTGGTTGGACTGATCAGCGTGAGTGAGGATGAGATGTTATTCCAAGTGTTTACCAAGATATGGTCTCGTTGCTTCGCTGAAACCTTTCCGCTACTTTGCGGATCGAGTTGTTGGTAGCAGCCTGGTATAGGAAGATTGCAACCTTTTCGGTCACATCCACCCATCGACTACGCCGCAGTCCACCCAACCGCACGAGCTCTGACTCGAGCTTTCGGAATGCGTAGGGTCGAACCACCAGACTGTCATGCATACGGTCACGGTGGCCGTCAAGAAGCTCCTGCACCCACGCACGTCCTGACAATGCAGAGGTATGATAGTCCTCGGGGAACATGTAGTTCCAATGCACGTCAAGGGCTGCTAGTGTGCACGCAAGCACCGTCATGATTGTGGTCACAGCAAGGGCCGCACGACGGCGTCGGTCATGATCGAGATGAAGGGGCTGTGCTGGGCTTGCAGAAGAAGCAGAGCGCGCGCTTCGACGGTCGAGGCGTTGGGGCACCATCAGCGTGGGAGAACGAAGGGAATCCAGTTGGAATCTCAATCGTGATTCCCTCGCGTTGCCAAATTTTCTCACGTGACATAACTGGGTTTTCCGCGGAATCGCGATTTGGTTTTCCGTTACCGAACAGGCCCTTATGTAATAAGCGCGGCATGGCCTCACGCCGAGAGCCGATTCCTCGTGCCCCTCAGGTGATAGCCACGCGAGAAGGCGTCTATGGTTAGCGCATCCGTCCAACGAGATGAATCCTCACAATATCTTGTCAGCAACGTCGCACTTCCAGTCCATACTTACGAGACGTAGTCGTTCTTATTTCTGTGACTTTTTCCCCTCATCACCCGCGCTGGCACGGTCTCTACGCATGTAGCTTCATCTTCCCCACAAAGGCGTGACGCCTTGATATCGGTACTCGCTGAGATGTCGGAGGAGAATTTCGCCGCCACGGGACGGCCGACCTCTGCCGCTACCTCTACCTACAACACCATGTCGCTTCCACGGTACCCATCTCATCATACACTCTCCAAGACCACTCCTGAGTCGCGACTCCACTTTGGTGGCGAAATTCCCGGACGCACCTTACGTGCGAGTGGCCGACTTCTTAAACGTTCAGACGCGCCGAATGCTATACAATCTTCACAATCCAGCGATTCCATCATAGGGGAAAGTACACATAGTTGATTTCCACGACATTCTATCCCCTGCTCTTCACCTCCTCTTCCCATCACACCCCGCCCCCTCCCATCACGCCAACGCCCCCTCCCACAACCGCACCACCTCGCCCTCTATGCCACCACCCTTCACCAGCGGCCCGACCACCGCCCAAACCGCGTCTGCGACCTCCTCTATCGCGCGCGCCGCGTCGACTTCCTCCCATGCGCGCGCCGCGTCGACGCGCACCCACGACCCCGGGCGCGCGGCCTCCATCTCGGCGCCGAGGCGGGCGTAGACCTGGGGAGGGGTGAGTTAGTCGAGGGTGAGGACGGGGGTGGGGTGAGTTAGTTGAGGGTGAGCGAGGTGAGGGGGACGACGAAGAAGTGAAAGGAGACAAGATCAACGGGACGGTCGACGAAGCCAAAGAAGACGGCCGACGACGGAGGTGTCAAGAAAGGAAGAAAGACGATGACGGTAGCCTCAAGCACGGACGAGCGCCACTCACCTCCATCACCCGCCTCTGCACATCCTCCCTCTCGTACCTTTCCTCGCCGTACCCACCCCTTGCGCGCGCCGCCTCGGGCGCGATGTCGAAGAAGAGCGTGACGTCGGGGGCGGGGAGGCCAATGTCGGGCGCGCGGCACCAGGCGTAGGGGAGGAGGGGGGTTTGGGCGATTGATGTTGCAGAAGCTGGAGTTGAGGACGTGGGGGCTAAAGCTGACGATTGAGAGGTTGAGGTCGAGGGTAGTGCGGCGGGGCTTGATGAAGAGGTTGAGGCAGAGATTGAAGATGCGGAAGTTGGGGCAGCGGACGTTGAAGCAACTTTGGACGCCGAGAACGCAATGCCGGAGAATGCGTAGCGGTCGCAGATGATTGTCGTCCCTTCGGAGAGGAGAGTGGATATGCGGGAGCTGATGTACGACATGCAGGCCGATGGCATGTAGTGAGGGGTTATGGTGCGCGTATTGGCGAAGCGCAGAGGGAAGGGTGCACGAAGAGGGGAAGGGTACGCTCAGCACAGAGCACATAAAGCTGAGCACGTCACTCACGCGAGCTCCCATCGATTCGCCGAGTACAGTAGGTGCACGACATGGTCGTCCATCTCGATGTTGGTGCGCAGGTACGCGTCGATCATCTTCCCGATGGCGGTAGTGCGGTCTGCGGAGGTTTGTATCAGCATACTGTTCTTATAGATGTCAAGTCAATGCGGTGCTCCGTGGCTGAGAATGAAGGAGAGAATGGTGGTGGTCCCTCTCGTGCGCATATGCGCGACCTTCCTCCGATTGCGCTGGAGAGAGCCATAGCATCGCGTGTACTCACCCGGAAACTTCATCAACTCCACCTTCACTCCATCAGCTGCTAATTTCTCCTTCAGTTTTGCCGCCTGCGTCGACTTCCCCGAGCGGTCAAGGCCCTCGATCACGATGAACGCGCCGCGGGTGGGCATCTTGGAGGCGAGACAGTGCTGGGCTAGAGGAAGGTGCAGGCTGCTGATCGCCGGTGATGAACGCGTCGCGCGAGGGTGTGACGGGACGCGTCTGGATGTGACGTATGTCAGCGATCGCTGTACGACGGGGCGAAGCAGCGCCTCTGCCTGTGCCCGGCTGACGCGCCTCGATCGACGCGTCAGCGCTCTCTCCACCTGCGGTCGACTGGCATGGCCTCGCGTGGCTGACGGATGGGCGATGCGCGGGAGAAGGGCGGCGGAGGTGACGTCGTGACGTCGTGCGTCATCGCGTGCGCGCCTGCTCTTGTACTCTCCTGCGCCGCGTCGAGGCTGGCGGAGCGGCCGAATCCGCGGTAGGGTCGTAGCTGGTCGCGGCTGGGTCCACCCTGCGAGCCCCGCGTGACGTGACGAAAGTTGAACCGTCGCGTTTCCTAATCGGGCGGGATTGAGAAAATTCGCATGTACGACCTCCTCACAGTCCTATCTCGCGATCCGCGCCAGCTAGCGCCTTCGGACAAGGTGCGTTGGAATTGTATCCCTCAAACTAAGAGGTTCCCGAGGCTACAAGTCCCTGCTATCACTCCTTCCAATTCTATTCCCTCCGAACTCGCTGGGAAAGCGTGACATGGGCAGTCCAATAATTATGCAGAGCGCACTTCTTGCTCGTTCCTTCTCTTTCAAAGGCAGAGTTGAAGAGTGCTGGCTGGCCTACCTCTCTGCAACATAGCTAGTCCATCCCCTCCTTCCTCCCCTTTCTCTGAATTTACTCCTCCAGTCACTCTCCTACAGACCCTGCTCCAGACACAACAAATCATCTGCTGATTACCACAAATCGTCCGTGATTCCGGTCAATAGTCGTTCGACGGCGCTTCATCTCCGCCCGACGGCTGTGCTGCTTCGGTCGAGGGCTCGCCTCAGCTCTGATCCGTCGTACGACCTCTTCGAGTGCTCCGATTTACCTTTCGCGACCTGATCCGAGGGCTCGAGGCCAGTCGGTGGCGTGGGTATATATGTCTGGCTGCGAGACAGCTTCTCTCATTCTCGCTCATAACATATACAACGAGCTACAGATACACTAACGAGCTGTGAGTATATGGATAAGCAACGAGTGACTGAAGGTAGGTGAATGGGTAGGAGAGAGCGCAGGCGATAGAGAGAATGGACGGGGCGCGAGGGGATTGAGGGTGTCTGAGGGCAACGGATGGGTTGAGAAGGTTGACGGGCAGGGGAAGCCGAGGTCGAGGCTGGCAGGATGGTGGGAAGATACTTGTGGGGTGATGGGCACCATTACAGGGACGAGAGACAAGGTCAAGGCGGAGAAGAGAACACCGAGGCGAGATGGGAACACCGAGGCGGGATGGGAAGGCCGTGTTGAGAAGGTCAGTCTTCGAGACCTTGTTGAGTAAATCAGTCATCGAGGCCTTGTTGAAAGTCGAAAAGTGCAGACTTGCTCGCGAGATGGCAAACCAGGCTCGGGGCAGTTGCAAGCGAGGCTCTGAGACTAGACTCGCATGAATTACAAGTGAGCTGCAAAGCTTCGAGCGAGTTCAACACAGCAGATGAGTTGAGAGCAAACAGACAAGTTAGAAGCAAGACAAATGAATTGAAGTAGATAGACAAGTCTATAATGAAAGGCACACAAAGGAGTACACAACGAGAAGTACAGTATATGACGAGGCGAGTGAGGTGCTCGGGAGATTAGTGGAGTGCTCAAAGGGTTAGGGAGGATGTGCAAGGACGCGCCGACACGTTCGAAGCATTAGCAAAGACCGGACGCGCTCACTCGAGCACTTGGGAGGTCAGGGAAGCACTTGGGAAGTCAGGGAGTCAGGGAGTCAGGGAAGCACTCGGCAGCCGGCAAGGTCCCAAGATGATGGGAAGACTCGAATACAATGAGAAGACTCAAAGACCCGAGCCCAGACCTGATTAGGCCGCTCGGCGGATGAAGAGGTGGTGCTGTATTGATCAGAAGGCGCTGGGAGGCAGGGCGTCGTCGGGGGCGCGTCAGAGATATTGGGGGAGCGCGAGGAAGTCTGGGGCGAAGGGAGGCAGAAGGCGAGGAGAACGAAGGCGGGGAGCTAGGTGGTGTAAGGCGAGATGCGAGGCGAAGGGAGGCGGAAGGCGACTTGAAGGGATAGGAGGGGCGAGGCGAGGCAACCAAGGGGAGAGGCAAGGAAACCGAGGGGAGAGGCGAAGCAGCCGAGGGGAGAGGCAAGGAAACCGAGGGGAGAGGCGAGGCAACCGAGGGAAGGAGACTTGAAGCAGAGGCGAAAGCGAAACCTGAAGGGAAAAACAAAGAATGAGCAGTCGACTCATGAGCTAAAAGCAGAGCGCGCACCTGATCACTCCGCTCGGCGGACGAAAATGTATTGCTTCAGCGCTTGATTCTGCGCGAGGACGATGCGGAAGACGAGGGAGAGTCGGTGGGTAGAGGGAGAGTCAGTGGGTGGAGCGAGAATGGCTGAGCGTGCACGAGCCAGCCCATGTTGCTGTTCATAGACGGAGGAGAGGGGCCATGATGACGGCGCGGAGACGACGAGTGTGAGACGTCGGAGGGTTTGGCAAGGTGCTTGACGGCATAGACGCGACGGCCTCGCTCGCCAAGCGGCGTCGTCGCCTCCCGCGACAAATCTGAAGTGCCGTTGGTCTTCCGCATTCGCTCGGGAGAGGTATCACGCGCCGTGAATTCGCCCGAAGCATCATACCGCGCCACTCGATGCATTGTGTCATCCTGCTCGGCGGATGACCTTGGTCGTTGCTTTGGCGCTTGACTCGACTGGTGAGCGTGGAATGCGGCGATGACGCGGTCGTGGAGAGCGTGAGCGCAGTTGAGTAGCGAAGGGATTTGGTGACGGGGGAAAGAAAGCGATAGGTGGAGCCGGTGGGCACGAGCAGGCGAGACCTTCGGTCGGCGGACAAAATTTCCGGGCCCTTTCCGTGGAGGAGATTCGGTGTTGGGGTCTGGACAATGGTGAGCTGGACTCGGAGACAGACATCGTACCACGCACCGAATTATGTCGCTCGGCGGACGACGATCTGTTGCTTCAGCGATGAATTCGCTTGAGGTGGCGTGCGGCGTTGAGGAGAATTGTGATGCGAGCTCTGGGGACTCGGACGGCGACGACGAGGAGCTGGACAGGCCGGCTGATGACAGGATGATCTATATAGAGGTGAGCAGGCGACATTCGTACCAAGGAGCGTATCACGTACTGTGTATTGCCGCTCGTCGGGCAAAATTTCCATCTACTCATCGCCTCAATTGACGCGCGCGCGTAGCGAATTGAGCTATTTCGAAGGTCGAGCTTGAGTCTTGCAAGATCTCTCGCCGCTGTCGCGTGCGTGTCGTCAACAAGATCGACGAGATGATGAGGGAGGACGGACACGGCACGGCCGTCGACGAGACGTTCGGGCAGCAAGACGGACAGTCGGCGGTCCGAGAGATCGCAAGAGCGGACAAGCGCTCGTGCTCCCGGCCGTCAGGGTCGCGCGGAGGCGGGAAGACCTACCAAAGTCGGAAGGGTTTCACGAGAAGCACGCCGGAGTCAACAAATCGACAAGTTGCCCCGCGCGGGGACTTGCCTAGATCACTCCGCACGGGTACCTGAGTGGAGGCGGACTTGTTATCGCATATACACGTGTTTTGAGCAGCGCGCAGCTCAACGAGGAGACTGCCGCGCGCGGGCTCATCCCCGCGTCCTTCGCAAAGATTGCTTGCGGAATGCGGGTCGTAAACTGGATATGATATTGTATAAGACGAATAGAGCACAAAGAAGACTTCCAAGACGTCTCCAAAGTCACCCGCTCAGCGGGAAGACAATCGACGGAGCGGCGCGCAGACACGGGGAACGATGGTGAAGGTCGAGATCAAGCCGCGTGCAACAAGCGCCGGGCGCTTACCGGCTTCCGCCCCGCGCCGCCGGTCCTCGGCAACTGCCGACCCCACTTCCCCCGCCGCTCCATTTGCGTTCTGCGCTCATCGGCGTCGCCCCCCGCAGTTCTGACGACGGTTCCCACGTCCTCGAGAGTACAGCTCAGCATCCCCGACGACTGGAATGAACGACGCGCCGGGATCCCTCACAACTCCCCAAACCACGCATTCAGCGCTTTACGACGCGATCGCAGGCTACGGCACCTATCCCCCATTACCCCCAGCACCCACGATGGGTCCAGACACGTCCCCAATACATACCCGCGATACTGGGAAAGACTCGCGCCGCGTCGATCAGCAGGGAACGCGTCCTTCCTGATCGTGTCTGAAGGTCGTGGTGGGATGTATGCACAACCGACCCGGTTACCCTTGGTAGGTGGTCACTTTGGCGGAGATAGCTGACCTTCTGAACCGGTGGGGGGCATCGACCCGAGCATAAATCTGTGTCTGCGACGCGGTTTGGGGACCGCGCGAGGTCAGTAGGACGTTGGGGAGGTGGTTTTGAATATGTAGCGTCGTTTTTGGTGCGTTCGTGCATACACCGCAGGGACCCGCGCTGACCGGATAAGCTTAGAATACTAGTACGCAAGTAGTATACACGTACCTCAGGGAGTTTGGGAAGCCCCAGGGCATTCCCCCACTCACCATACACGACCGCTTTCTCCTCAACCTACGTATTCCCCATCACCTGCGCGCTGAATACCGACGACGACAACACATGTACGTCATGCCGAACCCACTCCCTAACATTTGCAGAGTATTTCTCCACTCACTGGTCTCGGTGCGTACCTCCAAATCGCCGAATACCCGCGTGCCGCCTTTACCGTCCCCTACGAGCCTTTACGCCGCACTGTAAGTGGATACTCCCCAACTCGACGCTCTGGACACTGACATATCGGATCAGAATTTTCGAAATTTGATGCGCGCCGGCGGCGGCCTCGGCGCGTTCGCGCTAACCCCGCTGTCCTCCCCTTGGCGAGAACAATGGAGCAACCCCATTTTCGCCTCGCCGACGACCGCGCAACATGTCAACACGACGGCATACACGTGTCGCGTCATCGCCGGAGCTTTGGGGGTGCGAACGAGGGAGGGAGAGGCGCCAAAAGCGCGCCGTCCTCCGCGCAGCTCAAGGCCTGCTAAATGGAGATATAGCGTGATGGCAGTAAGTTCGACTTCCTCCTCCTTACTTTCGCGCTCAACCCGTGCCACGTCAGCACCGACACGTGCCGCGTGACATCCCTCGTCCTCCCCGCGACGTTACTGACGCTGTTTTGCAGACGACGCGGACAAAAAGACGATATACATCGTCCTACGCCTTGTGCGCCACCGAGCGGAGAGGTCGCATAAACCCTCCGCCCTCCCCCGCCGGACGCCACGTGCACGGCATCCCCTGCCCGGGTGAGCAAGCCTCGATGCCTTTCGCTGGCGCTCTGGCTGACATTCGCGCAGGGATGAGGCGGAAGATAGAATGTGCGCTCCCCGCGCTCCTCCCCCCAATCTTCCGACTTTCCGCTGGGCGGGTCTCGGTCGCGGACCGCCGAGGTCTGATCCGGAAATATACGACGCCGGTCTGGAAGTTTGGGCGGCACTGGACGCGGCGTTGGGCCGCTCGCGAAGTATAAAGGGTAGGATAGTTGATCGCCTCACTCAGCATTCCAATCCCTTCCTCCTCTTCTCTTACCCTCCCTTACCTCATCTACCATCTCAGTCAGATATTGTAACGTCTCGTGCTGTGTAAGTGGTCGCTTCATCTGCTTGCTCGAGCTCTTTTGACCCTTCCCTATGCAGGTCTTACTCTCTACTCGTTTTACTCGAGTACATCCCTTCGTGAGTCTGCCTGCTTTACTCCCGGCTTCGTACCGACTAGGATTATATCCTAGACTACTACGACCTGATGTTACCCGCGTCTTCTCTCCTCATAACGCTCTACCCGTTCACTGATCCTCTCACACAGCTTTCTTCGAACGCGCACCATCAATCGACACCAAACGCAGTAACGACTTTCTACGCTTTTCTGGTAACGTTCATTTCCTTTTTCTCTATTCACTATGCGTACTGACTCGCTGGATAGCTATAGGACTACATGCCGCCGTCTCGCCCGTGCCTATCGGGTAAGGACGGGCTGAGTTTTCGATGTCGCGCCACCCTGACTCGCTCTGTTCTAGGCCATCACGCCGGCCCCCACTATCCGCGACGGTCACCTTTCTCTCGCCGCCATGGACGCCGACGTCGTCGTCAGCATCCTGCTCGCCTCAACGCGGATGCAGAAGGCTCACCGTTGGAAGTCGGTCTACTCTGCGACCAGGAACTCCCGCCCCCTTCACTGCGCCTCCGGTACTCGCAGTGCGGTGCTGAGCGAGAATTGACGGTGAGCGCAATCTCCTCCGTGTCTGCTCTGCTTGACAGTCGCGGAGGAGACCCTTCGACGCCGTTCGGGCAGGAGCGGGTCACTGCACGACCTTCGACGACATCGAGGCACCCACATATTGACCCTCCACGCGCTGCTCAAGACGACGAGGAGGACGCTCGGAAGACATCCGAGCGCTCTCGGTATCGGTGAGCTCCTGCCTTCGTCATCGCGCGTCGTGGCTCATCTCACCGCAGACGGCGAGCGCACCACTCGCGTCACCACCTCCCGTCCTTCCCCCACTGCCACGTCGACGCGACGGCCGGGCTCGACCCTCGCCGTCACCGACCCCAGCGATTCAGGCCATCTCCACCCCCCACCTTCCGTCTAGGCCCGTCTTTTGGGTCATTTTGACGGCATGCGACGATGCGAGGGGGGTTCTTTGCGCCGAATCTTGTGGGGAGACACGGTTCCCTATCGGGTTTGGGGGGTGAAAGGGTTACTCTTCCCAATCCCGCCTCAAATCGCGCTAACGAGATTTTAGATGCCACAGTCATCGAACCCCCGAACCGCCGGAGGCGTGCGCGCTCTGTCTCGAAAGGACGACGCGACGAGGGTCATCTGCCCGCCGTCTGGACTAGTGAGTTGTGACCGCCCCATGCGCATCTGAAAGCGGGCTGACCCCTGTCCCTAGCGAAATGTCGTCCATTTCCGAGACGCTCTAGCACGCGCGAGTTCCCTCCGAGGAGGTTGATGAACGAGGGGGGCTCCCTGCGACGAGAAAGGGAGAAGGGGGGATATTCATGCGCTCCTGTCAGTTATGCCGGTCGTCCGCTAATCTCGCTGACCCCTTTCGTAGATGGATTTCCTCGGTGATCCCAATCGTTGGATATGTGCCCGCGCCCCCTCGTGCAAGATTTACGACGGAGGAAGGGTATTCTCCCGTTCTTCGGGGAAGGATGAAGGTGGCGATGCCCTTACTCGTCGAGTGGGCCAGACTCTAGGTGGGTTATTCCCATTCTGCTTTTTTTGATGAAGCGTACTTACTGAGCTCACTTCTGACCAGGTCGTGCCGCCGGAGGCTCGCGTGCGCTCCCTCGGCGAATGATACGACGGGGGAGGGGCCTCCCCCAACCTTTTTTGGGGGAAAGGGACGGGTGCAGGCGCTTCCAACGACGGAAGTAGGGGCGAAATGTCGGTGAGTTCTGCCCTTTCTTGCTTGGTATCGAGCTTACCAACCTATATTTTCGCCAGTTTCAGCCACTAGAGGTACGCACTCGCACCCTTGGGCGAGGTGCGCGATGAGGGAGGGATTCCCCCACATTTGCGAGGGCATTGGCTGTGGTAGGGGGCGACCTGCACACGCGAGAGGGGGTTGACAATATCGGTGAGCCGCACGCTTATTCATGCCACGCTTGAAGCGTACTCAAGTACCCCCCTTGCCGCTAGGTCGAACCGCCGGAGGCATGCGCGCGCTTCCTCGGATGAGCTACGCGACGGGGGAGATGTTCCCCCACCTTTTTTGGGGGGAAAGGCGTGGATTGGGGGTGCCCTCACTCGCGAGAGGGGTGGAAATTGTTGGTAAGTTGTGTCCCTACCCTGTTCCCCCCTTCGGCATGCTGAAATCCTGTCTTACCGTTTACTCAGAAGGGGGCGCGCCGCTGGTGGAGCGCGTGGGCTTATTCGGCGAGTCATGCGGCGAGGGTAGCGTGCCCTTTCGCTCGGCGGCTGGAGAAGCGGGGAAGGGGCCCTTTTTCCTTTCTCGACGGACTTTTCGCCGAGCCCGAGCCGCCGGAGGCGCGCGCGGGCTCCCTAGGTGAATAATGCGAAGAGGGTCGGTCACCCTCCCTCCCCCCGCCGTCGCATGCGTACTGACCCCCCTACCGACTGGGTATGAGGCGACGCAGAAACGCCGGAGGCAAGCCCGCGCTCTCACGGTGAGGGACGTATCGAGGGAGGGGCCCTCCCTCCTGTCGAAGGGGGTGATGTCGGTGAGTTAACACCTCTTCCCTTCTCCCAACAGCGCGTTGTCTCACGCGCTTTTTAGAGATCCTGTTGCCCTTACCCACCGGCGCCCCTCAGGACGAGCTTTGTGGCGAGGGAGGGGTCCCTCCCTCCTCGTTTCTCTCAAGGAGTCGAGTGTAGGATCCGCTCCTTCCTTCGTTCTCGCCCTCACCTAGCATGCTGACTCGCTTCTATCCCTTCTAGTTCTAATTTCCTGAAGTTAAGGAAAGTGTTTAGCAGAGAAGGGGGCGCTTCGTAGCCTAGTAGGGGGTTGATAGGACTCGCGAGTGCGTGCCCTCCCTCTCTGTACCCCTTTCCTTCTGGTTGCCGACGCGTGCTAACCTCTTTCAGGTCCTTTTCTCCCTCTCTGACTTGACGAGCCGTCGGAGGGGCGAACTCCCTCCCTCGGCGATGGGATCGAGGGGGGTGGAACCGTCCTCTTCGAAGGTGAGTAGACTCTTTCGATACGGATGACGTGGAAGGGGTGGACGCGGCCGCGCACCTTGCCCCCTTCCTCCCGCTTGGCCTCTCCATTGGGTGGGGCCCTTCTCGGCGACTTGCTCTGCCGTTGCTCACTCTCTCTGGAGCTCGGGAGATCGGGGAGGGGGTGCGGCGCTGGGAGGAGGTGCTTGAGAAGCGGGTGGGGGTTAAAGACGAAGGGGGGGAGGAAGTAGAAGTAGGTACACCTTGTTAATGAAGTCGATGATGATGTGTATGGAGGGCCAAAGGGTCGTGGGTGCGTCGAAGTCGAGGAGGGGAGGGGAGGGGAGCGAAGGAGAGGTGCGAGGGTTGGGTTGGGTGGGGTGGGAGGGATAGGGACGGGTAAGTCCTGGCCAGCTCCGTCCACGGCGAGGATGCTTACCTCCCCCTTCCAGGTGCTCAAGGTTCATGCCCCCGCGTCGCGTGGGTCTCTTGGCGAAGGGGGGCGTTGTCCTCATCTCCGCGTACCCCTTCGTGCCTTCTCCCCTCCCCATATGGAGGCGAGTCTCCTCGCAGTCGTGAGTGTAAGTTTAGTTCCCCCTTCGTGCCCCCTACCCCCCACCCCCCACTTTGCATGCTCACGCCCTTCTGCCCTCTCCATTTTACGAAATGGCGTGCGTCGCAGCTCGGCCGTGAGTCGATAAACTCGCAAATGCGCACCCTCCCCCCGCTACTCAATGCAGCGTACTAACCCCTTCCCTAGACCGTTTTCTCTCAGGTGCGAACACGGTCCCTCCGCAAGGAACTCGAGGGGGTGGGCACTCCCTCCCGCTTCGAAGGTGTGTGAATACGGTTGACACGGATGACGTGGAAGGGGTGGACACGGACACGGATGCGCCAGTGGAAGGAGTCCCTGCCAGAGGTCTTGGTGGTGTCCCCCTTCGCGCCGATCCCCCCTTCGCGCTGACTCCCCCTTCGCGTCCATCCCCCCCTCACGCTAATCCCCCCTTCGCGCTAATCCCCCCTCGTGCTGACTTCCCCTTCGCGCCGGATTTCTTCCTCGCACAGGGCCCTCCACCCCGACACGCTTCGCGCTCGACCCCCCTCCTTCAAGCCAACTCGACCCCCCTCCTCCAAGCCAACTCGGCCCCTCTCCTTCAAGCCAACTCGACCCCCCCTCCTTCAAGCCAGCTCCCTTCCCACGACCTGACCCATCGTCGCGCGCCCTCTATCCGCGATTCTCAGGCCTGGAGAGGGCGTGCGGAAATGGGAGGAGGGGCGGAAGTGGGAAGAGGTGCGGAGATGGGAGGAGGTGCGGAAGTGGGACGCGGGCGAAGATGGTGGGTGGGTGGGGGTTGGAGATGAAGTGGAGGGGAAGGGGAGGGGACGAGAACGAGAAGGGGAGGGAACGAGAACGAAAACGAGAAGGGACGAGAACGAGAAGCGGATGGGAGTGCGATGGGCGGAGGAGGAGGAGGAAGGTGGGGAGCTGAAGGGGAAGGTGGGGGGACCGATGAAGGGGGCGGGGAGCGATGGAGGAAAGGGAGGATGGGGGACGAAGGGGATGGGGAGGGGGGAGGGTGCGGACGAAGCTGCGCGCTCGACTTTCGGGCCACGCGCGTGCGTCGGCACCGAAGTCATGCGAGTGTTGATTTTTGACGTCGAGGGGGGAGCGCGCGAAGGGGCGATTGCGGCGCGGGGAGGGACGTTTCGAACACCTTCCCACTCGCAGGGTCGCGAGAGCGAAGAGGGAGGGGCGGTGGTCGGTGGAGGGCGAGACTGTTTTGTGGGTGGGGGCAACTGTCGTCGTCGAGCGGGTGGGTGGGTAGTCGTCGTCGTGCACGTACGTACATGGTTGTCGTCGAGTAAAAGAGCTTGCAGCATATTTTGTACACCCCCAACGCCAACGCCCTCGGGCGATCTTCTGGAACGCGGTGTCGTGCCGCGACGCGCGCGGGTCGTGTCGTGCCGCGTTGCGCGCGGGTCGTGTCGTGCCGCGTTCCGCGCGGGTCGCAGGCACTTCAGTCTCCGAACGAGCGAGTGACCACAAGATCCTCAATAGTTTGCACCACCGCGCATAGTCCGAGAACCGCATCCATGCATTGACATATATACTACTGATAAGTTACCGAGGCGCTCCTACCGCTATACGTTAGTTAAGTGGCACTATTATGCCGCCCCACATCTTCACGCCCCGCTCCTCCACCTCCCCTTCACGCCAACGGCCCCTCCCACAACCGCCCCACCTCGCCCTCAACTCCCCTCGCCAACGGCGCAACCACGCCCCACACCGCTCCCGCGACCTCCTCCACCGCACGGCTCGCGTCGACGCGCACCCACGACCCCGGGCGCGCGGCCTCCATCTCGGCGCCGAGGCGGGCGTAGACCTGGGTGGGTTAGCACTCGCACACTCGACGGAAGCACTCGCACACTGGGCGAAAGCACAGAACATGGTGAACATGAGCGCAGAGAAGTGGGCGGGGGAGTGTATTGGAAAGGAGACTGGGAATGGAAGAAGACTGGAAATAGAAGAAGTACGACTACATAGAAGAAGAACGACTACATATAAGAAGAACGACTACATAGAAGAAGAACGACTACATGGAAGAAAAACGATTACAGTTCGCTCGCACTCACCTCCATCACCCGCCTCTGCACATCTTCCCTTTCATATCTCTCCTCGCCGTACCCACCCCTTGCGCGCGCCGCCTCGGGCGCGATGTCGAAGAAGAGCGTGACGTCTGGGGCGGGGAGGCCGATGTCGGGCGCGCGGCACCAGGCGTAGGGGAGGAGGGGGGACGTGTCTGTAGTCTTCGCGGTTGGGCAAGTATCCTTAGTCTTCGCTGGGGTAGGTGAGGAGCCGCATGTTGACGATCCGGTAGAGGTCGGGGGTGCGGCGGTGGTCGAAGTTGAGGAGGAGGTGGAGGTCACGGTGGTGGAGGCGGAAGTCGAGGCCACCTTCGACGCCGAGAACGCGATTCCGGAGAATGCGTAGCGGTCGCAGATGATGGTAGTCCCTTCGGTGAGGAGGGTGGATATGCGGGAGCTGGAGGAGGTAAGGCCGGGATGCGACGATGGTGGTCATATTGAGGGACCGTGGTCATATTGAGGGATCGCATCAAGCGAGGCGATGGTGGGAAGTTTGCGTGGTGGTGGAACGTTTGCGTGGGGGTGGGATGGAGGACGAGGGGAGCGCAGGGGAGGCAAGGAAGTCATCATTACAGAGCACATATAGCTAGTCATGTCACTCACGCGAGCTCCCATCGATTCGCCGAGTACAGTAGGTGCACGACATGGTCGTCCATCTCGATGTTGGTGCGCAGGTACGCGTCGATCATCTTTCCGATGGCTGTAGTACGGTCTGCGGAGGTTTGTATCAGCATACTGTTCTTATAGATTCCAAGTGGATGCAGCGCTCTGTGGCTGAGAATGAAAAAGAGAATGGTGGTAGTTATCCTCGCGCGCATACGCGCGACCTTCCTCCGATTGCGCTGAAGAGAGCCATAGCATCGCGAGTACTCACCCGGAAACTTCATCAACTCCACCTTCACTCCATCAGCTGCCAATTTCTCTTTCAGCTTTGCCGCCTGCGTTGACTTCCCCGAGCGGTCAAGGCCCTCGATCACGATGAACGCGCCGCGGGTGGGCATCTTGGGTCTGGGGTTCTGGGTATGGGAAACGGATCTGATGCTGAGGATGCCTTCTTCAGAAGGGCTGAGACCTGATGATGGTATGAACGTGTGGAGTCTGGGCGAGGGGATTGCTGAGAAGGTTGTGGGCGGAAGGAAGATGCAGATGGCTGATCGCCGGAGATGAGCGCGTCGCGTGAGGATGTGACGGGACGCGTCTGGGTGTGACACAGGTCACGGTAAAAGTTCACCTCAAAGCTGACGGAAAATGGACTTCCAAGAGAGATGAGTGCCAGTTGGTAGATCAAAGGAATATGTATACGCTTGAAAGGTACAGCCGTGACTCCTCGCCCATCTCCAGACAGGCGCATCCCGAGTTGTGGGCGCCAGCTTGGCACCGGCCCGAAAGTCAAATAGTCACACAGCGTCGCTCGTTCGCGGGTCTCCGTCTCAAAGCTCTTCGATGTCGGATTCTAGCAGATTAAATCCCCCTCGCCCATGCTCCCCCATGAACCTCAGATGACCTTCTTTGCTGTTCTCGCTTCCTGCTTTCACAGACTTGAAGTACAGCTTGCTGGACGATGCGCATCTCAGAACACGCGCGCACGCGGAGTCACTCCAGAGGCCCTGCAGCAAGAAGGACCCACTCTATATCGTCGGACACTCCCTGCGCGATTACACTGTACCCCCAACCACGAATCATTGAAGAGGAGTAGATCGACGTTGAAGGGCGTACATCCATGATCGTACATCTGGGTACGTGGTTTACCAGCGCGACAAGGCTGCAGCTGACGGCTATCCCTAAACTCAGCAGCCCGCTACCCACTCACCTTCCTCGTACATCCATTATCTGTGTTCTCTGTACGTCGTGCTCCCCACAGGCCGACTGTCCAGCCTTGTTTGTCCCGCCATAGCTTCTCTCTCGGCGTCTTCGCTGCCCTCTGGACGCCTTCGCCCTGCCGCTCCATCGCGCGGGCAGCTATCAGACCACCAAGCAGTCACTCTTCCACGCCTGTGTGCGAGGAGGATGCTTCCCCTCACCTCCCGCTCCCGACGTCATCGGTTGGCCGTCGGGACCGAGGCTCCTGCACACGACCTTCTGGCCCTTCCACCTACCATATCGTAGCGTCGCGCAACGAACGCCCCTCGAACCTCCGTGAGCTCCTTGCGTGCAGTGTGCGGGGCATCCAGCGGCGACTAGGCCCGTAGCGGGTCTGGTTCTCGTATCGCCTTGCATTCGGCGCTCACGACTATATGCGCCGTCTCGGGTGCTGCGAGAGTGCTCTTGCAGCCAGCCTCGACAGCCGTCTCGATCATGCTCTGGAGACGTACTCGTCTCAGCTTGGGATACCGCAGATCTCTCTCGAGTGGATAGGCGTGCTCGCCCGATACCGCGCCCGGCGGACGCGCCCAATCTTGCTCGCACATTGCTCGAGTAGGCGCTCGGGTCCTGGCACCCCGAGCGATCTGTAGGTAGGTGAGTAGATAGCATCGTATGGTCGAGTGAGAAACTTACTTTGCCAGATGGATAAGGTTTAAGCATACGGAATAACAGTCAGTTGTTGAGAGGCAAATGCGATGCACCGGTTGAAGATTCTTGTCGTCTTGAGTATGAGTGAAGTAGCGACAATAGGGCGTGAGGAAGGCGACGGTCGGCCGGTGGTCAGTCGCTCTGTCGGTCTGCGGTTGGTCGCAGGACAAGGTCTCGCCAACTCACCGAAGTGATGCCTGTGCGCGCAAGCTCATTGTCTGCGCTCCCGGTTTTGTTGTCCGAGACCGTGGCGCATCTCTGCGGACTTTGCGCGTGCAGTTTATTTCATGTGAAGACCGTTTCGCATGGAAAGGCGTGGGAGGACGGTCTCGCTTCATTCAGCATCGCGCTAAGGATGAGTTGGTGATCCCTTGCCTTCGCTGTTGTGGTCCGCGCTTACATTCTCGTAGAAGGGTCGCGGTTACATTCTCGTAGACGGACGCCCGTGGGTATACACAGTCAGATTGCTGGGGCGCACGTATGAAAGTGTACGCGTCGTTTATCACGCGAGCGGAGTTGAACAACTCTGACGCGACATTGATCCTTCGACTGTGGCTTGTACCGTCTGCGAGCGTGAAGAGGCATGGAAGATGTCCTCGTCCCGTCGGGCGATGGACTGCGGAAAGGTATCCCGAATTTTTCCCCAGATCAGAGGCATCGTTGACTCACTAACTCATGTGCAGGCGACGACGTGTATGGCCTGTCAAGTTGCGCGGAACCTGGACGACGAAAGCAAGATCAGATTCTTCCTCGCAAATGATTCGGCGTCAACTCACCTCAAACTCCTGGGCCCTGAGGCCCTTGAAAGCATGCCGTACACTACCCGTAGTACTCTGGATTTTTCTCCGACATCCTCGGAGGATCGCCGGCCGCGTCTCACAAAAGGAACTCGAGTAGTCAGGTCGTGCCGCGACGACCTTTCGAGACGTGACCAGCCTTCGCCCGCGGTACGCTTTCTTCCAAGATGCTGAGCTAAACGCTAAGATAACATCCAGTCTCCCTCCCCTCCTTGATTTATGCACTATCGCGCTTTGTCCTGGCATAGATATAATTCCAGCTGTGCATATCTTCGTCGATAAGCAGTGGCGAGTAAATCCATCCCTGCGTCGCTCACCTAATCCTCCCGCTCGTGGTACCAATTTGAGGTGCACGGACCAGCAGAGGGAGTGCAACGAGGCGAACAGGGCCAAACCAAATATAGAGAAATAACGGCAAGCATCGCCAAACAAGGCGTGTGACGCCTGCGTCTAAAACCGCTCGTGACGCCGTGATGTTTTTGGACAGATCGCGACTTTGCCTTCTACTGCATTCCCAGAACTCGACCATCTCTTCGCCGCGCTCGAACACCACGTTGCGTGCTTTAGGTCTCTCCTCGTGCAAGTAGACAAAGCCCCTGGGTGACCTCGAAGTCTTGTGGCGCGCATCGTGTTGGGCATCGAACTATTCGAGGTGCGAGGCCTTCTGGGCTATCATGGCTGTACCGTGCTGACGAGCCTCGTAGAGCTTCCCAACGACCCATTCAACTCAAGGATGTCCTCTGAGAACTTACTCGACCCAAATCGGGTCCCGCTCGCCGCTGCTACGCACGACGAAGACCAGGTCGCTTCACCCATGGCTGCGTCTCAGCCAATGAGTCCATCGGACAAGGCTCTAACTAGCAACGTGCGTTCTACCTTCCGAAGGTGTTTTGCGCACTCTCAACATCCTCCTCACAGCGACCCCCGAGCCAGCCGTCTTCCCATCAGCTCGCCGCACACAGTGAAGTAGCGACCAAGGACGTCTCCGCGTCTGACGCAAAAGCCCCTGCTCCAACGCCCGAGGTGACCCGGGCCCCCGACTTCGTCTCCGGTAGCTCGAGCAAAGGCGAGCACCACGACACCGCGCCTCCCGATCTTGGCGTGGCGCCACAGAGCCCGCAGGTGTCCCACGAGGAGTCGGAGGCGCCTGAAGCTGGTCGCGCGGCCCCAGTGGCCAGCTCGGGCGGTGAAGGAGCTACGAGGAACGACGCAGGCGCCATTGCTCATGATGGACATGTCAATGACGCTTTGCTGCACCCTTCGGAGGGCCAGATCACTGCGGCGTCTGTATCGGGGCATACGCAGTCGTCCCAGACGCCAGTGGCACAGGACGATCAAGCAATGACCAGCTTCGCGTCGCACCCACCGCCGTCACATCCAGCGCTCGATCATCAACAAGTCCAGGGCCAGGGCATGCCTCTCTCCGAATTCTTCTCCCGGATAATGCCACCAGCTAGGAATGGGTCGCCCAACACGCCGCCAGCCGCGTACGACGGTATGCAGACCCCACCTCCAGGACACAATTTCCCTGCGGCGAGTATGTCTCATGCTCCGAGTCACATGGTCGACAACAACACCGCTCCTGGAGGCTCCGGGTACCGCATTACATTTGACTCACAGACCGGCCAATACTGGATTCGATGTATCACATCTGGATAGTCCACAGAGCAGGTCAAGGCGAGACTGCGGCGTCCGAGTAGTTCGATGCACTTTTTTTTACTTCCGAGAATTGCTACCGGCTTTGCTTCTCTCCATGATATCGTCCCCTCTGAATGTATTCATCTTCTGCTGTAGTGCTATTGATACTGTCCCGAGCAATCCCTGCAATGACTATGCTTTTGCAGACTGAAATCTTCGTGTCACTAGCAATCGACAGTGACCTGTACCCTACACTACGATATATGCGCTCCTGTCCATATCCTCGACCTCACAGGATTACGGCAGTCGACCATTTCGGCTGGTTCAACAAGAATCACGTGAGGATATCGTGGCGGTGATGGTTCCGTCGGCTCTTTCCGACGGGGCCTTTGCGAAAGCTTCCGCGGGATCAGAGTTAGGGAAAGCTTATGGCTGCTTACAGGTGTGACCGGAGTCGCAAATGAAGAATGAGCCAAAGTTCTAATTGAGATAGATGCAAGCTACACATCAGTGACGAGCCTATCAATGAATATTGAGTATAGTACTGGCTGCGAGACGGCCTGCATCCCGTCCACCTAGTAGTACCATCCATCCTCCCCATATGAAGCATTATTCAAGGGAGGCGTGGAGCCGTGAAAATGAGTCTGCTGGACAGACGTCGAAGGGTATCCGTGCTCGTAGTCCGAATAGTGATTGACATGCCCATTTACGCTGGGGTTCAGGGAGGCAGCGTGAAATCCCGCAGGGGGAAAATATGGCCAACTGAAGGGAGGCGGGGGGTGGTATGCAGTAGGCATCATGTAAGGGTTCGGCGCTACGGCATATGCCCGAGGCATTCCGCAGGAATAGTCGTACCATCCGGCGGGCGCGTGCTGAGGCGGCGCATGTTGCTGGTAGGCGTACGACGTTGCAATATTGTGCGGAATCTCGTATGAACCAGCCGGCTGGGCGAGGGGAGCGGATACTGCGTCTTGCGGAAGTCGCATCGCGGGATCACTAGAGGCGGGAGTGGGTGCGATAGTAGCCAATAAATCAGGTTCAGCTTCGTCAGGGCCAGCCCGAGTGTCGCATGCTTGAGCGCGGTCGTCGCCGAGGGAACGGCTTCCATGACCGCGAGGATCGACATCCAACGAATCACTCGACGAAGGCGAAGCACTCGATGATCCTGAAGCATTTCGCGGTGCCGAGCCATTCCGCGACAAGTTACTCGATGAAGTCGCAGCGATCGCAGTCTCGCGCTCGATTCTCGCTAGCATATCAAGTCCGTATTGCGCGCGCCGCCTCGAGTCGCGCTCACCCCAGAATCGGAATGGCGCCTGCTCTTGCTTCGGTCGCTCCCTGTTGTTGTGCCACGCAGCCTGCTGGGTAGTCACTGCATCCTCGCTCTGGACGGCTTCGTCACCGCTCCCCGCGTTCGTCCTGGCGTCATTGCTCGCGGTCGCGGCGCTGGCTTGCGCCTCGTCACTTGAGCTCGTCCCGGAGCTGGAAGGACTCGTTTGCGCATCCCCGTCCTCCGTAGGCAATCGCAAGATCCAGTTGGAGTGCGTCAAGGTGAAATATTCGCTACCTTGCTGAGCGTGCCTATGCTTTTTGGCAGAGGTCTTGGGGTCCTTGCGCCTGCGCGAGCGCGATTGCTTCTTGTCGTGACGCGACGGCTTTTCGCCGTGATGCGACTGCTTATTGGCAGGTGCCCCGGCGCCGGACTCCGCCGCCTTGCGCTTCCTGGACGAGGGGGCAGGTGCCTGCAGTTTGCGCGACGATGGAGCTGGGTCTGCGGCGATGGTAGCGTGCGGCGGAGCCGATGGCGCGGCGTCGGTACGAGATCTGTGTTGAGCGGATGCACTTGGTTCGATGCCGGTCGTCGTCGTAGCGGGATGAGATCGAGCAACATTCGTAGGAGGAACAGGAGGTAGAGATCGCCCGCCGTATATGCCGCTCATGTGGAAGGGAGGAGGCGCAAGCTCAGCATCGACTGCACGGCGACGATAAACGGCACTGTTCTCAGGGATCGTCAAGCCAGCGCCAACCAGCACGCTCCCGTCGACATTGTGGAAGTCTCCAGCGCCAAGAAACTCGCGCGGAGGCGTCGCGCTGCAGATGCGGACGTCAACAGAGCTGACATCCTGTTATGCAAGCAAGAATCACCAACCTCTGGTTTGGCGACACCTGCATTGTCGTGCCGATTGCTCCGACCCATTGTTCCACGTTGGACGGCGTCGGAGGCGTGTCGGCGACCGCGCGACCTTTTCCTTTATCTTCCTTCTTGTCTACTTGCGAATTCTCATTGTCGTCCTTGCCCAGCGCGTGCTCAGCCACGCCATCCACCGATCCGAGCTTGACCAGCATGGAGCCCGTGCCCGAATTCGAGTTCGATCCGCTGGATGGCACTCTCGTATGCGTGTTCGAATCCGAAGGGACGATGGTGGACTCCTCGAAACCGGCCGTCAGGTGATTGCCGTATTGCCACGGCGCCAACAAGTCTCGTCGCCCTTCGTAGTTGTTGTAATCGGGAGGTGGAGCTGGAGGCAGGGCACCGAAGGGAGATGAAAGATCGTTGGCGAGTGCGACGTCTTGAGCGGAGGAGGGTTGAGAACCAACCAGGCCGAAGAGATGGGTCTGTGGATTGTCGCTGAGCGTGCCGGAGTTGGCGAGGTCCCAGCGCTGGTCGTCGCCGACGATTTCGCTCTGTGGGACCGGCGAAGAGTTGTTAGCGCCCATGATCACTCGTTGGAGGACTACGTACCTCTGTATACCCATCGTCGAGGATATCCTGGAAGGTGAACTCGCCATTGTTCCACGCGGCGGCGCCTCCTCCAGCGATGCCATTCATGAGGGCGTCGAACATCGCCGGGTCGATGATGCCGTCGGGGTGCTGGTGATAGCGATTAGCGTTGGAAGCCATATTGTCCTTCAAATGCTCGAGGAAAAGTATCTGAACGCATCGTCAGCGGTCCGCGGCGCACGAAGACCAAGTCCAACTACGAACCGTTCTGCGTTGGAAGCGTGGAGTATGTTTTATTAGTCTTGCTGAGGAATGTTGTCCTGAGGATCTGGTGGAGAAGAGCGGCGCGAATGCAGCGCAGAGAAAGAGAAAGCGGTGAGGAGCGAGAACGCGCGTTCGCGGTTGGAGTGTAAACGGATGGAAATGGAAATGCATCCCCGGCGTGACCTTCACCGGCATCGGCCGAGCGCCGCCCCCTGCCCAAACGCTGCGCATCCTCGTGTTCTGCCACCCAAAGAACGCATTCAAATGATGATGGAGGACCAATCAGTGGTTCCAGTAGTGACCTGATCCTTTTGGAAAAGACGCGCACCTCAGTGGGGTCGATGAACAGTGGACTTCGCCTTTCCGACCAGACCCGTCGGTTGCACGCGAAGTCGGATATTTGCTACGTGGTTGCGAACCTCCCGATTCCACGGCAAATACTCGCCGGATTCCGGGGAACGCGCTGACGGAGCTCACAGGCGCATCTTCGAGATCGAGAATTGAAGACTGACGATTTCCTAGGGGACGGCGCCGTGGCATGCGACCCTGCGATAGCGGATAAGCAGAGCGTTCGCGTAGCGCAAATCAGCTCACCTTGCCACAGCCCACGACATAGGCAGCGAGAGCCGCCGACGCTGCGACATTATATGCAGGCGAGCCTGACGTCTATGACCTGGCTGTGCCGCTAACGTAACCTCCACAGCTTCCTCGACTTTGACTAGCTGGACGGCACCAGCGCTTATTGACACTGATCAGCATCTCCCGGAACAAAAGACCGTGAGTACGTGAAGCTCGTTCATGAATGGGCAGACTCACGGCATACCAGGAGTCAGTCCTGCATTCGCTCTCACGCCCTTTGTTATGCGCCGTCAGTGCGGCGTTGGGGGAGCGCGAACGTGGACGCGACTGCCAACCACCCCTTCCCCTTGCCACCACGTCCAGACGTCGGCGCCGACATCCGCTCACCCAGACGAATCACGACGGGAGCGTGCCCACGGCTGCTACATCGGCAGCATCAGTCAATTCTGCGAGACCGCCGTTGAACATCGCAGGGCGGGCGCCACACCGCGCCTTTGCCCGTTGATGCATCCTATCACCAAGGATGGACAATCGACCGATACTCTCGACGATGCACTCACCCCTAGGCAACGCGCCATCGGTATCGCGGCCAGGCGGCTAAGCCCAACGTGAATGCCACCACCGCACAAGGCTTCAGCACCGGAGTTGCACACATCACGCCCCTTGCGATGGCATTGTGTGCGCGAAGCCCCGAATTCTAGTCTTCGAAGGTGAGCACGCGGTGGGGGAGTCAGAACGTCTTGAGCTCACCGACCGCTAATCCGCCTTTGCCACAGGCAAGCGAGCGAATCGACGTCCTCCACCCCCTGCGCGACGACACCCCCACGTTCATGGTACCGCATAGTGCGAGTCATTGGCGGCCTTCGAGCGTGCTCGTCGTCCTTCGTGAGCGCTCAGCTCCCTTCGAAAGCGCCCAAACCCTGCTGCAATGGGCCCTCAACGCACCCCTTGCTCTACCCATGCGACTATTACGCACAACGCAAGTGCTCGACTTCGCTCTGCAAAATCGCCGCCGTTCTGCGAAGTCGCCACCGCACTGCAACCCAGCCATCATCTAGGGTGCGCAGGGCGCCCGAGACACTGCAGTATGGCGCCGGAGACTCTGCACCATCGCACCCGGACACTACACTATCGCACGCGAGATTCATCACGGATACCTAAGGAATGCCTTACAAACGGTGGGTTAGTACGGCGGAATCTTCATGATAGGCTCTAACGACTGACCAATTGCAAGATCGAACTCGTCCTAGCACCGTCGCGACCGATTGCTGAGCGACCGGCCCGCCATGAGCCAGATGAGGCCAACCGGCTCTGCCCTCGCCAATTGGTGGTCCACGCAACCGAACGCACGCCCGCAGCTTCACCGTACCAGGTCAGAGCTTCTTGACGCGGGGCCGCAAAGACTACAAGGGCGCCAAATGGACAGTCTGGCGTACGAGAATACACGTTTTCGCAAGGATGGAAAGTGCTCTGAAAATCTGCAGAAAGCCCTCTGCGCACACAGGTCAGTAAGGGAGTTATGCAACAAACGAGGACTACTCACAGATCGTCGTCCCTATCCAGGCTGATGCTATTGGGAACGTGACGTCTGATGAGGCTCAGTAAGTACGAATGCCACAGTCAATCAAGCGATGGAGACTCACAAGGTTCTCCAGACGCCTGCACGGTCGTAGGTGCACCATATCAACATAGTGGCTTCACCTCTTCCAACCCCTACTCGTAAGTCATAAGCTCAACGCACTTGATTCTGGACGCCTCCCGCGACGACCCGTCGCACCCTCGAGATGAACAACCCGAACTTCACCCGCACTCCTACTCACATTCTGCCAACGTCGGGTAGCCAGAGTTCGGCTTGGATCCAAGGTGCTCATAAGACGCTCGACATCGAGGCTGACCAGATTCACAGCCCGAGGATCCTCCCGTCCCAAATACACCGAGACGAAGATACCTGAGACATGATGCAAAAAGAAGCTCTTGATTCCGATAGGTAAGTCTAACTACTCACCTACCTATAGGGACCGCGACGACGAGCTAACTTGTCTGCAATCCAAGATCCGTGCCTTGCGCATGCCCGAGGTCAAGGCGACCCGCGCACCGCATCGTTCTTAGCCGGACCGCCACCTCGTCCGTCAGCCGGATCCAGAGGACTACATCCATGCTCGCTCGGCCTCCCGCAGCATCCTCCTCGCCTGCTAGCCATCGCGTCCATACGATGCTACGGCTCACACAAGGCGCGAGCCATATCACCTTTAAGCGCCCGCCTTACTGCCAATAGATGCCTGGATGTCAGTCCTCGGACAGAGACAGACTCACGGATTGGCCTGTCCAGCTCCATAGGTCCGTTGAGAACCTACGAGGACGCGTAAGCCGACGAAAGATGGGCATGCACACTCTCAATGCCAGTGGTCTTGCGCACATCAACAGCATGTACATACACTCAGAAGCGACCCACGGCGCGCGTATATAACCGAGGTCGGAGGGACGAGAACATACAGGCGCCACCTCGTGGCAGACGCGCACGTAGGCCCAGCAACATGGCGTGCATAGACTGACGACGACCCGGATTGCGCGGGGGCGAAGGTGCGGCGCCAGGCTTTGGTGACGTCGATGCCCCGACCGAGGGTGCGCGAAGTGCGTCATCGGGCTCGCGAGGGCCCCATTCGCATGTTGGGGTAGCGCGCCGCACCTGGGGCAGCTAAGGGTGCGCTTTAAATCTCGTGCCAGCTGCTTGAAGCGATATGCGCGAGGGAGAGCGGCGTCGATGTAATGCTCTGGGATATCTGCTTCGAGGTCGGTCATTCCACGGTCGACGCCGGAGTCGATCAGGACCCTTCAGTGCGCTAATGGCTGCGCACAAGTGCGCAACACAGCGGGACTTGCGAAGGAGGCGCGTGTAGGGCGCGAAGATGCATCGATCGTACAGGGGGCACGTTGACCACATGGCGGTGAGCCCACACCCTGGGTCGAAGATTTGGACCAGGGACCACCAAGGCGACGTGTCGAGGGCTTCGAGGGGATGCATCCCTCGGTGTTGCTGCCCTTAAGCCCGGCTCACTCTACCTCACGTCGCAGGTCCCATCCTTCGACATCGCAGATCGCGTCCTCAGCTTCGCTAGGGCGTCCTTCGGAGTCGCAGGTAATGCCCTCCGCCACTGCCAGGCGCGCGCCCCCGAGTCGTTGATGACGCCTAGCTCCTTCTCTGGCGCCGCCAGCAGCGCCTCCCTGGGGTCACGGACAGCGTCTCCGATGGGGCACGTCGTGTTCTCGAGGGGGGGGGGGGGGCAATATCGCGCGCGTGCGAGGGGCTGGTCGCGCTGGGCATCGCTGGCAGCGCACCGCGTCTCACGAAGCCTCGACAAGCGAGCGTCTCCCGGAGCCTCAACGAACGCGCAACCCCTTGCGAGGATGCCACGCCCTCTGCAGAATGCGCACGCGCATCGGGCGTGCAGGGCCTGTCCGCGCGGAGCTCATGAAGCCGGCTCACGCCCAGCTCGCGAAGCCCACCCGCGTGAGGGGCGCAAAGCCAGTCCGCGCTGCGTACATATAGAGCTTGTCCACGCCGCGTTTGTGGGACTAGCCCGCGTCTAGCTCGTGAAGAGGGAGGGGTAAGGGTGGTGGTGGTCGTGCGCGGGGAAGGGGAGGGGCACCACGACGAGAGGAGGGCCTTCTTGCTCGCAGGCGAGGGTCCAGTCGAGCCGTGCTTGTGAGGCCTGCCCGCGCCGAGCTCGCGGTGTGAGCAACGGCCATGCCCAAGCGCGAGCAGCGAGTCCGGATTTGGGAGCGAGGGCCGAGAGTCGAGCACCACGGTGGATGGGATGGTGATGAGCTTGCTGCACCCGAGCTGGATATGGCCGGCCACGTCCACTGCTGTCGACGAAGGCGACCATTTGGCGTGGCTGGATGTGGCTCCTCGACAGTGCCGCTCGCGCATCTGGCACCACCGGTTGTGTCCGTTAGCGGTGCTTCACCCGACATCGCTAGTCGCATCCTCGCGCGTCGCTGGTCGCTGGACCCTTCGCATCGCATCCAGATATTCGTCTGTAGCGTTCCCAGGAGGAGCTGGTCGTATTCCATGGCGCTGCTGGTCGCGTCACCAAGCTTGCTGGTGGCGCTCTCCCGGCGTCGCCGATCAACCTGGAGGATCGTTCGGCCCTTCGCGATGCGCGCTTCGAGGGGGAAGTGCGCGTGGCGGCCTTACGAGGGAGACGCGCGGGCCGCGACCGTGCTCCAGAACGAGGGCAGGGGCGGTGGTCTTGGCCGTGAAGCCTGCGCGTTGCGAGCTCGTGAGGAGGGAGGCAGGAGCTCGTGAGGAGGGGAATGAGGTAGGTTCTCGTTCAGCAGAGGGTCCGCGGTCTTCTTGCGCGGGGAAGAGCGTCGGGTTGGACATGTCGAGGGATGCGGCGATGATGTTGAGGAGGGCGAGCAGCACGGCGATGTGGGAGGAGGCGAACGGCGATGTTGGAGGGGGCGAGCATCGGGTTGAGGATGAACGTATGTGTTGAGAAGCGGATCGTTGTCTGCAGTCGACGCGGAAGCTGACTGAGTCGCTCCAGAACGCGTAAGCCAACCCAAGCCCCAGCACGCTTACGCTGACCCAAGTTTCCAGCACCATCTTCAAGCCTGAAGAGACGCGTCAGCGCACGCCTAACCGTCATACGCAGTCCACGCACCTCGTCGGTGAGCCTTATTGTCTTTCGGGCCGCTGCTATGTCTCCTTCGACTCCGCCAACCGCACTGTGACCAACGAAGTTCACCGGGTGCGCCAGCAAAGTTCATCAAGTCCGCCAACGTGGGTCCCTTGTCGACTTCGCCTCCGAAAAGCTTCCGTCTCCTCGAGGCAAGGATCTTCTGCCTCCTCGAGGCAATGATGGCTATGGCCGACTGCGTTGTACTATGGCTGACTGCGTTGTGCATTCCAGGGTGCTGCCTCGGCAACCGTTGTCCGCAGGTCCATGTTGACGCCGTTCTCCCCTTCCTATACGCGCTGGCCAACTGAACCCTGCCGACAGGTCGACCTGCATCCGTCGATCCTTGCCTAACGAGATAGAATCGCCGTCGTCAAGGTGATGAAGAGAAGTTGGAGGCTGTGCTCTTGTATTCCTCGACCGGTGGGGAAAGCTCTTCGCGCCTTTGCGAATTGGGGTAAGCTGCGCTCGCTCGGAGGGATGGAGGACCGCATGGCGATTCGCGGGTATGTCGAACACAAGGCAAGCTGATGAAGGTCAAGATCCATGATATGATTTAGGTCAAGATCCACGCACAGACGCCCAACAAGGAAGGTAGACGGGGTATCTGCAGGGTTCAGAGTCCGGGCGTGGAGATGAGGGTGGGCTCATGGTCAAAAGCGCGCGGAAGTCGGCTTTCCGGACAAGAGATCCCGGACTGCGATCGCCTGATTTTGACTTATGGGCCTAGCGGAACAGTCCGGTGGCGAAGTCGAACTGGAGGTTGTAGCCAAAGTAGCGCGCGTCGAAAAGCTTTGGAGACTTCATCTTGCAAATATAATGGTAGTATATTGTATATATGACCTACTACATTTCCTATGATCAATGAAAACAAAAGGAACCTATTCTTCCTCGAAGCTGTGATCCTCATATGACGCGCACGCGTGGCGCCAAACACACTGCAACCAGACCCGTAAATCCGATTTTCCGATGGCCGCCTACCAGAGTACATAAGGTCTCGCCAATCCCCGTCTGGTTATAACCTCGCCCGCCCCTCCTCGTCACTTTTTTCCCGACATTTTTCTCTAGAGAACTTTCGCCTGTTCTCGAGGTCGTCGAGTCGACTTCCTAAACGCGTAACCCTTAGCCCTGCTCGACGGCTAGTGCCTTCGGGTAGTGAATGGGCGCGTCGAACAAGCTTTGGCGAGGATATCAGCGAGCTTCAAGAGGTCAATACGAGCTTTAAGAGGTCAATACGAGCCTCGACGAGCTCAACAGCAAGCTCGACGAGCTCAGTAGCAAGTTCGCCTATCGCGGGAGAAGCAGATGGTGATGGGCGAGAGCAAGAGGAGTTCGGGACAAAGGTGCGTGGTCTGGGAGTGTGTAGTGTGGCGAGAGCTAACGAGAGCTTCTCAGATGACCTTCTGCACGCTAGCGGGCACGCTTGGTGAGGTTGGACGTCCTGGAGACCCCCTCGACGACGCGAGCCCTCGATGATCGATGACCGCGTTGGCGAAGAGCGACCCCCTCCCCAACCGCCCTCGGGTGGCCTGCCACCCGAGAGACCTCCTCGCTATTGGAGAAGCCCTCTTCGCTCGCCATGCGATCCCCTCACCTCGGATGAAAACGACGTTGAAAGCCTTAGCGGAAGACTGACGTCCTCATCCATAATGGACGACTCGCTCTTGATTGGCGACTTGCTCGCTGTTGATGCACGCGCTCGCCAAGATGGGAAACCTCACCGGACGAACGGTCTCCTCGCCAGCCGCAAGTCGCCTCGCCAGCCGCAAGTCATCACGCCATTCACGAAGAACTCCTCGTCGACGAAAGGCACCCCTCGTCGACGAAGAACACCGCTCGTCGACGAAGAGCATCTCCCTCGTCCACCCCGAACGTCCTCGTATCGTCGACGAGAATCTCGTCGGCCGCCATCTATCGTCGCTGGGCATCGTGGTGAGTGGCCCATCTACAAACAAGTGCAAACATGAACTTAGCGTCTCCCGAAGGCCCTCCCGCGCCACCGAACCCCCTCGCACCGTCAACGCACCAGATGGTCATTTCTTCATCGGCACATCCGACATGCATCCTCCTTCTCATCGGCCTGTCCGACACGTACCGACGCATGCCAGACTGGACGGACAGTCACGGTCAGGAGTCCGAAGTCCTTCGTTGGGTGGTCAGATCATCAGCAGAGCACTCGCCAACGCACCTTCCATTGCCATCTATCACCGCATGGGCATAGTCCCTCCAATCTGAACCCTCAACTGAAGGGCCTGCGTCGTGTTCGCCAGAGTCCCGCGGTCCGCCGCAAAGTCCCTCCGTCCGGTCGTAGACGCACTCCGTCCGGTCCGTCGAACCATCACCCGAATCGACGGTCGAGATTCCGACCCCATTGGGCGTCCTTGTTCGTCCGGATTAGGCAACTTTCCGCTCGATATCCGTGTTCGAATCCGTCGTCCGGCTCGAGGGTACGGTAGCAAGCCCGGCTTTGGAGTACGGTAGCAAGCCGGGCTTTGGAGTACGGTAGCAAGCCGGGCTTTGGGGTACGGTTGCGACTGCGTCCGTCGATCGGAACCTTCTACTCCATCCGCGGATCGGAGCCATCGACAAGATTCGCAGACCGGAGCCAACGACAAGATTTGCGGACCAGAGCCATCGACAGAGTTCGCGGAGCCATCTGCCCCCGCGAACACAATAGCGGCCCCGGATGCGATTTGCTGCACCGGATGTGTACCGTCGTCGCACCGGATGCGTATCGCTGCGCCACCCGGTCTCGGCTTCGACCTATTGTGGTCCAAGTCAGATCCCTATTGTGATGCAAGTCGGATGCCTATTGTGAATCAAGTTAGGTGCAGCCACATCGCCTTTATAAGCCATCCGCATCGCCTTTATAAGCAGAGTCTCACCATGGTGCGCCTCTTCTTCTCTCTCCTCTTGTGTCTTCTTCTTCCTCCTCGCGTCGTCGTCCTTGGGCTGATCGTCTTTCGTCGTAGGCTCTTGCCGTCGCCCTCGCCTCCGCTGCGGGTTCGTCGTCAACTTTCGTGCCCTTCGTCAACTCGCTCGCCTCTGCTCGTCCCTACACCCCCAATCATCGTCTCTTCATCGTGCTCTCTCTCCATCCCCCCCTCTTCGCTCGTCGCTCGTCGCCTCGTCACCGCCATAAACAAGCTTCAAAACTCACCTGGACGTCTGCTTCGTTCTCCTGCTCCGTTTACATTCGGCTCTCGTGCTCCGTCGACTACGACTCCTCGAGTCGCTCGCTCTTCGTCGGTGTCCTCTGTCCGTCGGCCATCGCTTGCTCTCCATCGACGCGCATTGCTTGCTCTCCATTGACGCGCATCGCTTGCTCGCCTCGGCGTACCGAAGCCTCCTCGCGCCACATCTCCTATCGATCAGGTAAGCCCATCTTCCTCCCAATATCGTTGAAGAAGCCCATACCTCGTCACTCGCGCGCGTCGTATGCGAGGCTTTGGCTTGCTGTACGCGCGGAGGCCTTTACTCGCGGTGCGCGCGGAGGCCTCGCGTTTGTCGCGAGCGCGCAGGCCTCGCGTCCTTCGCGTACAGCCCGCGCAATCCTCGCGTACACCACATCGAAGCCTCGCCTATCCCAAGCGATGTCCGTGTGCGGTGCACTTGAGAGGTGGTTCTTGATGTTGGGAACGCAGTCTTGCCGTGGGGTCGTGTAGCAGCCTCGAGGCTAGGCGTTCCCTCCGGTGAGAGGCTGGACGTCCCTCCAGTGAGGGGCCGTCTTGCCTCGAGGGGATTATCGCGCCCTCGAGGGGATCATCGCGCCCTCGAGGGGATCATCGCGCCCTCGAGGGGGCCATCGCGCCCTCGAGGCACCAAAATCGTACCCCCATGGTCGAACCCCACGTAGATACACCGCGGACTGATATGGGGTCCTTCGGCGCTGATGGTCCAACAGCTGCCGCTTGTGGCGCGCAGTTCCGAAGTTGCGCTGGGTCACTCGATAGGCGCGTTCATCAGCAGACTCATCGGCGCGCGTCCGCCGTAGCCACGTACCTCGATGCGAGCGTTGCGAGGTGATGCGCGTACTGCGAGATGGTGCGCGCACTGCGAGATCATGCGTGTCGAGACAAAGCGGCAGCCTCGTGGACCTGCGCTTCCATGCCCGTCCCCTGCCTTATAGGGAAGCAGGATTCCTATAAGGAAGCAGGATATGATATCCCCGGTTGGGGAACAACACTCGCCCTATAGTGCCGCCGCCGTATCCCCGTAGGGAAGCAAGGCCTGCCATATCGAGAAGTTGATGGTCAGCCTCCGGTCGGCGGACGTGGGAGGTGAGTGCTCACCGTCGCCGAGAGTGGGAGATGAGCGCATGCGTACCGTTGGACAATGGGGGCCTCTGTAGGAGGTCGAGGGTACGCGGGTCACTGTGGTCGTGGATTGGTAGCGTTGATCTGGCTGCGCGCGGTGGCGCATCGGAATGGGCGGGGGTGAAATCGGCGTGCCGAGCTTGCGGTGGTTGGGCACGAGCTTGCGATGGGCATGCCGAGCTCGCGGTGGCGCATCGCGTGTGTGGGCGGCGAGTGCCAAAGTTGAAAGGGTCGATGGTTACGAACCCGTCCGGGACGCTCGTTGATATCGTCGATGCGTCTGCGATGATTGTAGTGGGACTATCTGGGAGCATCGTTAGTGGTTGTCGTGACTGAAGGTCAATGTACCCACTTACTCGATTGGAGAGACGCGCTGCATATGTTGGCTGGCCCTACTCCTCACGCGACGTCGTTGCGGCGTCGACTTTACAACGTATGTCGGTCGTCGGGTTCGAGGCGCAGTGGGCTCACGCGTTAAGTGTGCGTCCGGCCCGTCTCGTCGCCCCGCGCGACTCATCTTCGATGGATATCCCCTGTGGCCGGTGAGTCCCTCGTTGACCCGATGCGCATTAATCCTCAGCAGGTTGGTATCGTCGCATCGTCCTTCCTGGATAGTGTCTGTCGCGGTCGGTCGTCAGCGTCCACTGGTAATTCTTCGCAGAGGCGTTGAGTCGACGGAACCCGCGCGTTGAGCTTGCATGGTCGTATGCTTGAGCATGGATCGCTCGTGCCTGAAGGGCGCTCGGGCTGACCATATGCTAGGCGTCTATTGACCGGCACACAGGTGCTGCCGAGTCGTCGGTGAGTTCTGCCAGGGTCATCGTCTGGGAGCTGTCGAAACTGGTGGGCGAAGGTTACTGGGCAGCGCCGCAAGGATGTCGAGGAGCGGGAGAAATGTTGAACCAGGGCGATGGGTTTATGACTCCTCGGACGCATGCGTCGTTGCTCGACGCCGCTGGGCATAGGGCACGGTTCTGGTCGTTGGTCAACTAACGCTCCAGGGTCAAAGGTAGGTGAGTAGCCACAAATTACCTACCGAGAATGCATCGCTGCTTTGCTCTAAAATTCAGGTCCGAGGGTGTCGTTGAGTAATGGTCGTCGATTGACTGGGTAAGATGTTGGTATGGATCGTATATGTGAAGCTCGATCATACCTGTGAGGTATGTGTGGTAAGTGCGTGGCATGCAGCGAGTAACGCGGTAAGACGGTAATGAATGGTGGTGAAGATGCATAATGCGCGGGTTGTAGATCGTGCGGGGGGAACGTACATGCATTGTAAGTGCGCGCGCTTAATTGAGAAAATGAATTCTCAGATCCCCCTAGCCGTACAGGACCACGGACACTCACCATATCTCATCTTCCAAAAGCTCTACCTTCGGGACTACCGCTCCTGCCCATCGAGCACTCCCCGCGCATGCCACGAGCAGGACGACCTCGGCGCCACCTGCGGCCCTTGCGCACCATCGGCGCTCGTCGACGCGTTCCCCAACGCGTCAAACTTCCGACCACATCATAGACTCACTAATCAGCACCTTCAGCGCGCTCAGCGAACACGGACGACGATGGGGAACGCGAGCAAGAGTATGCTTGATGCAAGTTCAGGACAACGCCGCATCACTTCATAATTGACGGATCACCCGGGCCGGGTGACGTGTTCACGTGAGTGAAATATTGAATTTTTGTGGCGGGCGGGTGAGGGTGTATACGGGTGCTAGGCTGGGCGCGGAGAGCCAGGTATGGCGTATAGTATGGCTTATATTTTGGTATGAGCTCATGGACATGATAGGACGTGCTGGGGGAGGGGCGGAGCGGCTTTGAGATCGCGATGAGGCGAGTCATTCAATTCCGCCCAGACATATGTGCATACTGACTGACGCGGGGATTGCTACAGGATACGAGCCGAAATAGGACATGATTCTATAAAAGACATGTTTCTTGCTGGTGACAATTGAAGAAGGGCAGCTTCTGGCTCGAGGATATGTCGAGTCGATCGTGCAAAACTCCGGGGACCCTAGCGAGCGCTCGGTAAATACGATGCGATGTACGACGTGGATGGAGAGCTCTCCCTCTTCAAATCGCTGACGGAGCTACATGGCCTTCCGCTCCGCTACGCGGAATCGCTATGCACAATCTTGAAGCCGGAGACAGGCGCGCGCCGACAGAGTCTGGGAGGGAATGTGAGTTCTTCGAGTTCGTGCATATCGTCGGCGCTGAACGTACCACAGGAGCGCTCTGCTCTGAGAATGGATCATAGTCCGAGTCGACGGTGACACGTATAGTCGTCGAATGTGCGTGCTTGAGTTCATTGCCGTGAGAGGTTACGGCAAGGGACCGTGAGCCTGATCGCGCTATTATGTCCGCGGCGCCGCGCAACTACCCACGACGCTTGACGCCCGTCGGGAGCTTCCTGAAGGGTTGACTCGGACGTCCCGGTGAGCGCGATGGCCCGGCCATCCTCCTCGACGCGACCTCTGGACAGAGCGGACTGACGAATAGAACTTGTGGCAAAGGCTTGTGGAACACGTGGCGCCGGAGAGCAACGGGCTATGACATCGCGCAGCGCTGGTGGTAGGTCGGAAGTGATGCAGAATGCGGGCAGGAGAGCTCTACGGGTTATTCGCGCTGACAATGATTCATCCAGGGAATGAGGGGCATAAGAAGACGCACCTTCGGCCACGATACACTAGCGACAAAGGGTATCAGCCGCAGTCGACATAGCGGCCAAAGTCATAAACCGTCATACCCATCCGTCTATGACCTTCCGCGTCCTTTTGATATATTCTGCGCACCCTGTGGCATTGTAAGCACTTCCAAGGATACCGGCTTTGGCGTCGCTGACCTGCTTTCGAAGGCCAGCCTCGCGATTTCGGCACCCTTCCCGAAACCGCCGATTTTCGAGATTTAGTCCTGGTAAGCTGCCTCGAGACTTCGTCAGAGCCTTCCCCAAAGGCCATTCAACGGATTCTATGTCGTCAGGGTGGTGGACAGCCCGCAGGAAAATGTTTGTGTCGCGTGCATTCGGCGGTCCTAGCGTCAGATCGTCAAATCTCATTTTACATGTTTCTCTGCGAGGTATGAGCCAAAAATAAGGATAATCACTGGTCGCTGACTATGCCACCAGTCTGGCGGACGTGCTCATTCAGCGATGCGGCGACCTGGGCAGCGAGCAACCCGTTTTTTCGAGATGGACAGCGTGCGAAAACAGAAAAATGTGATAAGATCTGGCTTGTTTGGGCATCTTTACCCAGTCAACGGTGGTTGATTACCACGCTCGACGCGTTTCCTCTTTCACCCTTTGCCCAGCAGCCTCAACTCGTCGCGCATCCGCCTCACTTCGTCGCCGCCCGCATTCGAAAATTCGACCCGACGTCGCTTTCAAGTGTTTAGACGGTATTACTTGTTGGGTTTGTCAAAAATAGGTGCGCCTTGTCGCGGCCACTGGGCTTTGTCGTCGGGCTGACGGGTTTTGCAGTCTCCAGATGTTCTTTGAAGACCCCAACGAGACCGCAGCACCTGAGGACCACACGCCATTGACGGCAGACGACCTCGCCTTCCCTGGCGAAGCAGTGCTGGATAGGCAGAGAGAGTTTTTGAGCAACTCTTCCGGGGACTTTGATCTCGCGGCGGTATGTGGCCTGGTTTTCCAGCTTCTGCAGTCGCTGAACAGTCTCCCATTAGTTCTTTTTGATCGCTGAGAACGAGGATCTTAGGGAACAAGTCCTCCCAGATGCCCTCGCCACTGAAGATGCCCCTACCAACAACGAGCAGCCGACCTCCACTGCCGCCGCCGCTCCCGATGCCCCCACCGAACTGGTCGCTCAGCACCCCCTGCCCGCCTTGAAGGCCACGGCTGACAATGCCGCATCCGAGCACGATTCAGCATCCGACGTCGCCCCCAACCACCCTCCTCATGGCCACTCGAGGTCATCGTCTACCGAGTCGGACATCGCCCACCGCGCTGAAGGTGCCATCACTCCGCGAGGCGCGAGTGAGGAGTTGGAGAGGGATCAGGAGAATGCGGTGAATTCGACTGAGAAGAGCGCCGGGACGAGGGCGGCGGAAGCGAAGGGTATCAACAGTGGCGAAGTTGCTCGGGGCGCGAACGCGTCCTCGACAGGTCTCCAGCAGACCCTCGAGATGCGGGCTTTGACGCCGCCCTCTGGGCCATCGTCAAGCGGCGGGTGAGCTCGACATCAGTTCATTGTCTTTGCATGTTCTAACGACTACATAGTTTGACCCCGCCTCGCGACGTGCAGTACGGGAGCGCCCCGATCAACGCTAGCCAAGTTGTGCACATAGGTGCACAGAACAACGAAGTGCTGCGCCGCCCTCAGTACTTCACCATCGACCAGTTCGATCAAGGCCCCGCCTACAACCCCTACCTCGCGCCGTCGGCTCCTCAGCACCGCTTCGCGGCGCCTCCGGCTTTCCTCCGACCTCCCTACCCCTTCGCCAACCCATCCTATGGCTTCGCACCCCCTCAGTACCTGGGGCTTGCGCTCTCAGGTCTTCCTGCACCCCCCTACTATAGTCAAGGGATGCTAGGTGCCGGCTATGCGTACCCTTGCGCTCCGCCGGCCCCGATGCCTCAGCAAGGCTACTACGGCCCCTCCAACGTTGGCGCGCAGCCTACTTCGCAGGCCGGCTACGCGCCCGTCGCGGATGAAGCCCCCGTCCCTGTCGACTACGCTCTCCCAGCTCCGTCCGGTAGTGGTGCTTCAGCCGTTGATGACGGAGGACGGCTGGTCGCTGCGCCCATAAAGAAGAAGGGCGGCAAGCGCAAGCGTCAGTCAAGCCCGACCGACAAGCCCGTCGACGAGCCACCGGCCAAGAGACCTCGCCCTCCGGAGCCGACCTTTCATGGTGATTGGCGATTACACCAACGTCGAAAAAATGCCCAAGATGGAGAAAATCCTCCAATGACGGACGTAGTTCCCAAAAAGCGCTGGACTAAGGCGCAGAGAGAGGAGGCCGAGAAGCAGTCTGCAGCTTCGAACACCACCCAGACCCCTGGCGCTGGCCCTTCCTCGCGCGTGGGGCCCATGGACGGCCCCGCGTTGGGCCTTGCAGTCCAGGGCGAGTCCTCGGATATCCAGCAGACCCCAGACGACTTGTGGATTCCGCCCATGCCGGGATCGAGCGCATACCAACCAGGTTGCACTTACCCTCGACTTCCACCGGTTCCAAAGCCCGGGAAGCAGTAGGAGGGCGTAGTTCGCTTGCGGTTGCCATGGGTAGTAGCAGTCCTCGCCGCGTGCGTGTTGCCGTCGACGCATCCCTCGCCCGTGCTTCACGACACTGTTAAGATGGACACATGGCTTACTTGGTCTCTATATCCACCGCTGTACAATGAATGCCTAGCACGACGCGTCCTTCCCCCATCTCGCTCTCCTATACGCACGTACCTCTTTTCTTTTCTTCTTGTCTCGCTCTCGTGTACTACCATCATACCGGCGACGCATCGTTGTATAGTACGACATGTACTTTATCATATGATGCTACAGGGAGTGTAGCTTACAATACCTACCGCTGTAGTACTGTACTCTACTTTGCCTCTGACCCGACTGCCCGCTCTGCGTGCATGGCATATCAGAGCGGGCGTCGCATGGACTCTAGCCGACGAACAGCTGCTTAACTGCACAATGCACTTATTTATATTCGTATCCGCAGCCTGCAGCCCGAAGTCTTGACTTCTGAGAACTTCAACGCACTCGAGCGTCAAGCTTCAGCGCGAATGAGCACAGTGAGTGATGCAGCATAAAAATTCGCTCAATCTGGGTCGTAAATGTCGTATTGTACGTGAAGTCAAGGTCCTAGCGTACATTGGGGCGTTCTCTAAACCTTCCACTTCAGGTCACCCTCAACAGTAACTTGCACCTCTTCCTATCCGGTAATCCATCCTCCACTCCCAGCGCGGAGTGCCTCAACGCTGCGACGTTCGGCCCGTCCCGCGTATACGCCGGCCACTTCCACTTCTCCATCGCGTGCAATGTGCTCTCGTACCCGCGCACCGCGAGGTACGCTGCATCCGGGTTCGGGTTGCCCGTGCGCGCGAAGGCGCCGAGGATGTCCTGCACGAGGACGGTGTGGTGGACGTCCTCCGTTGTGCGGACCGGCTGATCAAAGATGTAGTACGTGCCGAAGACCTATGGTAAACACGTGAGGATGAGTCGATGAACTCTATAAGAGCAGGATCCGCACCTCGTACAGATCGCCGCTGTGGCACTTGTAGTAGGGCGTATCCGGCTTGCCGACGGGGAAAGTGCAGAGGCCGTACGGGTCGTAGTACGATAGCGCGTACGCCAAGTGCATGTTATATACGTGGCTGCAAATAGTTGGACATGAAGTCAATCAAGAAGTGATGAGCGAGAACTCACATAGACGGGAAAGCGCTCGACGTAGCCGCGGCGGCGATGAATTCCTCCGCATGACACGTCAGATGCTGCATGGTGTAGACGTTGATGGTCGCATTGTCTGAAGAGTAGGTCAACAAAACTATCGCATCGGCGTATACAGGCGGCAGGCGAGCATACACGGCGTAAGCTCATCATCAATCTTCCACAAGCCGGAGTCGATGACCGCATCGGCGGTCCCCTCGTTCACGACTTTCTTCAGGGTATCCTTGAAGTCCTTCGCGTCCGGTTCAATGGCCTCGCCGAGGAGACTGCAAGCATGTCAGCAAAAGACGCCTTCCATGGGTTCGAACTCGACTCACGACTGCCCCTCGTCTGGAAGGAAACCGGCCATATAATGCACGGAGTTTACGCCCTCCGCTCCCGAAGCAGCGCAGTCGACCGAGGAGCCAGAGCGGTATACACCGTCGTCAGTAGTCGTCCACGAAGACAAGGTCTCGGTCATCTTGAGCAGCGTCGTCGCCGGAAGGTCTTGCAGGCAAGCAAGCCGCTCCGTGCCGTTGACGTTCGGGCAATGTTCAGCAATAACAGGTCCTAAGGATGCATATCATCAGCCGCGTCCTTAGCCAAAAGAAACGAGCGAGCCCACCCGCCAACGCCTCGCCCTCCTGCGGAGTCTTAATTGTCCCCGCGCCTCCCGACATCGAGACCGCCCGCGAGAACAACCCAGCAGCATTCGGCGACGCGACGAGGTCAATGACCGACGAGCCGCCCGCTGACTGCCCGATGATGGTCACCCGCTCCGGGTCGCCGCCAAAGTCCGCGATATGCGCCTTCACCCACTCGAGCGCGGCGATCTTATCCGCGAGCGCGTAGTTGCCGGTGACGACGTCGTCTGCTAGGGCGAGGAAGCCTATCGGAGTAGTCGTCAGTAGCGCGTCGACTATTATCAAGCCGCCGACGGAGAGAACGAGGGCGAGGGAGAAGAGGAAGCTCAACTCACCGAAGATGTTGAGTCGGTGATTGATAGTCACGACTACCACGTCCGCGCGCGATGCCAGACTGCCGCCGTCAAAGGTCGCATCCGCGCCGGTGCCGCCAGTATTACCGCCGCCGTGGATCCAGAAGATAACGGGCTTCGCGGCCTTCGAGCTCGCGTTGAGCGGTAGGTAGGGCGTGTAGACGTTCAAGTATAGACTGAGACCGTCAGGATTAGACAACGTGGTAGGGGGCAGTGCGCTTACCAGTCCTCGCTAGTGCCCCACGGATTGAGACCATAGTCGTTGTTGCCGAAAAAGCCGTTCTGGAGGCAAGCCGGCTTGACTAAAGCGAGGTCATTACGGATGCATACGATAGCAAATGCGTCTCGACTTGCATGCTGTAGCATCGACATTGCCCGCCTCACGCTCATTCGGGTGCTTGAAGCGCAACGATCCCGTCGGCGGTTGAGCAAATGGGATGCCCATGAAGCGGAAGACGAGATGGTCGCGCGTGCCAGTAATCTCATGTCCGCCAGACCTTATAGCCGTACGCGGATGGTCAGAGAAGTCTGTGTCCACGCGATGGGTGTGCGGCGCAGAGTTGGTGCAGAGGAAGGGAAGTTGAGGGTCAAGGCGGTCATTAGCGGCGGTCGGTAGAGTCGCCTTGGATCCATTCGACGCGACTGGATCGTCTGCGTTCGCCCAAAGTAGCTGGTCGGAGGGCAGTTGATCCTGGTATTCGTAGTAGGCGAGATAATGCTCGAAGCTACTAGTCTGTCAGCTCTGATTCGTGCGGACATCAATTCGTGCGGACATCGAACAAGAAGCTAACCTTGCAACCTTCTCCATGGGCAACAGCTCCTCGCCATGATTTGCGCATGTCGAACTGGCCTGCGTCCGAGTCGCGGGATCGAAGAACAGAAGAGCGCTCGGCTCATCTGCAAAGCTCTACAAGAGTAGCATGAGCGGGTTAACCATGGATGAGAGAGAACCAAGTGAAGTATTTACCGTCCAGTTTCCATGATTGTTGAAGAGCAGCGCCACACCTCTAACACTCTTGGAAGGCGTCGCATACCAGACAAGCAGCGAAAAACCGAGCAAAGTCCGAATCATGTTGCTCTCACTGCGCACGGGCATGGTCGACCGGGAAAAAGCAGTAAGCCGCTAGCATGAGCGCCTTTTATATGGTCCTTTAAAGCCACGATGCAGGTCAGCTGCCATCGCCGATCCTGATTACGGCTGCTCGTGTTGCTATGCGAGCAGGGTTCGATTAAGAGCTCGCTGTCTAGGTATTTCAGGCCTTCTTAAGGACGCGAAGCATGAAGATGCTGAGATCGTAAGATGCATATTCGACCAACGGGGCGATTGTCGTGTGTGGTCGAAGTCAAGGCGGAACCAGATGCGTTAGATGCCGCCTCACGTGTCACGGGAGAACCCGAAACACGTGGCAACCACACGAGCAGCGGTAGCCCAAAAAGCTTCGAAGCAATGGTCGTTGACCGGAAGACCTGGAAGTGAGCACCTCTCGCTCTCTATCCACCAGCTCGAGCGAGACCAGAGGCAGATGAAAGACGGGCGAAACGAGGGAACAATGGTACCTTTCTCCTAAGTATCTGAAGCGAGAGCGGTGCACCCGAATTGAGGCAAGACGACTGGGACCATAGTTCAGAGTGCAGAGCACGCGAGCAATAGATAGATAAATATGAATGAGCGAATGTACAGAGTGATCAGGCGTTACTTCAATCTTCATCTCCACCACGACAGCCTCCGGTTGAGAGCGACACTCAAAGCGGGACCATCGAGATCTCCCGGACGTCCCACTCCTGCGCTTCGCTCTCTGAGACTGGGTTGCCGTCGACGTTAGTGCGACCGTAGTAGCTGTCCCCAAAGTGAATGATGATGCCCTTGTCGCCCGCCTCGGCGGTCGCGGCGCGGTCTTCGCTCTGAAAGGTGTCGAACTGGTTTAGAACCGGCGTGGAGCCCTCGGCGAGGCCGACAAAATGGTCATTGTGGGCTTCGCAGACGATCTTGCCTGTGAAGGTGTAAGCGCGGAGCGAAAGTAAGAGCTGAGGACCGAACTCACCAGGGAGGCCATCGGGGAAGCGGAAGCGGACGCCCTTGTCGGTGCCCTTGTCGAGGTCGTCGAAGCTGGAGTTACTCGATCAACGGGGAGTCGAACGACTAGATAACCCATGTCATACCTGTTGTGCTGTTGAATCATGAGCACGCTGTTCGTCGAGTCGAGGTACTGCATGCCGTCCCAGGACAGCGTGTACCACTATAGCAGGTGCATCGTCAGCGTACTCATCCCGTGTAGAGCAGGAAGACGTGCATACCTTCCCGGGATCAACAGTGACTGCACGCTTGGGTAGCGCCGCAGCGTTGGAGAGCGTAGCGAGCGCGAGGGTAGCGACAGCGAAGATTTGGGCGAGCATAGCAGGAGACCGAGATTAGGTAGACGAAGAACGTAGAAGAAGAGACGGGTCGTAAAGAGCTGCTGGAAGACGTCGAACCCAGGTCGACCTTTATGGCGGCGGCATGGTGGGTCGCTGTGAACATCATCGGGTCCCTCGCACAGTCGTATCATACGAAAGTGGAGCTTATGCTCCCTGACGGAAGTGTAGCAGCTACGCGTCGAGAGCATCGAGCTGGAGACTGGGGAGACCGTCTATCAGTCTGATGCACCTGATACACGATTCGGACATACCTCACGGTGATCCGCCAGATATGTCCGGCCGCAAGCCTATGCGGGTTTCCTTTTGTGTGATTTGCGTTCCCACAGTAATGCGAGCTTCCGTGGGTCTGAGGTTCAGTGTACGCGCAGTGAGAAGGGATGGCGGCGAAGTCGACGAGCAAGATGACGTTGACGACCATACGCGTCGATGTCCAGCACCCACTGCGCCCGATAGTTTGCGCGATCATCCCGTGCGAGTTCAGGATCGTGGACCCCGTTACACAAAGAGTTGTATGGTGCCATCTACTGACGATGGTGACGGTACGGTACACGGATCGAACCTTCGCGATGGTCGAAAGCAAGCAACGTTAGGCTTGTCCCGCGTTAATGTGACTGTGACCACCACCCGACCGCTCGCATGTTCGAATCCTCTTGCAACACGAACTGCTCCAACCAAGATAATTCGAGCAGAGCTCTAGAAATTACATATATCTGCAGACATTGTTTGAAAGCTCCAAAGGGACTTCAGCTACTCCATATCATCCTACAACTACTAAACACTCCCTCGTCGAAGTTCCCTCGCCTGCGGCCCGCGGAACTATCTTCACATGCGTGGCCCCGATTGATATCCGTAGTGTCTGTCGATATGCCCCAGCATTGACTTGTACTTGAGCTCCTTACCGCACGCACCCGTCAGTCTCCGCGTAGACGGGGTATTGACCACAGTCGGCAGCAACAGCCTGCACTCGATCCTCGTCGGATTGGCCTCATTGTGATTGATCTTGTCGAGGGGCCGCCCCAGGTTTGCAGCGACGGCGGGCTTGAGGTGCACCTCGCGGATGTGCTCCTTGACGACTTCGCGCATAGACTGGTTCTGATTGATGTCGACCCCGAAAGGGTGACCGCATCTCTCGCCGTTCGCTTCAAGGTACTCGCATTCGGTGATCACGCGATGCTTTGCTGGCGCAGGCGCGGATGTCGAAAGGGACGCGGGAAGGTCGTACGTCGCGATAGTAGACGTGAAGGTGACTGGCGTTGAGGTCGAGGGTACTGGAGCATAATCCTCGAGTTCTATCGTCATGTTCGACTGTTCGTTCGATGGTGCTGCAGATAGGTTGGTCGACGATCCTTGGGCAGAAGGAGCCGTGCTCGCGCTCATTGTAGCGCTCTCGTCCTGAGGGGTATTTGTTGTCGCCTGGGCGGGTGTAGTTCCTTGAGTGCTCATGTCGTCTCTTCCGAGGGACACCGGAGCACCAACATTGTCCCGAGCAACGTAGACTGGGACTTGTGTCGTAGACGTCGTCGTTCGGGACCTCGAGCTCGCGTGATAATCCGTGCGAGGATGCTTTGTATCCGTATGTTCCCTGTCAAATGAGACTTTTCGCTTCATTGGTATGACTACAGTCGGAGTCAGGCCAAAATCCGGAAGCGCAGAGCAGACAGTACTCGGCATACCGAGATCGCTCCTTGGCGTATGATGGTCGTTGGACACTTGCTGAGGGAGAGGCCCATATCTCGACGCGACCGAATGCATGGCAGTGTCAACGAAAGCCGTCGATGGCCGGCCATCGTTGTCGACCGCTTGGCTGATCTCGTCGAGGGTCGGCCGGGCGTCGAGCTGCATATTGCCTTGAAGGCCCTCGTGCTCTTCCATGATAGCGTCCATGAACATTGACTCGGCAGGGTCGCCACTGGGAGCGAGCTCTGGATAGAAATTGCCCAAGTCTGCGCGCCACGCTGAGAGAATATCATTATCCAGGATTGGCTGAAGGTCCTCCTTCGTCCACGGAGAAAATATGGACAGCGTAGAGGCGTCCGCGGAAGCCCGAGAAAATGCTCTTGGCGGCACCGCGTGTTCGTTATCGTGCGCCCTTCGGGGATGGATCAGACATTGAACAAATACGAGAAGAGAGAAGAGAAACCTTACCCGCACTGGGAGAAAGCCTCGAAGTTGACGCCGGCGCCATTCCCATTGTTGACAGCGACGTCAGCGAAGCTCGACGTGCTCGAGGTTGGCGCGTCGAGGTTCTGGAAGGCCATAGCCTCGACGCAGGATTCCTCGGCCCGCGAGAGAATGGTCGGGTGAGCGTCGATCTTGGGATGAGTCTTCGAAAGAACATGCGCGTCGCCCTGCATCGCGCGGTCCTTGTCGGGTCCAAACCTCGCCACTGTCATGTACTCGCCGTCGTCTTCGTCGCCCTCCGCGTCGGCTTCGTCGTCGTGAAGGCCAAGGGCCGCCATCGTCACGTACTCGCCGTCATCTTCTTCACCTTCCGCGTCGGCGTCTTCGTCTTGTCCCTCTTCAAGAGTCGCGACCTCCACACCCGCGTCGTGAGTGCATTCGGCGACATTCTGGTTGAACTGGTCGAAAGCCTTGGTAAACGCCTCCGGTGGTGAGCCAAAGGCTGTCAACGAGGTCGATGAGTGCACGAGCGACGTTTGTTCTCCTCCACTAATCCATTGCTGGAGCGCCACCCAGTCCGCGTGCGGCGAGGAAGAGTTATCCTCGGAATAAATCATACTGCAAGAGCCGTCAGAGACCGCTGAAAGGCAAGTGCATCGACCACGCACCTCGAATGAACTGAGTCGACCACGCCACCCTAATGCACGCCCCTCACTAATCTCAGAGACCTCACGCGCTGAATGTGAGCGACCCCGCGCTTGCTGTGGTGAGACAAGAAGCAGAGTAGGCGTATGTGAGTGCGAAAGATGAAGACAAACACGCGGGAATTGCCGATATAAACGGACATGTTGTTCGCTGTTTACCTGCTCCCTTGCGCATCTGGAATTAGTCCTTGATGGCCTGGTCACGTTGGCACCACGTTTGCGAGCTCTGTCTCAGCTTGAGTCAAAGTTTGAGCAACAGGGTATGTGGTTCAAGAAGAGATATACGTACCAGGCCTCTTTATATCGCGGTGGCAGATGCCCTTCGACGTGCAGGCGTCTCTTGCATTGGTTTTTGCCCTTTCGCTTCCGTAACCTGGCGCTTATGAAAGCCTTGTCATGCCCGACTCCTCACAGCTCGCATTCGTAGATGTTTCGGACTGCTACCGCGGTGATTGGCGACGCTGACGAGATGGTGAGCGCCATGTCTTCACCCTCGAATGTCGAGCACTCACAATCCTGAGCGAGGTTCTCCACTCATCCCGACCAGTCTTCTCTTACAAGGGCGTCATGGGATTCGCCCGTAATCATTCACAACACGCAAAGGGAGAACAGATATATGCATTCCAGTGTGTAGCATAAGTGCAGACGTAGCTACTCACCTACCTCGCTCGAATTAGAGAGCTCGGAGTCGCGTACCGTCCATAGGACTGTTTTTCTAATGCTCGTTCTTCCGCGCCTGACATAGCATGCATGCCCTCGAGACCTGCGTCTTGATATGCTTGAGCTACTCAAGGTGAGGACCAAACATGCGCAGGCGACCAACAGAGAAGCGCCGACCTTCAGTGTACCTCGGAGATTCAATGAATTCTGTCCGATTTGAGACGAAGAAAAAGAACCTAATGGGTGATCAACACGCATAGCAGCACGCAGCCGGACACGGACAGACGTACTACACCATGGGCGCCGTGCCTCGACAGTCGTTCGAGAGGCCTGCTCAAGATGATCGCGTAAAGGTGAAGGGGATAGAGAGGGGAGATTCGGCCCGCGAGTGTACTGATAGAAACGCAGGATGGTCTCTTTCGCCCCGACCTCCTTCCGCAGTAACAGGGACGTGGGTGCTCTCGCCGATCATCGGAAAGTGCGGCGTGTACATAGGCGGTCATATAACTGGGTACGAGGCTCTCCCTTTCCTCGGAGGACTATGAAAAGGAATTCTTCGAGCGGTAAGACTGATGGCCTCGCGCGTCGGTCACGCTGCATGCAGCCGATCATCCTGCAATCGTTGTCAGGTCCAAGCCAAGTAAGTAGGAGACTTGCAACGCACATGCTATACCAGGACCTTCCCCTCTCCTGTTCAATCCCACCGAGCGCTAGGTGGACCCTCAAGACTGCGCTGAACGAACGATACACTGCTTGCGCCGGCGCCTCCAAGCACGACCAGGAGATTAGACCGATGTGACGTGGGTCGCGCTTCACTCAGCTCTCTCCCGTGCCAGATGATAGATGAGAAAGCTCTCGCTCAAGGACCTGAAGGATCCGACGAAGGCATTGTCGCGGAAGGACGAGTTCATCGTAGGACTGATCACCGTCCGTGGCACGGCGACGGTAAGCACGGTCACGGTATACCACGAGCACGGCCGTGAGCTCGACGGACCGGGTGGCACGTCCCACAACCCTCGCACGGCACGGCTCGATCACGGAGACGGTTATCACGGCCGTCGACGGCAACACGGACATTAGCATGCCAGTAGGGTAGTACAATGGCGAGGATGTGTTTGTAAGAAGTATCTAAACAATATACTTTCCATCAGCAATCTCGAGAGCCCGACGTTCGAGCCTAAGCTTGTGCTTGACCAGCATAAGAACACGAATTGTCGAAGGAGCTAGGCTTGCTCGACGCAGAGATATAGTGTCCCTCCCTCCAGAAAAGACCCTCTCGACGGCAACGGCGGATCCTAACCCACCGTGAGCAAGGTGTACAAACAGTTGACGGTGCTCAAAGCGTACCTGGGATGCATAGGATGTCGCAAGCCAGACGGTAGAGCCTAGGAAAGCGAGATCGGTGCGCGTGCCACCACTGGATAGGATCACAGGCATCGAAATCCTCTGGAGGCATCTTGTAATACTCCTCAAGCTCGTCGATTACAGCAGGCGGCGCGCGGCGATAACGTTCACCGATCTTGAGCTTTCGTGGCGAGCTATTGTTTGGATTATGGGCGGAGGATGTCGATGTCGAGGGGGTCGTGCTGTTGGGAGGCGGCGCGGTTGTCGAGTTCGAGGCAGTGGTCTTCTTCGCGTACTTGTCCTCATAATGCTCACGAAGCTTCGACTTGGCATCCTCAAGATACTCCATGAGGTCGGGGTCATCTTGATAGTCGAGTTTGAGCCCTTCGTAGGATATACGAGGGTCGAGCACTGAAAAGTGGTCAGTGCGAGCATGATGAACCGGTAGAGCAACATACGGCCTGCCCATGTATACAGATAGGACTCATCCACCTTCGTGTAGTACTCCGCAAGCTTAGCGTGCGCCTCGACAAGTCCGTTCCGCAATCGTGATGGTGCCGTGTTCGGCAGTTGTCGAAGCGCGTCCTTGAGATGCAGCTGCAGCGTACGGAAAGTGCAGTGTACGCTTGACAGCATAGGACGCGATGTCGTCGACATGTCGGTGGTGGCCTCCCGGAATGCCTTTAGCCATCCGGTGACCATCTCGATCGCCTTCCAGTCGCTCTCGGTGAGCTGGAGGTGGGCAAGCTCGTGGAAGCGGTGGACGTAGGAATTGATTGCAGCCTTGTAGTGGAGTGCGCGACCTAAGTTGTTATCAGCTAATCATTCAAGGTTGTCTCGGAGTGCGGGGCTTACGTAGCATCTGGTGAGTCGAGGACCAGCGAGTCTTGACATCGAGGATGAGCATCAGGATGCGGACGTCTTCGGATGGCGAGCTTGCGCGAACAAATCGGACTTCCGCAGGCCAGGCTTGACGGCGTTGTGGGCTGGAGCGGATAGCGCGAACGATTGCACGCAGCTAGAGGGTGATCCTCAGCTGACGGTCAATGATAGCGACGTATGACGCACCTTGCCGACTGCTGTGGATACATCCTGCTCCGAGACTTGCTCGTCATGGCCTTCCTCCTCCTCCTCCTCGCTATCCCCATCATCCTCAACTGCTTGAGCGGCGCTTCCGGGCGTCTTCTTGTTGCGGGAGGTGTTGGGCTTCGGGTCGAGGGGACTAGTGACAGAATCTTGATAATTGACGGTTCGGCTTGATGCCTTGTCCGCCTCCGAGCGCGTTATGGCACCGATCGCTTCCAGTAGCTACAAGATTGTGAGCCTACGCAGTTCGGGGGTGATGAGGTGGTACCAGCCTTGATGGCAGAAAGGTGAATGGTATGCGGCATGCACCGGAGGCGCGCCTGCGTGGCAGAGAAGTGTATGCCGTCGAGCATGCACAGCCTCTCAATCTCCTCAACCAGGGTGTCATTGTTCGTCGCATTGTCCATGACGAAGGCAGAGATCTAGAGGGAATCAACATGGATACATGAAGAGGAGAAGACGGCGCACCCTGCCTTTCAGTCCATATGTACCCAATGTTTCCCACACTGCATGCGCCATATTCTCCCCCGTGTGAGCACCGATCAGTTCATGGAAGTCGATGAGGAGCTCCTCTGGGTATGGTGAGCGCCTTGGTAGACTGAATCAAGGCGAAGCGCACCTTGATGACCATCGTTCGTGACATAGTGGGCGACAATCGCAAGGAATGCATACCCGTTGCTTGATGTCCACGCGTCAAGGGAGATAGCGACCTTGCTCTCCAGAGCCTAGCGTCCGTATTAGCGGAGAAAAACCCATTGCGGTGAGCAACGTACCTTGAACATGTTCCGTATCTCGTCTTCCATGTTCGAGCCCATGTCCATCGCGCGTCGTTTGATCGTGAAGCGTCCGGGCATTGTGTAGCCTGGCGGTGGCGTGTGGTTCTGCGCATAGGACATGAGGGCAATGAACTCCGGCTTTTCCACCTCGTCGAAGGGCTGGTCGCAGGCCACGATCCACCGCGTCAACAATTCTTCGAACTCCTTCTCGTTCCAAGGCTCCTTCGTGAGTGTAAGTATGTACATGATGCGGAACCATGCCTTGCGACGCACCTGTCGCGCTGCCTGCTGCCTCTCGAACGCCTTCTTGATGCTCTGCTGACGTTGATCGAGCTTTGCGCCATACTGGGCTGCGATGTCGTCTGTCATCGGTAACTTGCCCGATGCGAGGTCCCGTTCCTCTGCAGATATGCCCTCGTGCGAAGGGCGTTGCTTGATGTGCTCGTAGAGGAGGTAAAGGCTTGGCTCGCTCTTGAGTTGTGCGACGAGACCTGAGACCTGATGAGCTCAGTTGACACGATGCAATAAGGGGAATGTACCGTTATTGTTGCCCTTCATTGCCTTCGTGATGGTGTGAACCTTGCGCTTGCCATGACAGAAGCGCCAGTGCGTTGAGCCTTCACTTCCTCGTTGACCGTGAGCATTGTACTCGACCTGTTCGAAGAATAGGTAGATGGGGTGGCGCCGCTAACAAGTAAGACGTCAGCATATGCGACCGGGAAGATGGTAGGAAGAAGAGAAAACTTACCCCACGCGTGCCGCCACTCCCGGTGGCGCCTTTCACCGCACTACCGCCACCAACCGGAGCAGGAGCGGGGGCGGGAACAGGCGCGTTCGCCTTGGTCTTGTTTCGGCGCCTCTTCTTCTTGGTCTTCGCACCAGCATTGACCGCAGCCTTCCGCTTGCCCTTGCTATCGGAAATCTTGGTCGGAAGGATCTCGGCGAGCTGAAAAACGGTCAGGTCATAAACAAGCGATGACGCACGAAGCAAGATTACCTCTTCATTATCAAGTATCTCAATATCGCCGTCAGAATCCTCGGACTCGGAGATGTAGTCAGCCTCCTCGTCGACGAAGTCCTCATCTTCTTCGAGCTCAGATTCGGCATCGTCGCCGTGAATGGGGCCCGCCTTGCGCTGTCGCTTCTTCGGGCGGGCATCTGAGCGATTGATGACTCCATCGGGTGACGCCGTGGGGCTTTCGCCGTCCTCGTCCTCATCCCGTTCCTTCCTACGATGTTGCGCTATGGGGCAAGCCTCAATAAGGTTCGGAGCTGAATCACGGACCACAACTACGCACCTGGCTTGTCACAATCCCCTGATAGCTTGCTCGTACTCCCAGTGTCTGTGCTTGTCGAAGGAGAGCCTGCCGTGCTATCAGCACTTGAATGCAGAGGAAAGATATAAGCACTCACCAGGATCTCCACCAATGCGTAGGAAACGAAGCTCAAGGTGAGCCCCAGCCCCTACTCCAATCTCGGCCATGGTCTCCCAAGAGCCCAGAGGCAGGAGACGCCCGGGCTTAATGAACACGGCCCGGCGGTAGGCCCAGAAGTCATCGGGAATGTAATGTCTCGCGAGGAGCTGTTGTTGAAGCTGCCCGACAGTTGTCGTCGAGTTCACGACTGAAGGAGACGTGAGTAAATATGGTGAATCCGGGTGACTGATCACACACCGAAGGATGTGGTCCTGCCCTGTGTCCCACGCAAAAGGATCGAATAGGGATTCGCCCGAATGAGCCTTTGAAGACGTCGTAGAGACATAAATGACCAGTGCGATCGATGTCGTCGAGGAGGACAAGCGGCTGATAATATGCGGTGGTATGCGAAGAAATGAGGGAAATTAAAAAGGATGGCAGAGAAGATGGCAACAAGGAGCTCGATGTAGAGTAGTATTATAGCGAAGGAAAGTTGAATGGTATTTATTTGGGGGCCAAAGATGCGTTTTCCGGAAAGAGCGAGCGGTAAGGCCAGTCCCGCAAGTGGAACGAGGGCAAGCAAGAGAGAGAATATAAACCACGCTCCCCAACGGCCGGCGATAGACGATTTGTGGGTGGGCGACATCATGCCGCGCGTGTATTCGGTAACTGAATGCATTCAGTTCATTGTCAGCGGCGAACGTATGTGAGTAATTCTGGATCTCACGGGAAGCATTGGGATTTTTGATATCTGCCGTGTACGCCGGGAGGGGCGGCAGGGGTGGCTGCACGACGGATGACTCCATGTCAACAGAGTGTAGACACGGAGCCTCGATGGAGAGATGGTACGGATGAGAACGGAAAGATTATTTTTTCGCCCATTGGCTCAGGGATAGAGGCTATTGACATACAGATGACAACGAATGAGCACATATTTTCAAAGGGCAAGGATCTGCACGTGTTCAAGTTCAACCGTGGGACGTGTCACGGCCGTGACGGCCGTGGGTCCACGGTCTCCGACGGCAAATTCCGTGACCGTCCCCGTGCCGTCGACCTTCAGGCTCAAGCGCTAGCGGCACGGACGACGTAGCCGTGCCACGGTGCCGTTGTGCCGTGACCACGGGTACGGTGCTCAGCCCTAGTTCATCGACCACCACCAAGCGCCCGACAGGGCGTGTGAAGTTTTCGCTAATTGCCGAGCAGACCGCACTGCCTCTGAACTCTAGTCAAGACTATCTTGAGAGTGAGCCCTCCTGCGACGCTAGGGATCAGGTATTCAAGCTGTCGAGCAGTCCTCCATTGAGCACCCCTTCTTTTTAACTTAAATTATGAGGCATTCGACGGCGCAGTCTTCAATCGTCATTGGTATTACTCTCTCCTTCATAAAGGGATCTTTTTTGGCAGCAGCCTCGTCTCATGCAGCGCACAGTCTTCCCCCGTGCCGATTCTCAGAGTACTCTGCCACGGGAATCCCTCGCCCACGCGATGCATCAACGTCCCGTAAACCGAGCTTCGTCATCTTGTGCGCGTGCGCGACAGTCTTGAACTGCCTTAACATGCTGATATTCTCTTGCCCGCGGAAGTGCTTGAGGTATGCGTCCTCAACGGTGAAGTTGATGGTAAACACGGAGGCGGTGATCTTGTGGTTGCAGACGAAGCTGTCGACGAGGCCGGGTGCGGAGGTGGGCTTGAGAGCCAGTGTTTATGCGATGGGTCAGCGACGAACCCGTGAACGAAAGTTGGACGGTACCACAGAAGCAGGTTTCCGCTGCCTCATCCTCTGCGGACCAGCCGTCTCTCGCAAGTCCAGCGAGAGTAACAACGAGAAAAGTGGCAATGTATTTCTTTCAGTAGCGGCGATGCTGTAATACGGGGTATTGGCTCGTTTATGAATGAACGACTCGCGTCAATTCAACAAATTCCAGTTCAGTCTGATAAATAAAATCAGGGGCGCAGTACAAAGACAACAAAAGCTACGATGGGGGAATCGCTATAGCGAGTCTCCTCGGTATGTACGGCGACTACTGGAGTCGCGTGCACACCAAAGTTGAGCTATGTACGAGCCTTCTTTGTAGGCCTGTCATCAGCATCAGCATCTGAGTTGCATCCTCGCTTCCTCCATTCTGGCATGTCGTAGTGGATACGGCAGACGTGGCCGGATATTTCCCCGTACGTGAACTCCTGCCCGCAAAATATCCCAGTCTTGGGGTCTCTCAAGCAGCACTTCAGCTTCTTGCCGCGGGCTTGACTGCTGTTTAGCTCCTGCCCTTTCTGCTGGCTCCGCTCGTCTCCTTTGTCTTTCTCGCCCTTCTCACACCGGTCCCGGTCTGTGTTTAGCGCCTCCTTGGACCCCCTCGCCTTCTTCGACCCTGACTTCCCGTGCGGGCCCAGTCTGAGGTTCTTCTCCGGGTGATACACGTTCGCCAACGGAGTGCGTTTATGTACAAGCAGGTGCGCGTACACCGTCCTTCGCATGTCGCCATTTCTCCAGACGTTTTGCTGATAATCATGCCGACACACTTCTCCGTTGGGTCCGACCCAGCAGCAGTCTCTGACGAATATCTGCAGCTCCCCAGTCTCTGGGTGTATGACATAAGGCGCAGGTAAGCGTTCGTCGATGTCAACGCGGAAATTCGACATGTAGTCCTGCTGCGTCGGAGGGGCTGGTGTGGTCGACGGCGCGCAAGACCCCGCAGGCCGAGATGTTGACGGGAAGGAGGAAGAATAGTAGGGTGAGGACGCCGTAGCCGCGCTTGGGGATGTCGGCGCGATTGTCATGGGAGTATGCGTGCTCGACGGGTGGGTGGGAAGACGCGAGGGGCCGGCGCTCGCCTGTGTCTGCCCATGCCCGTAGTGGACCTCTTGGCGTTGGAAGTCGAGCAGAGGAACGTTCGCGGCGGCAGCTTGCGTGCGACGAGAGGACGCCTGGGTCCTGAGACGTGAGCGCGAGGGAAGCTTCGCGACAGGTCGTGGGTGATCGCTAGGACCTTGCTCGGTGTTGGATGCGATCGCCTTGCCCTTGCCCTTCGCAGACTGCGGCAGTGCGGAAACAGGGCTCGACGACGTCGATGGTATGAAGATGAGATCGCTCTGAGCGTCGCGCGAGGACAGGATGGCGTTGCCAGCCGGGGCTGCGCTGCGAGCATGGACGAACGGAGGAGTTATGTAGCTCGATAGGTCCGAAGGCGCGCGGTGGTGGTGCAAAGGGTCGGTGGGTAAGAAGATGCCCGCGCTAGTAGCTCGACCGAATCCTGCGTGCGCAGTCTGCATTCCAGATGATAAAAAGACTTGGTGCGCGTGCATGTTATCCCAGAGTTGTTGGTGGGACTCGTATCGAGATCCGAAAACCGTCTGGCCGCTGCCGCGCTGGGCGCCCAAAAACGGTAGAGTGCCGCTCGCATCGTACGCGCCGAAAGGTAGTTCCTCTTCCGTGAAGGAGTAGGGCGATCGAAGCGAGGTGGAAAGTGCAGACGAGACGTCGGCGTAACGCTCAGGCTGAGTCGTCGTCCATACATCTGGGTTGGCCGGCAGATCCGACAAGGATATGTCGAGGTTATGGAATGGCGCGACGCTCCCCGCATCTTGTCCCTCACGGTGCGTACCCGTGTTGAGGACATTGGCGGTGTTCAATGCATCCTGAGTGGCGTCGGCGACGTCGGCGACGCCGTGACCGGCAATGGCCGGTTGTATGGCTCTGCGAAACGGTCAGATGATTTACATGATGCTCACAATGGACTTGCCTGATAGCGTTGTCGTTCTCAGTCCCGATACAGTTGACCGAAAGGTCCGCGCAGTTTGCACGAGCAGTGTACTCTGCATTGGAATGCTGATGGTGCGTGTTTGACGCGTTGTCAATGACGAGCTGAGTGCGGGAGGTCTCCGAAAGCGTCGCAATGAATGCTGAGTGCGCCGCCGTACTCGGGGAGGATGGCGGGAGGGTGGGTTGCAAGCTATTGTCCTGGGGTATCGAAGAGGGCAACTGGCCACCTTGGATCGCTGGGACCCACTCGCCGTCGTCATCTTCGCCTTCTGCATCCGCATCCTCATCCTCGTCCGGATTCAAGCCCTTGACCTCGCCATCGTTCTTCGAAGCGTCGCTCGTCTTGACCTCGTCCGCATCGAGGGGAAGATGCATGCTTGTGTAGGTAGGCGTGCTCTGCTCAGATGCGGACGTGCTGGAAGACAGGACATTTGGGGGTGAGTCGACCGCGGTGGACGATGGCGTGGGGTGTTGTTGGTACGATGGCGAGCTCGGCGGGGTGAACAAAGGGTCGGCGAAGTGTCGCTCGTCTTCCTTGGCGTAGAAGCCTCCAGCGTCTTGGTGAGCTCTGACGCTGCGGGAACAGTCAGGAGGACATCGGTGGCAGAGGGTATTAGCACACACCATTCACCGCGGACAACCATCTTCAGTATGTCGAGCTCGGCGCTCTACTTATGCCCTGGTCGGTGGATGCGTACGGCGAGAGCGAGGAACGAAGACCGAAAAGTCGGTCGCGATGGAGTCTGAAGAAGGACGGAAAGGGATGACCACGCGAATAAAACCCCGCCGTGTTGAGCATTGTTTACCATCATCATTTACCGATTTCGCTCATTCACGTTCTTGCGCCCGGCAGATCGCGTTCAAACTTGGCACACATATTCTACAATATTATCAGCATCAGAGTGTTACTTGCACGAAAGGGAAAACATACTCAGTCATCTTATATGTACGGTCGCAGAATACGCGGGACTTGCCGAACAATGAGCTCGGACCAGCCGTCACACGTTCCCCTTTATCCGCAGACACCCCCATGAGGCGTGCAATTTGTGCGGGGGTCTTCACACTAGAAAATCAGGGTACCATTATTTCCGATGAGCGAAAGATGCCCATATTCATGATTACGCCTAAAGGTGGGGTTAGCATCGGATGCATTCGCCGGAGGACGAGAACGCACTGCTTACGACCGCACACAACATCCTCCGACACCTTGCAATCTGCCCGAGCACAGCCCGCGAGCGCAGAAAGACGTCCTAGCATCAAAAGGGAGGAGTGGCGGTGCGCAGAGAGGGCGCCCTGAGCCCTTGATTACGGAGTCGCATTGTATAACGTCCGCCTTTCTTGATGCATCGTCGTGTCTGTGACCGTCTTACCAGCTTTTCAGGCCGAGCCTCGGCCCTTCGCACCGTCGCCAATCTTCCGCACTATCCCGGTCTTGGATCTTGCGCATATGCTCGCAGAGGTCCTAAGCACCTGCAGCGCGTTGATCAGCATCTTCTTCTAACGCCCGAAAAATTATGACGGCGAAGGCGGTACACCTCGCAGTCCTACGCCATGACGCCTTTCGCCCGAAGGCCGCCCTGACGAGTGGATCCATGCGCGCAGTGTCCTACGCTTCAGCACATCGTGCGCTTGCCCTTCATACGACGCCTCAGGAGAACTGAACATAACGCCGACGAACGCACTCATCAACGACCACGAAGGTGGTCCTTCACTCGACGCTTGCCACGGACGTCGGACCTATCGTGCTTGTGAGCGTAGTATTCTACGCTTCGATGAGACGTGCACTTACAAAAACCTTCAGACGCTGCGCCGAGGTAAGTATACGAATAGTTAGCCTGTCAAGCAGCGCCCGACATGCATGGCGGCGACGCCGTGCAACGACCTACTTCTGATGATGAAGCACCTTACGCTCAAGTACCGCATTCATAATCGGGAGAACATACACGGCCGTCAGCCAGGTCTTTCTCTTCGCATCCTTAAGATAGCGATCTTACCCCACAACTCGACTGACAAGATACCCAAATGATTTACATACAACCAAGTATATTTACATTCAGCAAAACGGTACAGGCGTGTCACCTACCTACGTAGCGATAGTCCAGTCGCCGAGCCGCCATCTTCACCGCGCCATGTACCTGTCCCTGCAAACCACAGCCCACTTTACCTTCTATAACCACAAGCCAACTCGCCTGGGAGACGGACAGTCAGGTCCGCCAAGAGGAGTGGCGCCGAAGTCGCATGTATGAGCACCGAGATCATTCGTTCGTTCAACGAACGGTCATCCCCCCGCCGAGCCCGACGAGAGTGCCACAGAGCCCGACGAGAGTGCCACAGAGCACGGCTGCGAGGCTGCAAATAGCAGAGCTCGCGCGTTCTGCCGTAGAGACGACCGCGCCGAGGTCGACGCTGATACCGTCTTCGGACGGCAGGCGCCGAAGTACATGACACTGCCCATAGCAAGAGCTGAAGGGCATCGACCAAGACAGCGGTTGGTGCACTTGATAGCGTTGATGACCTACCCAAGGGTCAGAGGCAGAAGACCGCGAACTTGCACAAGACTCGTCCCCGGGAGCAACATCGAAAGGGGTCGAAATCTGAAAGAACTGATGAGCGCGCGACGGCCGTGAACGGGTACTCACCTTCGTTGTACACGTCCCCAGCGCACAGGAAGAGACAGTAGACGATAAGGACGAGCATAGAGAATTGAAGCTGGCGTTGGACTGGATGTCGACCCTGCCGATGGATCGTCAGCCGGAGGAGCTCACGCAGAAGGTACTTTAGCGTGACATACCCTTTGCGAGCGCGACTCAGTGCAGTTTTGGACGCGGATAGAATCGCTAATCGCTACATAGAGCGGATCGGAAACAATATCCGCAAAGCCATGAGAACGCGAACCTTCCACAGAGTCATGCACACGAACGTCGGCAAAAGAGGACATGTTATGGGTCACGTTGATCAGCACGCGACTTCAAGACGTGAAACTCACCTCAAGCTCTCCTTGACCTACAGCTGAGACACCATGGCACATGTAGGTCGCGCAAGCCGTGGCTGGCGAGCCTTTGGATTTCTGCATCTGTTCGCCCAGGTTCACCTCCGCCTAAGACGCGACGCCACAAAATCCACGTGGGCGCAAGGCGAGGAAAGCGACGATGTCCTCGTCGCGGTAGGACGTCGAGGCCGTACCCTCGTCCTCGTCGGCCCGAAGACCAGTGAATAGGGAGCCTGTGCTTCGTGAGTCGAGTGTTCATCTCGCGGAGAGGTGGGGCTCTGACCAGTGCGCATGGCGCGAGGGTAGCCTGCAAGTACGCGTCGCGTACGATCGTGGAGTGTTGAGGACAAGGATGGTGACGCATCGAGCAAGACGCCAGGGCGAATGATGATGTCTTCTCTATGTGTAGATGGTGCGGCTTGACGAGTATCTCGAGGATGGCAGCGAAGTTGATATATGCTGGTGCGATGTTCGGCGGGAATACTGAGGGGGGGGGGGTCAATATGGGAGGATGAGCATAGTTCTCAACGCACCTTCATTGTATACCTCCTCGTCGGGTGCAGGTAAGACGGTATACAGACCCCAAGATGAAATACTTGAAGCGCAAGAGCTTCCTGAACGACAGCTGTCTGCGAAGGGCGAGGGCGCAATATGGGAACAACAGCGACGAACTGCGCGAGGTTGCCTCCGGTGCAGATGATGGGTCGTATGCGCTCTAGCGCCGGAGGCCATGTCGTCCCGAAGGTCTTCGTGTCGATCGTCGGTCCAAGGGAAGGGGAGAGTTTGAAAGTAACCCTTCGCGCGGGAGAGAAACGAGAGAAGCAGAGAAAACGAGTGAAGAAAGCCTCGAGTAGACGCTAGGCGTACATCCCTGGTGCCGCCGCCGTTGCCGCTGTCGTCTACGACGGTGACAACGACGAGAACGGAGAGATCCTGATCCTTGTTTGCCATCCCCGTCTGATTCTAACTTCCCGGTCACATGCAGCCCGCATGACTTTCACGTTTCGGCGATGTTCAACTTGACTTTTCCAGCGGCGGGGCACAGCGAAGGGTCTCGTATGTGCTCATTCAAGGAGATCAGCACACGGAATCTGTACTGCGACTCACCGGGGTGGGCAAACGGCCCCCAAAAGTCACAAGGTCAAGTAGTTGTAATCGGATGAATGTGGTTTCATTCTCGATATACGGTATATAGCTGCTACGAATAAGCTGTAAGGAGGTCATGTATGTATATAGCATAGTTTGCGATACGGCATATGCGCACCTCGAGATGACACTTTGGCGAGTACACCTTGACCTGCTGGTTCAGACATTACTGGCGTCGGCTCTTCATGCGCCCCTCGCCTTGTGCTTGTATAGGTTGGATATCGGTCCGACAGGCCTATAGCTAGAAATTTGTCAATCTGAATGTGTTCATTGTCGGGTGAACGTACTAGGATGGACGGCTCGGGCGTGGCACTCCACAAGTTCTTGACGATAGCCAGCCTTCCGAGTTCGAAACGATGAGTCCATTCAACAGAGAGTCGAGCTGCGCATAGCAGGCTCGATGGTCATGAGAGAGACAGAACTTTGTACGACTGCCTTCGTCGACGGATGGTGGGGTCTTCCATGGTCCAGGTCAACAACTGTTGAATGCGCGCATGATATCCAACTGACTTGGTTGGAGATTCTTTGATACGTTGGTATCGGGCGAGATCGTTGCTAGAAGGCTCAAGGAGACTTCATGTGGGCGTATGCGCAGAACCAGGGGGTAGCAATGACAGTAGGAAGCAAGGCAGCAAATAAACGAACTCCCACGATCTCAGGTAGCGGTGCCGATCTCATGGTCTATTGAACGAGGATTCTTGACTATGTTCGGCGGGCTTGCAACAGTATCCGAATGCACATGGACACACGCGCGGAGTCTCACACCGTGTCGAGCGAATGATACGGCCGTGAATTAGATATATTGTACAAAGCTATTAGACGGCGTGCACTACAGGAGGCAGAATCGAGCGAGTACATGTGCTATGCCCCTTTGACGCTCGTCTTATGCAAGCTAAGCCATAGCCGGCGCGACCTTCTTCGCTGAGCGCTGCACCGACGCGCGCTCCAGAGATCCGGACCTGGTCTTGCGCTTGGAGGAGCGCGAGGCGGAGGGCACACGAGGGGCGGCGGGCTCGCGAGGAGCGGAGTGCACGCGAGGCACTGGCTGAGCGCTCTTCGATCCACCAGCTGCTGAACTCGGTGCTCCAGTTGGCGGCTTCGGCGCCGCCGTCAGTGGCTTTGAGGTTCCAGTCCAAGTCGGTGGCAAAGGGCGATTGGGGGCGCCAGACGTCGCGGACTGCTGCGCGCCGCTTCGCGCGTACTGCGCGGCAAAGGAATAATAGCTGGAGGTCATGGTGGCCGGCGGTGTGTACGTGAATGTGGGCATCTGGCGCGCGGGAAGAGGACCAGGCTGAGGGGTTGGCACAGTGCGGTAGTAGCTAGAGCCGCCGTGCTGGGTACGTGGGGTTGGCGGAGGGTATACAGGAGGATTGCCACCACGTTGGCTCTGCGCTTGAGCGTTCCCGGCGACACCTGGCGCTGCCGTCGGGGCACTGGGCGCTTTCGCCGTAGCGGTTCCAGCGGCCACCTTGCCACGGGCCTGCTCCTCGAAGAAGCGCACGAGCACGGCCTGGCGATCCTTAGGACTGAGTCCCGGCAGGCCGGCCTCGATCCACTCGAGCGTCTTCTTGTCGATAACGCCCGCGGGATCGTGACTGCCATTGGAGGACCTGCGTTCTTTGCATGCTGCGGTGGAGGGTCTGAGGTTCATCTTTTTAGTTGAGCCGAGTGCCTTTGTTGCTGAACAAAGCGCGTCAACGACGGCGACAGAGTGGCGGGCTGAACACACACCTTAGGATATGGATGTGCTCGTCCTGATGCACGACCTACGTTGCTCCAAAGCGCCTAAAACTGCTGAGAGGCGGCGCAAGCGAGGAGGCTTGAGCTCAGAGGTGGTGATGAAAGTGCAAAGCAGAGGAAGAAGACGCGACCTGGCAGTCAGTGGCGCGTTGCCGTCACGTGATCATGTTGAATTATCGTCTTGATGCGCGTCCCTCCTGTGCGGTAGTCGCCTTGAATGATATGAGCGAGCATTGGACCTGTTTGCGGAGAATCAAGTCGCTGACAGCGCATGATTGAAATGGTTGTAGATACGAATTTTGAAGAATCCGATTGTTCTCCGAGCCGTTCGGCGTCATCGCTCCGCCGTTGTTCCTAATCATTATGGCAATCGTGGCATTGAATGAACTACTGAGCTAAGATCTGCGCGAGCGAGGCGTAGACTCTCGCCCTGTAATGTACATATTAGCACGTAAACTCGGTCAATATCTGTGCAGAGCTTACATGGAAGACTAGACTCCCACCGAGCGCCAAAGCTCGGTGACTGTCCTGATCGAGTCTTGGAGACGCGCACCGCAGTCTATCTCACCTCTGAGCGACCCAGATGAGCGTCGACCGCCCGAGACCCCTTACGTCCCTTTGCTGGCACGGTGCAGATAGCCCTCCAGACTTGCCACGCACTCAGAGAGCATGACCGCGCTCAGATGATGACTACACGTCTCTCCTATAGATCATATCTGTGCAAGTCCTCCTTCGAGAGACATCACTCAACGAGATTACCAGTCAAGTTCGTCATGAGTCGAAGCACGCCAGACGGGTGCGGATGAAGGCAAAGGAAGTATATTCGCGGGCTAGATAGTATGTCTACGCACCTAGCTACGCAAAGCTGCACCGACACCTACCACCTGAACATCCCTCCGTACCGTCCGACATCATCTCTCCTCCGGCAATGGAATCGAACTCGCGAGCGGAACGTTACCCACGTGGCGAGCGCGGAGGCTAACGGTCGACGTCGACGGCGGAGCCTAATTAGCCTCCGCGGAGGACAGTACAAGGGTTGTCGAGGGAGAGTGAGCGGGAGCCGTCCGTATTTGATGTGCGGAGAGGGAAAGTCTGCAAGTGATAGGCAGCGTCGTACCACAGCCGATCACTGAGGCGGTGGGGGAATTGAGGAGGGATGGGTCATTGAGGGGAACATCGGTGACATGGTCTGTCGAGCTTCAACCGTAGTTGGTGTCGCTCGGCAACTGAAGAGGGAAGAGGGAATAGAGGTGTGTCTCCTACACCGCAATGCTCCGGCGCAGCTCGTCAGCGCCTAAGCATCGACGATGAGTACGTCACGTACCTTGATCTTGTTCCCGAGGTAGGGCGCAAGCGCCGTGGGGTTCCCATGCTGAGCTACTCAGGCCGCCATTGAAGGACCTTTCTGGAGATCTGAGACTAAGTCGAGAGACCGATGCGTTGCCATGTATGTACGCCAAGCAAAAGACTGGAGGAGCAAGCTAGATATCGCACACGTCAGAAGGAAGACGATGTGGTCGTGGTTTCTTTGAGCGCTGACGATGGCCAGTATACATGCTTGTCGCCGCGAAGACACTGGCAAAGAGATGAACAACGAGCATGCCGAGCTTCCGTCAGTGATGCTGTTTGCTTGCCTGGAGCTTCCGCGGAGGTCCGAGGGCGAGGAAAGCCAAGTGGCCTTTGCCTCATCGCACAGCCATCATAGTAAAGAGTGGATTCTCAGATTAATACAACGACTATGGTATTACAATGCAAGTCCTATGGCGACCTTCACGATCGACTGCAGCCTTAGTCCTCTCCGCCCAGCGCCAACTCCTGCTTGCTTAAGACCGAAGGGGTCAAACGACGCACCTGCCCCTCAACCCAAGCCGGCGCGCTCTTATCCGTGTACACCTTCAATCCAAGCACCAGCGGAACCTCATCCGAGTAAATGTCTACCGGTGGATTGGAAGTCCGCTCCTGACCTGGCGCGATGGAGTCTGCGTCCGAATCGTCCGGAGGAGGCGGGGGCGCTTGCGGGATCTCTTCCGTGTGCGTAGTCGTCGTCTCGATGGTCTCACCAGAGCTGGTCTTGGTGATGGTGGTCGTCTTGGTGCTGACGACAACTGGAGGAGGCGGCTTCGTTGCTTTCTCCTCGAGAGTGGCTATGTCTTGCCCTGCGAGTATGTCTTCGAGAATGACGAGGCTCCTGACGCTGAAGTGCAATGTAAGCCACTATTTTATCCACATGGATTGCGCGCACTCGCCTAGGGGTGTAATCTTCACACAAGGTTCGCGTCAGACAATGTTGTTCAGGTAGGAGTTGACCGCACTCACTACTCGCCAGCGCGAAGCTCTTCTCCCGCTCCGCAATCACCTTCGACAACTTCCCTGGCTCCCAGCTGTCCACGTTGTCCTTGATGTAAGTCTATTGTTCGTTAGCCTCTTTTCGCCTCACGCTGTGTAGGCGACTCGCCTTGCCGCGCGAGAGCATCCTATCCGCGCGAGCCTGAGAGGAGTAGCGATATCATCAGCAATGGACAACTGTCAGTAGGAAAGCGAGTGGACACTCACATGCACGACATACTCGCCCTCATCGAGCTCCGTCTCCAAGCTAACGCTCTTCTTCCAGGACGACGAGTGCACCGAGCGGCCGATGCACTTCTTTGAGCCCTGCACGTCGGTCAGTCTCTTACTACCCATTGAAGAGTTTTGTTCGCGTCTTCTCAGAAGTCGAGGTCGCTAGGAAGCTCACCCTCTTATACAGCTTGAAGTCGATATTCCACTCGTAACATCCACGCAGGTCCATCCAGTATCGTTCGTTGACGCGGGAGAGGACGATGACGGCGCGGGTCTTGGCGGGAATGGTGATGGTGACTGCGAAGGAGAGGTCAGTAAGTTGATGAGGGTGACGAAGAGAAAATACGACGGTCGAGTCTTGACCAGAGCGTTACCACTCACACGACACATCACCATACGAAGACGTCCACGGCGATGGCGTGGACGTCAAGAAGACCCAATGTGACGCCATGACCCATCGCGAGTCGAATAGTAGCGTCCTATCCATGCGTCCAAAGAATTCGAGGAAGTCTTTGTCTGCAAGACGGTTCAGTACATCGCTCCTGCATTCGATTGGGACGGCGTCGGGAGCGCGATCTCGGCATCCCCACAGTAGATTGTCCTACTCACACTCCATTACAAACCGCCCATCGTCCCCAAAGCTATGCTTCAGCACCGGCAAGATCCCGAGCCACTCCTGCGTCCACTCCCTCGACCCGTTCGACCAGGGCCCAGCCCAGCCACCGCTTCCCCCGGAGACGCCGCCGCCGCCGCCCCACGGGTTGCGCAGGACAAGGAAGCGCTTGCCGCGCGCCTCGACGGCGCGGAGGACGGAGTAGGAGTGGAAGGCTAAGAGGCCGGTGGATTTGAGGGCGGTGTTGGGTGCGAGATTTGCATCTAAGTTGACATCGAGAAAATATTTTTAGGTCGAGGTCTGGGAAATGAAAATCGACATACTCTGGACGAAGTTGCTCGCATTCGACTGACCGTCTGCGAAGGAGCATGCGAATAAGCGATCCTTGTTGGCGCGGAGGAGCTCGTGCGTCCAGAAGTGGTCGGGGTCGAGGATGTCCTTGATCTGCACGATACCAGCGACGCCGCTGAGATGTCGTACGTGAGTAAGGGCTTTCGGATGCTGCGACGGAATCGCGGGACGAAGAGCGAGCACTCACCCAGTCAGATCCTCCACCGCCTCGCCGTCCCATCCTGCAACCAGCGACGCATAGTCGCCGTGCAGCTTCGCGTACGCTTTCTCGAGGAGCGGGACCCAGGTCTCGCCTTGTTGACCAGAGCGGGCGAAGTAGAGAGTACCTCCGCCTGTATATTAAGGTCAGGACGATATAACGGATTTGAGAGTGGTGAACAGCGCACCTTTCCTTGCTGACCGATTGTATGTCTCGAGGTCGTTGTGGTAGAGTGCCTTCTCGGCGGCCGTCAGGTCTTCGAACTTGGGAATGCAGGTGTACAGCAGGCTGCGAACCCGATGAGTGCCGCTCTAGAGATATTTGCAAGCGGAGCTTACTCGTCGATGATGACCGGCATCCACGCATTGTCCCTGAAGATAATGAAGCCATAAATCCCGACCGCTTCGTCGCGCTGCCACGCATGTCCAATCAGCCTCGCCTCTCCCTTTCAACATCAGCCGCGCTACTCACCTCCACACAAAACCTGTCCACCAGCCCCTCCATCGCCGCGCACGTCGACAGCGCAGACAAGAACCAGCAGTTCCCCAGCGCCTCGCTCTGGATGATATCGCCCGAGTTCGGTCCCGCGTCGGAGAAGAAGCGCGGCTGGTCGAAGATCTGGGTAACGCGCTGGACGTCGGAGGGCTTGAAAGGTGGGTCAGGACGAGTGCAGCCGTGAAGGCAGCGCTGGCGGTCTTCCTCGAGGTCGAAGTCGAGGTCGCTTGAGTCGGGTTAGCAGGCAAGTGGATGCGCGAGTGGAAGGAGATGGGAGTGGAGGAAGACGATGCGAGGCGAAAGGCGATGTGCTTACCGGAATCTCCTGTTCCCTGCGCGACATTCCGCGGCGAGCTCGCGGACGCGCCTGCGGCAGTCCTCTCGGGCCCTGGCAAGCTCGGCGGTGACGAGTTGACCTGCTTGATTGTCCGCGGACTCGCTGGCCAGTGGTCGCTCCGTTATTGTTCGAGTCTCCGTGACGTGGGTCTCGGCACTGAAGACGCGCGTCAGATGCGGAAGGCACAGTGGGTCCAGCAGGAAATGTGGCGCACACAATAGTCTCCGCAACTTGCTGACAATCAGGGCCCGCCTCGTCCCCTGCCGCCTTGGTCGAGGTATTGTCTCGCGGCATAATATCCGAGTAAGCCTCCTCAGACGCATTCCTACTATGTCCGACTCAGTGCTGTATCTAGTGTACTCGCAAAAGCTATTCACGTACCCAACCACCACTGCTGCGTGCCGCAGGTGCCCTGCCTCCTGCAGTATATCCGCGGGAGTCGACGCGCCATCGTATCCATGGCTGTTGTCCAGCCGCGAGGCTGACGCAAGCTCCGGCTGCCTTAATGCGGGCTGCACTTCCCCGATCGAGTCAATTGGGTGCCCGATGGAGGCAATCGCGTCCTTCGTCGACTCAATAGCGCCCTGCATTGAGTCCGTCGCGTCCTTGACTGTGTGCACCGCGTCCGCGGGTGATAGGGTTTGCGTGCTAGGGCGCCCACCGTCCGAGGAAGACGGCGGGTCTGATGCCCGGGACGCAGTTGGCGGATTCGGGGCTTTGTGGACGGACTCGGTCGGTGCGACTGCTGCGGGTCGGGATGTGGGTGAGTCCGGGAGGGCAGGCGCTGGAGAGGGCGTACGCGTGGGTGACGGGGCACGAGTAGTTGTTGGCGCACAAGGAGATGACACATCGGTATCGTGGCGAGGGGATGGGATGTCCGTCGAGTGTCGAGCGAGGGACACTACAGAAGACCGTCGCGAAGATGACGAGGGAGTGGGTTTGGCATCCAGTTTCTTCGTGTCTGCGTTGCTTAATCTAGGAGATGGTCTCAAGGAGCGAAAGGCAGGATGGACAGAATACGCACGATCTCGTCTCCGACAAGCGGTTGGCTCGCGGGTAGAATATGTCAAAGACTCCCATTGTGATATGCCCTCAGTCGAGGATCGAGGCGCAAGAGCTTGTTGGTACTGGGGATTGTCGCGTCGACGATACTGGTTGGAGAGAAAGGATTGCTGTAACGCGCAGTGGGCGCTCGAGCTGCCTCTTATAAGGACCAGGCGCACAGTTATATGGCACCGCGGGCGCTCAAGCTGGCAGTGCGCCCCGTGAGGACCCTCCATTTATTTCCCAAAAAAGCTGTTAACTTAGTGGCGCTCTCTCCGGTGATAAGCAACGCCCTCGTGGGGCTGAAAGCACCCTCAAGGAGATGAGCACAGCCTTTCTGTAGGTGCGGTTGGACCGCAAACACCTTATAAGGAAAGCGCAGGTTCCTATTGCGGAACAATGAATATGGGCCTGTGTGGGCGTAAGCTGTTTGTGGGCGCATGGAAGAGCCTACTTGAGGAAGTTGGGGAAGCTATCGGGTTACATGGCCAATAAGAGCAGAAGAAGCAGACTCACATATTTCATTTCCGGGTGCTAGCCCAATCGCGGGTGTAGAGCCAATCGCATGTGGTGGGCCCTTCGCGGGTGCAGCACATGAGTACAATTTCGCTGAGTGTGAGTCATATTAGGGCGAGGGGTGCTGTCTTGCACGGTCCAGCAGTGGCGCCATGTCTTCGTGAATGTGGACTTGTCGCTGTGAGTGTTTACTTGGTGTGGTGGCCCGCGGCGCCCATACGTGCACGCACAGTTCAGTGCAGTGTAGCGGCCCGATTTTCCAACTTTAGGATTTTCACGGGGACGATGTAGCATGTGTCCGGCGGATGAGGCTGTGGCCGTACCCATGAGCGCTCTAACAGGAGAGCAGAGCGCCCTTACCTCCCGTAGCGCAGTCAGATCATAGCCAGAGGCGAGTGGCGGTGTTAGCAAGCAACGTGCACACGGAACTTGCCGATCTTTGCTCACGCATGGCCACGTGATCTGCCACACCACCAACCGTGACCACTGTGACCGCCGTGATGATGCTTCAGTCAATGAGACGTAGAACTGGAAGGATTGTGGAGCCAACGGGGCGCAGGAAGACATTGCGCGCAATTTACACGGGCTACTATGGCACGAACGCCTTTGTTGCCTTACCTGCTTGCTCTTGGCAGTAGGGTTACGAGAGCAAAGCAACTACGCACTAGAGTCACGTCCCTACCGATTCCAGCTCGACGTAGCCCCATGAGAGGCTCATATCCAATTTTATTCTGCTCTGAAGTAGCACGGCCCTTGATATTGCCTTGCTGTTACTCTGCCAATCTGACTGGCCAATCCTCGGTCAAAGGGCATGCACGTCAAACAAAAAAGAAGTTTTATCGTCGCCAGAATGTTGGGGATCGGGAAAGAGAGGCTGTGGAGGAATAGGCAAGAGGATTCAAGCCATGCCACCGGAGCTGGCGATCCGATTGGCAAACGCGATCACATGATGGCCACGTTGCATTAGTCGTTATTTACGAAATGAAATCGGCCATCCACCTGACTTGCTCCCAACCATCATTCTGTTCTGGGTCGCCACACATTCCTCACGACACGCACTCTTGGATATATACTCTGTGTCTTCAAGCGCTCTAGGTAGCTTCATCGCGAATTTGCATCGAGGACCGATTCTAACCTCTTCTTGACGAACACAGGCCATCCTCCCCCTTGTAATCCTCTGTACCGTGCCGCTGAAATGGACTCCAATGCCGTGCATGGCTCTTCAACTCCGTCTGGATCTCTTAAACCCTCGGATCCTCCCTGTCCAATGCTTCGCACACAGTTCACTGTGGATAAAGATGTCGTCGCTCGCCTGGACGACACTTCCGTTGAAATCAAAGGCATCGTCTCCAGGCTCTTTCCCGACGAGACCCTGCCTGCTGCAAATTTGCTGAAGGTAATCCGCCCTTTGGTTGGCGTGCTCTATAGCAAGCGCCTCCGAAGATGGCCAAAGTACCCGACTCTATCCCCCGAACTCGACGTTGCTAGCCAGGCCCGCGATACCGCGCAGTTCCTCAACGCGATCGCTTACCGCTGCTCTCTACTCTTCAATGACCCAGAGAAGACTCGCACACGCCGCAGGTGGGCTGTTGCCGAGAGTATCAGGACGCTCGTCGACGGAGACGAAGTACAGGCCATCGGCATCGTCCTGCATGCACCCGACAGAGTACCGGGGCGCTGGGCAGATGTTCTCTGTGATGTGCAGGTCGCGGCGGAGGCCGAATCCATGTGCGATGCTATCGAAAGACTGCACAGCGGCGCGGCGAGCGTGTTCTTCGCTCAGGAGACTCGCATGTACCATGTCGGCATCGCCTTCGCGGGAGACCTGTTCCAGCTCGCGTACTACGATCGCGCTGGCTGCGTCCTCTCTGGCACACATAACGTTCACGAGAACCCGGGGGTTCTCATCCGCGCCGTCATTGGTCTTTCCCTGCTTGACGAATCCTATGTCGGCAAGGACACGTCAATAACGGTGCGCGATAGGCGAGCGTTTGTGACCGTCGGCGGCGTAGAGTACGAGATCGTCGAGCTGCTAGCAGCTGGTGGTGACATCCTCGGCAAAGGGACGGTATGCTGGCGCTGCTGCCGGCCTAGTAGCAGTGAGAACTACGTGATCAAGAACACTTGGACGGTGCTAGGCCAGCTGCGCAAGCCCGAAGGCGAGTTTCTCAGGAAGGCGGCTAGGGTCGAAGGGGTGCCAAATCTCGTCTGTGAGGAGAAGGTCTTGCGCCGCAATGGTCTTCCGCAGAACACCCTATGGCTGCGAGACACCCTGCAGGGATCGGAACGTCTGGCAATCCTCAAGAACCACCTCCAGATGGAGCTGCGTCGCCTTGTGCTGCAGCCTTGCGGCCGTCCCTTGGTAGATTTCCAGGACAAGGACGAACTCCTCACCGGGTTCAACGATTCCATCATGAGTAAGCACGTTTGCGGTACAGGCGTCGGGATAAGGCGAACTCACGATCTCAAAAGCCCACTATCAACTATACGAACTCTGCATCCTGCACTGCGATATCAGCGACAACAACATCATGCTGCGGACTCGCGAACATCCCTCGAGCAGCCGAGGGCTCCTCATCGATCTGGATAGTGCTGATGAGGTCGATTCGCTCACCGGGCTGGCGAATGTAAACTTCGGCATGGTAAGATATAGTTTGCCCTCAGGCCCACAAAATAGACCGCTCACACCCGCCCAGGGCACCGTCCCCTTCGTCGCAAGCGACATTTTGCGCCCACACGGCTCCAACGGGCGCGCGCCGTGGCACGACCTAGAGTCCTTCCTCCACGTTCTCATGTACATCTGCGCGACATGCTCCGGCCCATCCGACACACCCCGCACGAATTTCGACCTAGAGAGCTCTCCCATGGGCCCGTGGCTCACCGGCGACTACGTGCGAAAGAAGGAGATCATGTTCGACTACGACGAGAGTGCCTTCCGCTCGTTCGTGGATTCGGTGTTCGACCCGTACTTCGACGACCTTAAGGACCTCGTCTGCGACCTGCGTGCGGTCACGCGGACCCGGAGCGGTCACTTCACCGTCATGGACGTCTTCGACAAGCACATGAGGCTCCGGGCGAACGCACGCGCGAAAGCGGCGGCTGTTCAGCAGAAGGATGGCACTCCCCCTGCGGGGCCTTCGGCGCGCAAAAAGCGGAGGCACAGCTCTCGCCCGGACCCGCCGTCATCGAATGCGCAAGAGGGAGAGGGCGTGACAGACGCAAGAGCGACGTCGTCATCGGCAACCTCCTCGTCTTCATCCTCGAGCTCGAGCTCGAACGCGAGCGACGACTCATCGCATGCAAGCGACGACACCGACCACACGCTGGTCAGCTCGCGGTCGGGATCGGAGAAGTTGACCGCGGATGATACGAAGGACGGCTTGGAAGATAGTTTGGAAGATGGCTCAAAGAGGGCCAAGGCGTTCACCCCGCGGAGGTCCCAGCGCGTGAAGCGTCAACGAGTCAGATGATCCATTATACATGTACGGTATATATTCTTACACTACGATACTATTGAGCAACTCCCCATTCGAAGCGCGCGGAAGGGACCGGAAGAGAGCGTTAATTTCTTCTTCGCAAGTCTTCCCGACGACGAAAGGGCCATTGAGAGCCATAGGGGATCCAAGAGCCGGGGCGCTGTCGGGCAGAGGGTGCGCGTAAGGCGTGCGCGGATCCAGAGGAATGAGTGGCGTGTGATGAGCGACGCCGCCGAGCGGATGAGAGGTCGACAGATCGGGGCCCGTCGACAGGATATCACGCGTCGGATGATGGGCCACGCGCAATGGTTCTTCAGCATGAGCGTCCTCAGAGATAGCTTTCGCCGTGTGCCAGGAAGCGAAAGGATTGACCCAGCAAATATCAGAGTAGTCGACGTCGCCGGCAGCGCTCGCTGGCGAGGCAGAGTGCTTGTGTGGTGACGGCATCGCGGGCTGCGGGTCGCTCGCTAGCGCCGCGAAATTCTGATAGCTCGCTGGCGTCACGCAACGACGGTTGATTTCTGCTACGCTCGGGGTATGCGCCGTATACACGTGAGATCTAGTTGCGAGTCCTTGAGGATACATGTCGCCCTCGATGTTCCAGCCAGCGTCATAGTCTCCCGCCCGCCCGTCGGATGCTGTACGAAGGTCGACGAAGTCCGCATTGAAGTCGTAAGATGTATCCCAAGAGGGAGATGGAGTGGCCATCCTGCGCAAAGCTACCAAGCCGTTAGGTGAGTATCACACACGCAAAAATTCCCATGATATGCACGCACCTTTTGACCTTGATCCTAGACCTACGAAACAGGAAGACACGTCAGAGACTGGTTAGAGGCGTAAAGTGGGGAAGGCAAGACGGCCACCGGCGTCAAGGATCGAGGCCGCTTATAAACGTGTTTGTTCAGGCCACTGGCATCTTTGAGAGTGGCGGTGGCCAAGCCTCAAAGGACAGCGGAGAATAAGAAGCGCCTGCGAAGGCACAAAGCCATTGAGAGGCTTGCTTTGGGGCTGGGCGATATCTTCCGATGGTCTGAACGGCGCGTAGGTCAGTACTCACAAGTCAGGCGCACAAGGGAGGCTTGGACTCGTAGGTTTTGTTCGAACGGATGGTGCGGGGAATGTGAAAGAGTCACAAAGTATGACGAACGCACTTGAGTGGCAAATCACATATCTTTGAAAGACCTTCCCTAGCTTCGCGTCGACCTCAAAGCGACAATGAGTTCGAAGCGCGTCTGGTATTCGGTGATTTCCTGATTGAGAAGCCCATCCGGACTAGTTGGCCGAAGCAGTCAAAGAGCGCACATGAGTATCTAATAATGCGCGTCATGGTATCTCTCCATAGCTTCTTTGAACACCCACAAACGGAGTCCAGGTCCTCGAATCCCATCCCGCACCGGACCTTCGCATCCTCGCCCAGTTCTAACGCGGTGGGAACAGCCTGGAGTGCTGTCTGCCTATGGAGCAGGGCGTGCTCGCGGATCGCCTCCTTCTGCCTCACCTATTCACCTAAGTCACCTTCCTGAAGACATTCCTTCCGAATCGTACTCGTAGCCGCAGCGCGTGTCGTCTGAATCATTGCAGGTATAGTGGCGACTAGAGTTCGGTATAAAACTCCTCGAGGCCGATGTATGTAAGTAACATGTAACTAGTTACTTACAGCTGTAAGTAACGATGTTATTAACTCCCATGTTACTAACATGAAGTTACATGTAAGAAACTGGTGTGTTACATGGTATATAACCCTTTTAGTTGTCATTCAGGCTCTACAAGCGTTGTTAGCCGCTCTGGTGACACTGTACCGCCCCCGACGCCTATAATCCAGAGCTCGGATTCACCGCAATTGATGATCTACTGAAATTTCGAGAGCGCCAGCAGTATATAATCTTCACATACCAAATCACTGCCGATTTGACCTGGTATATTGTAGTCAGACTCGATATGCTGCTCTTCTGCTAAGGTCGCAGACAACAGCGCCCGAAGACGAGCGGCGCGCGACTATAGGTAGTCAATCTCGGGCTAACAAGTCCCATTTGGCTAGCATGCAGCAAGGCAAGTCGGGCCGCTCGGGCACCTCCCCCCACACAATCTCTGCTACTCAACATTCTGTAATCATACCTCGTCGTGGTGGAGCTCCCAGTGTCATGGAAGTCGAGGAGCAGCCTGCCGCGGGAATTGCCGAGTCATGTCACATGGGAGTCACGGTTCGGATTCCGACAGGCCGACGCGTCGCGGGCACGGATTCCGATCTCGTCTCCCATGTTACTTCGGGAGCGCTGACCACTCACGTCGCCAGGGAGTTTTTGACAGTTTCTAACATGGCCTCCCAGGCCCTCATGTAAGTAACAGTTATTAACACGTTACTAACACGTGTTTTATACATGTGTTATTAACATCACAGTTACTTACCGAACTCTAGTGGCGACTCTTCTTGTTGGCGATGTCATGGATTCGAGCGGTGTTCAACTTGCGCTTTTGGGGGATGGAGTAGCGACCCGTACATTGCCCTCGACCGTCCATTCAGGCGAGGTGGTGTATGAGGACGACATGCTGGGTAATATCGTAAACGTCGCCCTTACGAGCAGGCGCGCGGGCTTTTGTCAACGCGTACCTGCTAGGCTCGGACACCCTGGCTGGTCAGAAGGCAACGCCGAGTCGCCAGCGACGGCGAGGGGTGAGTCTCTGGACTTCGGCATCAGGAAGCGCGCAATGTCCTCGTCCGTGCTCGCGGTCCACGCTTAGAGCCCTCGTGCTCGACGAGCAATCGGGAACGGATCCTTCCTTCAGCTTTTCCATTCTGTTTCCGCCTCGCTTTGGTCATCAGGCCAGTCTGAATCGTGCGGGTGCTTGAGTAGTCCCATACGATGCTCGAGAGGCCCGTGTCGCGGACGCCTGGCGATGTCGCGTCGCGGATGCTTCACCAGCCCGCGTTGAAGCCGACAAGGTCTGCCCAGAAGCGAGAACCGTTTCCTTCTTCCTGCTAGGATATTTCAATTGCGTAAGCTTGGCGGGCAAGAGGATGGCATGATCCGCACCTTCAATCCCGCTCTCGAGGATATGGACTGATACAGTATGTGTGCCAGACCCGACTTTAAGATTTGGCTTGAGATACAGAAAGTGTCTCAAGATATTGAAGGTGTCGCGACAGAAGCAGAGGGATGTACAAGAGCGAGGCGACCGTCGTGACTCAGCGAGAACTTGAAGAGCCGCGTGCGAGGACCGAAACGACGTCGAGCCTGCCTACTTCGGCCTCCGCGCAGTCCTCTTGAATTATCTCTCACTACGGGATTCGTGGGAGACGTAGCTAGATATCTGGGAGTACGAGGAGTGTTCAAGACCGACATTGACGATGCTCTGACCTGTGGCGACAACTGTTGACAACGAGGCGTCGAAGAATGGGCAAAGCTCTCCGTTCGTACAGGGCCAAGTTATGTAGTTAGCAAATTTGCTTCGCTCTCAAAACAATAGATGTCGGTTGGTGCAGCTCTGGTAGTACAGCAATGGGTGCAAGAGTGAAGACGGCGCTGTAAATGAAAGGCTCGGCCTTATCGGGCCGTATCCCGACGGGCTGAAAATTAGCGCCCGGCGCTTATTCCGGCGTTATTCTCCATCACCATGTTGAAATCCGCATACCCGTTGGCCAGTGGCTCTCCTACCTGCGCTCTTGCGACCTACTCTGCCTTTGAATACCATCCAATGCATGCAACGATTCTGAATGCCTTCGCCCTCAATTTCCCATGAGCTTCCCGTACGGGCGCTTGCCGAGCTCTGAGTCGCATACGCCTCGAGCACATGTACGAGGGACTCAGCAGGAGGGATCCTTGCTTCCCTCGGAGATCTGGACCATGTCTCTCCCGCAAAGGAAACAGGGCGGGCGCGCCCGCCCCGCCATCAGAAATTCCCCGAACGATCGGTGGCGCCTGGTCGCTCAGGGTCGCCCCCGGTCGCTTAGGGTCGCCTTCGGTCGCGTTGGCAAGTCAGAATTCTGACGCGTCGCGCCTCGTTGCCCTTCGATACCGTCGGGTGGCGGTGCGCCCCGCCGCCTCCTGACTCGGATATATAAGCGCCCTCTCCATCTTCTCCCTCCTTCGTACTGACGGCCCCCTTTTCACGCCCCACGAACACCCAACCTCACGAGATACCGTCATGATCAGTGCTGTATATATCTTCTCTCCTATCGTACTCACGACGGTCTTCCTCTTCGCGGCGTGCCACTTCCGGACGTCCTTGTTCTCTAATGACTGCATGTGCTTCCTGAGGATGCGTCCGAGGGTACGATGAGCGAATGCGTTATCGCGCACGGCCAGCTGGTTCTCATACGGTGAGGCGTACGGCCAGTGCAGACTGATTCGTGAGTCCTCTGACGAGTTTCCAGAATATGAACGCTTTCGAGCTCGTAATCTACGACCGCTTTCGCCAGATAATTCACCTTTGTCCTCTTGCAAAGATTTGACATTGCATTGGTAGGTCCGCAAGCTCTCGGCCGTTGCGTAGAGCTCACTACGCCTTCAGCTTCAATCATCGACATAGCGCAACATCCCCTAATAACAAGCGTCTTCGCCTTCATACTTCGGTTCATCGGCGCAGAGTCGGATACTATAGTAGCTCATCCTCCGCTCGAGCGGCGCGCGGAGAGGACTTCGTGGATGATGTAGAGGGTGGATCTGGGTGTTGAGCTTTGAGGCTAGGCTCGGAGCATGTTGGGGCGAACCCGAAGCCGACATCTCGAGTCCCGGAGCGGCAGCGAGTCGATTCCTGTATACATCTACTATGAATTGCTGCTAATGAATCCTCTCGCTGTCCAATCATCTGCCCCCCATCGAGTTACACGTGGAACAAAAAGCGTTGTAAGGGTCCGAGCATGATCAGGTATATACTCGAGTACATGTCTTGCGACGTGCGGTAAGGTAAACAAGCACACTCAACGACCTTTGTACATCTCATAATGCGTATACGCCTGACAAGGCATCCATACTTCACCTGCCTGCCGCAGACGAACCTCGATCTCGAGCCCACGTACAGCATTGAATTCCGTCTTGCAACCCATCCGCCCTCGGGCGCGCATCTGGCTGGACCTCTGGACAAGTCGCGCGCCTGTGCTGCGGGGTCAGTCGGTGACCGGCTTCTTGTATGTCGGTCATTGAAAGACGTTAGCGCCGTAATCGTGACCGCAACGGGTGCCATCGGGTTTCTTTCAGAGTCAGTACCGAGACTTGCTGACCAGTAGAGGTATGGCCCTCGTCCCAATCAGGTCCTTCCTCCGAGGACAAGCTACTGAGAGACGAGACAGACGAGAAGGAGTGGTGCTCAGGATCTGCGGGCATTGAGAGCACGGGCGCTCCCGAGGAGTCTGGCGATATGGTACGGACAACACCCGCGGCTTCGACCTGCGACGCCGCTTCATCGCTGGAGTTGCCCGGCGCATCGACGTCACACCTCGCGCAAGACTGCTGTATGAGGTATACATCGTAGCCCTTCTCAACCGCCTCCGAAGGGCTCATGATGCGGAAGACGGTCGGGTCTGAGGGATGGGCCGCCAAGACCATGTCGGGAGGCAGGCGGAGAACCCTAGCCTGAACGCTCGCTGCCTTGCTGAGAGACGACGGTGTCTCATCCTCGTCCAGTCCCACCACAGGAGTCGGATAGTCGGCGTCCTCGGGGCCCTTTATGCGTACTTGCTTCACGGCGATGTGATCATTAACGTCAGCCTTGCGCTTGGGAGCACGAGTGGCGGCCCATGGGTCGTCGCAGAATGGCGGGATGCGCTGGGTCAGAGAGCAGCCTGAGGCGAAATTATTTGCGTCAGCTGGAGGTGGCAGGTAGGTACCAGCATCGTCAGGCGTGAACGCAGAGTAGCAACTGGCGGCATTGCTGCTGTAGTCGATGCGCTCATCACTTGCGCGAGGTGGTACGCCAGTAGATACATGCTCCGAGGCAGAATGACCAGGTATTATGGCCCGCGACGCCTCGTCTACGCCAATGCGGTCAGAGCCTCCGCCGAAAGGGAATGATTCAAAAGGCGCAGTCCTGACCAGAGGCGTGACACCAGCTTGAGGCGTACTCCAAGCCGGATAGAAGAGCCCGAAGACACCAGGAGGGTCTTTCTCCTGCCAGGGCATGGGTAGTTGGAGGTGATCATAGGTATCTGTAGCGCGAGGAGGCTGCCAGGGCGCGAAAAAAGCCAGCGGGGGCGTACGCACGCTTGACCGCAGAAGTGGCGCGCGGTGAATGGCAGCGACACCAGATTGCGCAAGCACAGCGAATGGCTCGTGGAAGGTTGGCGGACTGTTGACCGTATGAGAAACCAGGCGCGATGGTCCTCGCGTATGATCGTCCGCGATGCCCTCTTGGACGTCAGAATGGATAGCGTGCTCAGGGTCGAATGGGTTGACCCAGCCAGAATCGTGGTAGTCGGCGTCGAGGTCGCTGACAGCGGCAGCGCTCGCTGTGGTCATATTGCTGAGCTACGAGGAGCACCAGGTCAGTATTGCGCGTAGGCGAGTGGCAGACCGCACACACCATCGAGCTGAGCCCCCGAAGAGTCTAAACAGATTTAGAAACGGGCGCCCACGATGCTTCGAGGCGTGATCTCGAAGCGAAGAGATACGATCGGAGAAGGACTGAATTGGACTGATGCTCAGGTGCGACGCGACGGTCGAGAGCAAAAGGTGGAGTTGTCACTTCGTTCTAAAAGGCTTATAGCCCGGCTCGGTCAGGCCATTGCGCAATCGCATCTTCCACCCGTCATCCTCACGGCGTGGCGAAGTCGTACAAAGGGACTGCAAAGAATGATCAGCGCCTTCGAGTGACACCCTATCACGAACATGGCTTTTACACGCCAGGAAGTCTTTCAGTGGCCAGCGAGGCGTACTGCATGTTCGCCGCAATTAAACTACTGACCCGCGAAGGATAGGCCACCTTTTGCGCCCTCGGCCTTGTCTGCGTACCCGCTGGAGTCAAGTCAGCGCGATGAGCAGTACTCATAAGCTTGGCACTCGCACCGGAACAATTTGCACGAAGGCCCAACCTCGTCAGCTATTGAACTGAAGCACCGTGACCGGTACCAATTAGGTGCTCGCATGAGCCTCTTCACGCACCGTTACATCCTTCCCAGAAGCCAGCAATGACAGGAAAAGTCCACAACAGCGTGCTATTGATCAGTATGAAGATGCAGCAGTAGCAATGAGACAAAAGGAGTGTACAGTGGGATAGCAGCAGTATAGTCCGTTGTGTGCGCCGACGCGCGACGAAGCCGGCCCCGCCGCGTCGTCGCGTCATGCCCCGCGTACGTGGGCGCGTCCTCCCCTGGCATCCCCTCCCACCGACTCCCCTCACCCCACCTGAAGAGACGTGGGGTCAGAGTCATCTGACGGTGCAGCCTGCCAGATTCCTTCACCGGCTCAAACCCTCAGCGCAGGCCCTCCTCCTTATCCGTCGGGTGCGCCGCGACGTGGATCGTCTCATCGCTCTGCACCTTCCTGAGCTCCGCGCCATCGGCGTACTTGCTCGGCGCGGACCCGTCGTCGAAGAGGGTCTTCCCCGACTCCGCCGTCGATATCGGCCGTCCGCGCGCGTCGTACTTGGCGTCGTATTTGGGTGGTGCGTCGGCATCGTACCTGCTGGAGGACGAAGGAAGAGCTTAGAAGAGCAGCATGGTAGAGCTTAGAAGACCAGCAGACTCACCCATGCGTATCATACGCCGCCGGCGCGTCGTATGGGTCGTCGTACGCGTCATGCCCGCTGCCGCCCTCGCCGTAGCCTCGCCCGCGCTGGCCGTACATCCGGAAGCCACGCACGCCATCGTCGGCCGCGCGCTGGACATCCATATCGTAGTGGTCGCCATCGTCGAAGGCATCTGGGAGAAAGACGGGTGAGTATGGCAAGAAAGGAAGAGAGGTACAAAAGTATGGGGAGAGGGTAGACAATGATGGGCGGTATGGAAGGGGGGAATGCAGCGCGCTTGCCGGACCGAAGCGATTACTGCCTCTCTCCTCTCCTATAGTCCAGACCAAACGAAGCAGCCACTCACCCCCAGTATCGGCCGCCATATACTCCGCCTTCCTCCTGCTGTTCCTTTGCCGCCACGCCAGGAAGAACCCGCCGATCACGAGCAGCAATGCCGCGCCGACGACAATCGCGCCGATGATCGTGCCCGTGTTGCTGTTCTTCGAGTCGGAGGTGGACGGCTCGGAGGTCTCTTGCGAGGCATCGCCGGCGCGGTGGCTCAATGCCCGCTCGAAGAGGGGGACTGTGCGCTGGATGACGGAGCCCGCTTTCTGCGCGATCGTTCCTATACGAAAGCGGTGGGGGTCTACGACGCCGGAGGCGCGGTCGAGGAGGGCAGGGCTCATGATGGGATGTTGGGGTGGGGGTGGTAGATAGCGAGGTCGTTATGAATGGGTCGGACAGGCTATGATGAGGTCGTGATAGCTTGTGGGGAGCGATTCACTGCAACAACATCCTTGGTCAGCCACCCAGCCCATCTGCTGGCACTACCACCACTCACCGAAGGCCCGAGCACACAAGTTGTCGATTCAGCTACCTCGTAATCTCGTAGATGTGAGGCTGCGCAAGATGTCGCGATACGTCTATAGTTTGTGACGCGTCGAGGCGCGGTGACTGTAGAAGTGAAGGTCGATGGACAAGCAAGACTTCGTAGACTGGAGCAGATAGCAGGGAAGCTTGTGAGTACAAGAAAAGACTCGTAACCGCTCGCGGGGGCCGGGGATGGTGGTGGGAAGAGAGCGACGTGATCAACAAAGGGATCCCGCGAGCGGGCGCGCTCGCTGCGCGCCGCGGCCCGGGGCTCGGCCTTGGCGGTCGCGTGCCGTCATTCTATTGTTCTCCCGCTTTTGGCTGCTATTGTTACCTGGTCACCATTGTTCTCAAGCGGATACCTCCATTCAAGAGTCTATTGGAGAAGGCGAGTCGTACCCTTGGAATGATTCTCACAGATCAAGCAGCCACAGCGCCCTCAAGGTGTTCCACATCGTATGCCTGGAGAATAATGATACATTCGGGTTATGTGCAAGGAAAGTCAGTACATAGTTAAGAAGATGCGTGCTTCCAAGAGACCGACCACGACCAGCGCAGCCAGCCTTTCAGTATTGGGTATTCCTCATTCGTATGCGTAGGCATCGTCAGCTTCAGAAGCCTGCTTTCCACACGTCCGCCTATCGCTCGGCCGTGAACCCCTGCCGTAACGGTGTATGTGCAGGCGACGGCGGAACCATGACCGCAGGCTCGCCGAACACTGTCGCGCCCTGGTCGTCCGAGGCCATGCGGCGATGGTCATTGGAAGGCCTAGGACGATGGTCGTAAGATCCCCTCGCGCCGCGGTCGTTGGAGCCTCTCGGCCGCTGGTCGTAGGACACCCTCGTGCGCTGGCTATCGCCGGACGCCATCCGGTGGTGCTCGCGTGAGCCCCTCGCACCCTGACCACCAAACACCGAGCCGCGCTGACCGCCGAACACCGAGCCGCGCTGCCCGTCGAACACCACAGGACCATCCAGGATCATCGTGTTCCGATGCCCGCTGGGCCCGTAGAGCTTGCTCCCGCGCACGCCGTTGTCGGCCGCGTTCTGGATGTCAGCGTCGTAGTGGTCGCCGTCGTCCATGTCTGGGTGGGAGGGTTAGCTGACGTGCGCGAGGGGTAAAGGGGTGGGAGGGAGACGGGAAAGAAGAGAGGGTGGATAGAAGGCGCGGGATGGGATGATGAACAGCGGGACGGGATGATGGGGGGACGGGATATGTGAGAGGGCGGAAGGCAGGTCGATGGAGAAGAAGACAGAGCGACGAGGGAGACAGCGACGTTGTCCCCGCCGATAGCAGAATGGAAAGGAGGAACGTGCTACGCAGCGGGAAGAGATCATGCAGACAAACAAGACGAACACCCACTCACCCTCTTCAACCCCACCGCCCCGCTCCTCCATCAACTCCTTCGGCGGGCCCGTCCTCCGCCGCTCGCGCATCCTCCACCATCCGTATACGCCGCCGCAGATGAGCAGGAAGGCGACGACCCCGACGACGACGCCGGCGATGACGGTGCCGCTATTTGAGGAGCGCTTGGCGAGGGTGTGCAGGGTGCGGTCCATGAGGGCGCTGCGAGATTGGCTGGGGAGGGTGTCGGGAGAGCGGCCCATCATGGTGTCGAGGGGGCGCTTGGTGAGGGCGCTGGGGAGCTTGTGCGCCGAGCGATCGGCCAGGCTGCCTGTATCGCGCGGTGTGTTCATTGTGAAGTTGAGCGCGGACATGAGGTTGCCGAGGGACATGAACTTGGGTGGGGACATGAGGCCTGGTGGCGGTAGGGGAAGAGATGAAGTGAATGAAGCGCCTATGGAACGAGGCCGCGAGCGAGGTATAGGTCAGCGGACCGTGAAGCCGCCGCGCCACCAAGTGCTGTTGCCTCACCCGACGATTGAACGGTCGAACGAGGACGATATCCGTAAAGTTTGCGCAACGAGGCAGTGAAGGAAAGGTCGTCAAGCAAGTGAACCCAACGACCGTGAAGGGGGCCGGAAGCAAGGTGCTTTGAGTTTGCCAGCGGGTGAATCGTCCTGATCAGGTCAGCCCGCGCAGATCAGCCGACCTCTCGGCCGCCTTTCCCCCTCGCGCAGCGTTTGGCAGCTCCCAGGAGCGATCTGCTCCAATGGACGCGTTGCGAGGGCAAGTAGACGGCGACACATGGGCAGACAAGGGGAGGCAAGGGGGATCTGCAAGTCAGGTAGGCGCTGAGACGAAACGTGTTGTGGCGCAAGGGGGAAGGAGGCAAGGGACGAGGAGATATCAGGATGATCAACGAGCGATACTATCCTTGTCCGAAAGTACAGGACTGATTCCACTCTACTGATGCCCACCAGTCAGTACTTATGACACTCAGCTCTGCGCGCAATTTCCTGACGAAGACGGACTGCATGGGGCATGTATTTTCGTGGGGCATATGCGAGTGCGGTACAAGCGATAGCGGGGCGGGGGGCGTATGTCTCCCCAGTATGATACAGCATATCATATACGTCTGCTACTCCGGATGGCGAGAACGCGCTGCGTCTACTCGGCGGAAGCACGGACGCGCTTCTTGGCCACGGTGTTTTCCCTGAGTAGTTGAAGGTGGAAGGGAGGATGAGGCAACGAGTGGGCGATGCGATGAGGGGACGAGGATTAAACAGAGTTAAGTGCGCGGTGGTGGACGAGGAGAAGAGAAGGAAGAGGGGAGATCTCGTCAGCTACTAGACTACTCAATCGAGTACGTATACGCACCGGAAGCCGTTCTTGAACCGCCGGGAGACCGTCTTGAGGTAGCGCATGCGGCCGGTACCAGTCGTCTTGCGGCGCTTGGCCTTCTGGCCCCACTCGAACGAGCGGATCTTAGCGGAGGGGTAGCCGCACGAGGCGCAAGCTGAACTGGGAGTCAGCAAGTTGATCGTAAATTTCGCGCATGAAAGGGCGTAGTGATTTGCAAACGCGATCGCAGGCGAGCTGCGCCATGATAGAGGGGGAGAGGATGATCGGGGACGCGACAAGCGCAGTAAAAATCGATACGCACTCTTGTGCTGCCTGTGGAACGCACGCAGCCCGCAGCGGCGGCAGAGCGTGTGCGACTTTGTGTGCCGCTTACCGAAGGACGAGGTACCTGCGCATGATCGTCAGACAAGGCCGTAGGAAAAGCAGCACACAACGCACCTTTCGTCTAAGCACAAGAGCGCGCGATCGTCAGCATCATGTCTCGTCGGGGGTGCATCCTCTCAGCCCATTTCCATCGCTAAGCGGAGCAGGGGAGCGCAGCAACACCCGCTGAGAGAATAGGCGGTATCCCGCCGACCCGTCATCCGCCCTCCCTACCGCCCATCCACCCTCCATCTCCTCCCCAAACGCTCCAAATCGCCCCGTTCGACCGCCGGAGCACTCCCCAGCACACCCCCAACGCATCGCAGCAGCACGGACGGGCATGGACTCACCATCTTTTGAGTTGGACGCCGATCTTGAGGGTGGTGCGCTGTGTATCCGTCCGCGGGGGCGAAATTTCCCACGTGAGGGCCGTGCCTAATAGGTGTCAATAGTGTCGCGTGGGCTCGGGGATTGCCGAGGGTGGTTGAACTTGCGGGCTTCCTGTCTGTTTAGTCCGTTGTGGGATGCATGGAGAGGATAGATATATACAAGGAATATGTGACATTCACGCAGTGTGTCTGTGATGAGGCCTCAGAGGTAGCGGCCCTCCTCAAGGACGTGCTACCTGAATTTCCCGAGCTTTTCAGTCGACTGTCGCTCAAGGTCATTGGACAAGGGACCATTGCTCAGGGTATTGGCATCTAATTAAAAAAAATACTCATCGTCATAATACATAGGTATAGAACATTGTAATACAGCATCGAATCTATGCAAATAAATACTCATTCTGGCCTCTATCATCGCGGTCGTGCTCTTCGTGGATATGTAGATATGGTCATTCGCGCTCGTCGCCGTCGTGCGGTTTTCGTCGGTCATCTGCGAGCTTCGCTTGTGATGGCTAGCTCTACGGCTTGCTTTAAGAAGCGCCACCTATTCGCCTAAGCAGCACCTGGGGCAAGCCTCGATCCCTGCCTCCGCTGCTGCTCCCAAGCACCCTGCCGCCGCTGCAGGCCCTGCAGAAGGCGGTAGATGACGGCGCGGACATTTGGCATATGGCGCGCGAGGGTCTCTGGCGAGGGGTCCTCAGCGAGGCATCGCTCGAGGACAGTGCGCAGCTCGCCGGGGACGTGGTGGATGTCGCTGGGTGGGCGTGTCAGTGACGGCTATACGGCTATTGGGGAGTCGCGGGACATCGCCTTTGGACAACTTGAGTGGCCGAAGGAAGGTCTGGAGCTTACCTCAAATCGATGTTATGGTACGTGAACGCGTGCACGGCGAGGTTGAAGTCCGTCCCGACGCGCACGTATGCGTCGCTGACCTGCGTGTCCGTCGCCGCGCCGACGGCCCACTGCGCGAGCACCTCCTGCAGGTCCTTCGTTGCGAGCAGGAGGTAGCGGACGGCGTTGGGGACGTCGCCGGGCGTGCGCTGGGTATAGGCGTACATATTAGTTATCGTGAGGAATGTGGTCGAAGGAGTGGGTGGAGGACGTGCGTCCGTGATGGGCAACGAGATATGTTACAGAGAGGGTATAGGCGTGTAGGAAATGAGAATGTGAAGCGGAATGTGCAGTGTGTAGTGAGCAGACTGAGCAACAATGAGGCACACTTATGTAGGACATGGCCCGCACTGCTGAGAGGGGCAGAGGATCAAGAGAGCCCACTCACCGCGCTGCCATCAGACGCCCGAGACCTGATGCTGCTATGCGCGGAGTTCGAGCGCACGGGGGTGTAATTCTGCTCGTAGTAGGAGGGCGAGTCCATGTTGATGGGGCTGCTAGATTTAGGCGGTGCGAAACGAGATGAGGTGCCGGATGGAACGGGCTGGATACTGAACGCCCAACGTTTGACTGGCGGGTGGCGGGAGACAAGGCAAAGTACGTCCTCAACTCTACTGAATCAGAGCCGTGCACAGTAGCAGTCCTCTCTTGCTGATTCGCACGGATGAAAACACGGGCGCTCGAACGAGTCGCAGGTCGGCGGAGAAGGACTGAGCGGATGAGTTGGGTGATGCTGTGTGACGCTCCCGAGCGCGCCCTTTATATCTTCGCACAGACCTCGTGTTGCGACGTGTACTCCGGATGATCTGGCGCGCGTTGCAGCATACTCATGCAGAATAGCTTCGGCGAGCGCGCGGACAGCTTTCGCGCCGTCTGCAGGGGGAGGCTGTGGGCAAGCTGTGAGAGTCACATCGCCTTTTCGGGTTGGGATGTCATGTGTCGTCACGCTTGTTCGACTGTTCAGTGCCTACGCCTTCCCGCGGCAGGCTTCTGCTCTCCCGCGGCATGTCTGCGTCACAGAAACCTCTATGTGATGATCAGTACGCTGACATTCATCCGCGGATGCGGATGCGGAGGAGGTGAACATGAAGCAGATACAATGATGTCGTCAAAGCAGTAACCCATCCAAACAGGGGGATCAGCAGGAGATATCACGAAGGGACGCGTTTCTCCCTGCCTGCAGGCGTCTTGAGGTAGATCCTCATTATGGGCGGAGGTGATAGCCTAAGCATACGTCTGTGATGGCTGATAATCTGCCCCCGACGCTCGGGATATCCGACAAGGGGAGCGCTTCGCATTACAGGAATGGGGCCGCTTATGCGACAGGAGCTCGAAGGTCAGTTCTGGCGTTCCTTCGGTCTTCGAATGGAACTCTCGTCATCAGTAATGACCACTTGGAGGGCAATGGCGGGCGGCGATAATGCAGGAGTACTGCTGTGCAGCGCTCATGATATCGTGAACGTGAGACACTTATATTCCACGAGTGTGCTCTGCGGGTCCTTGTTCACAGGCATCTCTCATAAGGAAGAGCCACTGCAGCTGTGATGACCGGACGAGAGAAGGAATCATCGACATGATGGTCAAGAACAAGCGGGCGTTGATGGAAAACAGGCAGCAACGAGCACTGTTCCGCGTTCCGATCACGAAAGTTCACCTTCATCGTGTCCATGTTTGGACATCGCAAGAGAAGCAGTAATCCCAACGCTCCAGTCCAAGTGGTTGGCTCAATCGATACTTCAAACACTCAGGCAAGATGATATTGCGTCCTCACAACATTCAAATTTTCCCAGGCTTTATCAGTCTAGGCTTCGGACGACTGAACCTCCTGGATACGGCGCGCTTGTAGCCCGCACCGACGCACTCGACTCTGATGCGCCTGTAGACCAAGCTTACCTTCTACCACTGTACACGCCGTGCGACTGCAGATGAAGGCACGTTACACGTGTAGGATGCATGGCGAAGACGACGCAACACGACTCGACAATGACAAGCTTGCGACTCGTTTCCCATCCTCCAGTCCGATGTTCAATGAACTCGAAGCCTCCGAGAGCCATGTGCTCGAGGGAACGGTCTCCAGCAGCTCATCGATCTCGACGGAGGTCGCCCGTGCCTGACCTCCTCGGCGCTTCTTCATAGAGCCCCCTGACGACCCGGTCGCCGACGTCGGTGACCGCACCCGATTCCTCCAGCGAGTATAAAACGCCGCCAGCGAGGCGCTCGGTCTTCTCCCATTCACCTTCTTCCTCTCGAGTTCGCACTTTTCGGCGGCTTCTTTCGTTTTTCTAACTTTCCCTTCCTTCTTCCCTTTCCATCGTTATCCTTACCCCACTTGTGCTGGTCTACAAGTATGCAGTTCATCTTCGCACTCGTTACCTTCGCGCTCTCTGTCGCCCGCGCCGGCGCGGTCCCCACGGTTCGGCAGAACAGCGGTCTGAACGATTTGTTCACTGCCAAGGGCAAGCTCTTCTGGGTGCGTGTTATGTCTTTCCTCGTCGTACATCGTCTGCGTCCCCCAGTCGACCATGCTGACGATGTGCATGATCAGGGTAACATCGGGGACAGCAACACCCTCAACATCAACAGTAACACGGACGTCATCAAGAGCGAGTTCGGGGCGCTCACACCCGAGAACTCGATGAAGTGGGAGTCAATTGAACGTAAGTGAGGGTCGAACACTCGCATAGTTGGCTTTACGACTTACCGTTCATCCAGCCACGCAGGGTCAGTTCAGCTTCACCGGATCCGACGCGCTCGTCGACTTTGCGAACAAAAACTGCTTGCTGGTCCGCGGTCACACCCTCGGTGGGTAGCCTGGTGACTCATCGACCTACGGCCAGACTGACTCCCACCCAGTCTGGCACTCGCAGCTGCCGGCATATGTGTCTGCGATTACAGACGCCAAGACCTTGACTGCGGCCATCCAGAGCCACATCTCGGGCGTCGTTGGTCGCTACTCTGGTCAATTCTACGGTAAGCCATTGCTGCCTGTCTTCTGGATTCAGACTGATCAGATCCTGCAGCCGTATGTCTCTGGGTCCATTGCTTCACCATATACTAACCTCATTCCGTCACTTCCAGTGGGATGTAGTCAAGTAGGCATTCCTCCCCCTCCTCTCATTCCCTCCATCCGCCTTGCCTTCCCTGTCTATCACTTCCTCTCTCCCTCCCTCCCCATCCTTCCTCGCTTCTTTACTAATCCCCGCTTCAGCGAGGTCCTCAACGAAGACGGCTCCCTCCGCTCCTCCGTCTTCTCCAACGTCCTCGGTGACAGCTTCATCGCCACCGCCTTCGAGATGGCCCGCGCCGCGGACTCGACCGCAAAGCTCTACATCAACGACTTCAACCTCGACTCGAACAACGCGAAGGTGCAGGCGATGGTCAAGCTTGTGAACAAGGTCAATGGAGGAGGCGTGAAGTTGATCGACGGCATTGGGTCGCAGACGCATTTGCAGGTGAGCGTGCTGCTTATCCAGATGGAGAAGCGAGCATCTCGGCTTAACCATGCATAGGCTGGCGGCTCTGCCGGTGTCGCGGACGCTATTAGCACGCTCGCGTCGACGGGGTGCGAGGTCGCCATCACCGAGCTCGACATCGCCAACGCGCCCGCCGCGGACTACGTCGCTGTCGCTCAGGCGTGCCTCGACGAACCCAAGTGCGTGTCCATCACCAGCTGGGGTGTGTCGGATGCGGTACGTCTTCGTTCGTTCTCGGCGACTCCGTCCTCGCTATCGAGGGCCTCCTTTGTCGGCGAGGATGACAATGCTGACTGACGGACCTATTCAGAACTCGTGGCGCGCAAGCGAGAAGCCTCTCCTATTCGACTCGTCCTTCCAGAAGAAGGCCGCGTACAACTCGCTTGTTCAGCTTTTGTCGTGAATGGGTCAGTGTGGCTTGTGTTAATTGGGCTTGTTGCGCTGTACATACGCCTCGAATACAATGGGAATAGTTGGTTGGGATATATGAGGGTCACAACGTCCGAGTGACGAAGGTCTATTGCGTTGTCGCCGTATCGAATTTCGAAAGCATGGTAACGTAAGCTCATCAGAACGGATCGTCGTCGTCCATCTCGTCTTCGAGGTGTGCTACAAGACCGTCAGCTCGGTGGCGAGCCAAAAGTGTTATGCAACACGCACCTGCGAGGTTGATGCCCGTCATATTCGCCTGCAGCAAGATGTCGCGAAGCGACACGCTGTGTCCTTCCTCGTACCCGCTGTCGTCGTCCGCGCTAGTCTCGCCCTCATCGTCCTCCAGTTCGCTCGTCGGAAGGTCCATCGGGGCGCCGCCCTGCGGCATAGCGAACGTCTCCCGCGGCCGGCGCTTGACGGTAGTTGTCACCGATCCAGGGGTTCGCGACAACGAGGCCAGTGGTTTCCCGGGCGTGGATAGGATTTTCGTCGACTCGTCCCACTCTTCGTCGGAATCGTCGTGCAGTTGGTCGAGAATCTGGAAGCGTATGTCAGTGACGTGCTAGAGGCGAGCCTGATGGCAAGGCATACTTGCGTGACCTCAGCATCCTCAACATCGTGCAGCACTGGAGGGCGCACGAGGGACATACGCGCGGATTTGCGTGTTCGGCGCGGTGTTCTGTTGCCCACCTGAGGGATGGTACGACTGGATGCATCTTTCGAATTGGAAGGTCGACCAGATGTGGCGGTAGCAGCCGGCGGAGCCGCTTTGTATCTCAAAGGCTGAGAAGACTGGCTAGGCGCCCTCGCAGTTCGCGAGCCATCTCGAGCCTGATGTGTGGTTGATGCCTTGCCGGACTCGGCGGATGGCTTGGGGATACGGGAGGTTTGGTTTTCCGGGGGTTGTTTGGGACCCGTCTTCCACCTTGCGCGTACCCGGTCAACGCGTGTTTGCAGCGGCTCTACGAATGGATCTGGTGCGGTTAGTTCGTGCGCCAGCTGCTTGTTCGAGATAACCTGCATCGCGGTGTCAGCTTCACGCGAATCTAATCGACGGAGGGCCGAGATATTAGAGAAGGGAGAAAATCGCACATCAAAAGAGATAATCGTCGGTGAAGGTGGGATCCATATTTCCAGCCTCCCCTCGCGTGCCGCCACCGCCGGCTTCCTCTTCTGGCGCAGAGCTTGCTGCAACCGCTCCTCCGCCTCCCCACGCCGCCTGCGGACCTTGTCCAACTCCCTCAGCAACGCGCGCTTCATTTGCCTCTCCCTTTCGACTAAGCGAGCCGTTTGAGGTGCGGATGCCGCCTGCGCACCCGCGGCGTCTGGTGCGTGCGCCCCGCGGCCGGAGGCATGGGGCCGTGATTGACTTGCGCGGCTTCTGCTGGGGTCAGCGCCGGCGGAAAGAGGTTTCCGGAGCTTCTTGAGGTAGGAGGGATGGTGGGCGGCGGCGACAGGGAGCGGTTGGGGTGCTGCTGCTTTGGAGGTCTGCCGTCAAGGTTTAGCTCGCGCGCGCTTCGCGGGATAGAGCCTGACTTACAGATCCGGACCTCAGCAAGGTGGATCGACTGAAGTTGGTAGTCGAAAGTGCGGAATTCTGAGTAGTGGGTCCCTCAGCGACTTGGCGCGAGACACCTGCGGTCTCAATCAAGAAGTCAAGGGCGGGCACAGACCAAGCGCTAAGAAGGTCTTGGTACTTCGACTCCGCGTATACTATAAGTCTTTGTGTCGTCAGACCCTCGTACTTGCTCTTTCTTGCCGTCGAATGTCGTAAGCCCTCCTGAAGAGGACGTCATGAGCGATGCACAAAGTAAGGTCACTCGACAAAGCCGCACCTTGAGCTTCTGGAGCTGGGTTCTCTGTCGACGGAGTTCGTCCATGCGGCGAGTCCATTCCTTCCTCGCATGCATCGCGCAGCTCAGCATCACTGGATATGTCGATGGCTGCGCTTCAGGTGAGTAAAAAATCTAATCGAGAAAATCATCAGAGATTGATCCTAGTATACTTGAAGATTACCACGTACAGCAGGATCTCTCGCACCCTTGACATATCTCATAAGGACCTCGATGGATAGAGCCACCATGATATTCTCGAATCTGTCAGTCGTCAGATGATAACCCGTCGTACCGGTCCATGACATGGGATATGTACTTCTCTCCTGCACATTCCTCAATGGTAGACCTCCTGACAAGAACGTCCTTCCACCATGCAGCTGAACCATTTGCTTTCGAAGCAGCGCTCTCCTTCGGCAACCCCTTCAAGGATTTCGCAGTCGCAGGCGCATGGCCACCGCCTGTAGCTGCATGGCGGACGCCCTCGAGATATTTGGTGAGCGCTGTTCTATACGCCACGCTATCCGACGGCTTCTTGCATGGATAGTTCGGTAAAGTCTTCATATTCCCATCAGTTTAACGGGAATCCTGGCCATAATTCAAGCGAGAAGCTTACCGTCTTCACGCGGTCGCGCTCGAGCTTGCGAACGAGGAAGTAGCTAACATCTTCCATGGTCTTCGTGCGGTCCTTGAGACCGCGGATCTTCGGGTTGAAGACATTGTGGTCGTATTCTGGCCGGTCTGCATGCGGATATTCTAGCAAATGAAGGTGCACCAGCAATAGCAGAGACGGCGGTAAAGCCGGCAGGGTTATTTTCGTTGCCATAGACGAGGCGAAGAAGACAAAAGCAAAGTGCTGGAAAGATATAGAGATCCTCTATTTCTAGAGGAAAGCAGCGACACAGAGGAACGCGAGCCCACAAGGGAATGATGGCGGTCGAGTTCAAGTCGCGAGCGTGACGTTCCTTGTCACACCATGTCCTTCGCGTGGTCGTGCCATTATTCACGTGACTCAAGTTCAACTTCGCCCACCGCTCCACAACAATGCGCGCGCCCTCTACTCGCTAGCCAAGAGATGCGTTATATGCAACGTTGTCCTGTATATGTACATATGTCATTGAGCGATATCTTATAAGTGTAGATGCATGCTAATGCGACAAAAGTACTATGGCTCGTGAGGCAAGAAAAAGGCATAACTTACAACCATATGCATACCCATAGTGTAGACATACCCAAGAGCAATAGAGATGCGACTGATAGACGGATAGACGAGCTGATAGTTAACTTACGACGCGGGCCCGCGCACGCGCAGGGCCCGGCACTCCTCCACTCCCCTCCCCACCATCCTTCAGCGTCACTTCTCCGTTTGTGATTGCGACGACCCCGACACCGCCCACACGGGCGTCTTCTCCCTATCTCGCTTCTCCCCCCTCGGCCCTGGCAGCGGCACCGCCTCCCCATTCCCTCCTCTCATCTCACCCATCCCGCCCCCTCTCATCTCCTCGATCCCGCGCTTCAGCCCCGCCATCATCCGCTCCGTGCGCTCCAGCACCTCCTCCATCCGCCGCTTCTGCTCGCCCATCTCGCGGTAGTGCCGCTCGAGGTCGCCCAGCGTCGGCACCCCGCCCGTCAGCGCGTGCACGTGCAGCACGCTCGAGAGATCGGGCGAGCCGGGGCCTCCTGGGGGTGCACCCCACGGCCCGCCCTGCGGCGGCGGCAGCGTCACGTAGTGCGAGGGGTGGTGCGGGGTGCCCGTGCGGCTGAGCGCGGCGTTCAGCGGCGGGAGGTCGACGGGCGAGCCTTGTAAGGGGCCCCCGAAGGCGGAGGGAGGGCGCTGGAAGCCAGAGGACGACCCTGGGCGGAAGCCCGAGGACGAGCCGGGACGGAAACCTGAGGACGACGCTGGCCGCTCGTTGAACCTCCGTGGTGACGATGGGCCTGCATCTGGCGTCGCCCACTGCGGCTCTTCCCCGCCATCGCCGCGCGACTCCCGTATCGAGCTCCGCCGCGCGCGTTTGCGGCGCGGGCCCTCCTCATCGCTCCCCCTCGCATCGTCGCCAATCGGGACGGGACGCCCCACGGCGACAAGCGCCTCGGCCGCAGCCTGATCGGACAGGCGGGCCATCTGAGGCGAGCCGGGCTGCATGTGCGCGCCAGGCGGCATATGCGCGCCGGGAGGGAGATTAACGACGGAGTACCCTGGGTGATGGGCTTGCTGTTGCATATGCTGCATGTGGGGGTGTTCTTGTGGGGGGAGGGGCCCGCCCGGCGCGCCGCCGCCGTTCGCGTGCTGGGGCGCCGCCGCGGCTGCAGCAGCGGCGGCGGCAGCGGCGGGTACGCGCTTGCGCCGCTTGATCACGGTCTTCTTCATCGAGTTCGGGCGATGTGTCCCGTGCAGCTTGTAGTAAAGGCCTACGTAATTCCAGGTCAGTTTCAAGACGTCGATGTGCGCGATGGCGCGATAGCCGACGGCTGCCAGGCGCGCGGATTATGGAGGACTCACCGCAGGCATTACATATATTGTTCCCTGAATCGTCGCGTCGCCACAAGGGCGTCGTACTCGTCCCGCAGTTTGCGCACGAAAGCGCGGTCACGCCGAGTTTCTTCGGCCGCTCCTCAGGCACGCTTCTCGTCCCCGAAGGCCCCGCTGGGGGCGGCGGGGGAGGTCCAGAGGATGTGCCGGGCATAGATGTGGGGGAATGTCTCGCTTGTGCGTCTGCAAGGGAGGGATCGATGGGTGCGTTGCTCTTGTACTCTGGTTTGCTATCGCCCATGCCGATGGTAAAGGTCGTGATATGATTGGCGGTGTTGATGAACGTGGGGCAACCCGAACAAGCAGAGGCGCCGCCTGTGCCGTCACAGCGTCCGTCTCCGGGACAGGTTCCGCCGACTGGTCGTCTAGATGGCTGCTTTACGGCACCGTTCAACGGCGCGGCGGGGTGACAGGGCTGTTGAAAAGTCGGGGACGCGGGCGCGTTGAGCGCGTGAGGGGGCGATTGTGGCGAGACGGAAGGTGAGGTCGTGAATGAGGTTGGCGATGAGGAGCCGGGGCGTGCCATTTGTCTGCTCTTCTGATATAGACCTGCAACGTGGAGGTGATGCCTAGTTAGCGCGCGTTCGGAGTGTCAAGCGGACGGGGAAAGGGGATCAAGATCAACGTGCGAGAAATGCAAGTAATGAAGGGGGTGAGGGCACGCGAGTTGCAGAACATCATCTGCGTCGATGCACGCCTCTACCAGGCCTGAAACTCAGGAGGATCGTGGTCGATACTCGTGCAGAGGCCGGTGGCGCGAAAGCGAAGGTATACGAGTAGTGCGTCGAGGCGAACGGAACAAGGGCAAGGCTAACTAGGGGCCCGCAGGCGAGGACGGGAGCATCAAAATGAGCAGAAAGAAGGCCAAGATGAGATATGATAGCGTCCGCGCTTCGTCTTCGGCCTGCCCGCAAACACGCCTTGAGCATGCTTTCGCGAGACGCCGCGCCTTCACGTGTTGTTGTTGCATTGCAGAGTACCAAGAACCCTGATGCAAGTATGGGACCCAATATAGACGCCCGTCGCAATTATCAGGACGCCATGAATGTTGACGCCAGGCCGGAGGCGGGGACATGAACGCAAGATTTGCATGGAGGCGACCACGACGAATCGATAACAAGGTATTGGGACACTCACCACAGGTGTTACAGACCGCGTTTCCCTCCTGATCTTGTTGCCAGACGGACGATTGGGAAGTACCGCAGTGTGCGCAGATAGGGGAGGGGTTTGGGTGGCGGTTCTCGGCGTCGGAGTTTCTCGACTGAGGCCGACTCTGGCTCTGGCGCTCGCTTCTGATGCTGTTGCGCCGTTCGGGGGGTAGCTGCTCGCTCGGCCTTGGTAAGCGCTCGGTGGAGGGCACCTGCTGTATAGTCTGGGGAACTGTGGGATGTACGGGCATGACGGGGGACTCGACGGACATTCGGCGGCAGGCTGCGCGTCGTCTGGCTCGGCGGCGGGGGCGGACGAGATGGCGGTCGAGAGCAAGGTGTCGTGATCCCGAGGGCGAATCGGTGCGTCCGCCCCCCTCGAAGGCGGGGATAATCATAAACGGAGCGCTTTCCCACACTATTCGGCAAATCCTGGCGATCTGATTGGCGGACAGCGGCCACGTGCCCCGGTTTCCTATTGCGATAAGTGATACGATAGTGATAACCTGATAAGACGCGATCGCACCTGCGAATGCACCGTGCCGAGAGCCATCGAGACGCCGGCCCGCCGCGTTGCAGCAGTGACGTCCGGCCAGAAGACGCCCTCCGCGTCCTCGTTGCCACCCTGTGTCCACCGCCAGTCTTCCCCCGCCCTCGTTGACATGAGACTTGTTCAGAGTACATCCAAGATGGCGTGGTCCGAGCGATAAGATAGCTCGCGATTACAGATAAGATTATCACCGCGCATCAGGATGGAATACGGCACCGAGCAAGGCAATATTTGCGCCTCTTCTCGGCTGAATCCAGCTCCTCGAACGCGTGCGTGAAGGCGGCCAAGGCTGCAGCAAAATTGGGGTCAAGCGAAAGGCGCCGGGGAAAGGTGGAGGGCTTGGATCCGGATCGACCGCAGCTCCAGCCAGTGCATTCTTGGAGTTGCCGAGGTATGGCGTCCTCGCAGTCACATATGGTCTTCAAAGGCCCCTCAGCGGACGTCACTCTGGAGGTGCCGACATAGCCTCGGAGGATGCCAGAGTCTCGAGAACAGGAAGAGTTCAACATGCATCGGCGATTGCCGATCCGGCTTCGACCGAGCAGGCACCGCGTCACGACCTCGGACCTGACTTGTCCCCGACCGTCATTGTTCTCCTTCTGGCAATTCTACTCGCACGTCTCCCCGCTACGTGTACGCACGAAGTACGGCTTATTCATGCTTAAAGTCCAGCTAATTCCATAAACTCTATTCACGAACATTCAGCCGCTCCCTTTGCAGTCTTCATTCATCAGCCTTTATCTTTCACGCGAGCGAGGCTGGTCCAGGTCCCGCACGAACCGTGTCTGGGGGTAGGTGGCGGTAGATTGGGTTGATTCGTCTACAGACCACATACACTTACCAGCTGCGCGATGTAAGAACCACGAAAGAACGACATGAAGGCAGGTGGACTGATATACAACGCCACCGCCGCATCTAATCTGGCGCCGTATACAGGTGAGTACACGCCTTTGTTGACCGTATTAACGAGGGCAGGCTCTCCATCCATTGGCTATGGCGCTGTTTAATTTGCCTGGAAGCCAGCTCGAATGTGTATCTATCCTTTACGGCTCTGTAGCCTGCAAGCCGGCAGCGGAGCCCATATCAATGCTCGCTGGCTATGTGAGATGTCGTCGATCTCACTCAAAGACTTAGCCCTTCTGAAAGCGCTTTTCACGCCTGATGACGCTTTGACGCTACTCACCACCGCCACTCGAGCCTCGAGGTCATCGTCTCAAAGAAGAGCTTGTGTGGCGGCCTGAAAGAGCGCGCTTATAAGAACGGCGTCAAGCCTCAGATATGACCATCGTACCTCTCACCTCGCCACTCCCTTCCCAACTGTCTATCTCTTCTTCGTCTTTTGCTACCTTCCCCTCCCGCCACCACCGCGACGTCTGGAACGCTCGCGCAGACAGCTCACTACTCAGCACATCCAGCGTCGACTTAGCCCAAGGTGCGTGAGGTGCTGCAACTCCGAGATCCTACGCTGATTCGATTCGAACGAACAGCGCAGCTCGTCGTGATGACTTCCCCTTCCAACTCTTGGCCGAGGCAACTTGACATAGACGTGTATCGCGCGACGAATCCCGCTCCTGAATGGCCGGCCCATCATGGGGGCGGAAGAGCCAACACCGAGAATCGTCCTCCAACTTATGCTACGCACGCCACGAGTGCCCAACATCCTATTGCGCCAGCGGGCGGCAGCGTCGACTACTCTGATCTCAGCTGGGTCAACCCCTTTGTCTTTGAGCAGTCACTCGAAGGCGGAGTCAAAGAGAATGCCCAAGCGCCTGAGCAATCGCACGCAGCTTCTCGTTCAACGACGCACGACTTTACGTCGACCCCCCTCCAGCCGCCTGTTACGCCTTGCGGATCCGCTGGCGCAGCCGTCTACCGCGCTACTCCCTCGAGCGCTCAGACGCTACCACAGTCCTTCTCTGCGCCCTCTCAGGCTGACTACGCTCCTCCTCCCGACTTCCTCTCCGATATGACGGAAGAGGAGACCGACGCTCTCTTTAAATCGTTTTCTGCAGTCTGGCCTGCGCCCGAGGTCAATCCTCCGTCTCCGGTCAAACAAGACACTGCGTATGTGACTGGCGTGCGCCAGGCGCTATACGATCGGACCATCGACGCCCCGCAGTGAGTTCGGTCGTAAAACCATGTCTTATCCTATCTGACTTCTTATTTCAGGGGCATGTACACCGGTCAGCCGAGCTCCGCGCCTAATGCGAAGACGCAGGTACCCAACGCCCTGAAGTAAGCCTTACTGCACGACGCACACCTATTGATTTTGACCGAGGCGTCCCACCAGAACCCCCGCGTCCGCCTACCTACGCACCTTCGAGGAACCCCGCCAACATCGCGTCGGCCCGCTCACTGATGCCAGTAACACTATCTCCAACGCTGCGCAGAAGGTTTTTGGTTGGTCGCCGCCTCAGGCCGATGATACGACTCCGGTCAAGCAGAACACTGGGCATACTGCTGCCCTCCTCGAGGCAGTGTACGAACAGTCTTCATACCCCCAACAGTGAGCCTGATCAGCTGTGTATCGCTCGCTCCGTCTAATTTTCGGCCATAGGGGAGTACTTGCGACTGGGAATCCGAATCTCTCGAAGGCGAATACGCAGCCGTCCACTGCTCGACAGTAAGCACCATTACCCTATAGCATGCTCAAGTCGGTTCTAACATTGATTATTAGTTCGTCTACGCCCGGCTTGCAGCAGCGAACCTTCGGGGAGTCCATGCAGCAGCGGACCTTCGGGGAATCCAGGCGGCATCGAGTAGACCCGGCGTCTACTCCTGCGTCGACTGCATTCGACTGGTCACCATTCGGTCCTGCCACCCTGCGAGCGCAGGTCGACGAGGTGCTGCGTCGCAAGATGCAGGCTCCGGAGGTGCGTCAGTCCGCGCAGGCCCCGGAGGCGCGTCAGTCCGCCGTCAGGCCCTTGCTCACTGACGTCGGTAATGGCATTGGTCAATACGTGACTCCTTCCCTGCCAGTGTCGACGCCTGCGCTCTCTCGATCTTTCACTTTCCCGCCCCCTTCGACTGGTGAATTTGGCTCTACGTCGACAGGCGGACTTGGCTCTAACTCGACTACGGGACTCGCCTCCATCCCGCCTACCGGACAGCCCTCTATCTCGACTACCTTTCCACCTCCGAGCAATCTGGAGGTCATAGACGAGACTCCAGAAATTGTCGCTTACGCCACGAAGCGCAAGGCAGATTTTGGTCAGGAGGGCCGCGGCGCTGTGAAGCAAGTGCGGTTTCTTAGCCCTGACCGGGACGAACAACCGAAGGCCGATGCGGCGAAGGCACCGCAGGGGACAGAGGCGCGCAACATCAGCACGCCCACTGAGATCCCTCCATCAACTTCCCGCACGGCTGCGCCGCCCGCACTCACTACGTCGTCAACTGACAGTGCGGCTCCTCGCTGGACCGATAGCGCCCGAAAGGATGGAGCTTGGATCATCCACCTGCCTCGCGATATGGTCTTTGCAGCCTACCCGACCCATCCCATGGATTTGTACCTCATGCGGGCATCGGACGCGCGCGAGCGGGGCTGCAAGATCTTGCAGCTGGGGCAGGTTCTTACGGCGCCTCAGATGGACTTGCCGCGCTGGGTCGAGCCTCCGGAGCGCAAGCGCGCAGACGACGCGCGCACCGAGTCAGCGGCCGCGGGCGAGGTGCAGGTTGAGCCTCCTGCGATCGCGCCTACGTCGACGACGCCGAAGTCCTCGGAAGCACAGAAACCCCCGACGACACGACCTGCGCGACAACGGTCCGCTTCCCTCTCGTCTCTCAGCAGCCTCTCGTCCGACGAGGATTCTGAGACCGCGCGCCCCAACGGACGCCCCGACAAAGCGCACCGCTACTGCCCCTGGCAAACCTCCGCCGGCACGCGCTGCGGCCACGACTACTGGACGGACAGCAACCTTGCTCAGGGACTTAGCTTCCGCGTCGCGCTGACCCGCCACACTTATCCTCATCGAAGTGCCGCGCTTGGTGACGCTTGCCCTACATATTTGAAGCTCAAAGGCCCCAGGGCGATAGACCTTTGTCATGTGAAGGTGCGGTGCGGGATGTGGGAGGAGGGGGCGCCTGCCGCGTGCGGGGCGTCTGTGTGCTTCGGCGACCTGATCGACCACATCTACGATGTGCACTACAATGCTGGTCAAGCGGCGTAATGCAGTGTAGTATGACCGTCGCTACTTAGCGTTTACTTCGTCATGTATTGTAGTTATTGTACTGGTTCGAGTGCTAATAATATGCAATAGTCATATCTAAATTGATTGAGCAGCGTACGCCGTAAGCTGGGATTCATGAATGGTGGCATCTTCGGAATATTCCCAAGCGAGATAGCTCGACAGACAGAAATCATCCTCCGTCATCCGGCAATGAGACGACCACATCGGCCTTGAGCCGCCACCGACCATAAATTCGGAGTGTCAGTCATGTGACTGCATCCCTTTCGGCCGTTGCCGAATCGGCGACCTTGCCTTCTGCCCTCATGAGCGAATGTCCTATTTCCGCATTCCAGGCAGCAAAGCTCGCGCCGAAGTCTCGAATATCTCTTGAATGCGTTAAGCGATGTCTGACTTTCAGCCCGTGACAATGATAATGTGAAGAACATCGTGCTGAAGGTTGAGGTGAGTCACCTTGCTAATGCGAGACGTTGTCTCACCGCAAGTCAAATCAGGGACTCTCATCTCACCCTCTTTCTAGGAGGAGATCCTTGCCTGTACCTGAGCGGTTAGCTCTACGTCCAGCATGACTGACAGTGCAACTGTGCGGGTATAGCTGCAGTTGATTCCTGACTTCCATTGAAGCACTTCGTCGGCGGTCATGCATCCTCATTGCCCTTGTTGCAAGATACAGTTGACCTTGAGAGACGAAGATCTACTCTGCCCTGTGTGCGTCCCTGCTCGATCTCTACGACTGTGAGCTCGCCCCATGACGCACCTTTCGGCCCGTACAAGTTTCGCGTAGTGGTCACGGCTCGCAACCGTCCTTTGTTCGGGACTATGTTTATGCCAACTATGGCAACCCGGGTTGGTGGCGGGATCGAGCGGGTTGGGCGTCCCCAGGGTGTCCGAGGCAGCGGAAAATGGTACCTGCATCGAGTGGAGCTGCAGTACTGCGAGGTCGACCATGGGTACCTTGGTGCGTACACTAGCTTCCCCATCGCATTCGCCCCCATCGCCCTGATATCGATAGCAGACGAAGCCTCAAACGTTTCTCCTACCGAAATATCTTCTACCTTCGTACTCCTCCCTCACCACGCCCACCTCCAACACAGGCGCCGACGTCGAAATGGCCGGTGACGTCAACCCGGACAACTCAAAATCATTGGAAATTCCCCCAGAATACCCCACCAGAATGCGGGGCGTTCCCCACGGGACGCGTGCTATTCAGCCTCTCATGCTCAGGTGACGACAACGCGTCGAGCCACCACCGGGTGCAAGCCCCGTAACCTCCGCACAGCGCGCTCGTATATAAGGCGTCGGGGCCGGGTATGGCTTCACCCACCGCTCTTCCCAACTCCCCGACGAGATCGGCGCCCCTGCACGAACAGAACAAGACACGGGACGACAAGACGCGACGATGGGGAAGCCGTACTTTGGCATGACGGGCACCGCGCTCAATGCGTGGGTGAACGTCGCCGCGATCACCGCGATGACTCTCTTTGGTACGCGTCTGTCGCGCCGTATGTCTCTTCAGAAATCCTGACTGGACGCGCAGGCTACGACCAAGGCGTGTTCGGTGGCATCATCGTCACCGACTCCTTCCTCGAGGAGATGGGGAACCCGGACTCTGACCTCCAGGGTACCATCGTATCGCTCTACGATATCGGATGGTACGTATCGCCCCTCGCGCTCCCCCTTGCCCCTCCTGACGCGTCCTCCTCACCCAGCTTCTTCGGCGCCATGTCCACATTCGTGATCGGTGAGCCGCTAGGCCGGAAGAAGACGCTTATTATCGGCGTTATCATCATGTAGGTCCGTTCCATTGCGTACCGATATAGCATACTGACGCCAGCCACGCAGGTCCATCGGTGCTGTCATCCAAGCCGCGGCGGTGAATGTCCCTATGATGATCGTGGGCCGGATAGTTTGTGGTGCGTATCGCATGCTTGCGGTAGTCGCGACCGATATGCTTACTTCATGTGAACAGGTCTGGGTAATGGGATGAACACGGCGACCGCACCAGTACTGCAGAGCGAGACGACGAAGCCCTCGCTTCGCGGCAAGATGGTGGTTCTCGGCATGATGTGCGTACACCTACATGCGCAAGCGTCTCGCGTACTGACAGGTACCACAGCATGAACATCGCTGGCTTCTCGCTCAGCAACTGGGTTACCTACGGCTTCAGCTTCCTCGATGGCGACATCAGCTGGCGATTCCCTCTGTACGTCCTTCCGCTTGTCAATACCTTCCCAATCAGCTGACTAACCCATCCACTGTCCAGTGCCTTCCAGCTCATCTTCTCCGTCATCCTCGTTGGTACAGTCCCCTGGCTTCCCGAGAGCCCTCGCTGGCACCTCTCCCACGGCCAGGAAGCTGAGGGCCTCGCAATCCTTGCCGCGCTCGAAGGCAATGGCGCGACGATTCACGACACGTTGATCATCGAGGAGAAGGAGGAGATTGTAGAGGCAGTTCGCATCGAGCGGGAGCAGGCGCCGAGCTGGGGCGATCTGCTCCGTGGGCGGACGGGAAATACGGGCATGGTGAAGCGATTGATTCTTGGGGCTGGTACACAATGGATGCAGCAGCTCGTTGGCATCAACGTCACCAGTTACTAGTGAGTGTCCTTCTTTGTCGTCTTGGTCGCTGGCTGATAGTGCCTAGCCTCCCCTTGGTGCTGCAGAATTCCGTCGGTCTCTCAAACACCCTTTCGCGCTTACTTGCGGCCTGCAACTCGGTCTCCTACCTCTTCTTCTCCTTCGCCGGCCTCTGGCTCATCGAGCGCGCCGGTCGACGGAAGCTGATGATGTGGGGCGCTGCCGGACAGGCTGTGTGCTACATCCTGATCTCGGCGCTCTTGTCGCAGGCCAGTGATCCGGAGAACGGCACCAAGTTCGGTGCGGGTGCGACAGCGTTCTTCTTCGTATACTACATCTTCTTTGGTGAGCCATGAATCCCATCATACGAGCAACGTACGGTTGACTGACCCACTCACGCAGGCATCTGCTGGCAAGGCGTGCCATGGCTATACCCGGTCGAGATCAACTCGCTGGCGATGCGCACCAAGGGCGCGGCGGTAGCGACCGCAAGCAACTGGATCTCCAACTACTGCGTCGTGCAGGCGACGCCGCCCGGCATCGAGAACCTCGGCTGGAAGTTCTACCTCATCTGGATGTCCTTCAACATCATCTTCGTGCCTGTGCGTCTCCCCTTCCCCTAACTCTCCCTTCTAATCCCAACTCACTCTTTTCCGCAGCTCATCTGGCTCGTCTACCCCGAGACGTCGAACCGGCACCTCGAGGACATCGACCGGCTGTACCGCGAGAACCAGGGCATGGTGTTTGTGTTCCGCAACAAGGACGCGACGTCGATGCAGCGGCCGACGCACTATGTCGATGTGGAGAAGGAGCGGATGCAGTATGTGGACTCGACGAAGAAGAAGGAGAAGCTCGTAGACGAGGCGTCGATCGAGCACGACGAGGCTCCCGCGGCGCTGAATGCAGCGTAGCCCCTACGCCGCATCGCCCGGTCGTAGCCAGGGAAGTCGAAGTTGAGACGAATACCCTCATGATTTTGTAATGTACTTTATCTCTCGTTTATCCTGTTGTACTTTTAGATGATCCATTTTCATACGTCGATATGCGTGACACAGCAGGCGAACATGGAGAATCCCGAGAAGAAATCACCTTGTGGGTCCGCTACAAGCAGATCACGTGCAATTCCGAGATTAGGCGCCCGTTGCTGATCTGGGTGCTTGATCTCGCCCACAAACTAACCTCTGGTCAAGCTAAACCAACTCCAGCCTCTTGACCTGAGCCACCATCATGGACGAGGCCTTTACCCAAGAACTCGAAAACGACTTTGCCAGACTGCTCCTCGGTGGCCCCGATGCTGTTGACGCCCAGGCGATTGTGCCGCGCGTGTGTATACAACGTCATGTAACTACGAACGACAGCAGACTGCAGCTCCCGAGTCTTCGGAGCCGCCCGCACGAGTCCGCTTCCCGGCCCGATCTTCCGTGTCCGCCCACCTCTTGTCCTCGACCACCATCTCCGCTGCGCCCGTCGCCCCGCCTCCCCCTCCCGCCCACCAAAAGCACGTTCGGCAATTCCCGAAAACCCCATTTATTGCGCCGGCCCAGAGATCCACCTCCCCTTTGCGCCGCGCGAGCGCAGCGAGCGCTTAAGCTCTGGCATTTTTACGCTACGACTAGCCTACTTTGGCTCTCACGACACCAGTCCACACTCCTCCTCCTCCCCCCTCCTTCTCCTCCCCTCCCCCTCTCCCCTTCCCTCTCCTCCTCCTTCCCTCCCTCCCCGCGGAGCGATGGGGAGGGAGGTCGGGGAGGGTGCGGGAAGGGGAGGCGCCCGCGTGTTAGCCCCGTGCGAATCAATCGGCCACGTACCGCGCTCGACGCGGGGAGGCCCTGCGATCCGAACCTCCCGTCGGTGTCGCTGATCGCACTCGGTCGCGTCATTCGACGGACTCACGCTGGCGCGCCGCCTTGGACACGAGAATGGATGGGGTGGCCCAGGCATCGTCGATCCGACTCATCGCTGTCATCGGCTGTTGCGGGCGGTCAAGGCGGTAAGCTTGATGCTTGCACTGATCCAGCTGCTAATCCGAGTAGCGCTCGTCGAGAACCATCCAGCCGGGCCGTGGACGTGCTCGTACTACACGCTCCAATGTACTTTCGACTCGATGAATACAGGAATTTGTTGTGCTCTCGCGTCGTTTGCCGTCGCGCATCCATTCAGGCCGCAGGTGAGCTTATCATTAATACGACTCGCTGATCAAACACACCTTGACTGCGGGCTCATCCCGCGAGCGACGTCTGACCGGTGCTCATCCTCGCACCGTCGTGTGCTTGTCGCAGAAGTAGTCAGCACTCGTCTCACGCAACACGGTGAGCAAACACACCTTGCTCACGAGCTCATCTTGCACCTGCAGTCACCCTTCCTCCGCGCTCGTCCCCGGCGGTCTTGCTCGCTCGCTGTCGTCTTGGGCCTGTGCTCGTCTTGCTCGCCGTCGTCTCTGGCCCGTCTCGCTCTCACTCGTGTCGGTGTTGTGTTCTCTTCCTGACACGTCTCGTAAGCCAGTTGCTGACCATTCTCACAGGTTGTTGATGAGAGCGAGGCCTACGAGCAAAAGAGGAAGCTGGGGAGTGAGACAGGAAGCAGAGCAGTGAAGGAGGAAGCAAGAGGCGGCAGCAGGAGGTGATGACATGCTCGGCAAGTGCCGCCATCACCGTCGGTGGCGCAGAACCCTGACTTCGAACCCATCAATCCAGCAGTCCTGTGCAGGCCCTTCGGGAACTCGTGCCCGCAACTGGGGCGAGTGGGAAGTTGTTGTAGACTTGAAGGTAGCCCGTGGGCACTCGGAACTCAAACTCGAGATACGTGAGGTCGGAGGATGTAGACATGTGGGACTGAGACACCATAGGCTATAGCATCTAGAAGCGTACAGGAATGCAGTTTGTGACCTCGTACGGCTCGTCGAACAGAGAGAAACCCGATGAGCAGGAGCTTTGTGAGATGAGCAGATTCAAAAGCAAGGCCCTCACACAAGATGAGTTATTGCTCGCAGAAGCGTAGCAGACAGTCCTCCCAATCCCCCTTATCTACTTTGCAGTCGAGGGGCGCCATCCGCGACGGTTGAGAGCACAACGCTCGTCGCGAACTCTATTGCTCACCGGGAGCCGCGCCGGCGAGCCGCCGAGTTCGAATCCGGCGTCGGACTCGAACCGGCCAATCTCGTCCCTTGGCTTACGCGGTCATGTCCGTCTCCCCACCGATACCCCTCGCCAACACCCTAGATATGCATACCTACGACTTCTGCACTTCTATCGATGTCCATCCGTGCTGAACCCAACGTGGGATCAGCCATCCCCTTCAACTCACGCAGCTCCCCGACCGGGAGATCAAGATGAGCGATAAGCTGCAATCCCTGCCGACAAGGGGATGAGAAGCGACAAAGGGAGAGGCAAGGGTTGGTACGTACGAGAACCGAGCACGGCGATGATCCTCAAAGCGGCCCTGAGAACTCACCAGCTGCCGAGCCGGCGGGACCAAGGTCTTCGAGTCGGCAATGCCAGCGTCCCTCTGTCGCCTGAGAACAAACAAAGTGACCTGTAAGGAAAGTGGGGTCAGTCTCATGTGCCTGTGATGAGAAGAGATTGACTTCTGTGCTTCAGACGAGCTGATGAGCACGGTGGCGCGCAAGCTCCCGCTCCGCTCGCGGTGTTTCGCCTTGCGATCTCGCCTTCTATCTCGCCAGCACGCAAGGTGAGACCACCACTGACGAGCTCGCCCCTGCGCCTACGCTCACCGAGTGCCCCAAAACGCTGCGAGTCACGCTTACTGACATACCGACAGAGATCGCCTCGACCCCATCTTCCACCGCTCACCTTGCAAATTCGAGCTCCAAGCCACTGAAACGCCAGGGAGGCGGGGACTGCCGGACCAGCGGAACGTCTCCGCAAATGTCGCGGAGGTGACTGGTGAGTCAACGTTGGGCTCGTGGCTCAGAATGCGGAATGCGGCGCCGCGTTACGCCTGCGTACTTGCAATATATCGAGGCAGTAAACATTGAGAGTGTTTGGAGGGGTCTATAGGCACTGGAGTAGACGTCATTGGCTTGCAAGACGAGCGGGACAGGCATCTCGTACTTGTTCTCGCGGGTGGTTCAAGGCCTGCCTTATGCGGCTAACTCGCGCTCAACCGTCACGACGGTCTTTGAAGCCTTCGCTCACTGACTCACAGACTCGGGAAGTTTTCACCAAGTGATAGAGGACGACGCGAATATCGCTCTCAAGAGCTACGGCACCGTCCACAGTCAAGATTCTGTCCAAAATCACTACTATGCAGCCGATCGCGCTTCACCGACTTTGGTGAGCAGACGTACCCTCACCTCGGCACTGCAGCACTCAAAAGACACCCACCCCTATCCGCTCGAGTCCTCTGCTTACTTTCCTGCAGCCTCTATCCTTTCCAGCATCCGTATGCTTGGTTTGATACCTCCGCTCCTACCGCCTCGCCTCGCCTTGGAACTTCCACTGGCAGGGAGCCAGGTTCTCGACACCGATCACTAAGGGTCCCATCATTTGTCATGACCGAAACACGGGGACCCGGGCGCCGGACTCCTGAATTCGAAGAGAAGTGCAGAATATGCGCCGCTGGAGCTGAGCAGGAGCAGAGCAAGGCGGTAAGGAATATCCGGCTGGCGGTAAGTCGGACTTGGTTATTCCAGCTGTGGGTCATCAAGGCTGAGACTCGGCGAAGCTCGACGCTTCGTGAGATTGTATAAAGGGCGGGGTGAGTAGACTGATTTCCTCACTTTCCCTCCATCCCTCCTTTCCTCCTCCTCTCCTCCTTCACTATCACCTTCCTTCACTCGTACCTTCCGCTCTCCACTCGCATCACCACACATGCACTCGTTCTGAATCTCTTGACGAAGCGCTCGTTCTCGACTTCATCGGCATCACACTTCGAGTCATTATCTCGGTTAGTTAGCACCCTATGCACATCCATCTTCACTGACGGCTTCAATCAAGCTCTATCGCCGTCTGTTCTACCCGCTAGACGTCCTTTTCGGCGTCGTTGCTAGCGCAGGTAAGCCTGCTTTTACCTCGCATCACCTCACCTACCCAGGCATTGAGTTGAGCTCCTGACGCTACAAAGTGAGTCGCATTCTTCCCATGCGTCATAGAGACACTCACCGACCCAGCTACTATAGCACTGGTGCTCGGGCGCGTCGGACTACTCGATGGCATCCCCTACGTCTGTAAATGCGTCGTCGCCGACGACTAATACTGTGTCGGTGAGTCAGTCGATCTGACGTCCGTGAGTTGACTTGGTTTCTTCGAATCCAACCTGGCTGCAACGTTGCGGACATATTGCCTGACATTGCTGCTCGTTCAACCCCACGCACAGGTCCCCATTTTACTGACCGGCGAGCCAACGGACGAGTCGTGGACTGACCGTCATCACCGATTTCGTAAGTCTATTCAGTTCACCGCGACACGTGTCACTGACCTCCTTGCTTCCCACCACCACGTCCGCGACGCCTCCCCTAGCGCCCGAATCAACGTTGACGCATGCATCGACTGCGAGACTAAGGTGAGCTTATGCTCTAAAAATCTCCCCACTTCGCTCCCACTGAAACTAATCCTGCAGAGACGACCGATCTCGCCGATTACGAACCGCATTGAAGCCTTGCGCATTGCTGCATAAGCGACGGGATACACGGGAAGAGGGCATGATGACCGCAGGTGCGTTAAAATGGTCATCTACGATGAACCAACCCTGATCACTCACTTAACCTGCTTAGACCTATCTCGACACGACGGCCTTCATTCAACAAGCAAGAGCGATATCGCGCGGCCGTCTATTTCCTCCGCCCCACTCGAGCTCAAAAACATCGACCGGGACCCACGCAAAGCCACAAACACGGCCGGCGCGGTAATCCCGGCGCACGCACCGCTACCGAAGCAAGTGCGATGCGACGACGGGATATGACCCTGACCGTCGACTCTACGCGACCCCTGAATCGCCGAAGGCCTGCGCGAGTACCCCATGGTGAGTTCTTTGTCTCCCTCCACTTCCCAGATCACGAACGCGCGCAGGCCGAGTGATCGGTCGATATCTTCGACCAGGTTCTCGGGGTCATTGAGGTGCGAGTTGTCAAACATGAGAGAATCGCTTTCTGACCTGTTGTGCAGCCCGTTCGAGCGGCGCACGAGCCGCCGGAGGCATGCCCGCGCTCCCCAAAGCGATTAATGCGGAAATATGGCAAGTGACCACCTCGCTATTGCAGGCGCGCGCTGACAAATGCGTGCGCACCATCAACAGGCTCTCCCCTAGCTTTTCTACACGCCAGCCGGCTGCCTGTCGTATCCCCTCCGCGTTGAAAAGGCCAAAAACAGGTTTTGGGGGTTACCGAGGTCAGTACAAATGCGCTCACATGAGTAAACTCACATACGAGGTCGCTTACTGACCACCTTTGAAGCGATTTTTTGCGACACCCAAGCCGCCGGAGGCATGCGCGCTGCCCCTAGGGCGAGATATGCGAATTTCCAGTAAGTACTTTCCTCTGACATGGGAGGCGCTTTTTTGACTCTCACTCGACCACCATCAGGTTCTGCAGCTACCGTAGCACACCATCTACGACCTTAAGGCGCACCAAAGGTCGACCCTGACGTCCTTGTCAGGTTCTCGGGGTCATTGAGGTGTGTACAGGCGCCTGAAGTCTATGATTGTCTCCCGAACGCGCCCTGTGTTCGAAAATCGCTGATCAACGTGCTATTCAGGTTTTTTGCGCGACCCTCGAACTGCCGGAGGCATGCGCACAGCCCCTCGGATGAAGCATGCGAACGTCGAGGTACGTGTCATTTTGGAAGGCTGAGGCTCTCGCTGACCGTAACGTGATCCTCGTTCAAGGACGGGGAAATTGCACGCGCTCGCGGCTGCGAAGCGGCGCGGGCACGCGGGAAGTCGTCAAACGAGACAGCAATGCTTCTCCGCGAGTGCGCTGCCTGCGCGATGTAGAGCCGATCGGTAAGTCTTACTGGCCATCCCTCCTGTCCGCGAGCTAACCCGGTCCTCGCAGGGGCGAAATCCCTTCTGCCCCCACGCGACCCACGTTGTCGGCTGCCCTCGAATTCGAGGTGAGGGGAGGTTATGCTGATCCGCGCTAAGGTAAGTTTCCGATGCGGCATCCGTACGCTCGCCGCCAACGCGCACAGACAGCACGAATCGTTGACGACAAAGAGATGCCGCACGCACTCCCGCACCTTGCCGGCCCTGCATGACCGAGGGGAGGGGCAGACTATGCCGATCTGTATTAAGGTATGTCCCTAACCGTAGCTCTGACCTTTTGCGCCTGACGTGAGTATGTAGAAACCGCGAATCTTCACGAAGGAATGTACTATGCCCCCCTTCGCCGCTCCCCCACACCTCGCCTGCACGTCAAACGAAAGAAGACATCATGCCGGTCCGCGCCGAGGTACGCTCCTGACCATAGTCTCACCCGCTTGGTGCTGATCTTTACATGCAGGGAACACGAATTTCGACGAAGGGGATACGCTACGTCCCCCTTCGCAGCCATCCCCCATCACCCCACGTCCCCATCTCCGACTTCCAGCATCAAAGCGACCACATTTTGGCGTCTTTAAGGGCCTATCATCGTGCGACAGGCCCACGCTAGGCAAGGGGGGAAGGTCGATGAGACCGACGGCACATCGGGAAGCTGGGGGTGGGGGTGGCATGCGCGTCCACGCTCGCTCACGAGGGTATGCATCTTCATCTCATATCGCCCGACATATAACTCAGATGCAATCACGACGTAGCCACCGACCTCAATGCTTTGAGGAGGAGAAAGCCGTGCTATGAGGAGGGGAGGAGGGGGTGGGGGAAATCTCCACTGCCATAATTTGGTGAGTCAAGGTAGCGTGGTCGTGATACGTGGTGGCTGAGACGAATGGACGTAGATGGACCTAACAGACCCATCAACGCGTCCCTTGACACCGAGAAGACGGTCGAAGGAGTAGAAGAACATTGGGGGAGGGGAGGGATAAGACCCCCTCGCAACACCTCTACGGCGGCGCGTATCGCCCGTTTCTTCTTGCGCGACGTTGAAGGCGACAGTATGTCGTCCTCATACGAGGTATCTCGGCGAGTGCGCACGAGATGAGCCCCTCAACTCATTTTATCCAGAACCCCCGCCCTCCCATCTCAGCGCCCAAATGCGACCAAGCTGCGCTGTCAGACCCCTTCAACGGCGCTTCCCGTCGCTCAAACAGATCGTTGATGGACGCCGCACAAGTCAGCGCGGCGTCGGCGCGCGTATCTCGCGCCACCGAGGGCGGGGGTGGGGGTGGGGGCATCGCTCCCACCCTCCTTTTCACAAGGTGAGCAATGTTCTCCCTTTCTTATGCTCGGTAGAGCACTTCTAATCGATGAATAGGCATGTGCTATTCGATGGGGAGCAGCTACCGATGCCAGGACCAGATGAGACGAGGTCAGAGGCGAGGAGGAAGTGGGAATGCTGGGGATGAGGACGGGCTCCGTTTCGACAGATTCGGGCGTGAGGGTGCACCGACAGCGCTTGTAGTCATCGGGCGACGCGTCGGACGCTTGGGAACAGCAAGTCGATGTGGCAGGGCTGAGGGTGAGTGCTCGGGGGTGGTTGGATTAGCGCGAGGGAAGGGGCATGCTTACGACGTTTACAGTGTGACTCTGGCTTTCGCGAGAATGCAGAGCAACGCGGAAGGGAAGGAGACGCGCGGAGACGGCGTGGGAGGAGGGCGAGTAGAGCCCGCGCTCCCTCGCACTGGGAGGGCGAGCAGGAGGGTGAGGGCGACGAGGGAGGCTGTGCGCGATGGGGAGGGAGGTCCTCTCCGTCGCAGTGGGCGTTTTCATTCGGCGTTCGTTGAGTACATTGGTCGTGTATCCGTAGAACAGACATCGAATAAAGTTGCATTTGCACAGAATCTACCCAAATTACAAGTGACCGTAAGCTCGATGGATGAAGCGCACCATCCACCGCCCTCCGCCTGCCATCCTGGGGCCCCAAAATGGTGTCTGCCGTGCTGCAGCTCCGTCAGCCCCTCGAGCATCGTCACCTTGCAAGTCGCTCTCCTACCTCTTCTTCTCCTTCGCAGGCCTCTGGCTCATCGAGCGCGCCGGTCGTCGGAAGCTGATGATGTGGGGCGCTGCCGGCCAGGCTGTGTGCTATATCCTCATCTCCGCGCTGCTGTCGCAGGCCAGCGACCCTGAGAACGGGACCAAGTTCGGCGCAGGCGCGACGGCGTTCTTCTTCGTGTACTACATCTTCTTTGGTGAGCCGTGTCTTTAATCATACGAGCGACGTATGATTGACTGGCCCACTCTCGCAGGCATCTGCTGGCAAGGTGTGCCATGGTTGTACCCCGTCGAGATCAACTCGCTGGCGATGCGCACGAAGGGCGCGGCGGTGGCGACCGCGAGCAACTGGATCTCCAACTACTGCGTCGTGCAGGCGACGCCGCCCGGCATCGAGAACCTCGGCTGGAAGTTCTACCTCATCTGGATGTCCTTCAACATCATCTTCGTGCCGGTGCGTATGGGCGGTATACTGTAAAAAAACCTCGAAGGCCAATTAGCGACACAAGCCTCCGAATTCGATGTAAAACGACGCACATTGTCGGTGAGTCCGGTCAGTCGACGCATGTGATCGAGAATTTCTCCACAGTCGAGCGCTGCATAACGGGGTTTCCTTGTGGTCGGGGTTAGCTTAGCGGTGGCTGGTCAAAGGGGGATGCAGTCCACAAGGCACGGACAGCCGTAGGATCTTGATATCTCACGAGGGCGATGCCCTACCGGTGCGAGGGCACCTGCACGCTCACTCAGGGCTAACTGAGGAGTGCGCGCCATGCCCTACTTGATAGGGACGAGTGCGCGAGGGACAATAAGCCGGGGCTCGTCACAGCGCTGGTCACGGGGGCCCCCTCGAACTGAAAAAGCCTCAATTCTGTTTGATGCCAGTCCGAGTGCGCGCCCTCACCTCTTAGCTGCTGCGACGTCCTCTAGGGCTTCGCTCGTTTGGAGTCAAGACGGTATCCAATGACTTACAGCGTCAAGGTGAGTCCAGCACGGCCGAAGTTCAACTTGTCACGTGGCGCGGCGGTGCGCCGGACTTCCCGCTCGCCCCTCCAGGCAGCGACTGACTGCCTGCCAGCCGCGGCCACGGGGGCCAAAAGAGTGCCAAGGACCCTCGCAGTGTAAGTTCTGACCATAGGTGTCAAGTTCGGTCTCAGCGGACGGAGCTGATGTGTCGATTTTCACGAATTCGGCGACTTGTGTCGCTAATTGGCCTTCGAGGTTTTTTTACAGTATACCGCCCATACTATGTCGATGTGGAGAAGGAGCGGATGCAGTATGTGGACTCGACGAAGAAGAAGGAGAAGCTCGCGGACGACGCGTCCATCGAGCACGACGAGGCTCCCGCGGCGCTGAATGCAGCGTAGACCCTATGCTGACTTGGACGCCCGGTCGTAGCCGGGAAAGCTGAAGTTGAGACGAATACCCTCATGATCTTGTGATGTAGTTTATCTCTCGTTTATCCTGTTGTACTTTTAGATGATTTATCCTTACACGTCGACTTGCGTGACACAGCAGGCGAAAATGCAGAATCCCGAGAAGAAATCACCTTGTGGGTCCGCTACAAGCAGATCACGTGAAATCTGACATTAGGCGCCCGTTTCTGATCTGGGTGCTTGATCTCGCCCACAAACTAACCTCTGGTCAAGCTAAACTAACTCCAGCCTCTTGACCTGAGCCACCATCATGGACGAGGCCTTTACCCAAGAACTCGAAAACGACTTTGCCAGACTGCTCCTCGGTGGCCCCGATGCTGTTGACGCCCAGGCAATCGTGCCTCGAGCGCGAACGATTGGTACCCCAGCTACTCCCTCGACCGATGAGGGGTCTCCTTCCACCTCGACGAGTACGAACAAGAAGAAAAGCAAGAAGAAAAAGAAGGCGAGCCAACGGTGCACGCCCACAGGCTCCCCGCTGTACGATGCGGTCGACGAGCACGCGCATGCGATCTTGAGCGCGGCACACGATGAAGTGGCGGCGCGGAAGGCGCGAAAGAAAGACAGGAAGACGATATGTGGGAGGTGCGGACGGGACAAGCTAGTGGGGACGCGATTGCAGACATGCTCGATGTGCAAGTGCGTACGGTGGCCAGTGATCGAGGAATATACTGATTGACGGTGAACTCGCAGGTCTATCAATTAGTGAGTTGGCTTCGTAGACGAACAGCCCAGTCCCTTCTGAGCAACCTTCCCTCAGCTGCTCGCAGAACTGCCAACGCGAACACTGGCAAGCCGGACACAAGGAAGAGTGCTACGGCTTTGTGCACCCACCCTTCGCGAAGACGTTCGACCCCTCCGACCGGCCCGATGTCGACTGGCCAATATGCCCCATCTTCTGCCATCACAACGAGAACGGCCTCGGACTGTGGATGACCACGGCTGGCGAGCTTGGTACCCTGTGCGTAACTAGTTCCTTCACGCATCTGCATCGTCGCTGAACAGTTTTGCAGACTTCAGCAAGCGTTTGAGCCGCCTGAGGGACGCGATACCGATACTCCGTCTGACGGGCCCCCGTCATATCAACGCTGGGCGGGTCTGAAGGGCCCTAATAAGCGTCCTTTCGGGCGAGAGCTCAAGAAGTACATGGGCTCGACGTTAGTCTGCTTTCGCATCATCGTGCAGAACCGGCGCAGGGACGGGCGCGCTATCGCAGTCATCGCTGGTCAAACGATGTACACTGTCTTCGGCTACCTCAAGAACAACCTGCTACCCGAGGACCTCAAGACCGCCAAGTTCCATACTACGCCTGGCGGGTAAGGCTCATAACAAAGCATGCCTAGCATTGGACTGACACTTGTCACCAGGAGCGACCTGATGACCGTATCCCCGTGGAAGGACTACAACGGCCGCCTGCGCGTATCCATCGTCGAGGTCAACGGCGTTCAAGCTCCCAAGGGCAGGTTCAATGGTCCCGGAGGCGAATACAAGCCCCAACCCCGCCCTACCGGCCAGCCCTGGGATCGCGTCATCGATTGGGATGACGGGGAGGTCATCCTCGGCGCGGGCGACTACGCCGTCTACTGCGTCCAATACCGCCTCGGCGACGGAGACGGGTGGAAATCGTACCCGGAGATCATGGCGCGCTCCGCCGAGCTTCTCGTCCCCGCCTTCGTCGCGCAGGCGAAGAGCACGGACGGCGCGGGCTGGCGCGACGCGGCGTGGCGCGAGCTGAGCATGGCGCGCATCCGACCTCAGCAGCCGCGCGACTTCTTCGTGATGAAGGCGACGCCGGACTTCAAGTACATCGACGAGTATTACCGGCCGTACTTCGAGGAGGGGCCGGATGAGTTCGATGCGAAGCGCCAGGGGACGCGGGCGGCGCAGGCGAATGAGATGATGAAGAAGGCCGTGCCAATGCAGCTCAAGGCGCTGATGGGGATGCTGCCACCGGACAAGCGGGCGGAGGCGGCTGCGCGGTTTAGGGCGCTGGGGTGGGATATAGAGGAGTTGATTAGGGAGATCTAGGCCTTCAAATCAATCGGTTTGCCATGAACATCGTTTGTGTACTGCACCGACCATATATTATTACTGACCGCGAACGAATTTACCCAAGGATATCTGGCATGATTTGGTCAAAATTGTACGATAAAAACACAATACATCAATTGGACAGTAGTTGACGCCGGCAACTCTTGTGAGGGACTGGGACGACGGGGACTCTCCCCCCGCGACGCGGAGTAAGGCGACTATTATCTTTTCCAATCACTTACCTTTTTGTTACGGACTCACGAGGACTCGTACGTACATAGGCGCCCACAGCGCCTTAGATAAGCATACATACGCACGTGGCGACGGCGGCGCGACGCGACCGCCGTCGGGAATATACGACACCTTTCTATCTCGCAAACCCCATCAGCCCTTCTCGACGTCTAAGACGCATCGAGCAGGGGCCCGGAGGTTGCACGAGGGTCCACCGCTTAGAAGCGTAGCCGTGAATTCACGGCTACTTGGGAACAGCCCGCCTCGAATTCGAGGCGCACTGAGCTCCTTCTCAGCGGAGAACCACTTCGCGGCACGCCTCCCGCTCACGAGCATCCCCACGCGGTCGGCAGCCACCGCAAAGTGGACACTGTGGGATCTCGTGAGTGATCTCCGTCTACCTGGTCAAGCTGTATCCGTTCGCTACTAGGCATAGTCGACGCCTGCGCAGGGAGGAGGCCGAATTTACGGGATCGCCGATCGACGCTGGTCGCGTCGAACGCCGTTCAGTCTCAGCCCCGCTCGCCCGAAGCCGTATACCACGGCTGTCCCTCCAGTACCGACGTCACTCATCCTCGGACTCCCCTCTCACTCCGATCTCCGACGCCGCCTCCCTCAACCTTGAGACTTTCGCCGCTAATCAGACTCAAGAACACGTCTCTCTGTTCGACATCCAGCTTGACCTCAACATGCCGGACTCGACGCCCGGTTCAGCCGCTGAAGTGGAGCGCGAAATGGAACGCAGTAGCCGTTCCCCTCGCGAACCTTCCCCCACTCGGAGCCAGCTTGGGCGTAACCGTCTCGAGACGATACGAGTCATGTACGAAGACGAGATGTCCAACGCCGACGCTCTCCTACCGACCGAGCTTCGCTCCCTGAGGGGACGAGTTCACAAGTACGCCACCCGGCGTGAGTTGACGATCAGCGACATCGTGGACTGCGGCAGGGCCACGGGAACTGATGAACCTCGTTACGCCGTCAAGTACGATCTCACTAAGCCCGTTTTCGACACCGTCTCGAAGATGCAGCTGGTACTCACCTCCCTCACCGCGTACCTGCCCGAACGCACCCACACGTACCAGATCGACCCGAAGGACGCCTTCAGCCGGATCCTCTTGCACGCCGCCTCCCTTCAGGAACTGCAACTCGCTTGGGTAGGCCTAACAGGGCGACTAATGGGTGCCGAACGAGTGTACGAGAAGTATTTCGCGGAAGCGCTGAGGGCGAACGGCGTGAACGACGCGGAGCTACACTCGCAACCGACCACCACTCCGTCGACCGTCTACCGGAAGATAGAGGAGGAAGAGGATCCCCACCGACGGCTGCGGTTAGCTCTGGGAGGGCTGCCCAACGCCAGGGCGGCGACGGATGGGCCCCGCTCAGGGAGAGCGGTCGAGCAATTCCTGGACGCAGACGTCCGGGAAATGACTCGGGTACCGACCCCTATCGCGAGAGCCTTCCCTCCGCGCGAAGCAGAGCCCAACCCCGCGCTCGTCTACTACGACGAGCTCGATCGGAGACGGGAGATACCCCCGAGGACGACGTACGAAAACCCGCTGGGGTATTCGCCCGTGGACTCGCCGCGAGGACGTACCGAATCGTGGAGGCGAGGCGTGGACCAAACCGCTCCTCCACAACCACCGCCTCTGCCGCCTCGGCCTCCAGCACCGCCGCCCCCGGCGCCACCCGTCGACAAAGGAGGCCAAAGCCCGCATTCGTCATCGTCTTCCAGTACGACCAGCCACGAGTCGTCAGACTCGTCGTCCTCCTCTTCGAGCTCGACGTCAGACTTCTCGTCTAGACCTTCCGAGCGCCGCCACCGTCGACGGCGAGGCCGGCTTTCGACGTTCCAGGAAATGCACTTACAGCCGATCGAGGAGGAAGACCCTCCTCCTGACCCGTCGGATCACTCTTCAGACGCGGGGAAGCGGAGAAAGAAGAAGCGGTCCAAGGACAAGAAGAAGAAGAAGAAGAAGGGCGCGGAAGGAGGAGGAGGGGGCGATCCCCCCCGGCGACGAGACGAACCCGGTCAACGCGTCGAAGGCGCCCATCCCGGGCATCAACCCCGTCATCAAGCCCGAGAGCCTACCTTCGTGGGATGGCAACCGCAACACGGCCATGGTGTACTTCTGGAACATCGTGGAGTTGGCGCGACAAGGGGGAAGGATGCCCCAAGCTTTGGGTGAGTGGTTGTGGGCAAGGTTGGTTCCTAACTCCCCAGTTCAGCGTTGGTATATGACCTTGAGCGAAGCGCGCAAGGACTACATGAGGGAAGGGCACAGCAATTACATTTCGTCCATCCGTCGGCATTACCTAGGACCAGCTTGGATGAGTGCGCTCTCGTCCGACTTCCGCATGCAGCACTTCCGCGACCCGAAGAACCCTCGTGAATCGCCGCAGGACTTTATTCACCGCCGGATCATGTACTGCAGGTCGCTGGGCTACGCGACTGAGGACTCTCGGCACGAAGCGAAGTTGATCATGGACGTCGCCCCTAAAGGATGGAAGCTGATGCTGAACTTCACCTCCGTCAAGAGCACCGACGAGTTGCAGGCACGGGTCATCGAGCACTCGGAGGACCTGGTGCTGGCTTACACGCGCGACAAGAGGCTCGAGACCGCAGCCGAGAGACCACCGTCGCGTCCTTCCTGGCGTGCGTCCGCTGGGGCCGCCAAGGACGTCGCGCACGCTTACGACGTGGAGACGATGGAGGAGGAAAGCGAGGAGCTTCCAGTATCGGGCGAAGGAGCGGAACCGGAAGGACTGCAACGCGACTTGTTCGCCGTCGCGTACGCGGTCGCCGCCAAGAGGGCCGCCGCGAATACCTCGTATTCTTTCCCGGCGAGGGACGATGTCCTGTCTAAGGGCAAGAAACCGCCTCCCGGACCGTGTTTCGCCTGCGGCAGCCTCAAGCATTGGAATAAGGACTGTCCGCATTGGAACGAGTTCGAGAAGCGGCGCCGGGAGACTGGCTTGCTGGTCGAGTCGGCCGCCGATCTAGCTTACGACACGGCGTATGTCCTGGCCGTGGAGCAGGGTTTTGACCGGGCGTCCCGAACTCTCGCGGGCGGCGAGCAGGGAAGGAGTAAGACCCAGGAGGAGACCGAAGGCGGTGACATCGGCGAGAGGGAGGAGGTGTTGCTGATGGGAGTTTCGCCGTTCGTGTCGAAAATAGAAGAAATTGCAGATGATTATTGGCATAGAGGGGAGTGTCTCCCGGTCGAGTCCGTGTACTACCTGGAATCTATATGGGAAGGGGACGGTGACGCTGAGGGGCTGGAAGGACGAGGAGTTAAGGAGGAGATCAACTTGGCTTGCGCGGAGGAGCCGCCACCTCTGGACGAGGCGTTGGCGGCCCTTAAGCCTTATGATCCAGGGAAAATTCGTCTGGTTCCACGGAGGGGAGCGCTAAGATTGCCTGATGGCAATACCTCAGTTCTGAGCGTGAGGGGAAGAGTGGGGTCTTCCCGCGACGTGGAAGTCGACCTAAGGATCGACTCGGGCGCGAGCGTCACCCTGGTCTCCCTCGGTCATTACCACAAGCTGATAAGCCCGCCGCCGATCCGAACTGAGGAAGGTTCGCGCCTGATGCAGCTCACGAAGCGGGACGCCCCGGTGAAAGGGAAAGTGCGACTGTCATTCCAGATCTTCTGCAACGACGGCACCACGCTGGAGATGGACTGCGAGGTACAAATCGTCGAAGGAATGACCGTGCCCGTCCTCCTCGGGGAAGATTTTCAACAGGCGTACGAGTTGTCGGTGCGCCGTGCGCTGGAACTGGACGGGACTAGTTCCACGACCATCGAATTCGGGGGCGCGCCCGAACATCCCATTTCCGCTACTCCTGTACGACGAAGCCCCGACTACGACCGGGTCGCTAAGTCATTTCTGGGGGAAATGCCAGCCGAGAAGATCGCGCGGGGGAGCTTCGTGTCGAGAGCCAAGCAGAAGCTACGGGAAAGAAAAAGGAAAGCTGAGATCTTAGACTCCCTTATCCTCGCCGCTAAGGACACCCGACTGCCCCCTAACACTTGCGTTAAAGTGGAGGTGCTCGGCCCCTTTGAGTCCCCGGGGGAATGGGTGGTGGAGAAGATCCTGCTCTCCTCCGACGACGACCGTTTTCTGGCGGTCCCAAACACTATCATCTCGTCGGCCGCCCCCTTTGTACCTCTGGCTAACCCGTCAGACTCACCCCGAATGATCAGGAAGGGCGAAGTACTCGGTCGAGTGATCCCTGCTCAGGAGTACTTCGACAAGCCCGGGTCGCAGGAGAAGTTGGACAAGATGAAGAGACACGCGGATTTGATGGAAGGATTATGCAGGGCGAGGATGGCGAGTCCGGAGAACCAGAAGAAGACCAAAGCGCGAGCCCCAGACAAGGCGTGGAGGATGCCTCATCCGCAGAACTACGGAGCTTGGGCCGCCGGTCAAGAGCCCGCCAGAAGCCGCTTCCACATGCCCGACGAACAGGCGTACAGCACTTGGGCCCAACCGCCTAAGAAGCCACCGGACAGAGCTGAGGAGGAGGCAGAGGACGAGTACGGCCCAAAGACAGCCGCTCTACCCGAGTCAGAACCTATCCCCAGCGAGCAATTCCGAAAGATTCTCGACGTAGGGGCGCTACCCGAGGAGCTGAAGGAGCGAGCGTGGAAGATGCTGGAGAAGCGAATCAAGGCATTCGGGCTGGACGGCAGGCTGGGGAATTACCCTGCGAAGGCGACCATCCGAACCAGGGAGGGCCAGATCCCCATCGCCGAGCCCATGCGAGGAGCGTCCCCGGCGAAGAAGGAGGTTATGGATCAGCAAATAAACGCCTGGTTCGCGCAGGGTGTCATCGAGCCATCCATTAGCCCCTGGAGCGCCCCGGTGGTGATTGCTTACCGCAACGGGAAGGCGCGTTTTTGCGTGGACTATAGACGGCTCAACGCGGTCACCATCCCGGACGAATTCCCCATTCCACGACAATCGGAGATCCTGGCGTCGCTATCAGGCGCGCAAGTATTATCTTCACTGGACGCGCTATCGGGCTTCACGCAGCTGGAGATGGACCCAAAAGACGTGGAGAAGACCGCCTTTCGTACGCATCGCGGTCTGTTCCAGTTTAGGCGCATGCCCTTCGGCCTACGAAACGGCCCGTCCATTTTCCAGCGCGTGATGCAATCCGTGCTGGCGCCGTACTTGTGGTTATTTGCTCTGGTGTACATCGACGACATTGTCGTCTATTCCAAGTCGTTTGAGGAACATCTGGAGCACCTGGACAGGGTGTTAGAAGCCATCGAGAAAGCGGGCATTACGCTATCCCCCTCGAAATGCCACCTTTTCTACGATTCCATTATCCTACTCGGTCACCGCGTCTCTAGGTTGGGGTTATCCACGCATTTGGAGAAGGTGAAGGCCGTGCTTGAACTGGCGCGACCGACGAAGGTAGCGGAATTACGCGCCTTTCTGGGCATGACGGTCTACTTCAGCGCGTTCATCCCGTACTACGCCGATATCTGCACCCCGCTTCACCGGCTCCTACGAAAAGACGTATCGTGGGAATGGGGACCGGAAGAGGAGTACGCCTTTGTACAAGCCAAGACCGCCCTGCAGCGCGCGCCGGTCCTCGGACATCCGCAGGAAGGGCAGCCGTACCGACTGTACACGGACGCGTCGGATTACGCGCTGGGTTGCGCATTGCAGCAAGTACAGGCTATCAAAATCAAGGATCTCGCAGGCACCAAGCTGTACGATAAGTTGCGAGAAGCGCACCAAGCGGGTCGGCCACCTCCACGACTGGTCACGAAGCTGTCGGACAAGTGCAATGACGCGCGAGTGGCGAAGGAATGGGCCGCGGAGTTCGAAGAAACAGAGGTTTACGTCGAACAGGTGATAGCGTACTGGTCGCGCTCGTTCAAGGGAGCGGAGGCGAGATACAGCACCACGGAGAGAGAAGCTCTGGCAGCCAAGGAAGGATTGGTGAAATTCCAGCCGTACATCGAAGGCGAGAAAATCCTCCTCGTAACGGATCACAGCGCGCTTCAGTGGGCGCGCACATACGAGAACAGCAATCGGCGACTAGCGAACTGGGGGGCGATCTATTCCGCATACGCGCCCGGACTGGAGATCATACACCGTCCAGGCCGCGTGCATTCTAACGTCGACCCTCTGAGCCGCATCCCACGCGCGCCGCCGCCGCATACCTCGCCAGCGAGAACGGAGGGACCAGCTTTATCGACAGACGAGGCTGCGGCGCAACTGCGCGAAGAGGCTGCGCTGCGAGCGCCAGCTACTAAGGTGTTCGAGACAGCTCACCTAGTCGATTGTCTGCAGGACCTCCCGAGCGCATACGCAGCAACCACACGAGCCGCCGCGCGTCGCCTTGCACGCGGGGGGGCTGAGGAGGCAGAGAAGACAGCGGAACCGAAGCGGGAGGAGGAGCAGACCGAGACTCGCGAGCAAGACGAGCCGGCGGAAGACGCGAGTGGCGAAGACTCCGACCAGGAGGATTTCATTCCAGGCGACGGTTACGAAGGGGTATTCACAAGACAGCCGGCAATACTATTGCGCATGGAGCCCGAGGAAGCCAAGGAGTTCGTCGACGAGTACCTCCAGGAGCTGTACTGGGAGCGAAGATGGAAAGATGCTAACGACGAGTCAACGACATTCACGCCGGGCCGACGCTTCCACAAGACGGAGGATGGACTCTTATTCTTCCTGGACGCCGACTTCCTGCCTCGCCTCTGCGTACCGGACAAACTGGTCCCGCGGATACTGAGGGCGGCGCACGAGGAACCGATGGAGTGCGCGCACGGCGCGGCGGCGAAAGTATGGGCGAAGCTGTACCCCAAATTCCACTGGCGGCACATGCGCAGGACCATCGACGCATTCTGCAAATCCTGCGACGTCTGTCAAAAAGTCAAGTTCGACAACTTTAGGAAGTTCGGCACCCTGATACCTAATCCCATACCGCCGCACCCGTACGACTCAGTGTCGATGGATTTCATCACGGGTCTACCGGAATCGCACGGCTTCACGGGTATATTCGTGATAGTGGACCGATTCACAAAGCACGCCCAATTCTTACCGATCCCCGCCAAATTCGACGCTCAGGCAGCAGCGGAGGTATTCGTGAGGAACGTAGCGACGCGGTACGGCCTCCCGTCCAGCATCATAGCGGACAGAGACCCGCGATGGGTCTCCGACTTCTGGAAGGAGATGTCCAAGCTACTAAGGACACGAATGATGCTCTCCTCGGCACACCACCCCCAGCACGACGGACAGACCGAGGTCCTAAACCGAACGCTCGAGACGATGCTTCGAGCCTACGTAGCGAGCGACACCAGCCAGTGGGCATCGCTGCTACACCTCCTCGAGTTCGCCTATAACTCAGCCGAGCATAAGAGCACCGGGGAAGCCCCCTTCAAGCTGCTGCTCGGGCGCGTTCCCCGCTCACCCCTCGATGCGGTATACGAAGGACGGCTGAACGCCACCGAACCTCCCACGGACAAAGACTTGGAGGAATACCTGGCGCAGCTGGACGTTGCGCGGCAAGCGGCGAGGGACGCAATCGCGCTGGCGCAGGAAGAACAAGCGAAAGCGTACAACCGAGGGAGGAAGCCTGCGCCCGTCTTCGCGGAAGGGGAGAGGGTGCTGGTCAACCCGCATTCGCTTGAGTGGGTGGAGGCGAAAGGGAAGCCGAAGCTCAAACAGCGGTGGATAGGTCCATTCGAGGTCGCGCAGAGGATCAGCCCCAATACCTACCGGCTGCACATGAGCGACAAGTACCCCGGCTTCCCGGTCTTCAATATACAGCACCTTAAGCGCTATCGCGAAAATCCCCTGCCAAAGGACGAACCCAGAGCCACCTTACCGGAGACGCGAGGCGAGGAGAGGGCCAGCAAGGAGTATGAAGTCGAGAAGATCGTTGAGCACAAGTGGGACAAGAGGAAGAGGAAGCGAGTATACAAGGTACGGTGGGTGGGGTACGGCCCCTTTTACGATACGTGGCAGACGCAGAAGGACCTGAAGAACGCGGATGAGGTCCTGAGGAAGTATAAAAGGCAGCATAATTTACGGTAGTACCGCCGAGCGAGGCTCGGATAATGCCGGTCGGGCCGGCAGGCAGCCACGTGCCCGCACGTGCCGACCGCGCTGTAGCATACGCGATTTTTCCCGACTGCTTCTACGTTCTACTTCCACCACTCGAAAGGAGCGTGGTCAAATTTGGCTGCCCTCCCTAGAGTCCTGCTCTTCGTCGAATTCGGCGTCTAGCGGGTATATCATGACTTTCTACTTTTTCATCGCCCTGGGCGCAGACGCCCCTCCTCTCCAGGTCTACCACTTCGAGCACGGAGATACTTGGGTCGCCATCGGCGGCTGCTACGAGGATCTACTGCAGAGCCCCCGCGCGGAACGCCTGCTGCGCCCCGAGGACCGCGAGGACGGCCCCGGACCACGCTGGATAGTCATCCCTTTCCTCTGGCGCCCATACGGACCCTCCACCGTCATCTCGAGCCGCGATCCGGTGGCGCCCCTCCTCTGGAAGCCTGATATCCCCGACCTCCTGACGAACCGCGAGGGCAGCCGCATCGCGGCGGATAGGATTCAACAAATGATGGACGCCGCCCGCGCTTTCGTGCAGATCGCCGAGCGACTGCGCGATTCAGCACCACCCGCCTTCTTCCTCCGCGACGGCGCGCGCATCAAGCCGACCGACGTAGACTTCCTGAGCATCCAGGGACGAGGCGAAGCCGACTGGATCCTCGAACGCGCGCGCGAATTCAACACGGCGGCGATGGACCACGTCTCCTTCACTGCATGGTTCACCCTCAACTTCCGCGGCTGGGAGGAAGTCCTGTCGCCCGAGCAGCTGGAGGTGGTGCGTGCCTGCCAGTTCAAGGATCGCCCCAAGAAGGGGTGTCTTCTTAACCTCCTAGTCGACTACCCTCTCGTCAACTTCGAGCGTTGGATTAAGCACAAGGTGCCCATATACTACATCTTCACGGAGGCCATGTACTACCTCGACCGCTTCGTGCGCGTTCGCCCGGACATCATCCAGGACTATTGGGAAAGGAGGCAGTGTCAGAACACGGAGGAGGACCTTAAGGACTTCTACTGTCTGGTGGAGCCGGCGACGATCGAGTACGACGACTTCTTCCAACAACGCCTGCAGCGACGAACCTTAGTCGACACCCCTCGCTTCCACTACCGGCCGCAAGTCATGTACTCGGTACAGATCTGCCAGGGGTACCGCCCGTACATCGTTCACAACCCTACCCTCGCCAAACTCCTTCTCGAGCGCTACGAGGCGATCAACAGACCTGAGACGCCGGGCAGGATCCGGATGGCGCGCTGGGCCGCCCGCGAGCCTTACCGGGGGCCGGAGGACGAGAGAGAATTCACGATGGACCCTGGCACGACGGGGCTACCCTCCGACCTCCCCTTTGCCGATAAGTCGTTTGACCGCGACTCGCAATGGGTCGAGAACGACTACCTGACCTTGCGCGAGCTCTTCAAACTGTCATTCGCGCCACGGCCCGGCGAGGCCTACAATATTGAAGGAGGACGGTCGGCCTTCCCTTTGGAAGAAGGGGGTGGTTTGAAGGAGTTCGAGAAGGAGCTCGTCGCACGCGCGGTGTATGAAGGGAAGAAGCGCCCCGAGGAGTACCTGGAGTTCCACGACTGGGAGATCGGATGGGGAGGGCAAGTCGAATGGATGCTGTCCATCGCCCAGACCGCTTCAGCGGTATCCGACGACGCAGAGATGGGCGACCCCCGTCCACTCGAGGAAGGAGAGCTGACCGACGACAGCCACGGGTCCAGCTCCGAGTCGGACGAGTTCACGACCGCTCCTCTGAGCAGGCCTTCGCTCGGACAGCGCATCACGGACCCCACGACAGGCGAGCCAGTATGGCAAAGAGGGCTCGCCGCGCGGTTGTCGTCCCCGAGCGAGGTCGATAGGCGCCGGGGAAGGCGCACGCGGTGGGACGACGAGAGCTCCGAGGGAGAAGGAACCCCCGCCAGCAGTGTCGCCTCGTCCGGGCGAGTCTGGCAGACGGAGAGGCGGAGTGCGTCTCCAGTACGAACGTCGCGCCTCGCCGACCCGGGACGGACCTCCAGCAAGGTGTACAGCGAAGGGCACACGCGCTGGAAGGAGGTTGAGGAGGGCTTCTGGAGACAGCTGGACGAACTAGCCAACCGCATGACCATGCCCCGAGGACCTTACGTGCGCGACGACGTACGACGACCAAGGATCGATTGGAGCGACGACTTCGTGGCGCGCGGACTCCTACATGTGCACGGCTGGGAGGACCGCGTTCGCCTGCTCCTCTACACCATCTACCACCGGTCCCTCCGTACGCCAGTCCACGTGCTCGACTTCGTCGTGGAGAAGGGGATGAAGGTTTCCTTCCTCGTGCCTCGCGATCCGGTGCCGACGCTGGCGCAGATCGGCTCGCGCAACCCTCCCTCGTCAACGCTCTTTTCCCCGCTGTCGGGAAGAACACCGAGGGAAGTATTCCGCATCTGGGAGAGTCAGTTACAAGGTCCTGCCTGGGCGAAGACGCACTTCGCCGCTTTCCTAGCCGAGGGGGGCACCATCGCGTATCTCGTGCGGCACTACGCGAAGGACTACCTCGACTGCGCAGGGTCGGGGGTGAGCCCGGAGAGCCGAGCCTACACGCTCAATAGCTTTCCCCTCCCCGTTAGCTGCAAGCTCGGCGGCAACTACTTCGTGGTGCGAGACGTCGCTGGAGATACGGAGCTGGAGGCTATCGGGGGGCAGGTCGCCAACTCCCGCGACGAGATGAACCCGTACTACGTCGTTCCCCCGACAGCGACCTTCGACTCTCCGGAATGGATCATCGGCACGGGCGAATGGGGCGAAGCGGAGGAGGCGTACCTCAACGAGGTCCTGCACCGTTGGAAGACCGGGAAGGAGACGAAGCTGAGGACCGCGGTACAATGGGCGAAGCACGCCGGCGTCTGGGCGCACGCTTACAAGCAACGCCGGCCGGAGGAAGCTAAGCGCGAGCGTGTCCCGAGCGGCAGCGAATGCGAGGAGTGGTGCAAGAAGTTGGAGGAGGCTTTCGGCGTATCCCTCGAGTTCCGCAAGGTCGCTGACTTGGTCAAACCACTCAAGGCCAAGAACCTGCGACAGTTCCGCTGAGACCTGCGTCACGCGTGGAGAGTGGGGGGCTTTGTGAGGGACTGGGACGACGGGGACTCTCCCCCCGCGACGCGGAGTAAGGCGACTATTATCTTTTCCAATCACTTACCTTTTTGTTACGGACTCACGAGGACTCGTACGTACATAGGCGCCCACAGCGCCTTAGATAAGCATACATACGCACGTGGCGACGGCGGCGCGACGCGACCGCCGTCGGGAATATACGACACCTTTCTATCTCGCAAACCCCATCAGCCCTTCTCGACGTCTAAGACGCATCGAGCAGGGGCCCGGAGGTTGCACGAGGGTCCACCGCTTAGAAGCGTAGCCGTGAATTCACGGCTACTTGGGAACAGCCCGCCTCGAATTCGAGGCGCACTGAGCTCCTTCTCAGCGGAGAACCACTTCGCGGCACGCCTCCCGCTCACGAGCATCCCCACGCGGTCGGCAGCCACCGCAACTCTGTGTTCCATGCGACGATGACAAGGTCGAAAGGGATGAGGGAAAGAGGACGTCAATTGGGTCTGGGCTTGTTGAACAAAGCCCATGAAATTTGGACGATCTCCTTCCTCACACCGTCCGCCCTAGCGTCATTCCCCGTGAGACGGAACAGCATCTCCAACGCAACATAAAGGATGTAGTAGTATCGCAACCCCTCCGCTCCCTCCTTGCGCATGAGGGCAATGCGCCCAAGCGTCGTCTTGAGCGCCGTGGAAGGATCACCAGCGAGAGGGTCCTGAACACGGCTAAAGGCATCGATTTCCAGGAGCCGTGCGTCGGATGCGACGGGGTCCAAGCACGACTTGCAGGTGCATTTGAATCCGTAGGAGGCGAGCACAGACTTGCGCTCCTCGTACAGCGTACCCAAGCCTGCGTACGAGATGTAAATCTCTTCTCCTGCTTTGATAGGCCGCACGGGGCGAAGGAACATGGCAAAAAGGTCGGTGTCAAAGTGCCAATACGCATTAGGGCGGCAGCTAGAGAACAGGTCGGTGACCTGGATGCGGAGATAGGAGAACTCGTCATACCTGTGATTCACGCGCGAGATTTCGTCCATAACAACAGAGAATAAATCGCCGGGAAAATTAGGCATGCCCCTGTATGCGTACTTTTCCGACACGGCTAAGCCATTGGTCCTGAAGCGCCCGACCAAAGGGCCACTTCCATCGCCTTCGTGTATATTCTTCAGCGCCCTGTACGCCGAGCTCCGCTCGGGAGGCATTCTCTCCAAGAGCGTCTTCAGATAGCGCTCCAGGGACTTGAATTGCGCCTGCGAGAGCTCCCTCTTGGTCACCGAGGGCGGCATCCCATTGGGGAAGTCCTCAGGACTTGGCGGAAGCCTGACGGGTGCCATGATCAGAGGCCTCTCGGCGAGGATAAGATCTCCGGTTTGAAGGTCTCGCGCAGCAAACATTCCGAGGCCCTTTCCCTCGGCCGGCGCGATGCGGTACGCGGGCGTCTCGTTTCGAGGAAGTACGATGGAGGGCCGCGCGGATAAGGTCGCGTGGATGGATCGCTCAGTCGCCGAGTCGACTATAGCTTCGCACCAACCGTCGAGCTCTTCGGCATGCGAGGGAGTGGGCTTGCGAGCGGGAAAGGATGTGTAGACGATATCGAAGGTAGGCAAAGGGATGTTCTTGCCCTGGGCCCGAGCGCGCCGCTCCGGAGGGAAGGCAGGCGCATCCGAAACAACTGTTTTGGGTTCAGCAAAGTCAGGGCGACCACACAGCTCACAATGGACGCACGCTCGTCAGCAATCTTCCCCCTGTTAGGAATGACGGGATCGCTTGAGGCTGTCGACACCACTGGCCCGATGTCAGGGTCATCGGGCGATCCAGAGAGGTCCGCGCCACCCGATTTGAGAAACCCGCGCTTGAAGTTCATGATGGCGAGGGTCGAGGAAATGGGGGATGGCAGCGCTCGCCGCTTTTGAGCATCGCGAGGAAGAGCTTCTTTTCGTGACTGTGCGAAGACTTGACGAAGACGGGTACCTCTGGCCGAGAAGGGCGCCGGTCCGAGTACCCAGGGAGCATATGCTGGAGAGCACATCGACCGGGTGGTGCGAGAGATACGATCAGTCTCTTCGTATTACGAAGTTCGCATCTCGTGCTCAATGGGCAACCATTAATGATGAAGTTGAGCCTGAGATTGCCGTTGTGTGCCGTACGTCCTTCGCAATGATTTTGAGAAAACAGTATCCCATTGTCGCGCAATATCTCTCGTCAGAGAAAAAATGGCGCCAGGAAGGAAGTGGTTGCAGGAGACAAGAACAAGACCGAGAATCAACGACGGACTCGGAACCTCCCGAACTCGTACAGGGGTTTATTCTCACGCTTGCTAACGTTCCCAAACTACATTTCAGAGGACGGAAGGAGCTCTCTAGATGTTTACATTATCAGTGATACAATCCCCTATATATCTTTAAAAGAACAAGCTAAACCCAGGCTCGTTGAAGTGAGCCCACGAAAGCCGGTCGCTTTCCTTCTTGACTTCGGCAGCCCGAGCGAGGTCGCCCATCAAACGGAAGGTCATCTCCAGCTGGACGTAGAGACTCTTGTACTGCTGCAGCTCCTCTAGCCCCTCCCTGCGAATGAGGGCGATGCGGCCAAGCGTCGCCTTGAGCGCGCCAGATATATCACCGCGCTGCAGCTGGCTCTCCAGAGGCGTCGCGATCTCCAAGCGCCGCGCGTCGGATGCGGCGGGGTCCAAGCACGCCTCGCACTTGCACTCGAAACCGTAGGGCGCGAGCTCGGCCTTGCGCTCCTCGTATGGTGGACAGCCTCCAGCGAAGTATGAGATGCAGATCTCCTCGCCCGCTTTGATGGGGCGCACGGGGCGCAAAACCATAGCGAACCACTTGGTGTCGAAGAAGTTTCTTGCGTTCGGGCGGCAGCTGGCGAAGTGAACCGTACGTGCGTTAGCATGAGTATGCCGCACGGCGAGCGAGCTGCGCCCAGCGTACCTGTGATTCGCGCGCGAAATGTCCTCCAGCACGACGGAGAAGATGCCCGCCTCGTCTTCCTTGCCCATGAACTTGTACTTCCCCTCGATCCCAATCCCATTCGTCCGGAAACGTCCCATGAGCGGACCGCAACCGTCGCCCTCATGGCAGTTCGTCAGCGCTTCATATGCAGCGCGCCGCTCGGGGGACATCTTCGCCACCAGACGCTCGATCTGCCGCTCCCCCGCTTTGAACTGCGCCTGGACGAGCTCCCTCTGCGTGATGTCGACCGGCACCCCGTCAGGGTAGTCCTCCGCGCTCGCCGAATTGATCACGGGGGCCATGACCAGAGGACGCTCGGCGACGATGAGATCGCCAGTCTGCAGGTCGCGCGTAGCGATCATCCCGAGGCCTTTGCCCCCGATCGGGGCGATGCGATACGCGGGGGTTTTGTTGCGGGGGAGTTTGGGTGGCGGGTGTTCGGCGAAGAATTTGAGGGTGGAGCGCTCCGTGTCCGAGTCGACCAGCGCTTCGCACCAACCGTCGCGCATCTCAGCCTTCGAAGGGTTGTCCGAGCGCGCAGGGAGCGTCGTATAGACGAAGTCAAGCTTGGGGAGGGGAACCTTCCCCCCGTCCTTGAACCAAGCGCGCGTCTCCGCAGGTATGGCCGGAGCATCTGAGTTCTCTGCGCGATCATCAGTACGATGGTAGAAGTCGAAGATGCAGTGGACGCACTGGCATTGGCGATGGTCATCTTCTCAGGCCCAGCCGCTTTCTTTGCGCCTGTGTGGGCGCCTTCGCCATTCATCTTGGCGACATCGGCAGACGAGTATTCTTGGACATTCCAGCTCTCCAAAGGGGCGATCATCGACAGCTTCTTCGCGACCTCGGGCGGGATACTGATCGGTTTGGCACCTGTGCCCGTTGGCGCGCTACCAAAGGTAGGTACTGCCGGTGGGGATGTCGCATCCGGCACTGGGGTCTTCGTATTGATCACCGCGGGCGTCGCAGCCTCCGCGTTGGGCACTGCGACGGCTGGCTCAGGCTTAGGCGCTGCGCTGGCTACGCGCACTGTATCAGAGGTGTGATCAGCGCGATCGTTGAGTATCTTTCCCATGGGGCGCACCTGGTTCCGGCTCGACACCGCGACGCGCAATCGTCCGCTGGCCTCTGCTCGAGTTGAGGAATCCACGCTTGAAGTTCATGATGCCGGCGGAGTCTTGGGTAGCAGCAAAGTTCCGGGTGACGACAAGTCCTGTGTGGCGGCGAAGTCCCGAGTGGCGGTAAAGCGCTGATTGTAAACAAAGTCCTGGATGGCGACCCGGAAAGCCAAAGGATAACTGAAGTTATATCGCGCGAGGGGATAAAGGAAGGGGAACAACGCAAGGAACAGGACTCGGCGCTTCTGCACAATCGGCGCTTATGTACACCCTGTCGCCTGGCTTCTATTCCTCTCGTGACTTGCGACACCCTGCTGCGAACCTGAGCAGAACTGGATCGGTGCTTCTGGACTGAAGCGAAGTTGGTGAATCGGGGGTGATTCTGCCAGGGACCGCGCGTTGAGAACAACCAGACTTCATATCTAGGCGCCCACACTGCCTGCGGACAGAGGTAAGCCTCGATGAGGATCACTGAGATTCTCTATCATGCCGATAGACCGGTGGCGAGTTCTACACCCCTTCCGTCGTACATGGTTCGTTGACCGCAGTCCTTTCGGATCGTAATATTTTCCTTTGTATTCGCTGCAGTGGTGGTAGTCAGAAAGAAAGTTCGGAATATGCCGCGGCACCTTTTCTGTCTGACGTTCTCACGGCAAAGCTAGTTGACTTTCAGATAAATTTGCGCGCCAGAATGACTGCACAACTTGAGTCTTCTTGCGGCGAGGACGAGGCGTGCTCGGAAATGATGGTGTTATACACGGGTAATATGGTGTACACGTTCCATAAAGCCAATTGTTACAGGACGTATGCAAGCACCTTACTGCTCGTTGAAGAAGTTACTGCTCGCTCACAAAGACGGCGGCCATACCCATGCCGGAGCCGATGCACATGCTGGTGACGAACACCCTGTCGCCGTACTGCTTGGCGATGTTCAAACCGGTGGCGATTTGCCGTGCGCCAGCTGAAAGTTTCATCAGCAGCGCGTCCTGACGACGGTAGAGGCTCGACTTACTGCAGCCGAGTGGGTGGCCCATGGCAATAGCACCGCCGTGCTTGTTGACCTTCTCGAACGGAATGCCAATGCTCTTGATCGAGTACACGGCTTGCGACGCGAAGGCCTCGTTAATCTCGTAGAAGTCAACGTCCTCCTTCGCCAAGCCCGTCTTCTCCAAGACGCGGGGGATGGCGACAGCGGGGCCAATACCCATAATCCGCGGCGGGACACCGACGACCGCGCCCGCGACCCACTTGCCCAGCACGGGCAGCCCAAGGCGCTTCGCAACCGAGCGCCGCGTGAGCAGCACCGCCGCCGCGCCGTCCGACACCTGCGACGCATTCCCCGCATGCGTCGTCCCCGTCTTCGAGAACGCGGGCTTGAGCTTGGCGAGGCTCTCGGGCGTGACGCCGTCGCGGATGCCGTCGTCCGCGTCGACGAGCACGGGCCGCGCCTGCTCCGTCTTCGGGTCGATCACCGTCGTCTGCACGGGCACGATCTCCGCGCGGAACTTGCCCGCCTTCTGTGCCGCCGCCGCCTTCTGGAACGACTTGGCCGCGAACGCGTCCTGCTCCGCGCGCCCGATCCCAAAGTCCGCCGCGACGTTCTCGGACGTGATGCCCATGGGGATCAGGCAGTCCTCGGCCTCCTTCGTCTTGAGCACCTCGTCCGAGTAGCCGTCGGGCGCCGCGCCGGGGCCGTAGCCAAAGGTCATGGACTCGACGCCGCTGCCTGCGAGGGGTGTGAGCGAGGGGGAGCTGGTATGTGATGAGGGGGGAACGCACCAATGCCAATGTCAATCTCCCCCGCGAGAATCTCGTTCGCAATCTGGTTGACCGCGGTCAGGCCTGACGAGCACTGCCGGTTGACGGTGTTCACGGCGCTCGTGTTGGGGATGCCGGCGTGCAGCGCGGCCATGCGCGCCTGCGTAGCGCCTCCGCCCGGCGGGAGAACGTTGCCAACCGCGACGTCCTCGATCAGCTTGGGGTCCAGGTTGACGTTCTTGTACACCGCGCGCAGGACGTGCGACAGCAGCTCTTCCGGGCGTGTGTTGCTGAAGCCTCCCTTCCTCGCCTACCCCGCTTCGTCAGCTGGGGGACACCTGGACGTAGACGCGTCGCGCACCTTTGTCATCGCCGTACGGACCGCAGCGACAATAACGACATCATTGTCGTTCTGCTGAAGAATCTTCGAGCGTGCTGCAGACATGACGATAGTTCTGAGATATGCGAGGAGGTGAAGGTACAGAGCAAGTTCCAATAACCAGGTCTTCACGGTTATGAACAGTTGTGGATTTCACATGCGAACCCCGCATCCGGGCCGGTCTCGGTAGTCGGCGACTGTACTGAGCGAGCATGTGCCAAGTCTTTCATGTTGGGGAGGACTGGAAAAAGCGCCGACAAATTTCTTTGTGGATATGGAGGGCGAAAGAACGATGTTTTCTTGCACAGAACATCCATTTACTGTGACATGTCCCGGAACGGGATATGTCACACGTCACGTTTTGACTCTTCTCCCGAACCGTCATCATTTACACGGATGAACATCGAAGGATGGTGCACCAAAGTTGGCTTGCGACGCGCTCTGATACCCTGCTACCTTGTAAGAGGAAATTTTGGCCACCGTATTGTACGAAATCCGGCATATTCTCCTCGAAAATGATGCTAGTCCTTCGACAAACGGCGACGCCTCTTCTCCGGCTATCGCCCTTCGCCCCTCCTAAACCAACATCGATTGTCTCTGGATTTTGATGCAGACACAAGGGTCATGGTGGTCAAGCAGTTCTTGGCAGAAGCAGTTTGTCCATGAAATGGCCCGTCTTCCGCATCCCAATCATCCTATTGAAGGCTCGTTCTGACGTGCACGCCGCCCACACGCCCCCCGTCCCCCTGCGACAAAATGACTCAGCTGAGGATGATTTTGCTGATGGATTGTCAGCTCATACGAGTCTGCTCTGCGCGAACTTGTTCTGAGCGGAATCGTACCATGTCCCTGAAGGAAAACATTATGCCGCCATACTCAATTTGTTCGCCTCAAAATAGAGCGAGCGCCGCTGAACCTGGTGGCAAGCTTCAAAACTTCACTCTCTCGCCCATCTGCCTCCGCGCCTTGCCTTCAACATGACTGTATTCACGCCGGAGCAAGACCTCCCTCGGCCGAAGGACGTCGGTGTCCTGGCATTGGACATCTACTTTCCCTATTGGGTGCGTGTTCGGATGCGTCCAAAATCATGAAGTTGCCCTCATCTACATACAGTGTGTCTCTGAGCTCGAAGACTATGATGGAGTTTCGAAGGGCACATACACCATCGGCCTGGGGCAAGAATATATGGCATTCACTGATGACCGCGAGGACACCCACTCATTCGCGCTGAACGGTGCGTACCTGCTCGTCCTTTCCTTCCCCGCTTACCTAGGATCTATGTAGCTGTTTGCGGCCTCCTCGAAAAGTACAACATCGAACCAAATTCTATCGGCCGCCTCGAAGTCGGCACCGAGACCATCGTCGACAAGTCTAAGTCGGTGAGGACCGCCATCATGGATCTCTTCACCGACGCCGGCAACTTGGACGTCGAGGGCGTCGACTTGAAGAACGCGTGCTACGGACCGACCGCTGCGCTCTTCAACGCGATCAACTGAATCGAGTCCAGCGCGTGGGATGGCCGAAATGCGATCGTCGTCGCAGCCGACATCGCGCGGGTCCTGCGCGTCCGGCGGGCGATGCGGGCGCGGTCGCTATGCTCGTCGGGCCTGGTGCGCCGGTGGTGTGTATGCACCGCCACCCAATTTTCGAGACCGGGCTGAACGGCTGTTTCTCTGCTTGCTGTGTTCATGATTGGATGCTTGGCGCTGTGACGTCGTAACTACGCGGTGTGTATGGCATTGCTAGGTTCTTGAACGATCAAAGGACTGCGGGCGGGCGTGCCGCCTTTGGCCTGCATTTTTGCCGTGTTTGTTTGTGACCTGTGACATTAACCGCTCGGTTAAAAACCTGCCTCCGCTCCCTCTCTCCTCTCTGTCTCCAGCTCTCATCACTACCTCTGCCACTCTAACTCTAGACATGAAACGCGGTTTTATGAAAGGCAAGATCACAGGCCCGAAGGGCACCGCCAACAACAAGCCTCTAGCTCGAAGTGAGCGGCATTGCCACACGACATTATGTTGCGACTGACACGACCACTAGAGCAACCTGCAATCTCGAGCGATTCTGATCCCAGTGTCAAGCTAGCCGACTGGAATCTGCTGGACAAGAACACGCCGATCTCGGAGTTGACTGGCACGTCGCTGCATTTCTGTATGAGACTTTGGATGTTGACCTTCATACAGATGGCCCGTCGCACATAAAGCTCAGCTATGGTGTTGTCAAAGAAGCTGGTGAGTATCCTCTACGATACTGTCTTCTCATGCTCATGCGCGTGTAGGCAATCTGGACGGGTTCGTGCCACAGAAACTTCAATATACCGAGCTTGATCCATCGAGGCTCGACCATCCGGACGACACCACGATCCAAACCACCATTCCCGCGCAATGGAGTGACATCTCGCGGCATACAGCTGACGAGCTTCAAGACTCGTGGTGCGACGCCGTTGTTGATGCTGCCACCAAGCGCGAGATCTTCACGCAGCCCGGATTTCCTCGGCCCGTCCCGCGGCCTTCCACCCCTGCTCATCGCATCGCGCCCGCTGGCGCCAAAGGCCTCGGCATCTTCGCCACACGCAACATCAAGGGGGGAGAACTTATACTTGCCGAGCGCCCGCTGCTCATGACGCCGGCGACCATTCCTCCGATGAGCACAAACATACCTAGCCACTTCACCCTGCAACAGTTGACGCTGGCGAAGATGGCCGATTGGGAGATATATCTGAAGCAGTTCGTCAAGCGAATGTTGCCCGACCGCTACGAGAAGTTCATGGCGCTGTCGAACAACCACCAACACGATGGGAGCGGGGAGATACTGGGTCGCATCCGCACCAACGCGTTCGGTGTGACCTGCTTTAGGTACTTGAGGACGACGCGGGACAGCCCATACTCCGTCGTTTGCGACGAGTTGTCTCGCTTTAATCACAGGTGAGTTTAGTCATGGAGGTCACGATACCACTTACTGACTGTCGCTGCTATAGCTGCCGGCCAAATGGCAGCTATCACTTTGACCCTGCCTCCTTTTCTATGGCTGTCTACGCGACGCGCGACATCAAGATCGGCGAAGAGATCTGCGTGTCCTATGTTTCGGACTTCGCGCCCTACGAGGAGCGCAAGAAAAATCTCGCTCCCTACGGCATTGATTGCACTTGCGAGGCCTGCGAGGACCACGTCTCCTCAGATGCCCGGCGCTCCGAGATCGTCCCATTCCGCATGCCGGATTCGCAGACCGACCCTGAGGTAGAGCTGCGAAGGTACATCTCGCAGATCCTTCTCATCGAGAAGGAAGGGCTGGAAGGCTCAAGGCACTATGTGCAGAACCATGCAGGCATCTGTATAGTGGCACTTGGGCTCGGGAAGAGGGCCCTGGCGACGAAGTACCAGGCGCGCCTGGCGCAGCTAGCAAAGCGGCCGGAAACCATCAATCCCGACGTCCTCCTTGCAATTGCGATGGTATCTATGGTACTTAAGTAGCTTCCGTATCCTTTCTTCAAGCTTTTATTTGTGTACTATAGTCGAATGTGTATGGGTACGCAGTACGTGTGATTGCAAACTTCAACTGTGACCTTGAATCGTCACGACGAGTTGCACGTGCCTAAGACGCCACAAATCTACACGAATGTTCCCAGACTTCGATTCCTCCCAGAGTCCCACAACGTCGCTCTCTTCACGTCCACGTACGCGGAGGACACCTCAAAATAAACGAAACCTCCGGGACTCTGAACTTGTAGTGCTTTTGTTGCTACATTGGCACCACTGCGAGATGTGCAGCTAAGCCGGCCTTTACAGCGCTTCTGACGCATCGATGAGGGGGTCGTGAGAGACCAGGGACATTCTCTCGCTTCCTTTGTTGTTCTTTGACTCACACTGTCTCCGACCAACGACAGCGACTAACGAGGCGAGATCTCATCACACCGCGGGCGGCTCTTATCTGCACCCCAATTCTGTGAAGGTCTTTAAGGCTGAGAGACATCTCGACTGAACCCCGGCGCTGACCTTTTCAACGACGATGAAGAGAGGTTTCTTGAACAGTAGCAAGGCGAAGGCAACTTCATCGGCGTCGGACCGTGCCAAGAGTACAGGTACGTCTCGTGCTACCCTCGCTAGACAACATTGACCGAAATTGCAGTCGAAACTCCTTCGGAACGCGATGAAGGCTCATTGCAAAGAGATAGACGCCCGATCAGTGCTTCGCTCCGTAATTGAGCTCTCCGACTGCTGTCTCCATCATGACTGACGCCTCCTTAGGTAGTATTCCTCCTGCTGCGCGTGTGGGTGCTCCATACCATCCCCTGAGAGAAGAAGGTGCGCATGTACAGATTCATCGGTGTTGAAGACTGACGGCAGATATACAGATAGACCGCACGGATTCACGCCCGGGAGCACAATCTCGAGGTCGACTGTCATCGAAACGGACGCGTCTCTGCTCGACCACGCTGCGACCACGATGCTCTTCACGACCATACCCATCCGCGACTTTGACGTGAACAAGCATAGCGCGAAGGAGCGCCGCGACTCGTGGACGGAGGCTATCCTCGATGGACCGACCAAGCGCTTGATCTTCACCCAGCCCGGGTTCCCCAATCCCATCCTGCGTCCCACTCACATCGCGCACCGAATCGCGCCTTGCGAAGGGAAGGGACTCGGCGTCTTCGCTACGCGCGATATCAAAGCCGGCGAACTCATCCTCGCCGAGCGTCCGCTAACTCTCGCGCCGCTCATGCTCCCGTGCGTTGATGGTATTCCTGACCACTTCACAATGGAGCAGGTAATCCAGGCGAAAATGGCGGAATGGGAGAAGGCGCTGGAGATCCTCGTCTCGCGCATGCTTCCGGAACGCAGGGACGCGCTCATGGCGTTGTCGAACTGCCACGAGCACGATGGCAGCGGTCCCATCCTGGGACGTCTACGTACGAATGGTATCGCTGCGATGGGCCTTCACTTTGCTGGGATGAAGGGTCGCCCGGGGCGCTACACGGCGACGTGCGAGATCATCTCTCGCGTGAATCACAGGTGCGTATCTCGATCTAGTCCAGCGCGCCCGGTGTCATTGCTGATGACGCTCACTCAGCTGCTGCCCAAATGCCCGATACGGCTTCAATAAACCTACGTTCTCGGCTCGCCTGCGCGCCGTGCGCGCCATCAAGGAGGGAGAGGAGATCACGATCACGTACGGAGGTCTCGACATTCCTAAGGCCGAGCGTCACAGGCAACTCGCGCCTTACGGATTCGCTTGCGACTGTGCTGCCTGCGAGGAAGGGGCGGCCGCCGACGCTCGAAGGGCGATGATCCCTCCCTTTGTCAGCCAGAATCTAAGGAGCGGCCCTTTGCAGGAACTCTTGGACGTCGTCGCCCTCATCGAGCGCGAAAGGCTGGAAGATCTGCCTGTGTATCCGGAGGCCTTGGCAGCGCTTGCGAATAGGTATATACAGCAGGGATCTCTCTTACAAGGCCAGAGATATCTTGAGCGGGCTCAGAGTTATCTTCCATTCTCAACGGACGAGGAGGCGTCGGATGGGGAAGATTAGTAGTGCGCGTGGCACGCAATTTTGTGTAAAATTTCTCATGTAAAACTGATCTGATGTGAAATGACTTGTGTCTAGGCGGCGGTTCTTGAGGAGGATATGTGGAAGGGCCCGGATCGTGCCAATGTGGCACTTCAATTTCAACCGCGACTGTTACGCGTGATGTAGTTGGTGGCCGTTAGCACGTGGCAACCGGGTTGGACACGTCCCCCATCCGCCGATACTGTCTGAGCCTATCGCGCCGGTTTCTCATATTCTACCCAATGGGTCTCGATGTCTGTACCTGCTGCGCTAGTCTCGCTACATACCGCTCTCCGCCCCATGATACGCCTCCACGGCGGCCCAAGGCTTGATTATCGATTGGCGCCAGAGGTCTACGAACTCGGCGCTCTTACTGCTTTGTTCTTCTCGAGTGCACTGAATCAGTGCCCAGCAAGGCATAATGAATACAAGAGGGCGCTCAGGTGCTTTCCGGCAGGTCCCCAGATTTGCTACGTTGTGGGCGCCGCGAAAGCGGCGGGCCGGCCGTGCGGATGACTTGGGCATAGCTTCTTCGTGTGAACCACAGAAAGCGCGCCCCTCTTTCTCTTGTCCGCCATGAAGCGAGGATTTCTGAACAACTCGAAGGCCAAGAAGGTGGTGCTGGCTCCTGAGGGGGCGGGCAATAGTCGTGCGTAGTTCAGTTTCACTCCTAGAACGGATGCTGACGGTCGGACCCACACTTGCAGATCCTCCTTCGGGAACCTTGCAAGGCGCATCTGGAGGTACGCTGCTCAGTGCTCGTGTTGTACGCATAATCACAGATACTCACCTAGGCTCGATTGCTGTACGCGTCTCTCACCAGCCGGTGAATGATTCAGGTGCGCCCTCTCCAATGTTCATGGAGCGACAGAGAGACATCATTCTGTATAGACAGACCTCACGGATATGCGGTCGGCTCGACCTTCGGAAGGTCCCACGGTACTGAGCTGGACGGCGCTGCAATCAACCACCCTGTGGACGCGATGCTTTGGACCAGCTTCCCAGGTCGCAACACCGACCTCAACTCCCATAGCGCTGCCGAGCGCCGTGACAGCTGGACTGAAGCTATTGTCGACGGCCTAACCAAGACCGAGATCTTCACTCAGCCCGGCTTTCCTCACCCAGTTGAACGCCCTGCTATTCCGGCGCACCGCATTGCGCCTGTGGGAGGCAAGGGCCTCGGCGTCTTCGCGACCCGCGACATCGGGCCAGGCGATCTCATCATCGCGGAGCGTCCCCTACTCATGGTTCCCCTCGGAGTGCCCACCGCCGAAAATATTCCAGCCCACTTCACGATGCAGCAGATGATACAGGCCAGTCTCGCTGAGTGGGAGAAGGCCCTGGAGATCCTGGTCGAGCGCATGCTGCCGGAGCGGCGCGAGGCGTTCATGAAGTTGGCGAACAGCCACACAAACGACGGTAGCGGGCCAATTCTTGGGCGCATCCGCACGAACGGTATAGCGGCCTCGGGTCTTCACTACCAGGGAAAGCGTGGTCCTGAGGGTCGGTTCTCGGCGACGTGCGAATTGATCTCGCGAGCCAATCATAGGTATGGCAAAGCCAATATTGAAGCTAGACTATACGGCACTGACAAAAATCTCGCAGCTGCAGCCCCAACGCACGATACACCTTCAACAAGCAGACCTTCACGTCGCGCCTCCGCGCGGTGCGCGACATCAAAGCCGGTGAGGAGATCACGATCACCTACTCCCGGCTCGATGTGCCATCGGCGGATCGCCAAAAGGATCTCGCTCCGTACGGCTTCGTCTGCACCTGCGATGCCTGCAAAGGCGGGGCTGAATCTGATGCCCGACGCGCGAAGATACCCTCGGAGATCAGCCCGGCCTTGAAGCGGGGCAGGATCGACCAGCTCTTGGATCTCGTCGCGCTAATCGAGCGCGAGAATCTCCAAGACCTTCCGGTATATGTGGACTCTCTCATGGCGGTCGTTGACAAGTACATCGCGCAGAAGGATTTTGCGCGATGCCAACCGTACCTGGATAAGGTCCAGCAATACTTACCTTTGGATACGGATGGGGAGTCTGCTTGACGATGGATAGGTAGGATGTATACTTAAATAGTCCGATGAATGACCTCTTGAGTTTCCCACTCGTTCTCGGCTAATCAAAGTGTTCAATCCAGCTGGCTTTTGTGAAAGATCACCCGTGGGAGCATAGCCCCTGACTTGTGTGAGACGCCCACGGAATCTGCCGCGAGCGCGTCGAGCCTTGCTTAACTCCAGCGCCCATCCGGCTGTCAACGTATCATGATATCCTCCCCAAAATATATTGAAACCGCATCGAATTTGGCGCGAAATTGCACTGAAAGGCAGTTACTAATGCGTACCCAGGTCTTTATCGATTCGACGGTTGGCCATCACAGCTTCTTGCCACATACTCACGATCACCATTGTTCCTCGCCCCACGTGTCACTACAGCATCTTCTCTTCCTCCGGTCATGAAGCGAGGATTCCTGAACAGCAAGAAAGGCAAGGCAGCTATTGCCAGCGACGGTGAGTTTCGAGCTTAGCTCTATTTGCAGCCTTCTCATGAACCTCTTTAGCCTCTTCGGCGGCTTCGGCGCCAGACAAAAAGCCTGACGGGAAGCCGGGTGAAGGACAAGGAGGTGAAGGTGAGCGTATCATTGTCTTTTTGACAGATGAAAGCTCGTATCGACCATGTTCCAAGCCTCGACGGCGCGTCCCGTCAATGCGCGCGAAGACCTGATCCTGGTGCCAGGCGCTTCTTTATCCGAAATGAAAGAGAGCCCTGGCGATTTCCTCGAATATGACGCCAAAACCTTCGTCATAACGACTATCCCTGCCCGCGACAAGGATACCTCCGTCCGCACTCCGACTGAGCGCTCTGACGGATGGGCAGAGGCCATCATCGACGGCGACACCAAGCGTGCCATATTTTCCCAGCGCGCATTTCCCGCGTCGGTCAGCCATCCCAGCTCCGCCGGCCACTGTGTTGAGCCCACAAACGGTGCCAAAGGGGTCTTTGCCACTCGGCGCCTCAAGCAGGGCGAGCTCATCCTCGCCGAACGACCGCTCGTCATGGTTCCGCGTGCGATGGTGTCCGGCGACGAGATTTTGGCGACCTCCATGATCCCAGGGAGCGCCGAGCGAGCAGCGTGGCTTGACGTCCTTGTGCAGCGCATGCTTCCAGACCGTCGGGAGGTGCTGCTCAGGCTTACACACGCGCCTGCCGGAGACAAATTGAGTGCCATTGATCTTATCCGCGCAAATGGCCTGACTGTGAATGGATATACGCTTCCCGAGACCGAAGGCGCCGATGGTCGCTACGTCGCAGTCTACGAGACTTTGTCTCGTGCGAATCATAGGTGCGCTTTTCGTACTTTATAGACAGGAGTCGAGCTGACCAGGACCGTCCTGCAGCTGCAGGCCGAACGCACACTTTGCCTTCCACAAACCTTCATTCTCGGTGCGATTGCGTGCTCTTCGTGACATCAAGGCGGGGGAAGAGATCCTGATTTCCTACGTCCCGCCCGAAGCACCGTATGCGCAAAGGCAGGAGGAGCTCGCGCACTACGGCCTCTCGTGCGCGTGTGGCGTATGCGACGAGGGTCCCTCGGCTGACGAGCGTCGTGCGCGTCTGGCCGCATCGCTCGTGGAGGACTCGACACGGTCGAAGAAGCAAGAATTTGACCGCATTTCCCAGCAGATCGCCTTGTTCGAGCGCGAAGGGCTCGCCGGCCTCGATGTGTACATGAACAACATTCTCTACGGTCTACGACTAGCCGCAGGAGTCGGCGAGTGGGAAAAGTGCGGAGTATACAACGAAAAAATGACGGCGATTATGCCTTTGTACGCGGACGAGATGGGCGAGGAACAAGCGGAGCAGCTATCGTTTCTAGGGCTGTGATCTGGGAATATTCTAATGAGAAACCCAACCGTAGAAACCTTATCTAGAAACCCGGTTTCTGTCGGCGAGCATCCCGGCGACGCGCCGGCGAGTTCCTTGATGCCGCGCTCGGCACTACAGCACGAGGCTAACGGCCAGACGAACTCGACAGCGCAGGCCTCCACTGAGTACTTCTATAGGATATCGCGCTTGCACCTGACGCATGAGGGCACACATGAGTGTATCCAGTCGTAGCTTGATACAGCATAGGCCTTATGGGCCCTCTGGAGGGTACTGTCTGAGGGTGAAAGGTCGTCTTCCAATTGTAGTCACATGACCATTGCGTCCACCAGTGGACACAATGGTCTATGGGTCAGTGACAGTCCTGCTAGCTAGGAGGACTGACCGAGTTGTATTGGAATCAGTAGTCTGATATTTTACACCCCTACACCGGGCCACTCAGCTAGAAAGAGGCGGTACTTGTGGCAAACGAAGGAGGAGCCGCGAGCTCGGCGACTTCGGCAGCCTCAGGCGGGATTGATGGCGCATCACCGTCTCCCGGGCGCGCGGCCGGAGAGACGCCGGCAGAAACCCAGCCTCGTGTAAAGAAGTTGAGCGGGTTTCTACAGAATTGCCTTATAAGGAAGGCAAAACGTAGAAACCGGGTTTCTCATTAGAATATTCCGTGATCTGTGTATTTTTAAATTTTCAGAAGGTCCTGGAGTAGCATTGAGATTAAGAAAGCCCTGTCGGAACAGTAATGCTGCGCTTCGAGACTGAGAGCGGTATCCAAGAAAGTTGAACCACGGATCGGCAATCGCCGGATCACTTGAGGGTTGGGCGGATTATGTGGCGTTACTTAGTCGCGTCTTCAGTTCTACCATGACCGTCGGCCATTGCCATCATTCTCAACGGCGCTGGATGTCCTAAGAATGGAGACAGTACTGTGCAGTCTTGGGCTTGCATAAGCAGGCGAAAGCTAAGGGCATGTCCTGAACCCGACGGATCGCTCGTTTGTGACTCCGCTTTGCTCTTTGACCCGCGTATGCGACCTTTTCTCGTCGCCATATATAAATTAGCGCAATAGGAGAACATTTCACGCCTCCCTTCTTTTTTCCTGTCATGAAGCGTGGCTTTCTCAGCAGCAATAAGGCAAAGCGCACTGAACCGGGCGCTGAAGTGAATACGGGCCCCGACCTCGTCTCTTTCGATGGACAGCTAACAAGAGCGCAGACAAGAAGCCTTTGGGGACAATGAGATCGCTTCCGACTAAGCGAGTTGAGGATGCTGGTGCGTAACAAAGAGCCTGGGATTGCCACATGAACACTGACTATGGACGAACATATACCTCAAGGCTTCGTCCCCGGTGGCACCATGTCGCACCTCAGGGAGCGCAATGCCTAGACCTCCCGACCGACGTTATGGTCTGGACGACCATACCCATCGACTATGTCGAGTTCGACGAGCATACCGACATGGAGCGCCTGGATCCCTGGACCGTAGCCTACGTAGACGGAGCGACGAAGCGTCAGATCTTCACCCAACCCGGGATTTCCAAAGCCTGTTCTGCGTACCTCTGATCTTGCTCACCGAGTTGCGCCTTCCGCCGGCAAGGATCTAGGCGTCTTTGCCACTCGCGCGATCCAGGCAGGCAAGCTCACTCTCGCAGAACGCCCACTGCTACTCGCTCCGCGCAGGATACCGACAGTACCTGGGCTTCCTCATCACTTCACTGCCGCGCAGAGGACTCGAGCCAGCATGGCGGAGTGGGAGAAGCACCTCGAGATCTCTGTCAAGCGAATGCTCCCCGAGCGCCGTGATGCTTTCATGAAGCTCGCAAACTGCCACGAACAGGACGGCAGCGGACCCATCGTTGGTCGCGTGCGCACGAACGCTTTTGGAGCGGCTGGCCTACGCTACTGCGGGGATGAGAGCGAGTCAGGCGCTTATGCAGCGGTATACGACGAGCTCTCGCGCGTCAATCATAGGTAAGCTCTTCGTTCTGCCGTCCGAAGGCCATATGTCAGTTCAACCTGCCTACGTTTTTCGGTCGTCTCCGAGCTGTACGCGACGTCTCCGCAGGAGAAGAGATCACCATCGCCTACATGAACAAACTCTTGCTTCCGTTTACAAAGCATCAAGAATTCCTCGCTCCGTATGGCTTTACTTGCGCTTGCGAGACCTGTATCGCTGGAGAAGCTTCTGACTCTCGAAGGGCGGGGCTTCGAACGAGCGCCAGCAGCGGCTCGCCGACATCTTCGGGAGGCTTGCTCCAGTCGTATCCCCAACAGATGCAGCCAATCAAGGACGAGGGCTTGCAGGCCGAGCTACTTTACTACAATGTGCTTTTCCACACGGCCGAGCTACTGAAGAAGCACGGGCATCAGGAAGAGTGCTTCGCGTACGTGCAGGAGCTGAAGCAGTTTGATGACGCGATACTGGTCTCACGCGTGACGGCACCGCTTAGCGCAGCCCTTCGAAAACCAGTCGGCCGTGCTTTTCTCCTCAACTTGGACTACACCCACGTTTGTTCACCACTCAGTAAGTGCCTGACTTCGGATATCAAGAACAGTTTGACAGTCTCCGTCAGTACAAGGCATCGAAAAATGCAGGCACTTCTCGAACGCGCTTCGTTGCTGGCAAGCATCGATCGCCAGCGAAGCGGTGTCATTCCATCTGCAGGAGAAATACTGGAACTTGACAGTATATCTCTGCAGCTCTGCGATGCACTGGACACAATCGGGAACTGCGAACTGGACCACCTGATAAATCGACAGCTCGTCCTCAACCGCTCATTCACATCCCCTGTGCGACGACTGGCTCCAGAAATCCTTTCCCGCATCTTCATCTACTTCGCCTCTACGGTCGGCGACCCATACAACCGATCTAAAGTCATCACGGCCACGGTCGCTTGCGTCTGCGTAGCATGGCGGATGACCACGTGGAGTACGCCGCAGTTGTGGACTCACATCTGCTCGACCGTGGAGTCCAGTCCGCCTGTCGCAGACTTGGATTATGCCGCCAGGGCTCGTCTTGCTGACGGGCTTCCCCTCCATATCCGACACTTCCGACTTGATCAAGGCGAGGCTGTGCAGCGCTTCCTCGCTCAACTGCGCCCATTCTCCTCTCGCTGGCGGACACTGCACCTCTCTGGTTCCCACATATTCCTGACTATGCAACCGCCGCTCGACCTGCCCATCTTGACAGAGGCTTGGATCAGCATCGAAGGTCCGGCGGTGTCCAGGCCACTCCTATTGCTAGAAAATGCGTCGCATCTGCAGAAGCTTGACATCGACCTAGCCGTCTATCCTAGCAACCTCGACGAGACTGACGACTGGTCATCGTTCTCCTTTCCATCTCTTGCCAACTTCACCGAGCTCGAGTCACTTTCGGTATACGTTGAGAGCGCTATTATGGTCGGCCCTCAGCTAGAATTGTACCTTCGTGAGCTACGGCACCTTGCCCCTACGCTCGTCGTCCTCAATCTCGATAGAGGATATCTAGCTGACGAGCCGTCTTGTATCATGGACCCGATACACATGGTGTCCCTTCGGGAGATAAACCTCCAGGCAGCTGCCGCATGCAAAGTCCTTGAATACCTCATCGCTCCACTGGTCGAAAAGATGGACATCGGTATCTCAGACGACACAGAGCCGAGCGTCTTCCCACCTTTGCTCCACTTCCTTTCGCATCCGGCGAACAAAAGGAACCGACAGCTCGCGCGACTCACGCTCAACCATATTGGAGTGGAGGACACCTCGACCCTTCTGCGATGCATGGAACAGCTGGGTGAGCGTCAGGAGTTGCGGGTGCAGGAATTGGGCGATCTTTCGACGGTCTTGACGAGGGAGCTCCTTGACCGCATGTGCTGCTCGGAGGACCACCCAACGCTTTTGCCTAAGCTTGCGAGGCTCACCATCAGGGCTCGGAAACCGTCCATGCTGGCGTCAATAGCGAAGGAGCTGCACAGGATGGTGAAGTCGAGGGAGGGGATGTGTGTCTCTGGAGGCATCCGAGTGGCTGCTTTAGAGCACTTCGAAGTCATTCAGGGTGCGGCTGCATACGATTGTGGGTGCTGTTAAGTGCTCGAGATGTCCAACCCTTCGGTGAACTTACTCGATGCTCTGCAGATTAGCAAAATGACCGCCTTCATGGGCCAGTGTTCGGTCGGACACTGAACAATGCTTCTGGCAGACGCCAGAATGACATTCATGAGTAACAGTAGGAGGGCATAGACTGGCTGCGGACATGGCGTACGAGAAACACGACAGACAGTACACGACACGCACAACACGATATAACAACAGACGTACGTAGCGAGACGACGATATCTATGGAGCAGCGCACACACAACAGAGAGCAAAGCGAAATGGCTAGATATGTCTAGATATGTCCGTCCGCGAACGGTGCAACAGCACCTGGGTTCGTTGAGTCAAACCAAGAAAAGGGGTCGTAAATCGTAGGAAAGGGTGAACGAGGAGCACCTGCTCTATCGCGTGCCTTGCCCTGGTCGTAGAGGAGGAGGAAGCTGGAGCGGCTCCATGGACTGTAGCGAGTCGACTGCCGCGCGCGAACCGCCGCCCTCCTCCATCGTCGGCAACTCCACGTCCGAGACGAACATGGTCGTGGGCAGCAGCGGCGTCGCAAGCTCCATCGACATCTCCCCATCATCGACGTCGAGCAGGTTTTGCGTGCCAGCAATGGTGGATACACCGGCAGCTGTCGACGCACCGGCCGCGGTTGACGCGTCAGGAAGAGTAGGTGGCTCGGGAAGACTGTATGATGGCTCGGGTAGGCTGGGACCAGTGAGATGGGACTGGCTAGGCATGTTCGACATCGCTGTCGACGCCTCTGGAGGAAGATGATGTGAAGGTATGGGATCGCGCGACCGGGTAGATGGAGGCCTGGAGGACGCCGCGACACTACTGTGCACAGGCGTTCGAGGATGAAGAGGGTGTAAATTGATGGGGCTGCTGAGGGAGTTGGGTCGCGAATGGGTTCGGGGTGGTGTCGACGCCATGACGTGCGCGAATGACGGCGTAGGGTATGCGGTCGAGGGCATATGCGAGGGCGCGAAGGACATGGCGCCGAAGGCGAAAGAAGGGGTGCCATGCACAGCGCCAACGGATGACGGTGGACGCGCAGTGTACACAGGGGCGGCTGGCGAAGTCCCCGGAGACGGCGCTGACTGAGGCCTGCCAGGAGTTGGCGGACGATCCTTGATGGACGACCGCCGACTGCCCGACGAGACGGACCGACCCGCAAAAGAGGACGGCCGCCGCATAGGCAAACCCGGTCGGCCAGTGCGCCCAGTGGACGACTCCGATTGGTATGTTGCCAACGGCGACGGAGTGCGGAAACCCCTACTCCCGAGCGTGGCGTCGCGTTCCACTGGAGGCGTGCGACCTCTCGAGGGAGGCCCCGCGCCGCTCATCCTTGTGCTGCTCATCCGACTCGCGCTTCCTGGAGGGCCTGAGCTGAGGCTCATGCTGCTCCCGCTTCCGCTCCGACTACGGCTGGCAGCGCTACGCCGACCGCTACCCTCGCCCTCGCTAAGCGCGAGGACCGCCTCGTCCGCACGGTCACGACCAAGCACGTCCCGCAACCGTTCGTTCTCGGCCGTGAGACGGTGGTTCTCCGAAGAAAGGTGGTGCACCTCCTCGGTGACGCGCTCGAGGCTGTTCCGCAAATGCTCGAGCTCCGCTGTAAGGCGACGCGTCTCCTCAGATGCCTGGCCAGTGCTGGATGAAGCACGCGCAAGCTCGGCAGACAAGCGAGCGTTCTCTCCGTTGACGCGCTCGAACTCGCGCTGCAGACGGGCGATCTCGTCGCGCAGCCCACCGACCTCACTCTGCGCCTCAGCGGCCTGCGCCCTCGAGTTCCTCGCCTCGCCCCTCAAGCCTTCCATCTCCGCCCTGTCGCTCTCCCTTTCCTCCCGTGCGCGCTGCTGCTCCTTCCTCGCCCGCTCGAGGTCTCGCCGCGCTTGGTCGAGATCATCGCGAAGATCACTGATCTCGCGCAGGGCAGGACCCAACTTGCCCCGCGCAGTGGCAAGCTCGTCGCGGACGCCGTCGAGCTCCTCACGCAAGCCAATCAGATCAGCGGTGAGGTCGGGATAGCGGGTCGCGTTGTCGTACTCGGGAGGCGCCTTCTCGGGAGAGGCAGGTGGCGGTGGTTTTGCGGAGGAGTCGGCGAGTGATAGGCCGCGAGGTCGTGAGGAGGCGTTTACCTCGAGGGACGAATTCGAAGGGTCCGCTGAAGCGGCCGCGCCAGCTCGTTGAGCTGTGTCCACCGAGGCTGAACCACTCTCCGCCGCTTTAGCCCTATTGGCTTTGCTCGGAGATGGTGTACGCGGGGACTGCGTCCGGGTCTGTGTTGGGTCTGGCAATTGGAAGGGATTTGGACGTGGGATAGGTTGCGAAGCCTCAGTCGGCGCTGGAGCAGGCGCTCGAGGAGGCGAAATCTCCCGCTCCGCAGACCTGCGTGGTCGAGCAGTAGACGTTGAACGAGAAGAGGCCGTTCGATGAGATGAAGGACGCTGAGATCGAGTGGGAGAAGAAGCTCGAGGGTTTGGTTCCGCGGAGCGCGATGTGGATCTCCGGCATCTGATAGGGGATGTTGATGGGACGGGGGAAGATGATCGGGGAGCGGGCGCCACTTCGACAGCTGCAGATTCACCTCTGCCGGATCGGGAAGTACGAATCGGGGAGGACTTGCGCTTCCTGGGCGGAACCTAATTGATAGGGGTCAGTAAGTTGAAGAGAGAGGAAAGGCGCGGTAGAACGCACCAGCTGTTGCCTCTCGCGCGCAAGAGCATCGATAGCCACAGCGAGCGAGTTGATCATGTTCTGCGCTTCGGCGAGCGTCGTTTTAGACGAAGGCTCACTTCTAGTTGTACGACCGTGAGTCTCGGGTTTGACGGATAGCAAAGGTGTAAGGGTAGGCGAGGGTGCTTCATGTTCGGAAGATGGTGAAGATGAAGTTGAAGGTGGTCCGGTTTCCCGCCGTCTCTTCCGCCGCTCGACCTGCATGAACCATCAGCATAATCATTGGGATTGATAACATAGCGAACGCACCTGCCGGGACAGAGCTCGCAGTTCATCCTCTAGTGCGCGGTTTGTGATGAGATTGAAGTCCAAGAAAGCGACAACAGGTTCTGCCTGTATCTTCGAGTACTTGGTACTAGTAGAGGGACCAGAAGTGCCGGAGGATGTCTCCTTGAGGTGTGTATGTGCAGCTACGCAGGCATCTAGCTCGGCATCACGCCGAGCAATCGCTGCCTCCAACTCGACAACTCGCTGCCTTGTCGACGCATGAGCTCGCCGCTCAGCGTCGCGCTGCATGCGCAGGGAAGCGATTTGACTTGACGCGAAGTCCACTAGCTTGTCGTCTTCGGCAGTTCGCGCCATTGCCTTGCCTTTTATCGGTTCTACGTAAAAGTCAGGAATTTGTATTTGAGCCGGACTAGACGAACGCGACGCACCAACGAAAGCCGTACTGTGCATTCGTGCGCACGGCCAGGAAGCGTAATCGTGGTTGGCCTCAACTGCAAGGGTGCCGCACACGCTGTCAGCCTCAGATGAGTCGCCGGCCACGGAGGCCAGAGGGGAAGGACGTACCTCGCTCGATGAGCTTCTGGACCGCGTGTCGCAGGTCATCGCGCTCCGCCTCTACTTCACGAGCAGCATTTCGTACTCCCGCGATCTTGGCGGACAGCGCGGCATTGGCGGAGCGTAGGGTAGCTGTGTCTTGGGCGGCTTCGGCGCGCGTAGCATCGAGGATGTCAAGAGTGGCGAACAGGCGCGTCTCCGCGTGCGCAGTGCGTGCAATGTGTGCCTTCTCAAGTAGTTGTAAGCGGGAGATCTGTGGGGGATCCGGAGAAAAGGCAGGAGAATGCAGGGGAAGGAGGGGGAAGGGGGAAACATGCGTCAGTGATCGCTGCGACGGGGGATCGAGGGGGAACGCACCTCTTCATCTTTCTCGGCTAGCAGGGACTTGTATCTCTCGCTCGTGGGTCCCATCGGGGCGCGTGGGGGTCTCTCAAGGGCGGGAAGCGCGTAAGGGGTATCGCGAAGATTCGAACATCAACGTTCGAGACAAGGTCCATCATCATGGTTAGGGTTACGGAACGATCAACAAACCGGGCCGGTGACCGGAACGGCACGTGATCAGCGCATTGTGCCCCAATTCAGCCCGTCGTTTCTTGTTCTCGTCACTCATCATTGACCTGCGACCGCGTACCCCGTAGTCGTTGAAGGCAAGCGCAGCCGCTCATATAGATATCTATCTAACAGGTCTTACACAGATATCTCAGGTCAGCATGCAAGCCCCGCTGCTTCTCAGTCGTGCAAGGTCGCGCGCGAACATGGATCTCCTGCGCGGTGGCTTCGGTCCTTCGGTCGATCAGGCGCGACTCCTCCACGACGACTCGAATGATCTTGTTCTCGAACTGGCCAAGGTGACGGACGACATCAGGCGCTTGACCGTGTTGCATAGGCAAATATCGCGTCAACTCGGAATTACTCGATCCACTCTCGCGCCTATCCGCCGCCTTCCCGCTGAACTTCTCGTCGAGATTTTCGTCCACTTCGTTGAAACATCCTGGACCCGCAATGACCCCCTCTTGATCACAACCACTCTGGCTCGCGTCTGTCGCCACTGGCGCGGTATCGTGTGGAACACGGCACGACTCTGGAGTCATATCCAGGCGACATACGAGCACTCCTCTTCGTCTTCGGTCGATATAGCATCCCGTGCCGTCAAGCAAGCATCTCTAGCAGCACCATCTCCCCTCGTCCTGACTGCCGAAGAGAAAGGTCACAATCTCGAGCCGACCCTCTTGAAACAGCTCCTTGTCCACTTGGGTCCACACACCGCGCGTCTGCGGACAATAAACTATCGTGGACGCTGTCCTTCATTTCCCGAGGACGACAATATCAATCTCTCAGCCCTCCAGACCATTGACATCAGCATACCGATGCCGTGGCCCAGGGCGAGTCTAACGTTTTTGAGCAGCACGTCTGCACTGAAGCGATTGAATCTACGCTTTTGGCCCGAATCGCTCGGAGTCGACATGGGCTCGCTCGAGTTGACCACTTTCCCAATGCTGGAATACTTGGAATTCGTAATCGAAGGTTGCCCTCCGCCGACAGTCCTTGCTTTACTAAGCGCTCACCGGAAGACACTGCTGGGTGTCACAATCGAAGTGGGCCACTTTGAACAATGGATGCCGAGCGCCCTTCCCACCATGGCTCGCCTGCGCAGTGTCAACCTGGGCGACGAGGGCCATCGCGTTCTTCGATGTATCACCGCGCCCGTGCTGCAAGAAGTTCGTCTATACAGCAGACGACAGCTTACTAGCGATCCCTTCCGCTCTCTATTCGAATCCTCGTCAATCTCGACTATCGGCAGCCTTACACTGGAAGGCCTTGAACCGACAACATCGTGCAATTTTCGGGCCTGTTTGAAGCTGCTGCGCGGCCTCCGGACGCTCGACATTGCAAAATCGCCGCGTGAATCTGAATGCAAGTTATTGTGCGAGGGTACCCTCGTGCGATTGACTCTGCGCCAGGACCAAGCACCACGCCTTGTCCATCTGACGAAGCTCACCCTTACGTATGGACAGTATACGCCTACGCATCCGTCAAGGGTACTTAAGGACTCCATCCGTTCGATGCTGGCGTCGCGCAAGGACACCGAACTATGCGCGTCGCTCGGAGTGGAGATCCTGCAGAACTTCAACACGGACATCGACTACATGACGTGATCTGACGCGTACAGCTCTGCAACCAAAACTGTAGTGAGTATCTTCTTCATCTGACATCGCGGGATCTGACTCATTGTTCGCAGAGTGAGGCCCTATCCCTCGGTGCGCATTCCGCGATCTTTGTCATACATAGTCGTAATTTTCTCCTTATCATCGCTATGTGAAAATGTGAATCTTCTCTACTATTGGTGCACGTAATTCCTGTAAACAGCGAGGATGCTCTCGGATGGCCTGTGTCCTTCACGTTCCGACGTCGCCGAAGTCAAACATCCTGTCACGAGACCGTGGAAATAGCCTCGTGGTGCCCATGCATTGCCGCTTCTGTGTCGTTTTTTGTTTCTGCCGCTCACCAACATCATAACCTTGCCACCGCCTTTCTCCAAGGCAAGCATGAACCTTTGAAGGATAAACATAGGGCTGAGCTGATCTTGTTTCAGCACCAGCAATGCAACTGGAGGCACTCCTCGACCGCGCGACATCGCTCGCAAACACGGACCTCATGCGTGGCGGCTTCGTGCCCTCTGCTGCGGAAGAACGGCTACTCCTCGACGACTCCGGCGCTCTGAAATCCGGACTGGCTGCGGTTCAGGAAGAGATCAAGAAGTTGACCGTTCAGCAAGAGCGGATAACCCGTCAACTCGATCTGATCTCGTCGACCCTCGCGCCCGTTCGTCGTGTGCCACGCGAGATCCTTTCTCATATCTTCGTGGTATTCCTGGAGCTCTCGCGTAGCGACGACCCTACCCGGCTGGTCTCGCGCACTGTTGCTGGCGTCTGCCGCCTGTGGCGCGATGTCGCACTGGATACACCGCGATTGTGGACTCAGATCCGGGTGTCACGCAGAAAGTCAGACCCGACAAGTGTCTTGGACCGATGCGTCGAGCAGGCGTCGAGGGCAGGCGGCCTTCCTCTCGATCTGTCGGTCCACGACAGCGGTCCCGGAAGTAGGCTACTGGAGGAGCTCCTCGTCCGCTTAGGGTCACGGACTGCGCGTTTACAGTCCATCAATCTCTCGGGACGGTTCCCCTTCTTTGACGAGGGACAGCCTGAGCTTGATCTTTCGGGCCTCCGAGTCTTGAAGATCCAGACAGGACTGCCATCGCGGGCAGGGTCACTGGCGTGCTTGCAGAGCGCATCCAATCTAACAAGCTTGATAATAACGTTCCACACGAACCGCGCCGATGACCCGTTGCGCATGCTCAAGGTCCTCACCTTCCCGAAGCTGGAACATCTCGTTTTCAGCACCACGCACGTCTCTGTCATGCCGCTTCTAGATCTTCTACAGTCCTGCAGCACCACCCTCGAGAGTCTGCATCTCGGTTTCGACGAGTTCACGCCCGTTGAGGATCCTGACTTCATCCCTGAAATGATTAAACTGCGCATAGTGCGCTTGAGGCGAAGGACCCTCCAGATGCTTATGTGGATCGACACACCTGCGGTCGAAGACGTCTATCTTGACGGTGCTATCGGTGCTGTCGGTACCAGATCAGAAACCTTCACGACTCTACACACCTTCGCAGACTTTTCGAAGATCAAGCGTCTGACCTTGAACGAAATCCCCACCTATCGTCACTACGAAACAGCCTTCTGGGCATGCTTCGAGCGTCTACACGACTTGGAGGTATTGGACATATGCTATCACGGGTGGTTGCGCTACGAGCTCTACGACGAACTCATCCCGCGACTCACTTTGGTTGAAGGTCGATCACCACTCCTTCCACGATTGACGACACTGTACTTCCGATTTGTGTTACTCAAAGAGAGTGTACCCGCACTTTGTACGATGATTCTATCGAGGCGCGACGCCCGCCTACGTTCCTTGCTTGATGTGGTTCCCTTGCGAAAGGTGGTCACGAACAAGCATGTTTACACGATACAATGAAGCACTGGACGTGTTCGAACCATGACCGCAACTCGGTATCTCCGGTGAGTAATACACCTGATTATACCTTGCGATGTTCATCTTTCACCGGCAGTTTCACCATGTACATCGTACGCGGGGATGTGGGGCATGGCGCACGGCTCATTGTCTCGAAAACATAGAAGTAGAAACCATGAAAGCGCGGGATTCACTCCAAGTTTTACTGACTTCAATAATACTCCTATCAAGCCTTGAAATCAGCGAAAATTTTCACTTACGCGAGAACCGGTCCGAAGCCGCTGAAGTTGAACATCAAATCACGAGATCGTGCAACTTACAACCGCATGATCCTCGGGAATTGCCGCTTCTGAGGTCCGCATGTTGCTCGTTGTCATCGCCACTGACCATCGACCTATACTTGAGTCCCTGCCACCGCATCCATCGAGGTGAACGCGACCTCTGATAAGACATCATTAAGACTGACCTGATAGAGGTAGCGTCGAGCATGCAGCTCGGGACACTCCTCGATCGCGCACAGTTGCTGGCGAACACGAGACTAATGCGTGGCGGCTTCGTGCCCTCTGAAGAGGAGGCGCGACGACTTGTGGACGACTCTAAGGCTCTAACCTCTGAGCTGCTCACGATCAAGGAAGAGATTGCGAGGCTAACCGCATAACCCGCCAACTTGATCTCATTTCGTCCACCCTCGCGCCCATCCGTCGCGTGCCTCGCGAAATTCTCTCAGAGGTCTTCGTCAGCTTCATGGGACAATTGCGCACTGATAACCTAACTCAGACAATTTTTCGCACTGTGGCTAGTGTCTGCCGCCTATGGCGCGACGTCGCACTGAATACTCCGCGTTTATGGACTCACATTCGCGCGTCATCCGCACGACCAGACGTGACCAGTGTCTTGGCTCAATGCCTTGAACAGGTTTCTTGGACGGGAAATTCGCCGCTCGCGCTGACGGTGAACGACCGCTCCGTTGATTCCGGCCTACTTGTACGGCTCCTTATCCACCTTGGACTCCACACCGCGCGTCTGCAGTCCATAAATCTCCTCGGACTCTGCCCTTCCGCCCAGAATCAGCTCGAGATGGATTTTTCGGCCCTCCGAGCCTTCAAGATGCAAACTAGTGCATCACTACGATCGGGAAACCTTGCCTGCTTGGCCGGCGCGAATGGCTTGGAGCGGCTAGAGCTCTCGTTCTATGGCAAGGACTACGACAGTCCGTTGCGCGAAATCCAGGTGCCAACCTTTCCGAGGCTGAAGCACCTGAGTGTTGACGCACCCCGCGTGTCCGCTCCACCGCTCTTCACCTTGCTATGGTCATGCAGAGCCACTCTAGATAGTCTATGGCTCTGCTTCCGCAAGTTGACCTCCGTCGATGACGCCGCCGCGCCGAGTATGACCGTTTTGCGTAGTCTGAGGCTGGAAGAACACGCTCATTGCGTCCTTCCACTTATTGACACCCCTGCGTTGGAAGACATCTACGTTGGCAATGTCTTGCGCAGAAACCCTTTTGCATCGCTGGTCGCAAGCGAAGCCACCGCACGGATCCAGCGTCTTGCCCTCTTCAACTTCTCTGTGTACGGCCCCGACGAGCCATCCGTTTGGGCGTCTCTCGAGCATATGCAATGCTTAGAAGCGCTGGAACTTGACACTTTGTGGCAAGTGTCATTCAGCGAGCAACTCATCGCTCGCCTGACTTGCGCGGAGGACCGTACGCCGCTGCTGCGACGGATGACGGCATTGTGTCTCCAGACCGAGCTCTACGTTGAGCTTACTCTCGAAATCCGTGCCATGGTCGCTTCGAGACGGAATGCCCGGTTACGCTCATTGCTCGATGTAGCAATGTTGCAGCGCTGCACCGTAAGCAATCTGCCCACGATCAAGCCACGGGCACGTCGAGGATCGCCAGTAAGTAATGCAAACTGTTGCGACTATGGAACAGCGCTAAGCCACTGAGACGCACAGCTTCGCTCGCTCGCATCCAGCTGCAAAGAGACAACTCCCGTCCCACGCAGAAGCCCAAGGCACAGCGAGTACGTCAACCCCTCTTTCTCGCGCTGCCTCCGAGATTGACGATGATGACTTGTACCCGCGAGCTCTGCTCGAGACCAACTGATCGATCATTTCCTCCGTTCGCTGCCTACCTGCGAACATCGTCGCCGGAATTCCCCTCTTCTTGACGGCCTCCAGCGATCCTATAGAGGTCTCATGTCTCGCTGTGGAGGCGCTCTCTTGGTTGTGCTACCCATGGCGCGCCGTCGTGCAGTGCACGACCCGACTTTGGACCTGCATAGGCGTTAGGAAGAACTTGTCGTAGGCGGAGAATTTGCTCTGCCATATGGTGTCCCAGCGTACGGTTATGTCAGGAAACCATCCAATCTCAGTCCAGCTCACTCCCTACACAACGAGGTCGTTCTCGACGATCGACATGAATACCTGCACCCGTATGCCGCACGCATCCGCCTAGTCGTCCTCGAGAGGAATGTCTTTCCGCAGATACCCATCGAAGGTTCACCTTCCGGCCCTGCGAACAGCGCGATTTATCGGGTATGCATTGGATCCGAGTGCGCCACGACTTCTGACGGCAGCATCATCCCTCGAGCGCCTGGAAGTGGATTATTGCGGCGCGACAATCAACATGTCCACATTCCGCAGAACTATAGATGGTCCCGAGCAGGCTGCAGTGTCTACGTGGGATCCGCATTGTGGCGTCGAGCGAAGCTGACCACGGTCTTTTGAGGGAGGATACCGACATGGACCGATGGCGCTGTACCACTCTTCCCTGCGCTCATGTCACTCTCGCTTCAGTCCGAATATCGAGATGCCCCGAGCCCACAGAACATTGAGGTCGCACTTCACGCGTTCGCCTCATCGCGGATACAAGCTCCATCCGGTCCTCTCTCAGCTATGGATCATGATTGATGCAATCTCTCGCGGTCTGCTGCGCCACATCGACCACCTACCGCCAGCTCAAAACACTCATTCCATTCATCCCGTCTAAGGATCCTCCACGCCCTCTAATTCCCCTCCTGTCACCCGTCACCGTCACTTCTTCTTTCTTCCTTCCTCCCATCATGGTCAACACGCCCCGCCTATACGTCGACCTCATCTTCCGCCAGAGCGGCTGCTTCGCGAACTGGGACCCGACGACCGTCCTCCGCGTCGGCGACTACGGGACCGTGCGCGAGAACGATGGCGAGCTCGATGTCCAGGGCAATATCTACGACGACGGGTTCGCGGAGAAGTACGGGCTTCAGCTGCCGAAGCCGGTGGCGAATACACCTTCGGGTGAGTATGTGATCTGCTCGGACGGCGTAAGGCAGACGTCTTTGAGCTCGGACATACAGCTGTGAGCGGAATCGCGCGCTCTATACGGCTGAATGCTGACGCGGCTGTAGAGCTGTCCCTCAGATCGCGAACTGCACGTTGAAGGGACAATGGGAAGCGGGCGATGGCGAGAGTGAGTTCACTTCGCTCGCCTCTGACGCTGTAGCTCGTCTTGCTGATGCAAGTCTTCAGACGCGCTTCTCCTTCTCCCGAACACTGTGCGCGTCTCCCTCCCAGGCTCCTGCAAGCAAGCCCTCGCCGAGCGCATCTACGACGACATGAAGGACTTCTCCTTCGTCACCGATGTCTACCACACCCCCGACTACGCGCTCTTCGTCAACCACAGCCAGAAGCGGTCCCTTGTGCTCGCGCTGCAGGCCGCGCCACCGGGCGCTAATCCTGTTTCATCCCCTTCAGCTCCTTCGACCGCGCCCGCGTCAACGCCGCAGGCGCTCGCTTCCGCGCTCGCCTCCGCCATGCCGGACGCCAAGGTCAGCGTCAGCGGGCAGTGGATCGCCATCGGGCATGTCGACGTGCTGAAGACGAGCACGCCGCTCGACTTCGGGACGGTGACGATGCCGGTCGTACAAGTCCCTGCTCCTGGGTCGACGAGCTCGACGATTTCGACTGGTCTCCCCAACGGTGGCGCTCAGCCGTCGTCAGCGCCGCAGAGCAAAGTGGAGAACTCTTTCCATATGCTTGCTGCCACGCATGACAGCGCCGAGGACGCCCCGGAGCGTGCTGTCACGACCGACGCACATGCATCTCTCGCCCCTCACGTCGCGGCTGGCAAGGCCATCCTTCCTTCGACTACCGATGCGAGGGACCGCGAGCTGATGGACCGCCTCAACGCCGCCGTCGTGAAGCCATACGAGGTGGGCGTGGATCAGGCGACGGTGGCGACGTCGGGTGCGGAGGTCAACGCAATCTTGAGCGAGATGGTGCCCGGGGAGACCACCACGGACACCGTCACTAGAAAGGTAGCGGTGCTGATGGCGGCGCAGAAGCAGCTAGAGTTATCGAGGGCGGCGGCCGCGGACTCTACGGTTGCTGCTCCGGCTTCGGCTGCGAATGCGCCGAGCGCGCCGACTGCCACCTCGACCACGGACTCATCTCCCGCCTCGCACGGCGCACCGTCTTCCGCGCCTCCATCGCAAGCGTCTTCTTCGGTGCGTGACTCACAGGCGCCCACCGCCGGTGCTTCTTCAGCGCCTCCGACCAGCGCTTCGCCTCCCGCTAGCGCTCCGTCTGTGCCGGCCACCAGCGCTCCGTCCGCGCCAGCCACTAGCGCTCCACCCGTACCCAGTACCGCACCTACCTCGAGCCTTCCACCGTACGTTCCGCTCTACAAACTCCAAGTGCTCTCGAAGCCGCTCCTCGTATTTGGCACGCCGCGACTGAAGGACAAGACGCGGATGTTCTTCGAGAGGGCGGTTGGGAATGGTGAAGGGAAGGCCACTGAAGATGGAGAAGCGAAGGGCGACGATGTCAAGGATCACGGGGACGATGTTACTGGGTATCGGATGAAGGACGCTCACCTTCCTTGGGACGCGGCGGCGTAGTGTCTGACCGCAATGGAGGTTCCAAGTAATTTGGACTCGAATGACGGCCTGAGCAAGTACTTCGCTATCATAGGGTTATACATAATTCTCTGTCCTATCCTTCGTCATGTTCCTTAGTATGCGAGGTCGCTTTGTTGATAGATTGCCCGAGATATCCGCGTTCCGCCTTCTGGTGCCGAAGTTGAACGTGGCCTTCACGTGACCGCAGCGTGCTGACGCCATCAATATCAAATTTAGTCCGGCCACAGTCTTGCTTTCGCCTCTCACGTCGTCCGCGAGTCCAAAGGTCCCTCTCTCAAAAGTGGAAGGTAATGTGAGCGAAAACTACTGGATATGATGCACAGCTGACGAGACCCTCAAACAAGGATGCTTGCCGATACGCTCCTCAAACGCGCCGCGCGCCTGGCCACACTCGACATGCAGCGTAGTGGTTTCGTACCCTCCGTCGTCGAGGCTCGGCTTATCAAAGACATAACAAGCAAATTGGAACATGAACTACCGGCCATAGACGCTGAGATCAGCCGACTGACCGAGCTTCGCGCCCGAGTCCTCCGACAGTGCGACGTACAAAAATCCATCGTGTCCCCCGTTCGCCGCCTCCCGCCCGAACTTCTCTCCATTATCTTCTTCGAGGCACTAGATGACGTCTATGGCAACATATATGCTTGCGATAGCGTCTTTGTCGTGCGGCATATCCTGTCTTGCGTCTGCTCTTCCTGGCGAGCAGTCGCTCGAGGTTCGCCAGCGCTCTGGTATCAGATCCCTACCCAGCTGCACTCCTATGCCTTGAAGACGCCATGGAAGGACTACGCGCAGTACGCCGCCGAGAGCGCGGCACTCGCAGGCGGCCTACCGCTCGAGGTGCACCATCAAGACTCGGCCAGCGATCGCCCATTCCGCAATATCATGCAGGCGCTGCACCCGTACCTGGCACGGATCGAGTCCATCAACATACAGGGTAGCTGCTCGTTCTTCGAAGACTTCCCTCAGTACGACCTCCCTGCACTGTCTAGCGTGGTTATGCGGATGGAAGACGAGCTAACGGATGGTCCCATGGACTTTCTCGGCAGCTTTCCCGCGCTTCGAAGACTTGATGTTCACTACCCTAACGACTACGGGGAGTATCCCTTGGATGGACTGCCTCATATGCCGTCCCTCTCTGGTTTGACTCACCTATCACTGATATATCGGGCGGCATTCTCCCGAACAACACTTCTTCGAGCATTGAGCGCGTGCGCGGAAACTCTCGTTGCGCTGAAATTGAATATCACGATAGTGCATACCGACGACTCACCCGACCCAGTCACTCCTGTATGGATGGAATCCCTACTAGAATTGACGTTACACGCCGCTGCTTTCAAGCTGCTGGACAACCTAGTCGCACCGGATCTGGAAGACCTCGATCTACGTAATATGCTACCCGAAGTGTATGGCAATCAATTCCCTACCTTGTCGGCCTTCCTTTCGCGCCCCTACGCACCTCGAGAGATCAGCGGATTCAGAACGTCTGTGTCCGTGTCTCAGACGGCAACAATCATTCGATGCTTGGAGCAGATGGACACACTCACCTATATATTCATCTTCGGTGCGGGGTTCGTAGGTCTGGAATACGAACAGATCTTCGCACGTCTCACGTGCGCCGAGGACGAACCGCCGCTCCTTCCGGAGCTCACTGAGCTCGGGGGCTGGCTGAGTCGTATGCCACCACCATCGCCGGAGGCGGAGGAGGTGCTGGAGAAGATGATCGCATCAAGGAGGGTCCCTCGCATATGTGCGTCGCGCGAGGTGGCCGTGCTGGAGACGGTGGACATCAAGTGGAAAGGAAGGCATATCGTCTATAGCAATAGCGAGTAGTCTCGTTACAAGCGCCACTCACCATGTCTGTCCATGTCCGTACGTGACCGTCAATGGGTAAATCGTGTTCATTGCGAATACTAAGCTGTATAAACCACAAGCGCCCGAACTTGACATCCGTCTTTGGTATGCCACAACTGAAGAGCAAGACCAGGTCACAGAGGGTGTCAAGGAGAAAATTAGCGATCATTGACAAGGAGGGGCACTCGATTTGAGGCGACAATTCTCGTCTTTGTGAAGCTCGGTGAATGCATTTGAGACTGGGGTAGCAACAGACGATACGTAACGCTCGATGAGCTGACCAGTGGCTTCGAGTTGAACATGTGATCATGTGACTGTGGGATATTTGGCACCCGCCGGCGCCATCGACAAATTGGTGCGACTAGCGAGCTTGCGTCCGCCTCTCACGTCGCCGTCGCTCCTACCTCTCACCGTATCCTCAAAAAGGTAGGAAAAATGTCTTTGGTCTAATGTATAGCTGATGTCAGGTTTGTAGCTGAAGACATCATGCACGCCGACGCACTTCTCGAAAAAGCCGTGCGCATGGCAAGTCTCGAGCTGCAGCGCAGCGGCTACGTGCCCTCTAGTGGCGAAGCACGAGTTGTCAACGACATCACTGCTGCTCTGCAAGAGGAAGTGCCGAGCATCGATGCCGAGATCCGCCGACTATTCCAGCTGCGCGCGCAACTACTCCGGCAATGCGATATTCAGGACTCCTTCGTTGCTCCAATCCGTCGCCTCCCGCCAGAGCTTCTCTCAGCCATATTCATAGAGGTCGTCGGTGACCGTGTTTACGCCAGCGACCGCGTCTTTGTTGTGCGCCACATTCTATCTTGCGTCTGCACCTCCTGGCGTTCAGTCGCTCGAAGCACTCCGGCGCTATGGACCCGAATTCCCACTCAACTGTGGGCATACAAGATGAAACCAAAGTCGTGCGACTATAAACATGCCATCGAGAGTGCGGTGCTCGCTGGAGGACTGCCACTCGAAGTCCACCACGAGGAAGCCGCGCCGGATGGCTTGCTCATAGACGTGCTCAAAGCTCTGCAGCCTCACTTCGCACGGGTCCGGTGCATCAGCGTACAGGGAAGCTTTTCGCTCTTCGAATGCCTTCGCAAGATCAGCATGCCCGCCGTGCGCAAACTGTCCATGGGGATGCTAGGTCGGCCGACGACTGGCGTTTTGGATTATCTGACTGGGTTTCCGGCGCTTAGAGCACTGGATATCCATTACACCAGTAAAAATCGACCATATACATCCCTCGAATCGCTCCGAATACCCCCACTCCCTGGACTCACCTACCTCGATGTGAGCATCTCCGCGATGCTTTCCCGCCAAGCACTTCTGGGAGCACTGAGCTCATGCGCACCGACCCTCGTCCATCTCAGCTTGAGCAACAGATCCAACGCGAGCGCGTCCGCACAGGCCACTCTCGTGCGAATGGACGCCCTGCGCCGCATGGCATTGACTGGCGCTAGTTACGAGATCCTGGACAACCTGGCCACGCCCGCGTTGCACCATCTCGGGCTGCACGCGGTAACGGCCGACGAAGGCGATGGTGATCCTTTCCCGACCGTGAGCGCCTTCCTCTCTCGCCCCTCGAAGCCGCGAGGGCTGACGGAACTGGTGACGAGCGTGTGCATCGGCCATACATCGACCTTCCTTCGCTGTCTGGAGCAGCTTGAAGAGCTTACGTCCTTGGACATTCACGGCGTCTTTTACGAGGGGCTGGCGCACGAGAGCGTCTTCTCCAGGTTGGCCTGCAGGGAAGGCGAGTCGCCGCTCCTTCCGCGGCTTACCATGTTCCAGACCGCGCTCCCGCCGCTGGACGTTCGGTCGCCAGAAGCAGAGACCACATTGAAGGAGATGGTCGCCTCGAGGAGTACGCCGCGCGTATGTGCTTTTCCTGGACTCGCGGCGCTCGTGAAGGTGGAGATCGACTTGGACGGGATCCAGGACGACGAATCTGACGCCAGCGAGAGCGAAGACGAGCGCGCCGAAGAGAGCGATTAGTGACATCTGGTAGAGCCGCCGACATGGATCATGCATATAAAAAACCCTCTGTTGACGCTTTGCCTATTTACCTGACGTCGCTCGCCATGTTTTGCCGCCTTCAGCCACGACGAAGCTCAAGGTCCGTTATCATCATCCCTTCTCCCCCGATGTTCGCACCGTCGGCGCGTGCTCTCTCGCGTATCTTCGCTCATCATATGTATCCTACTCAATACAGCTATTGACAGCGCTCTGACAGCGCGCTGAGGATGCGCAGCCGCGTCGACTTCCCTGGCTGGCGAGAATATGCCGCCACGTTCTCTGCGGGCACGCTCCGTACTCAGACTTCAGACCAAAGTTCGTGGTACTCAGGTCAATCAACAAGGCCTCATCATCACAGTCCACGACGCAGCCGAGGCTATCAGTGCCCTTGAGAAGTATCGAGGCTATCACCTCCGCAATCATCAACGAGTTCGACAACCACAACCGTCTTGGTCCGTGCGGCGTGCGCCGACGAGCCCGGGTGACTCACTCCGTACTGCCAGACGAACCATTCGGAATCGTCATCGGCTTGCCCGTCCGCAGCACTGGGCGCAGGGATCAGATGCACCGCCCGCAGGGCATCAGATGGCGTTCGCAGGGCATCAGATGGCGCCCACATCAGATGCCACCCTCGCAACATCAGATGCTCCGGCGTCGCAATCAGATGGCACCCTCGTTGATGACGCCCCTCGCCATCTGACGCCCCGCGAGCGCCTATCAGCGGGAGCATATCCGGGCGGGAGGGGAGGAGGGAGAGGGGGCGGGCAAGTCGAAGTCGAACCTGGGGATGGAGGAACTAAGAAGGGCTCTTGGACGCGAGCAGGGGTCTGCAGCTCATCGAGGAGGTGCTGAGATACTGTAGGCGCCTGAGGAATGCCTTTCTTCCAATTCGTAGACCAAGGAACCTTAGCGCCTCCTTGACCCAGCTGCACTTCCGTGATACTGAGCGCTCCGTCTCAGCGGACTAGTACAGCTAGGCTATACTCACACCGACATACACGCTGACAGCCTGTGTGCAACCGGAGCTCTTCCTACGCCCGCGTCCGAACTTATCGTGGGCTGGCAGGGACTCGGGGCGGGACCTCGTTAGCTGCGTATCTACATAGTCTGCGTGGGCGGGCAGCCATGTCAGGCCGCATAGCGTGTTCACTACAGGAAAGAATATTCTTCCTTCAGAGCTTCGAGACCAAGTTCGATTCGGACGCATACTTACAGGTATACAAGCTTCAACTCAATCATCAGCAAGCCGTAGCCAAGTCTGGTCAGGTATACGACGAAGAGGAAGTAGCGGAAAGCGCGACGTATAAGCGTAATAAGCCACAGCGCGACATACGAAGATAAATACGCGGTACACAAATGCGCTCGAGCGGGCGTACTACAGGAAGGACGATAGCGAGCATACGTACAGAAAAGCGCGGGGGAGTCCGGCGTTCGTCGAGCAGGACGGATGGGCGTACGACATATACCCCATCGACAACGCCTCGCACATACCCCGCGCCCATTGTCCAACGATATCTAGCAGCAGCAGACTGCATTCGATTCACCCCATCTCAAGAGTCTTGCTTTACTTCTCCTCCGCCTCCTGCTTCGCGGCCTCCTTCTCGCGGCGCTCCTGATCGCGCTCCTCGCCCTCCCGCTTGACCTCCTGCTTCTCGCGCTCCTTCTCGTCGCCCCCGATCCAAGGCAGCCGCGGGCTGCGCCCGTCGTCCTTCGGCACCGGCGGGTAGCGCTGGGCATCCGCAGGCGGCGGCGGGTACCGTCCACCGTCCGCTGGAGGCGGGTGGCGGTTGTCGGGAGGGGCTGGATAGCGCGGGCCGTCCGAGGGCGGCCTCTGGTAGGGATCCTGAGGAGGGTAACGTCCTGGCTCCAGCGGCGGTGGGTAGCTGTACACGCGCCCGTCTTCATAGCGCGGGGGCTCGGCCCCGGGAGGAGGCGGTGGCGGGTAGCGCGCGCCATCCGCGGGCGTGCCGTACCGCGGGGCGTCCTGAGGGGGAGGAGGCGGCGGCGGGTAGCGCGAATCGTGCGGCGGGGGACCAGGGCGCTGGAGCTCGTACTGCCGCACGGCGTCGTAGCGCGCGCGGTCGCCGGGCGCGTCGATAGGCGCGATGTGCGTCGTGTGCACATACTGGTATGGTTGGCTCTGGATAGGCGGGAGCGCGCCCGGGCTGCCGTGTGGACCAGGGGGAGGAGGGCCGCCGTGCTGGATAGGGGGCAGACTGTACCCGGCAGGCGGGGGCCCGGAGGGTGGTGGCGGCGGATACGGCTGCGCGTGCGGCGGTGGCGGCCCATGTTGCGCGTGAGGGGGCAGTGGTGAGCGTCCCCCCGCCGCCGCCGCCGCGAGCGGCCCGCGCTTGTGCGGGAACTGCTCGGGGCGCGGGCGCGAGTGCGTGCGCTCGAAGAGGCCACACTTGTTGCAGAGGACCTTCCCCGGGGAGAGCGTGCTGCGGCGCCACGTGCTCGTGTCCGTCGTGCAGCAGTTGAAGCAGCGGCGGCGGACGCGGTCGGAGAGCTTCGTCGACGCGTCGTCCGTGTGCACGATGGGCGGGCCCGGCGGGCCGGGGGCGTACGCGTTGCTCGCGTACTCGTAGCCGCGCGGGGGACCTCCGGCGCCTGGGGGTGGCGGCGGGTGGGAGTAGACGGAGGGAGGGGGCAGGCCTGGGGCGGGCGGGTAGTGGGCGGCGTGCTCATACGGCGGCTGCGGCGGCCAGCGCTCCGGGTAGTGAGCCGGGGGTGGCGGCGGGTATGGGCGCGGGGAGTGGTTGTGCGCGTGGCCGTTGAGCGGCGGGGTCGGGGCAGAGGAGCTCGCGGAGGGCGTGGGCGAGTGCCTGGGGTGCATCGTCGCTATCGGCGGCGGCGACGTACGGCGGGTAGGGGGCGGATACGGCTGGGCCGCGGCTCGGTGATGTGATCTGAAAAAAGAGCCATGTCAGCCAAAGTCGCCGCCGTCGTCGCCCAGGACGTACACGGCGCTCATGCTGGTCGGGTAGGGCTCGGGGCGCGTGTCGACGCGGTGGGGCATCTGCATTGTGGCGTCAATTGATGCCAACAGCGGGGGCGGCGCGCGCGGGCTCACCGGGCGATCACCACGCGCAGGCTTTTCTGTGCTCGCCGTCTCGGCGGGTGCTGCTGCGTCCTTGGCGGCGTCGGCGGGCGGGGCGGGCGACTGGCTGCCTCTCTGCTCGTCGCCGTCGGTGGCAGCGCTGGGGGAGCGGACCTGGGCGTTCCTGCAGAGGAGCAATCAGCGGGCGTCCCGCCTATATAAGCGGACGAGGGCGCACCACGAATACATGTCCGGCCAAGACGAGCGACCTGTGCGACGGCCAATCAGCGTCCCCTGCTCGCGTGCACAAACCGAGCCGGGCGCCGCGAGCTGGTCCGCGCGGCGTCCCACACCCACACGCACCTAGCTCACTTCCTTTTGATGCTTGACCGTCGTCGGCGTCGTTGACCACGACAAAGACTTCCGCACAGCGTCGAGTACAACGACAAGGAGCACCGAGCACGTCGGCGCTGGCGAACCAGCCTCAGCAATTTTACCCGGCACCTCCGCCGGCCCCTGATCACTATCCCCGAACGGAAGCGCCTAGAACCGCCCGTTGCCACCGCGTGCCTCGCCCTCCGTCCTTATCGCCCCGCGCTCGCCGCCGTCGACGACGACGAGCAGCGAGGGGGAGGCGGGGGCGCGCCATCATCGAGCGGGAGGGCGCGCGCGCAGCCGCAAAGCCCCCGCGGATCAGCCCATCACATCATCAACATCGCGCGTGGTGTTGCCAACAGTTCAACTTGTCTCTCCTCGCCCGAGCGGATACTTCTGCAGCGCCTACGTCCCCGCGCCCACAGCTCTCGACCCCGACCTCACAGCCGTGGATCCGGTGATGAACATGCCCGCTATCAGCTTGCGGGAGAAGCTGATGCGCGGCAGCCTCCCTCGACGTGCAGTCCTATACATTCGCTCCGGGGACCGTGTTTGCGATACACGTTCAATATATTCTCTTCTCAGTCATCCCGTCTTCCGGTCAGCCATCACGACCCCGGTCAGTCATCACGCCCTGATGCCAGTCTTCCTTGTCGGTCTGCCCTTGTGGCCGCGTCAATCCAGATGCCAGTCACCTCATGTATTCCCTGAATGCGATGGGATATTTCCAGAATAGAGTACGCTTCAGCGCGAACTTCATCTCACCGAACTTCGACCCACGAACTCACCCGTGCGTCATCCCCAGCACCGAAGCCGCGAAGTTTCCCCCGCCGCAGCGCTATCAGCGTCTATTTGCAGCTTGACTGTCCGCGTGCCGCTGACAAGACTCTTCGCGCGGTTGACGGTACTTCTCGCGCGGTTGACGGTATCAGTCAGCGCTATGGGAAGTATGAGTCCACCTCTGCGTTGTGTGTCCTGACTCAATAGCTCCAGTCGAGGTCCTACCGCCGAATGTATAACCAGCCCCACGGGATGCACACCTCGTCCAGCCGAGTGTATCGCCCCTCCCGCCGAATGTATCGCCCCTCCCGCCGAATGTATCGCCCCTCCCGCCGCTAGCATAGCTCCGTCTCCTCGACTGTATACCTCTGCGTGATAGCGGTGCGCATGATGCTGATGAACAGTTCATCTGAACGATCCTGCAGCCCATCTGAATGATCCTACAGCCCATCTGTTGATCCTTAGCGCTATCAGATCGCATAGACCGCTGGCTTTCATCTGCCGATGGTCTTCTTCATACAGCGACGTCCTTCTTGATTCGGCGCCGTCTTTCTTGATTCGGCGCCGTCCTTCTCGATTTGGCGTCGTCCTTCTCGATTCGACGTCGTCCTTCTCGATTCGACGTCGTCAGTCTGATTGAACATCATCAGTCATCACCTAACATCGTTCCTTTTCCTCATACGCCGTCCTTCTTCCGTCCTTCCCATTCGAAGAGTCGCTAGCAGTTTGTCTTTTCGCGTCGTCATCAACATACCGCGTCTGTTATTCTCCTACCTGGAGCAGCGCTCTTCTTCCGGTACGTTTATTTTGCATACGGCGAACTTCGTCGCCCGGTATCTTTCATTTACCTTTTTCCCAACGCTGCGCTCGCCATATATGTATTCCCACAGCACTTCGCCCCAGCCTTTCCCCGATACTACAGGCCCTGTTGACACTTCCACGGACATCGAACCACCGACGCGGTCCGCCATTGCGTGATGCACCGCATTGGCGGCAGACGCCTCGAATAGGCGCCGGGCGTCTAACGTGTGCTCGAGCCACATCGCTTTTGCGTCCTTCTCCGCGTGGGCTGTCGCGCGAGGGGGAAATGACTCTGATCTACTCCTTTACTTCAGGCTGTTGTACGCGCCTCGGCCTTGCCTTCATTTTGCTATGTATAATTCCTCTATTCCTTCTCTCCCCGTCTCCCTCGCGCTTCGTCCCCTTATTTCTTCTTCGTCCCTCCACTTCTTCCTTGTCCCTCTTATCCTCCTATCATACTGATATCACCCCTTCACAACATCTGCTGCCACCTCGCCTCCCGCCGCCTGTTGCCGCCTCGCCTTCCGCCGCCTGCTTATTCCCCATCCCAAGCTCACTTCGTTTCTGATCCCTTTGTACCCGATTAGGCAAGCCTTGTACTTCGCGGATCACTCTGTCCTTTATGGTCGCGGATCACCCTGTCTTTTATGGTCGCGGATCACATCAACAATCAAAATTTCTTCCTCCGCTTGATGATGCGTCCGGGTGATGCTGATGATCCTCAAGGCCCGAGGGAGCCGGTAATTGTGGACGTGCTGGCGTGTTGCCGGTGATTATTCTTACGACCATGCTCGCGTCGATGATCTCAATGACCAGACCCACCAGACTCCTGCGCTTGATGCTGTCGGTGAGCGATGTCTCGCACTCGTCGCAATGGATCTCGAATCGAGTCGAGGTTAGGACCTCGACTCTATGACATTGACAGTATCTATTCAGGTTTGTCATCAACCCCAAGATATGTGATCACTTGCCCCCGATTCAAGCTAGCATGGGGCCGGGCCGCATTTCAGTGTCGGCAACCTACCAGTAACACAAAACTACGATGACTCCCCTTCCTCTTCATCCTCCCCTTCGCTATCCTCTTCCGCATCACTCCCGTCGGACCGGTCCTCTTCAATACCACCCAACTTGACCTCCACCTCCTCGAGCGCCGCTACCCCACGCGACGCGCATACGCGCGGCACCCTCCTCGACGCGATCATCTCCTGCAGCTTACTCTCCGCCCGCGGGGACCGCCGGTCCGGCGGTGGGAGCGAAGTCTCGAACGAGGTGAGCCGCGGGAGGAGCGGCGGCGCATTGTCCACGCACGTCAGCCGCGCGAAGACGCTCTCGTGCGCCAGGCCGTTGAACGCAGCGCTGTGGATACTCAGATGAGTGAGCTCTTCCATCTGCTCCAAGCACCGAAGGAATGTCCCCGTTTGGCCAATGGAAACGGCCAGAGTCAGCTTCTCGAGCCCGCGGGGTGCGGAGGGGCGCGAGAGGAAGGCGCCCAGGGTCGGAAAAGGGTCCCCATCGAGAAGTTCGGACACGGCATGCAGGCCAACGTGTTTCAATGCGGGCGCGGCGATGGTGTCCAAGATATCGTAAGCGCCGTTCCCAAAGCAGAGGGTGCGTAGAGCGTTCAGGCTTATAAGCTCAATTGACGCTGGCGACTCGCCGGACATAAGAGCATCAGTGAGCGACAGGCGCAAGCTGAGCTCAACGAGAGTGCCGGCGCATGCGCTCAGCGCTTTGAGAAGCGTCGTTCGTGAGATTGTCGCATGGATCTCCAGAGACAGCTCCGTCAGATTGGGGAGGGCTGGTAGATGAAGCGAATTGAGCAGTGGATATTCGGATTCGTTGAAGTACTGCACGTCCAGGCTGAGCAGCGCAGGGGATGCGGTCAGGAAATGCATAGGGTGGGTCGTTGGCTGGCCGCGCATCTCCATAAATACTTCGCGCAGAGCGGGAAGGCTGGTGGCTCGGAGCGCCTCAAAGAGCGAGAATCGCCCTTGGACACAGATTGCCTCTACCCGCGCAAGGTGTGGCGCCAACTGCTCGACAACATCGAGGAAGGGAGCATCCCGACTTCCGTCCTGATGGTGGATCTCGAGCGGTAGACCACCAGCAAGCGTCGCGCTCTCAGCAGCGTGCTTCGCGTAGTCCACCCACTCAGGCGACATTGCCTCTGAATGTAGCTGCGTAGGAATTCTCTGCCAAAGCGCAGGCGTACTTCGCGCGACGGCGCGCCAGGAGGCGCAGACACATGACAGAACGTGCCGAACGATGAAGACCGCGTCGCCGGCCCAAATCTCCTCATCGACGAGCTCGAGGAATATATCCCAGAGCGTTTCGGGCGGGAGGCGGCGAACAGGGGAGACGATAGACTTATGGATATCGCGCTGCTGAAGGATCTGTGCGCGGAGCTGAGAGAGTCGACGGATCTCGGCATCAAGTTTTGGCACTTCTGATTCCAGTTCGGTCGTGATCTCGTTGATCGCCAGAGCCTCCGCAGCGGAGGGTACGAAACCACTGCGTTGCAGATCCAGGCTGGCACAGCGCGTTGCACGCTCAAGGAGCGCATCAGCTCGCATCGCGTTGCTCCTGAGGATGTGTCATAAATAGTTTGAGAGTGGCCCAATCATGCGCCTAACCTATTCCAAGGGATATCAATGAGAACTGCAGTCGACCAAAGAGGTCATGGAAGGCAAAGCCAGTAACTGAATATCAAGGTCGGCAGTTTCCGGGGTCACATGATGAGCATGTTCGACTTTCGGTGTTTGGGCGAAAAGATGTATGGGCTTTTAAGCGTCTAGCCAAGTACTCAATTCGTACGTGACATATCACCTCTCTCACTATCCTCGTATTCAAGTCGTAAATAGAGCCGATGGCGAGCGCAGGCGTAAACACGATATCGAAAAAGCCAACTGAACCCTCACCAAACCCGCACTATGGCAGACTCCAGCGCTGCCACCTCTCGAGATGCGCAGACGCGAGGCGCCTTCCGCGATGCAATCATCTCCTTCAACGCCTCCTCTGCCTCCGGATTCTCGCGCGGCGGCAGTAGAAACGAGACGTACAGCTTCGTGAGCCTGGGCAGGAGCGGCCTAGCACCCGCCACGCACGTCAGTCGCGAGAAGACGCCCTGCGTCAACAGACCCTCGTACGCCGTGCTGCTCATGCTCAGCTGACGTATGCCGCCCAATTTCGCAAGGCACTCGACGAAGGAGTCGGTATTGTCGGTAGACGCGTTCGCTTCGAGCCGCGTGATTTTGCCAGGGGATGGGAGGCGAGAGACAAAGGCGGAAAGGGAAGAGAATGGGTCGCCGTCGTCGAACGCGCACACGGGAATGATGGCGACATGCTCCAGGGCTGGGGCATCGATGTGGTTGAGTATCTCATGCGCGGCCAGCGACGAGGAGATGCGGCGCAGTGCGTTCATCTGCACGAGAGGAATGGTGGGTAATAGAGACTGGCTAGTCCTCTTCCATTGTAACTCCATTTCTGTTAGACTGTCCGCACAGGCACGTAGCGCCTGCAGCAGCTCTGCGAGTGGGATGGTAGCGTTGATCTCTAGGGCGAGCTTCGTTAACACAGGAAGCGCGGGACAAGGGAGAGCAGGCAGTTCTGCGTAAAGATCATCGTCATCAGGGAATTTGAGACGTAGTTCCGAAAGCGCGGCCGCCTTTGTCAAGAGATTGAGTGGGCGCCTCGCCGGCTGACCGTGCAGCTCCAGGTGCGCCTTCTGCAGAGCGGGAAGATCGATCCCGTGATAGCTGTCTAACAGACTGAAGTCGGCTTCGATGATGATAGTTTGGACGCGGTGAAATTCAGGGCGTAGCGCCTCGAAAAGCTCATCGAGAAGACGGTCATCAGCGGGAAGCTGGTGATAAATCTCGAGCGGGAGCGCGCCGGAGAGAGTAGCGTTCTCCGATGCGTGCTTCGCATAGTCGATCAGATGCGGTTGTAGAGAGACCGAGTGCAATTGAGACGGGACTCTGTTCCAGAGGGCCGGCGTGCTCCGAGTCACTTCACGCCATGAACCGCAGACGCAGGAGAGGATATGCCGCACGACAAACACGCTGACACTCGCGCAGATGTTGCCGAAGACGACCATGAGAAGGATTTCCGAAACCACCTCAGGTGGGAGGCGGTGAACGGGAGGATCGATAAGGTCGTGTAAATTGCGCTGTTGGGTGTCCGGAAGGGGCAGCTCGTGCAGTCGCTCGCGCACGACGTCACTTTTCGGGACCTCAGAATCGACCTTGCTAGTCATAGCTCGATCCTGACTGACAGAGGCGCGATCACTGCGCTCGCAGCTCGTGGCTGACCGTACTCGTGGCGCGTCAAAGGAGTGTGACGGTGAACAGGATTCTACTCTACGCTGGACTCGGCATACATGAGTGAAAAGTCTATAATGAATCAGCTACTCACCTTCTGGATCTGGGTCGTAAGTAGGTTGTCGGACTGCGCACTACGTGGAAGGCGGATGCAAGCGGCAGTGGACGTCGAAAATCGCATGCGAGAGCGGCAACACCCGAACGTGTCGCCACATATTCATCGACTCTGGCATGTCGTGGTGCGCCTCCGCTGATTGATATATAGCGATGCACGGGAGTAGATGGATCAGAACATAGCAAACTAAATGTCATTACACGATGGCAATACTGCGAGTATTCCGAGACCTCCTCATACGTCGCCCGTGACTACAATACAGCAATGAGGAGTGAGTTCAAAGGAGCTGGTCATCCAACGCACCTCGAATACAAAGCATATGACTATTCCTCTCCATCTCCGACAGCTTCCAGGTCGTCGAAGTCCGTGAATACCTTCAGCGTGACCACAGCATCCGAGTCTACGCGCGACGCCTCCGCCCTGGTGCGCACCATCTCGCGCATCGCACCCACAAATGCCGGAGTTGGAGTGGCCTCTCCGTCGATGTGGTAGATACACAGCTCTTCAAGCTTCGGGAGCAGCGGCTGGTGTCCAGCATCACAGGACAGGCGCTCGAGCGCTTCGACTGTGAAGAATGACACGCCTTCGGCCAGCATGATAAACACCCTGCGAAGGCCGACGAGTGGCGCGACACAATCAAGAAACGGCTCGGGATCCTCGGAGTCCATGATTTCCAGATAGATGTCATTGATATTCTCGGCGTGCGGAAGGCGAAAAATGAAGTCTGACAGTACAGGGAAAGGATCACCGTCGCCGATGTTGTTGAGTTCAAGTTCTTCGAGGGTCGGCGTCTCAATGCATCGGAGGAATTCTGCTGAAGTGGTGTTGTAGCCAAGGTGGGTCAACGCAGACATGGTGATGGGTGTTGATTGGGTGGATGAAGGCGGAACACCCACAAACACGGCGTGATCCATGGCGAGACTGGTCATGGTCCGACTACAAGCCTGTAAGACAGACAAGAACCAGTCTAGGTCGATGCAAAGGCAGCACCTCAGGACCAAGCGCGTAAGGCAACTAAAGAATGGGAGTCGGATGACCGGAGGTGAAGGGGGACCGATCTCGAAGGTCCTGAGGTCCAGCTCCTTCAACGCCGGCGCGCGTGATAAGAAGCTCGAAAAATTCCCCGACAATGGTTTGTCAGTAAGGGTTATCCAAGCACCTTCGAGACATGGCAAGTCCTGGGCTCGCAGCCTTGAGAGCGCAGCGGGCGACTCCTCGAAGTCAATCTCTTGCCACTGGTGCGCGTACGGCTGGAGCTGCGCAACCAGCCAATGCAGATGGTCGTTATTGGCCCTCTCATGCCACAGATATAGTGGCAGACCATCGGAGAGCGATGCCTGCCTCGCGTAGCTCATGCACCTCGCGTGCCCCAATCAGTGCAAATATTGTTCCAGAAGTGCGGCGTTCCGAGAGCGACTGCCCGCCAAAGAGTGCACACGTCCAAGAGGTACTCAGCCCTCCCCGCGCGGTATCGCCGATTATGGCACCAAACGAAGTGGTCGAAAATGTCGGCAAGCAGTTCTGGCGGAAGGAGGAGTATGGGCGCCGTAGTGGAGCGAATGGCCTCGAGCGCGTCGGACACTGCTTCGTGAAGGTTGGAGGGCTCCCGTGCGTCCTGGTCCGTAGCAGCAAGATCTGATGATAGTTCCTCCGAGATGCGCTTGAGCTCTTGTCTCTGCGCACGTGTTGGGATGAAACCGGGTCGCTGCAAGCCCAGACTTGCCAACCGCTCCAGGAGCGCCTCCATCTGCTCGCGTAAGCCCCTACACGCGGAACTTCGAGCGAGTTTTCACGCACGACTCTCTTGTTCACGATACGCACTGTGACTTGATGGCGGCTGGAGGGGAAGAACGCGAAGCGTCATTGGCCGTTAGTCACACAGTCACATCGCGAGTTCAAATCCTGCTCCGCCAGCCGTTCAGAACACCAGCCTTTGTTTCGTGACTGGGGCAGATAAGCAAAATGGTCTCTGTGATTGTCAATTTTATAAAGCATGATTTTATGCTACTATCAACCGCAACTACGCTGTATTTCTTCAGTATACATTCGCATATTTGATGACACTCTCCATTGCAACCACCTCTTGAAGAGCACAGATCCGTGATAGCCTTCGTGACTCCAGCATCAACCCCAGCGTGTATCTGATCCTATGCGCCTGTCCCGGATGCGGGGATAAAATTAGTTCGATTTTCTTGAGGCCGGGCAGGTGCGGCTGACTGTTATCCGCGCATGTCAGCCAAATGAGCGCGTCCTCCGACATGAACCCAGCGCGCATCCCCTCCGCGATAGAGAGCTCTTCCACATCATCAAGGGCGTCCAAGAAGCTCGCGAAGGTGTTTGCACTGCGCATGATGGGGCCGATATGTAATTCTTCGAGTTTCCGTGGGCGAGGCATGCGCGATATGAATGAGCGCAGGAGCGGGAATGGGTCTATATACAGATCCATTGTCGTGACGGCGCCGTGCATCTGCATCTTGCTCATGCACCTGAGGGTCTCCAGCTCAGGTGCACTGAGATAGGCAAGCACTGTATGTGCACCACGGTCGACAAACAATTCCGACAGTGCAGAGAGTGCAACGGGGCCGGTGGTATAGGCATCTTGGGAGAAGTACAGAGCCAGCGAGAGGTGCTGCAGGCTGTCGCGGCATGCATGCAGCAGCTGGAGTATCGCGTCCGTACTGATGATCCCGCGAAATTCGAGGGTAAGCCAAGTCAGAGCCGGAAGTGCGGGAAACCGGAAGTCGCGCGCATAATTCGCCTGGTATCTGTAGCCATGGAAGAGCTCGACCTGCCGGAGGGCCGGCGAGTTTCCGAGGAAGTCCAGCGTACCAGTATGCTGTTAATTCTGTCAAAAAAATGAAATCGACCCGGAACTACCTGAAGAAGCAATCATTCTACTTCAATCGTAGTATACTCCCATAGTGCGCGCTATGATAGTTCATCAAGTGTCACCGATGGCGCCCTCCTTCGCCCCGAGAACTTATGGAGTGTCGCCCGAGCAGTCGAAAGTCGTCCCGAGTTCTTCAAATTGCCGTCCGGGCTCCCCTTTTTACCCGAGAACTTGCAGCGGCACGGTCTGAGCTATACATTCTGGTCGAAATAGTATACGCCGGAGAGATACTCGGGCGATGGTCGAAGCAAGCAGGTTCGACTGCCTGCTTGCCTTATTGAGGTTGAGGGGGGTCGTGGCGGCCACGTGAGCCACGCGGTTCGAGCGCTTAAGTTACGCTGGATTCGACGGAAGGGAGCTTGGCAGTAGCGTTGGCAGCCTCTTGAGCCATATCTGAGGCATAGGATCGAGCTATTTATCCAACTTATGGACGAGCTGCTAAACTATGACTTCAACCATCCTCATAGGCTGATCTCGAGGTGCACGTCGATGCCTGGCCCAGTAATTGACGTGCTAGTGGTCAGTCCAGCCTCTTTAGCGCTCTGATAAGCATAAATATATAGCCAATACGCCTTCTCAAACCCTACGACATACGATCTGGGTAAGATATAGACAACGAACACACGGCGAAGGGCTCGCAGGCGCTCAGTGCACGTGCTAAGGTTGGCGCACGTGCCTGGGCGAGACCCCCAGTCCAAATCAGGAAGGCGGACAGTTGAACCTGCTTGCTTGGACCATCGCCCGAGTATCTCTCCGGCGTATACTATTTCGACCAGAATGTATAGCTCAGACCGTGCCGCTGCAAGTTCTCGGGTAAAAAGGGGAGCCCGGACGGCAATTTGAAGAACTCGGGACGACTTTCGACTGCTCGGGCGACACTCCATAAGTTCTCGGGGCGAAGGAGGGCGCCATCGGTGACACTTGATGAACTATCATAGCGCGCAATATGGGAGTATACTACGATTGAAGTAGAATGATTGCTTCTTCAGGTAGTTCCGGGTCGATTTCATTTTTTTGACAGAATTAACAGCATAGTACCAGGCAGGAGCGGTCCCGAGAGCGCCATACCCGCTTCGAACGCGTTCGGCATGCGGAGGTTGTCGCCAACGGCCGCGAAGTAGGCGCAGCTGCCGTCAAAGTCGATGATCCCGATACGCGCTAGATGCGGTCCAAGTTTGACGAGGAATTTCTCGAGGAGCGCATCGTCGTTGGGCTCAATATGCGTCAGGCAAAGGGGGAGGGAGCCGGAGAGCGAGATGTGGTCTGGAACGTGGTGGAAATGCGCGAGGGACACTGTGAGCTCCGGCGGGAAGACGCGCGTCGGGATCCTCGTCCACAGCCGTGGTGTTGCCCGCACGAGCGTTCGCCAGGCGCTACAGACACGACAGAGTACGTAGATGACGATATACGCCTTGCCATGTGACTCGTCCTCGCGGTCGAAGAGAATGGCGAAAATCTCGGAGAGCAGCTCGAGAGGAAGACGCCGGATGGGTGCCGTGATCGACTTGTGAATGTCGAGCTGGATGGATATCCGCCTGTGCAGATGCTGCAAGCGCGCAATCTCGGTCTCGATATCAGAGGCCTCGGAGGAAAGTGCCCGCGACATCTCGTGGATATGCCAGGATTGGTGAGCAGAGGGGACGTAGCCGCCGCGCTGCAGCTCGAGACTCGCCATGGGATTCGCCTGCTCGAGAAGTTCCTCGGCGCGCATGGTCGCACTGAACTATAAGCCAAGCAATCAGCCCAAAAAGCAAGGGATAAAGCTGCGAGAGATGTACGCACCTGGTGGGAGAGAACAAAGGCGGGCTGACGGGCGTGGCCTTGAGGCCCGAAAAGGTGTCTACTACGTGACATACCATGCATATGCCGACTCGTGGTCACATTCCTACCGTCTAGCCTCGAGACAGGCTTCATCTGCGTCATGATTATACTTATCATTTTTCGACAAGGATCACCGGCAGACGTAAAGGACTGTATCCGGGCTGCGCTCAAAGTCCAGATTTTCCCCCGAAGAGACCTGCTTGAGAAGGTCATCCGCGCGCGATTGTATACACGATGCTGTGGAAGTCACATTCGATAATATTTTGATGCAATGCAGACGTTACGCACTCACATTGCGATGTATCTGAGCGAGATGATGGGCTTGTGATGGGCTCAAGCGACCGGCGCAAGCGGGAGTTCGTGACGCACGCGTGACCGGTTTCACGGTCATATGATCAATGTTCAAGTTTCCTTTTTGAGTGCGGACACCCTGATCTACATGTCCATCGTACGGAATGATCGGCTAATCTGGTGTAATAAGGAAGGTTTCATGCTTTGTAGCACAATACTACAGCCTCGGCCAGGGGACCTTGCACTTCGCGGGCACAAATGGCTCACCACACTGCGCCCAAGAGAGCGCGTTCAACTTTCCCTGGTATATCATCGCCTTCTCCACGTTTCGCACAAATCTGTAGTGCAGCGTCAGATGTAGGTGCGCAAAGTAGTACTCATTCAGGCTCTCGAGCCCTTCCTCCTCCATGCGCTGGATGGCATAGCGATACCCAAACTCGACGAGGGTGCACGCCGTGAGCGGATCTGGCAGCTCCTCGTAGTCAGTGAGAATCCGGGCGCAGCGCGCGTCCGCGGTGTCTCCGGCGCTGCACGCGGGGCAGGCGCATTCAAAGCCGTAGGGTGCGAGGAAAGCTCTGCGCTGAACGAGCGGGATGTGCACGTCACCGAAATACGCGACGGTGATCTCCTCGCCGGGCGCGATGTCCCGCGCGGCGCGCAGGGTGCCGGAGAAGGTGCGCGTGTCCCAGGCAAACAGGGCATTGGGGCGACAGCTCATATACGCGTTCGGTCAGCTGGTCGGGAATGCGTGGATACGAAGGTCGACGTACCTGTGGTTCATGCGCGAGAGCATGTCAAAAGTGGCGAGATACTTGCAGTCTTCGCCGGATGCACCCTCAAACTGGAGATCGGCGAACGCAGTCCACGCGTTGGTGTGCGCTCGTCCGAGCAGGGGACCATTCCCGGCTCGATTTGCGCTGGAAGAGTCCTTCAACGAGAGGAACGCCTCGCGCCTCTCCTTCGACATCCTATTAAGCATGAGCTGCAGGTGCTTTTCTTGCTCGGCCCTGGTATACTTGATATATTTAGCGGGAGCGGTACGGCAGCTCGGGTGGTCGCAAGTATCGCACGCTGCCCTGCGCGTGGGCTCGAGCGTCAAAGGGCGCTCGCTGACGATGAGGCTTCCCGTGCGCAGATGACGAGCGGCAAACATGCCCAGTCCCTTGTCGCCAGCTGGCTCGATGTAGTACGCCGGGACGCGCGGGCGAGTCAGAGGCTCAGGGAACCCAGGTCGGGCAAAGAGCGCATCCCGAAATTTGGAGTCGAGCATAGCCTCGGTGACATCCTCCGATGCGCAGGCGGTAGTGATCGTGGTGAAGACGACGGAGCGGTTGGTATCTTTGTACCGGAATACCATGTCTTGCCCTGGTACAGACTGCATCCGGTTGGTGTCGTCGCAAGTACCTGGTTCTTGGAGATGTGAGAGGTTGTTACAAACGGGCGGCCCACTCGTCTTGAGCATAGCAGCTGCTTGACCGAAGATTGTGCGAATGTTCGATGTAGGGAGACAAACCATGAATGTGGGGCCGCTACTTATATGCCAAGTGGACATGGCCATAATCAGTGGCAGTGGCCCTGAATCTCGATCAAGCCATGCATGGTCCCAGTCATACCCAATGCATCAAAGAGAAACGCACGCACAGCTTGACAATCACTTGAAGGTTAAGGGGAGTCGTTGGTTCGACAATTCATCTCCGTGCATTGTGACTGATACCAGGCGAGAGGACTGGAAGCGAAGTCGCCTCGCAACATGCGCGAGGCGGTGGTCGACCAGCGAGGCCAACACGTTGATGGTCAAGGACAAAAGCCGTTTGGTTCCGTGCACGTGGGCTTCCCTTTGTTCCCGATCGGGATCAGCAATCGGCGCTTGCATCGGGCGCTTGTTTCCTATCATCACAGGACCCCGGAATATACGCACAAAGGCCGTCCAGCGGTGCGGATAAATCGTGGGGGTCCCGGCCGGTAGGCCGGTCCAAAAAATGGATAAATCGAGGACCTGAGGGCTCGAAGGCCGGTTCAAAAACGCGAATATATACAGGGGAGACGGGGAGGCCGTTCCGAAAAAGTGGATATCGGGCGGTCGATTCGAACCTCCGACCTACCCTCAAACCAGACGCACGCGATACCGGTACGCTAATTGACCACTTTGTTTCGGTGGGCAGTAGCACCCTAGACAACCTCTCTGTGCCCATTGGCACCTTCTACCATTGGCGGGCTCGATATTCGAAGGACAGCGGTGCGTGGTAGCACCTCGAATGGCTATGGGAGGCAGTTAGCTTTCTCATTCGTACGTCTCAACCTTCTTTCGTTGCAGAGGCTACGCGCAAAGCGCGTAGGGACCCTGTGAGAAAAAAATCAGATTTTTCCCGATTTTATTGCCATTTTTGAAGGCCGTCCCGAGAAAACGGATAAATCCTGGGGGTCCCGAGAGGCCGTCCCAGAAAACGGATAAATCTGGGGGTCGGGGACCCAAGAAAAAAAAAGTGGATAAATGGGCGCCAGAGCCGCATTTTCCAGGACGGCCTTTGTGCGTATATTCCGGGGTCCTATCATCACCTTCCTTACTTAGCTCCTTCAGGCGATTGTCAAATGCTGCGGAGGCATGCCTTCGGTGCAGAACTCATACTATGAGATGAGCTATGTATGCTGCTGCATGAGATGAAGATGTGGCAAATATTAGGGTTTGAAGAGCAAGGGGGATTCTATGCATTGCGCGAGATATCCAGAGCAGAAAACGAAGCATACCCAGAGCAGAAAACAAAGCATACCCAGAGCAGAAAACGAAGCAATATTCCGGGGTCCGGGGTCTTCAGACGCTGATCACGGCGTATCGGAAATTGCCATCGCCATTGGATTCTGGAAGCCCCAGTGCGAGTGAGCGTTCGCTCGCAAAAGGACGGAGCCTGTTCCTAGCGGGTGTCCTTGACTTCCTCCCGAGAGCGCGTCAACGGAGGGTGGTTCGAGGATGGCGACATTGCTGCCAGTGACACATTCGATATTTGCCTGGACACAAGGTCGTCGCGCTTGTGGACGAGGTCAGCGTCGCGTTTGTGGACGAGGTTGTCGTCGCCGTGCCGTCGTCCCAAAGCGTAGCATGCGGCCCGGGCGTCGGCGCCGGATCGTCGATGTCGCCGCCTATGTATCGTCGACATCGCCGCCATGCATCGTCTTCGACTGTCGATGCACATGCTGTCTTTCCAAAAGAAAAGACAGTCCAACAATATCCCTAGACCTGTCCATCGGAAGGATCTTTGCCAGAGTCGGTGGTGAGGTGCTCTTGAATGCTGTCGACTCGTCGCCGCTCACAAGCGCAGGAATATCGTGGCGAGCAGTGTTGACCGAGACTGGCGACGCGAAAACGATCGACTGGTCGTTCACCTTGCTCGCGGGCGAGACTTGGTGACATATGACGAAGTGAGCTGCGCTTCTATTGCAACATATTGAGTCAATGCGAGCGAAGGATGTCCGAGGACGATGCCACACATACCTGTCACGGCACTCGGTCTAGAGGAATGCACGAGCACGAGTACGAGGGCGAGACAGAGCAAAACAGTCGAATTGTGGAGGAAGGTCAGAGGAATAGTGAAGCCATGGGTACAGCGCGCTGCGCCGGTTGAACTGACGACATCACCATGCTATGAGCGAACTCGAAGTGACCTTGGTCAAGTGTATGAGGTCGACAAACTTTGCGTTGCCTTGAAATTGAAGAGCTACATGCTTTCCGAGGCAGCCGAGTCCTTCAAAAGCCCCGCGGTCATGAAGAAATTCAGCGCCTTCTTGTGTCTCGCAAACATTCAAAATCAACTCGTGCGGCCGGCCTTGACCCAACCACCCGTGGTACATAGGTTGTTCTTGTTACTTGAGGTGTATGCGGTCGTAATGAGGTATAAGAGTTTATATAGTCAGGAGACAAGATGTTTATGAGCAGATCGGAGCGGGAGAAAGCAGAGCAGTCAAGGAAGACATCGTTGTGGTGGTCGACAAGCGCAGCATTGCCTTTTCCGGATGTGAACAAAGGTCGGGATTTGCCGAGACGCCACATCATCAGTCGCGCGATCACGAGATCAATATCCTCCTTGTCCTGCGCGTCCATCATCTCCTCGATCTTGTTACCACGGACAATACATGCGAAGGGGGTCCCTTGTTGTTTTTCTGTCTGTAGACTTCATCCCAGCAATTGAACACGAATTCCCACCGGTCTCTCATCAACGTCGCGGCGGGCCGATGACGATCCTTCCAGCACAGCATGTTTTAATCATCAGCAGTAACGGCGCATTCGGCACTCTTCATCGGCGAGCTGCTTACGCATGAGATGCATCTCTCTCCGCTGCTCCCGTCCTCCGTCAATTGTCGTCGAGCCGTTATATCCGTCCGCCAAGAAGTACTTATATAGCGGGGTCTTTGAGCGGACAAGAGCCTCGAGACGTCATTCTGACAAGAGACCGATACACGTGCTACGAAATGCTAACGACCGCGATCGCTGTGAGTGACAGCGCCCTGCGCTACTTGTTCGCCTCCGCTCACCGCGTTTCCCTCCTTGCCCCTCGCCGTCACCCTTCGTGTCGCGCCCCCTTCTAGATCCCGCTCGTCGACCAGGGCAGTATGGACCTGCGAAACGCTGGTATACGAGAGGGTACGCTCTTACGGCCTTGCCGTTGCTGCCTCATTCACCCGCCTACAGCCCGCCGCGTCAAGCGAGGAAAGCGCGTCAGCCTTCCAGCCGACATCGGGCGCGCCCGCACCTTCGATCTGCACGCCATCGGCGCCGCGCTCGGCCATCTCGTAGAGGAGAGCGCGTCACCCGCGCCGATTCCGCCCTCGGTGTTCGACCGGGTGCCGACAGAGTTATTGACGGAGATCTTCCTCCGCTGCCGCATTCCCGGGGCGGACGCGACGGACACACGTCAACCGCCGTGGACAATATCCCACGTGTGCTCGCGCTGGCGCGCCGCTGCTCTCGCCTGTCCCGTCCTTTGGCAGCACGTCCACGTGGACGCGCTCGCCTATCTAGCGATCTTCTACCACTATCCGACCCTCTTGAGAACCTACCTCGCCCGCTCAGAGCCGCTTCCGCTGCACATCACTCTCACACAGCCAAACGGACGCATACACCCACGCGTGCGCACCGAAGATCTTCGCGCCGAGCACGAGCGCGCCCTCGTCGACATCCTCGCATCCCATGCCTCGCGATGGGCCTCCGCAGACCTCTGCCTCACCTTTGGCTCCGCTCCCCTCGAGCGCCTGCGCGGCCACCTCCCCCGCCTCACGCGCATCCGCCTCCTCATGTACGCCCCCGGCTCGCGCGTCAGCTTCCTCCACGACGCCCCCGCGCTCACCACCTTCGCCACCCCGCAGCTCGCGTGCAACGACCTCCTCCTGCCATACGCGAGCCTCGCGCACTACGACGGCCCGCTGCGCTTCAACCCCATCGCGCGCGATCCGGCGAGCGATCCGCTGGCGGCGCTCAGCAACCTCGTCACCCTTGCGCTGAGGTTCCCATACTTGCCCCCGCCGACGTTCGAGCCGATCGTGTTTCCAAGGCTGCGCGCGCTCAGCATTTTCAGCCCTACGTGTCTCGCGCGCATAACGGCGCCTCGGCTCGAGGTGCTTGCGCTCGGCGGCGCGGGCCCAGCGGAGATCGCTGCTGAACTGCTCGAGCGAAACGCGGCGGCGCTGCTGGAGGAGAACGCGGCGGCGCTGTTGGGAAATAATTCTAGAGAATTCTGGGAGAGGTCGACCTCGCCACCCCTCCGCGCCCTCCGCCTCCAATGCCTCTCCCTCACCCCTTCATGTCTCGCGCGCATCATCGCCGCCGCACCCGCGTTGGAAGATCTGCGCATAAACCTGAAGAAGTGGCCGATGCAGGCGAATTGTGCTGAGCTCTATGCAGGTCTGGCGGGATGTGGGTGCGTACCGCGCGGGCTGCGCTTGTTGGCGATTCCGTGCACGGGGCGGTGGTTCGAGCACGGCGACGCTCACTCCCACTCGCGAGCCCCTCATCCCAGGAGGTCTGGCTCCCTTTCCTGCCAGGAGAGATCGCACCTGCGCGCCGACAAGTCCCATCCGCAAGCGCCGGCTGCCGAACCCAGCCTCGATGCTCTCCTGTCCGCGATCCAGAAGCAGGCCCCGCATCTGGCTGCCGTGCAGCTGCTCCCGAACGCCAATGTGGCGACTATGCTGGACGAGACGATGCTGGTTCGGGAGCGGTCGGAGACGAGGGAGGCTGCGACTTCTTTGACGAATCATGGGAGGCGCATCGCCATCTCCGTGATTCCCTCCTCGAGCGTGACGGAGGTGGTCAACTCGTGGGCGAACGTCGCCGGCGCTGTCGATCCGGAAGAGGACGACACATTGATTAGTCCGTCAAGATGCGCTTCTATGCCTACGATCCCGAGCGACACTCCTCCCTCGGCGAACCCTTCGACGGGTCGTCGACTGCTCCAAGACTCGAGCCAGACATCGTCGCTCTTTCCTGGAACACACCCCGTGTATCATAGCGGGCTTACTCCCGTTCGACGCGGACTTGTTCGGCGGTATAGCCTGGTACCTAGGGAGCGGTCGCGGTGGTAGAAAATATATCAATGTTGGACTCAATGTTGGACGCGGACTTCGGTCTCCCTCCCAGGGGTGTATCCCATCTCGCCTTCGAGAATATGTCCGCGAAGTGAGACTGACGTGCACCATGAGGGTGAGGGTGTCGGCTTCCGATTCATGGCATGCACTCAAACCATATTCTCTAGGCGACATAGAAGCATACACAATTACATGTCTAATAGTCTACTGTAAACGTGGACCCCCCCCCCCCCCGATAAATGCAGACCTCTCAAGCAACAATGCTCTAATGATTCAATCGTGATACCCTCAGAGCTGGGGCGGGCAGCCACGCATCTCGCAGGTATCAAAGTGACCCGTAAGCACCGTCAAGCCTTCATCATCGACCTTGTGGCGGATGTCGTGGGTGATCGGCTGCGTCGTGTGCCGCCCGTACATCGGCGGCGGCGCGCTTGCGCCCGGGGCCTCACGTGTCCCACAGCACAGGCGCACCCAGACAGACCCATTCTTGGTGACCGCGATCGCGTCGTGCTCGATGACGCACGCGCTCGGGTGGTTGTCGACCTCCTTGTACTGGCTGTGGCAGCGCGTGCAGTGGCGCACGCGCCACGCGTCCACCGCCGCGTCTCTGGCGGCCCCGAGATACGCGCCGCAGGCCTCGAGGCCTTGGAGGAGGGTTTCGACGGCGGTGGAGCGGACGTTGCCGCGGAGGATGCGGTCGAGGCAGTCGGTGAGCAGGTTCTGGTCGTTGCGGATGGCGTAGATGAGCGTCTGGGTGGCGACGGAGGGGCCCTGCGGGGCGAAGGTGTCCTCGGCGCGGAGGGGGCGGCCGCGGCGGAGCTGGGGGTTCGCCTGCGCGTTGTGGCCGTTGTTGAGATGGACGTAGGCGCCGGTGGCCGGGTTGTAGGCGACGTTGTTGAAGTTGAAGTTCATGGTGGGTAGGGTAGCTTGGTTGCGGGCGGCGAGGCGGCAGACGATGCGGGCTTGGTCTTGGTCTTGGAGGGCTTGAGAGGTGGTGGACCCATCGACAGTCCCGCCTCTTATATGTTTCTGCAAAGCAACACAAACACACGAGCGCGTGGCGTTAGGAATGTTGGGCTTCGGACAACAGACAGGCTATCATACGCGCTGCTGCGGAGGCTATGTCAGATGCATGAACAGCGCTATGGCCGGTGTATGTCATTGTCAAGCTTCGGCGACATGAGGCGGTCCACAAAGCAAGGGTCGGCGCACCATCACAGGGACAAAGGAGTCGAGCACGGAACACAGCCACTTCGAATGAACTGCGACCCCGCTGTGACGCGACGCGTCAATAAGCATCTGGCTGATTGTCCATGCTACTGGATAGAAGCGTCCGCGAGTTTCCAGTTGTGGCAATACGTCAATCGTCCTGGGTTCTGCGAATCCGGGATTGCTCAACGCTAGCAGCATTCGTTATCGGAATCGGACCTGCTTCTTGACTCTGACAGGTTAAAGCCCTCGACCCGTGGTCCGCAGAAGAGCCGGCAACGCAAATCCTGCAGCCACGTTCGGCCTGAAACCCGGCCATGTCAGAATATCCGACCCCAAGACTTGAATGAAGAGGGCATGGGCGTCTGTAACGACAATCCAACGCCTGCGAAATCAATAACTCAATCATGCAAGTATCTTGCTGACCGTACAAAGCCGCGCGTATGGCACTTGTTCCTGAAGAGGAACAGCGCCAACAAAGCCATCCGAGCATCTCGGATGCATTAGCACTCGGGCTTCCTTGGCTAACCACAAAAGAAGCTGCGAAATAGGCCCACGGTCATAACGCGGGCCATGGGGTGACTCACCATCGTTCTCCGACGTGCGGCGGGCTTGGCTGAATGAAGTAGTGCCTCAAATCCGTCTCTTTCCGGTTTCTGACCACAGAGTTCAGCTAGTCGCGTCAATAAAGCACTGCTGAGGCTTACATGGTGTCAATCGGGTCAAACGCCGCACGTTGCGGCAGGCAGACGGACTGGGGAGGCTAGCTTGTCCTGTGGATAGTTAAGGCGCGCATAAACGCGCTCTTGCCACAATATTGTCCCAATCCCTGCCACCAATAAAACAGCGCATAAGATGGCGCCCGAGCTACTCCGTCGCCGCCCGCCACCCTGGATGAGCATACCGACGAAAGCGCACGGCTCCTCGCTGAGCATCTCCTTCAAGACCGACCCCTTCCTCATCACCCTCCCTAGAGCCGTCGACCCACACGGGACTTGCCTAGCGCTCCTCGCCCGCGCCACATACAAGGACCTCATCTCCCAGCCGAGCTACCCGCGCCCGGTCCTGCGCCCGCCCTCCATTCTGCACCGCGTCGCACCCGCGGCGGGCGCGGGCCTGGGCGTCTTCGCAGTGCACGACCTCGGCGCGGGCGAGCTCGTCTTCTCGGAACGACCGCTGCTGGTCGTGCCCACCAGCGTGACGGAATGCGAGTGGGAGGCCTGCGCGGCTCGCCTGCCACCCGCGGCGCTCGGTGCCCTCGTCGCGCTCGCCGACGTCGACCCGCGCGGTGGGGGCCGCCCCGCCGCGCGCCGCATACGCACGAACGGCGTGCGCGTGCCGTCCCTCTGCGACTCTGGCACCGACTACCTCGCGGTCGGCGCGCTCTCTGCCCGCGTGAATCACAGGTGACGTCCTTTGCTTGCCTCCAGAGTCCAGGAAGCGGCGCTGATCTCCGCTGCGGCACCCCCGACAGCTGCGCGCCGAACGCCGTGCTGCGCTTCGACAGCCGCGCGCTCACGCTCGAGCTGCGCGTCCTGCGCGACGTGCGCGCGGGGGACGAGCTACGCGTCAGCTACGTCGACGCCGGGCTTCCGCTCGCCGCCCGGCGCGCTGCGCTCGCGCCCTGGCGCTTCGCCTGCGACTGCAGCTGCTGCGCGAGCGGGGACGCGGGCGACACGCTCCGCGCGCGCATCCGCGTGCCCGACCTCAGGTTTATCTCCTCGCCCGCCGTCGGGATCCAGCGGTGCGTGCTGCAGCTCATGCAGCTCGAGCGCGCGGGGCTGGAGGTGCTGGGGGCGTACGGGACGTGTCTGGGGCTGCTGGCGGGGCTGTATGGGAGGATTGGCGATCGGAGGAAGGCGAAGGAATACAAAAGGAAGACGGACGCGTGGACGTACGCGGTGAGGGGGGAGATAGAAGGTCGATCTTGACGAGTGCATGTGTTCTGACGAGGGCGTGGGTTGAAGAACGAAAATAGCACGGGAGTGATAGTCGGACTATGCAGTTGTCGGTCCCGCACGCACGGACGGTGATTTCGGTGCGACAATCCTGCGAGAAGGTGCGTTGAATGAGGGGATTGGCGCAGAGGACACGCGAGATAGAGTCGGGCGCTTAATATGCGGGGAAATCGTGGTAGATGTCGCTGCTAGAAGGCCGGATGGGTTCAAGAACGGTGACGTGCGGCCAGGGGATGGTAGATGCGTGAGCTATCTCATGGGAGCGTCAGCCACACGTCAAACTCGCCATGAGCCGGTGCGTAGTACCTCAAGGCTAGTAATCCCGCATGTAGACGACATGCGTGCCGCCCATCGCGACTTGCCCTAATCCACACTATGTATCGCGCTGACCTGACCGTGGCGTGTGGTTAGCGCCAGGACCGGGGAAAGGAGACCTAAACATGGACTATCGGTGTGATACGTCGTATAGCAACACCTCTGCGGCTTCGAGCGAGCATGCCTAAAAACCGGGAATGCGCAGTCGTCGCCAGCCTCGCCCGCCCTAAGTTCGTGTCTGATGATCCAACACAGGTGCATGGGCTGGTCTCAAGAGCACCCATTGTTCATTGGCGAGGCGAATGAATGGAGGCAGGGTAAAGTCGTCTGCGACGCAGGGAAAGCAGATCATAGTTGGGAGCGCGCGCTCGACTAGTCGGAAGTAGTGCATTCAAAGCTTCTAAGTACCGAGAACGAACTATAGAGGTGGGATTCACACCAATAGTAGCCTGCGAAGTGCATGTGTATCTTCCCAACGGGCCGCCCTAGCATCCTACGTCCGCCAGTGCGATCTTAGGAGGAAGAAGTCCGTCTCCCTGACTTCAAGTTCAAGACCCTCGTGTTGAGCGCGACGAGGACCCCAAATATCAACGCGCCAGGTGAAACTTTCGATGAAGAAGAGAGACGGAGCGATCGGGATTTTGTACCCCGGCGCCCCGGCGAATGCCGTCATCAGTCAGGTGATGAGCGGCTGAATGGTGATCGTGGGAAGTGATTGATGACGTGGCGGTTGGTTTTCCGCGTCTTCATCTCCGTGATCCCATGTTCATTGTCGCTGGCTCGTCTTCCGTCGCCGCCTTCGTCTCACGTATTCAAGATGGTGCATACGTACGCATCTGGGCGTGCTGCGGACCCGCTACGATGACATGACACGGCTCCGCCAGCGCGCTACTTACGCGCTTACGTCCGGGCTAGGTTGAATGAATGGTCGGTAGCGTGCCCCTTCCTGCGTGTCTGAACCAGTCAAGGCGTTCATCAAGAGGCAATTCCGTGCTCGTCGTCGCGCGATATGCATCGCGACTGAATGGAGGTCCTGCGGACTTGACGCGGGTTGCTCGAATCGGCTGTCGTTTGGCAGCCCGAGAAATAATCAGGTGCAAGACGGACGGTGGACGGAGTCCGCTTGTCCCTCCTTGTCCTGAATTTCCCGAGCCCGATTCCTTGCAGTTCTTCCTATACCCTACGCCTCCTATACCGAGCTAGACCAGCTCGACCAATCTTCGGGTTCCTCTCATGTGGATTTGTAGATACGCGGACCTATCCTTCTTGGACGGGACGATGCGCCGGCCCGCCTCCTGCCGGAGGGACAATCTTGGATCCATCCAATCCATCCAGCGGCAACACGCGGCTCGCTCCTCTCATGCGCACGTCTGCTAGCGTCTCCATGATAGGTGATTGCACTGTGCAGGGACGTGGGGGCTGTACCGGATGCTTTCACGGGGCCATATCGATCTGGGGGGATATTCATGACCGCGGCCACGACGCTGGACGGTGAGCACGTCCCGCACGAGTCTGCTTGCTTCTGCAGCTGATAGACTTCAGGCTCTTGTGGACGAGGCTGGCAGCTCGGAGCTCAGGGAGGAGAAACAGGTGAGGGCCGCGGCCAGCTGACCGGGTGATGCACGTCGTCCGTTCCTGATTCATCGACAGCTAGTCTCGCCTTGTTGCGATGACGGAAGGAATTCAATTGTCCGGGTGGGCCAGGGGCGGCGGACTTTACGGGCGCGAAGCGCGAGGGCATCAGCCCGCGCCGGCGCCGTCCGGGGCAGAACATTCAGAAGGCGGGGCAGCAACGGGGGAGAGCGGTGGTGACAGACGGGCGAAGTCGCGAAGCCGCGCGTGATCTGCGGGCGCGCGCGCAGGCTGCCTTCGTCGATGCTGTAAGGGGATTCCACGCTGTATATTCGCTGGGGGTGGCGCACGCGGGACGCGGTCACTGCCCGCCATGCAAGCGTGTCCTGCATCCTCACGGGACGGGGGAGAGCCACTCGCGACGAACAGCCGGTGGCGCATCGATTTGTAGTCGCTGATCAGGTGCGCTCGTCATAGAGGACATGACTTGCGAGGTTGAATGCAGTCGCGGGCCTTAGACTTATCAGATGCGGGACGCTGGAGGCGTGTTGGCAGAGGGAGACGTTTGCAGCCAGCGCTAGCTCCAGCCGAGATACCTGCAACAGCAGGGCGCGGTTTGGCAGCGCTGCTAGAAGGTGCGAGGGCGAGTATCTGGGAGTTCTCGTGTGGTTTGACTGTAGAGCGTGTGGCATCCGTCTGGCCCTCACCGACGGAAGCCGCAGAACGCTCTTGTGATTCCCCGCGTCTCAACTTGATGCCGAGCTCGGCACCCCAAGAGCCGGGGGCGGGGCGCACATCCCGGGGCAAGCGGGGAAGGATCTCACAAATTGGAATAGGCAATCGGGACCGCACACGTGCTGCTTCCTATGACCGACCAACACCCGTAATATCCGTCCGAACGGCCATTCGGATTGCGCAGGACCCTCTGCAACTTATCTCCTACCCTCATCTTCTCCCCAGCTCGCGCACGAATCCCCTCAGCGCTCCCCTCCAGCGACATAGCTCCATACACGGCAAGGTCGTTCATGTGGTCTCTAGGACCGTTTTACGGTTGCTTGTGATGCCATATCAGATCTGCCAAGTGCGGAACCAATACATTTCATCCCTCCAGCTCGCGTTCAGGTCCGGCCGCTTGGCTCGCTTGCTGCTTTTATATACGCCATCGCATATCCTTTTTGACCGGGGATTTATCGCGCACCGCACTTGAAACGCACCAGGTTCCTGTGTAGTCTAGCCACGGGATCTCGCGCGCGTCGGCATTCCAATATAAACCATGCAAAGTGTTGTACGTCTGCTTTTCTCTCGCCCCTCCACGACACGCCCCGTGCTTACGCTTTCCCAACGTCTGCGCGCCCGCGCTTCGCGTCCGCCATGGACCCCAGCAGACCCGCGGACCACCCGAGCGCGTTCCGCAGGCGCACCGCGTCGCTTAGCGAACTGCACGCGCCGCACGACCACCACGACCAGCCTTCGCTGCCCCCCATTCGCAGCCTCCACCCTTTCCTCAACCCTCCACCTCCGCAACCCTCGTCGAGCCACCCCCCTCACGGGGGCTCTGGCGAGGGCTCGAGCGCGTACGGCTTCTCTGACGCGCCACACTCCTCCTCAATGCACGCGCACGGCATGCCGGCACCCGCGTCACTGTCGCACCAGCGGGACCACGACTACTCCATGGCGGATTCTGACGCGGAGGACGACCAACAAGGCCCGCCGAAGAAGAAACGCCGGCGACAAGCACTTAGCTGTACTGGTGAGTGACCACTCAGCCTTGAGGCGTACATTAGCCACCTTCTGACCTTCGTACCCCGCCCATCGATTGACGCCGCCTCCAACCATCGTCGCTCGCGCTCGTTCTGTCCATTCATATCCGATTTCACGTCACCTCCGCGCGTCCCAGAATGCAAGCGACGCAAGATCAAGTGCGACAGGTGCGTCCATATTCTGTTTGCTCACCGTTATGCACGCTGACGCGCTGGTCAGAGTACATCCCTGCACGCCGTGCTCCCGGCGAGGCGAGCAGGACCGTTGCCACTGGAACATCATTGAGCCCACGTACGTCCTCCCCGCCGTCGCGGAATGTTTGCCGCTCATGTCCGACCCCCAGCGAGAAATATGTCAGTCGGCAGGAGCACGACGAGCTGAAGGCCCGGGTGGAGCATCTCGAGGGCCTCGTCCAGCGCTTGCTGTCCGGAACCACGGCCGCTGCCCCGTATTATCAAATGGGCGTGCCTGGGGCCCCGGACAACCCCTCTGCCTACCCCGGCGGGGGCGGGATGTACCCCCAACAACCGCATGCGGGGATGATGCCGCCCCCTCCACCCCTCAACCTGCCCTACGACGTGCCACACCCAAGCAGCGGAGAGCGCGACCGCGAGCGGGAGCGCGCGCGCGTCTCGCCGTCAGCTGCGACGCGCAGCCCGCCCGTCGCCACCGCCGCGAAGCACTCGCTCGCGTCAATCACGAGCCCGTACAACGCCGCGGGCCCCGGCCCCGCAGACCCGGTGCCAAAAAACTGCCACGCGCAGACGCTCAAGCTGGGCGAGCGCCTGCGCCACCTGCCCTGCGCGCTGACGCGCGAAGACCCAGCCTCGGCGGTCACGAGCCTCCTGTCAACGCTTACGGGCCCGGCGAGCAGCGCTTCCGCGTGCCACCGACCGCGGGCCGCTATGGCGAGCAGCGCGATGCAGGCGAGCGCGTACTAGGGGGCGGTGGTGGTGGGGGTCCCGGGGTGCCGCGGGAGAGGTAGGCAGCGGGGGCGGAGCGCCGTCTGCCAATTTATTAGGGCGCACCTCTCCGCGCTGTGGGCGAGGCATAGGCGGGAAATCGCCGAAGTGCGGCGCGCAGAGTCGTCGGGCTGCAGGCTGATCCGCGCGTCGGTCAGCGTCGTTCGTCTCCGAGCATCGCACCCATGACGAGCTGCCCCACTGCGTGCCCGCCGCCATTCATCGCCGTTTTTGTCGCCCTTGGTTCAGCTAGCCCGCGCTCTTCGCAGGGCTGTGTATGAGTCTGCATTGTCCGTCCCTTCACTTCATTATTGGTTTGTGTTGTCTGTTGCACTGGTGTGGTTTCATGTCGTGTATATGGTGAGTCTGGGCTACTTTGGGTTCCCGAATGCAGGCTAACGTTTAGCTATGTCTAGTCTGTAACTCGATATACTACGCGAAGATTCCTAGACCCCGTATCATTATCGATTCGATCCTTGCTATCCTAGGTACCGCTATTGTCCGGCTTGTGCCATTCTAACTTGCGTTCAACGCGCTAGATTCCAACTAACGACTTTTTCGACCATCCTGACATGAACGACCGCACGAATTTATACCCCTTCCTCTAACTGCTTCCATCTCCATCGTTGGTTCTATTGCAAGTTGAATAATCGGTGATCTCCGCTATGATTGACTATGCAGGCGCGTCAGATGAGGCCTCGTGGAAGGCGAAATCCCGCGCTTTTTTGGCTTCAGATCTGACACGGCGATTCGACAGCTTCGTCGATCTCAACCGTTGATCTTCTCGACCACGGCACGCCCTGAAAGCGCTCCCATCCGATAGCATACACTGGTGTAAGCTCGCTGCGGGCTCTGGGCGGTCTGCGGTGACCCTCGGGCTCTGAGATGGGTGCCGAAAGCCAAGGTGTATATCGCGTGTACGTAGGGACATGACAGTAGGAGATAAGACAAGGCCTGCCTAATCGGGCGTGAACACGTGCTAGAACGGCCGTAAATACGAGATCCAAGGTCAGCCGGCGACGAGGCCCTACACTGGTCGGCGTTGGAGTCGATGTATCTGCTTCTTCTCTGAGCGGGGTTTGTAGCACGTTCACTGTGTGGACAGAGCACCCTCCGCTCTTACCATCTGGTGCGATGGCCGCCTCACCAAGCGATACGAGCACGATCCAGAACAATATACCTACCGAGACAGTAGACTCAGCCATAGATCAGACATTCAGACATTACTTAGAAGCACACTGACATGCCCTTCCAATGTTATTGACGGAGAAACCGGTTATCTATCTCCTGCGAATCGCCCACAAGGTGTCGATGAGTTGTGATTGGTTGAGCTTGGAGGAGGAGTTGGTATAGCAGGACTTTTGCCCTAGAAACGTGTTTTGTGGGTCCAATTGCCACGCGTCCGGCATTTGCCGGATCACGGCTGTTGCCGAATACGCGGAACTAGTGAATGTGTGGATGCCATATTTCGTTCTTTTACTCTCGCCATATCCTTTGTTCTATCTTTCTTCTGGTCGTTATGGGTGCCGCTCAGAGTCAGATACCCTCGGAAGTCGTCGTCGCGGCTGCTGTCATAGCAGGCGCTGCGGGTGTCGGCTACTCCCTACGCAGCGGTGGAACAGAGCCAGCTAGCGGGCAAACGACAGACGCGGGCTCGCGCCCAGCACCATCTAAGAAGTCGAAGAAGAAAAAGGCAGGCTCCGCGGCTGCGTCTTCCGCGGCAGAACCAGAGAAAGCGGCCGCACCGGAGCCCAAGGTCGTTGGCTTCCCCGACGTTATACCCGGCCAATTCGAGGCTGAGCCTCTCGTTCCCGACGCGCCACAACCTCAGACGGCGGGAAAGAAGAAGCAGAAGAAGAAGAAGGGCAAGGGCGCGGCGGCAGCTGCCTCGGGGGCGGACACCGCGGACAGCCGGCCGGTTACCCCTGCGCCAGCACCCGCGACTTCCCCCGCCCCTCCTCCTCCCGCACCGTCCTCCGCACCGAAGGGGAAGAAGGCGAAGAAGCAGCAGTCTAAGCCCGACATGTCGCAGTCGTTCGCCGCGATCGACACGGACGGGGAGTGGACCCGCGTCGAGTCGCGTCGCGGGAAGGCTGCGACGGGCGCGCCGGCCGGCACGAGCGCGAGCGAGACGGGCGCGACGTCGTCGATCACGGGGACGGAGTCGCCTGTCGCGGAGCGCACGGAGGAGGAGGAGAGCGAGAGCGAGGTCCCCAAGACGCTTGCGGAGAAGCTGGTTCCTAAGGCGCCAAAGACTGGCGTCGAAGAGTGCGTGGCTATGTTTCTAGTCGCTGAACTATACTAACGCACCCCTCAGCATGCTGGAAACGCCCGAGAACCCCTCTCTAGCCCGCGTCATGCGTGTCACCCCGCGGCCTGGCGAGAAGCCCGCGTCTGGATTCTCCTGGGGTGACTACGAGGATGTGGTAGTCGAGGGCGGAGGGAACGACGCGGATGGCGAAGACGACGGCGGCTGGGGCGTTGTCAAAAGCCGAAGTCGCAGTACGTGTACTTGCATAATCTCCTTAGCTCTTCGCTGACCTCTTACCTAGAGCAAGATCGACCCACCACCCCCGCATCGACCTCACAGCAGAAGCCCGAAACCCCCTCCAAACGCCAGCGCCAGAACGCGAAGAAGCGCGAGGCTGAAAAGGAGGCAAAGGCACAAGCTGAGGCCGAGCGACTCGCCACTCTTGCCAAGCACAAGCGCGAGCTCGAGAAGGCGCGCATGATGGAGCAGTATGCGAAGGGCTCGAAGGGCAAGGCGAGCGGCGGGATGTCCGCGACCGTCGACGAGAACGGCAAGCTCGTCTGGGAGTAGCCGCCGTCGGGGAAAAGCATGGTGATTCTCTATTTAAGCAACCAGGATATATCCTCTGTCGGTCTTTTGCACATAGTCTACCCATATGCCTGTGAAGTTATGCAACTCAACTAATGGAAAATAATACCCACTGTTTCTTCAACTAGGATGTGTGGCGGCCCGACACTATCCTGAGTAGCTGAGATTCGTGCTCAAGTTGTACGCTCAAACAAGCCTTTGTTTCCCCCCAAAGCGATCCAAAAAGAACAATGGACGTTGACCACGTGTGCAAGAGCGGCAACTGCCGAGGACCCGCCGCGCCGCTGGCGCGTGAACTTTTGTTCGTTCTCTGACCATCACATCACCTTCTCGACCCATAGCGACTTCATTGCCTCGACTGCATCCTCATATCCCGCTTAGATTTGTGATCTTCCCATTGAACATTCATCGCAAGGCAATGCATGGTTTGTTGGCCTCGAGGACTTGGCCCAGGTCATTTGAAATTCGGTCCTAGCATGTTTGTGCCGACGGTTTAAAATGAGCAGCGCCCCGCATACCCGGTTTCTCTATCTCTGCTGCTTTCTCCCATCCTTTCTCTCCTGAACTTGCGCTCTTGGTCTTTGACGACGCGCCCATTGACTAGTCATTGTATCCGTACTCAGCCGATCCTCTCCACCGGATTTCTGTGGCAAAGGTATGTGTGGCATCTTTTCCCACCACCTAAACTCGACTGACTTACACCGAGATAGACACTTTTAGAAGCTCAGCTCGCCGAAACATGTGTCAGCAAGAACCGATCGCGTCCAAGGAATCCGCGCAGCCCACTGTTCCTACGTCGCCGTCCTCGATCGACTCCGCTCGCCTCGGCACGCCTGCGCTTTCCAACAGCAAGGATTCCGACAGCGCTCATCAAAACTCGGCACCGGTCTCTTTGCAAGGGTCAGCTCGCGGCTCACCTGGTTGCCCCTCGCCGCGCGCCAACTCGCGTGGAAGCTTCAGGGCTAGTCGGACTAGTTCTTGTGGGGACGCCATGCGCGTGACGGTCCCGGTCAAGGGCGCCGATATGTCGAAGACGATACCCGACAGCGACATCGACGATCCAGCTCCGACGTCCTCGTCTACTACGCTCTCTATCGATGAAAACGCGGCCAAAGGAATTAAGCTCGACGAAGGTCATAATGCGCGCGACGCGTCTCCCGATGTGGCTCGTAAGGCCAGCCCCGATTCAAAGGACCAGAAGAGGCCAATGACTCCCAGCGAGAGCTCCAGCCCTCAACCCATCCCTGTCTTTAACAGCGCCACCTTCGGTCGGAAGGATCCCGCGACCGGAAAAGACATTCGCACAACCCGTCGCACGCGCGCTGGTCGACGAGCACCTACCTACGCGGAGGTCGGGCCCAGAGCGCCGATGTCAGCGAACGTCAAACATCCGTCTGCGAACGTTAACCACCCGGCTGCATTTGCGAAGGTTTACACTGGCCAAGTGCAGCTTCCACCTCATTCGGCCCCTCCGCTTTCGGCGGCGATGTCAAGACTTCCCCTTCACCCAATCACGGGCAACTTCCAGATGCCACCAAACTTCATGGCGCCTCCGTACATGCAAGCTGGCGTGTATCCGCCTGGATACCTGCCCGGACACTCGAGGTTCATGTACGCGCAAGAAGGCCCGTCGGCGCATCCTTCGTACGCTGGCATTGCGAACCCGTTGTACGGTGGGATGGCGAATCCTGTGTACGGTGGCATCCAGCAAGCACCGCAAGCTCAACTCGGGCCGTACTTCGACGGTCAAGCGTACTCGATGTCGAATTACCATAGCGTGCACTCCCAGGCCCTTCCGCCAACTCAGGCTCTTCCTATTCAGCGCGGCTATCATGGGCGCCTAGACTTTGCGACCGTCAGCCCGCAAGTCGAGCTCGAACAGGCGCCGGAGCTATCCTATGTGCGGCAGCGAGTGAGCTACATTCAACAGCAAGTGGGCTACGGTCAGCAGCAACGGGATGGACCGGCGCCCGCCAAGCTTGAGCCAATGGTCAGCCATGAAGGCGCGTCTGCGCCACCGAGTCCACCGCCAGAAGAGACCGACAAGTACTACGAGATCCTACCTTGGGCTGTCAACAAGCCGGGTGATAAGCCCTTGAAGCCGGTGGCGGCCGCGAAGCCTGTTCCTGCATCTGCGAAGCCTGCGCCTCCCTTCCAGCGAGCTTCGAGCGTCAAGCAGATCCCGAGCCTCAAGCGAACTCCAAGTCTCAAGCGAACTTCAAGTCTCAAGTGGACTCCGAGCGTCGATAGCGTTGACGTCGACCCCATCGAGGCCGCCTTCCACTCCCACGAAAACACGGTGCTCGGCAACTCGGTCGAGGAGGTTCTGGCGCACATGGACTTGGAGGCCGCTGAGGAATCGACGCAGACGCCGGTCGTTGCCCGCGACGGGCGGTGCGCTTTCGCGTTCGCTGCTACAAGCGAGAACTCCGCTCTCCGTCTCTCAACGACAGCGACGTCCTTTGGGCCCTTGGGTCCGTACACTGCTCGTCAGGCCAATGCTTCTCGCGCTCCGCTGCATGTTTCTATGTCTGCTGAAGAAGGCGCCGCTGGCTCTGCTGGAGAACGGGCTGTGGTCGATGACGAAGAGGAATGGGCTCCGTCCGAGCATCGGGGCTTCCACTGGTGAAGGTGCTGGAAGGCCACGAACAGCGCTTGGTCAATCTATAGAGATCACGTTCCTTTGCTTCACCGAACGCATTGGGCGTTTCGCGCATTGTATTTATTCTTTGTTGTTTACTGACCTATGACTGTATATTTCCTCATCATCACATGTACAGTACTTATATATCCCATCTAATAGTCCGAGTCTCGATCATATTAGTAATGATTCCCTACAATGCCACGTTCTGCAAAAGACTCTGAAGGCTACAATTTACCTGAACCGTGAATCCATTCCCATCTGTGCGATCTTCGCTACCTCCGCTTCCGATAGCCCGAGCCCTAACGGCGGCGCAGCGAGGAGTAATGCATACTCAGCGACGAGGTTCGTCCTGAAGGGAAGCGCGTCGTCGGTCTACGAAAGGTGTGCGGCGATGTTCGAGAAGAGGGTCGAGAGACCGTCAGTAAGGTAAAGTACGCAATGATGCAGCGTCAAACTTACGCAGACTGCTACTCGGTGATTGTGCTTGAGGTAATGGCGGATGTGGTGGGCGTCGAGCGAAGTGACGGTTTTGCATCTGTGAACTAGAGGTGAAATCGAGGACGGCGATGCGCTTGGAATGAGATGATACGCACAGGAGGTTGGAGCTCAGGCAAAGCTCGATACAGGTGTCCGCCTGGACTACTGCGTGAATCGTCTCGTCATCGAGGAACGTAGCGTGCCCGAGACGGTTGGGCTTGAAGGACAGCAGCTGTAGCGTGTCCTCGCGCGTATTATCCGGTGTCTATCCGAAGCAAGTTTGAGTTTGAGGAGGGCGAGCGAGGGTATGAGTGAAGGATGGACGTACCTCCGCAATGTGCAGAGTGATCCCGAGCCCAGCTTCGCGAGCCGCCTCAAAGTGCCGTCCAAATTTGGTCATATCGCCCGCCTGAACAATCTCAGCTTCGCATTTCGCCGCTTGCGGAAGAGTGTACCCACCAGCGGACTCCCACAGAGGTCAACTCCAACAATACGCCGGCCTTCAGCCTTGAGCTTCTTCGCAATCGCGACGCACTCCTCGGCATCTTCATCGCTCATCCGGCGGTCCAGGCTGACAATGAGCGCCGCACGCTCGGCAGGATAGCGCTCAACCTCCGAGACCACAGCCTCGACGTACGACAAACGCGTCATGCCCGTAGAGGATACCGCGCGTGGTGTGCTGCGTAGCTCGAGGTATGCACACTGTGGATTCGAACCGTCGAGGAAGTCGGCGAGGACCGCACGTGCGGTCAGGGCGACAGTGTCGGGGGCCGATGTGAGCGCGTAGATTGCGGGGAAGAGGTCGAAGAAGGAGTGAATGGTGTCGAGATTGACGCCGGATTGGAGAGCTTGGATACCGGATTCGATTGCAGCGGAGGAGACGGATGCGTTTGGTGCTTTCGCGTATTTGAGAGCCAAAGATCGCAAGACATTCAATGGTATGGAGCCGTTAAGATGTGCATGCAGCTCAGCCTTCGGAAGGCCATTGATGAAATCAATCTGTGCGGGAGATAGGGAATCTAGAGCAGCCTTGGCGGGTCCGGCGACGACAACCGAAGCCATGTGCTGCGTGAGCAAACGCAGTTCGTTAAGCACAGATATCACGAATGAAAAAGGGTACCCGTCACCGACCTGGATGTGAACTTGTAAAAATGGCCTGAAGGGGAGCGGGCTCAGAAAGGAAGGTGATAGGAGGAAACAAGCGCCCCGATCGCTGATCCCGATTGGGAACAAAGGGAAGTCCACGTGTACGGAGTCAAATCACGTTTGCTTCCAACCGTCAACATGATGGAATTTCGGGGTGGCCATCGCCTCGCGCCAGCTCAGGGCTCCCTGCTCGGAACTCGTGTGAGTTCTCGACCGCAATGCACGGGTAACCTCTAGAAAGTCGTTCTCTTCAAGCCGTCGTCAAGTTGCGCTTTTGTTTCTCTTTGACGCATTGGGTAAGTCTCGGCAGGCGAATCTTTGATACGCGAACTCCATTGAAAGTGGTGTGACGGTCAAAGGATGATCGGGCTGCATGGCCACTGGCAATGGCCATGTTCGCTGGGTATAAAGGTAGCTGAACATCGCTTCTCTCTCTCTACTACCTATCACTTTTCCTCCCTTGTATAACGTACTCCGCAAGAATGACCCTCGATATAGCCACCGCAATGCGGAAGATGGCAGAGGCACACGGTGCGCTTGGGAGAATTTTACTGGAATATCTTCTTACATCATGCAGGACCAGGCGAATGCGACGACGCCGATTGCTCGTTATGCGTCCCAGGGAAAGACATAGCTTTCCAGCTCAAGAACACCGACCGCGTCGTCGTCTTTACCACTATTGCCACCGCCGGTTCCCCGCAGGATGGTGCCACCGAAGCCATGCTCGATATCGAAACTCGGGACGCCCTCTTCGCTCGACCGGGCTTCCCCAAACCATTGACTCGTCTGCTCGTTCCGACTTATCGCATCGGGCCCGCCGGCGAGAAAGGACTGGGCATGTTTGCCACCCGCCGTCTGCGCACGGGCGCCCTCATCGTCAACGAGCGCCCCTTCATTGTCCAGCCCATATGTAGGGCTGCGTGCGACGCGTGTGACCACATGTCATGCCGTACTATCCCTGCTGAACAGGTTGGGTACACCATGGAGGAACGAGAGGAGAACTTGAATCTCTCGCTGAATCGCATGCCTGAAGAGAGGTGGGAGAGGTTTCTCGAGCTCAAGACTTCCCACAGCGAGCATCGCGCCGGGTCTGGCCCGCTGCTATCGCGCGCGCGCACTAACGCGTGGCATGCACTGGGCGAGTACAAGTTCGCAGGCATAGATGCCCAAGATGGTCAGTATCTCGCTATCTTCGATGAGCTTTCGCGCATGAACCACAGGTGCGTGTTGCGGGTCTGCTCACGTGTCGTATGCGAACTAATCGACCGTGTACTCTAGTTGTCGCCCGAATGCCTTGTACCACTGGGACTCAAGCACATTCTCCGGCAGCCTACGCGCCGTTCGTGACATTGAGCCCGGCGAGGAGATCACCGTCTCATACTGCGGCGAGGTCGACCGTCCGTACAGCGATCGCCGGGCCTTGCTTGCGCCCTACGGCTTCGGATGCGACTGCCGCGCATGCGCCGAGGGGGATGCCGCGGATATAAGGTACGAACAGATCATCGCTGAGTATGATGACCTGCCGTTCCCCCTATCGTCTGACAAGCGCGTGGAGCAAGGGTACCGCTATGCCATTCAGCGCATAGAGGAAGAGGGGTTGGAGGCTATCGATCAGTACTACTCATCGCACGTGCATCTGACGCGGTATTACCGGTGGACGAGGGACGTGGCTAAGGCGCAGGTGTGCGAGGAGAAGCTGAACGCAATCTCGTGGGCGCAGCGCGGTAAGCCGTTCGAGCCTGCGAAGTACGAGGGCGTTTGGCCGATGCTAGACGGTAGTATTCTGTATCATATGAAGTAATATATCTACAGACTCCCGGGTTCATGCCTATAAACTGTCAAAGACGCTGAGTTAAGTAGCAAGGATACTGAAGCCAGTGCTGATATATGTCAAGTCTAAAAAGTCACCCTCTTTCATCGGGCTGCTTGTCCAGTAGGCGGGTGTGCAGGTGCCTTACTGGGATTATTTAGCCGAGATGACAGGACGAGCCATTCTTTGCATGTGTTGTCAGCAGCAACGCAAAGATGAACGTGTTGGACCATTGCAATCGCGCAACAATGGCGCACGTGGCACCTCGGCAACGGCCGGGCTTTGTCTGCCCTTCAAATGGCAACACGTTGTTCTTGTCGGCTACCACCATCACGTCGGCATCTCGCTCAACAATGCACTGTGGCTTACTCTGGAATTTGCGCGCAGATTCCGAGCGCATGCGGCGGATGAAGCTTTGTGATACTCGGATGCGGCAGAACCCTTCTCGTGCCATAGGCCTTTCAGAACACACGCACAGCCGAACATGAAAGGCCGAATGTGGACATAACACTATTTATATGCTATCTTGTGACATTCGTCTCGACGCATGGGCCAGCTGCGAACAGTTCATGCCCCCTTTGATGTGTTCATGAATGCGCTTTGACCGCCGTCCAGGCCTATATAACCAGGCCCGTCGTCCCCTTCCTCTTCCTCATCCCACAACCACCTGTCAACCTTCTCCCACTCCGCAACCGCCCCTCAGCGCGCTTCTGCAAACATGATGACCGACGACTGCATCATGCACATCGTGTCGTTGAGCCTCCTCAGTAAGTCGATGTGTGGCATTCCATGCTTCATCTAACGTGCTCTTCAGACGACCCGCGGCGTCCCGAAGACAACTCCCCTCGAGACCTACGCGACATGGCTGTCCGCGTCGGCAATGGTCAAGCCATGTTCACCACGATCCCCGCCAACGCACGATCACGCAAGGACGAGCTGCTGCGCGACGGCACGACCGAGGTCATGCTCGACGCCGCCACCAAGCGCAAGCTCTACGCGCAGCCTGGCTTCCCGAAGCCACTCACTCAGCCCTCTTCCCCAGCTCATCGCATCTCCCCCGCCGGTGAGAAGGGCCTCGGCATGTTTGCCACTCGCCCTCTTCACGCCGGAGACCTCATCCTCGCCGAGCGGCCCCTCATGGTGCGCGCGCTTGGCGCGCCGCTGTACACGGGCCCCCAGATGGGTCTCTTCCGCAATCCCTCATCCCTCGTGAGCCGCGTCATCGATAAGGAGTACCAAATTGAGGTCATGATGCAGCGGATGGTGCCGAAGAACCGCAACGCCTTCCTGACGCTCGCCAACTCCGATGACTATAGCGGGACTGGAAATCTCGTTGGGCGTATGTACACGAACGGGCGGGACGTGCTCCAGGGGTTCACGTTCTCTGGTATGCCTGGCGGTGGCGCAACGTATACCGGTGTCTTCGATAAGTTGTCGAGGATGAACCATAGGTGAGTGATATCTAGGTCATCGTATGGATGGTTGTGCTCACGACATTCCTCTAGCTGCACTCCGAACGCCGTGTTCACCTGGGCCAACATGTCTTTCTCTGGCGCCCTGCGCGCCATCCGCGACATCCAGCCCGACGAGGAGATCACCATCACGTACTGCAACCCCTCCTTGTCGACATCCGAGCGCGCGGCCGCCCTTGCGCCCTACGACATCGAGTGCGACTGCCCCGCCTGCAAGGACGGTTCCGCATCCGACGCACGCCGGGATGATATCTTCGCCAAGTTCGATAAGGCGCAGGAGCTGGAGTTGAACGACGCGAAACGCGAGATGCTGCTCTCGGTCATCGAGCTTATCGAGAAGGAGGGCGCGGAGGTGCTACCGGAGTACTATGAGGCTCATCGGCTGTTGCTGAACATCTATCGGGAGGAGAAGAGCAAGAAGGAGGCGAAGGTTGCGGAGGAGAAGGGTACGAAGGATGAGAAGGTCACGGAGGAGGAAGACGGAGACTCGAGGGAGACGGAGAGCGAGCTCGAGGAGAAGAGCGGGCCTGAGGAGGAGAAGGCGAGCGAGCCTGAGGAGGAGGAAGAGGCCACGGAGAAGACTGCGGACGAGGAGAAAGAGGGAGACTCGAAGGAGACGGACAGCGAGCTCAAAGAGAAGGAGAGCGGGCTTGAGGAGCGGAAGAGCGAGCCCGAGGATGAGGAGGAGACCAAGGTCGAGGAGAAGAAGGAGAGCGAGCCTGAGGAGAATAACGAGCCCGCGGACAAGGAGAAGGAGCTCGAGCAGAAAGTCAACGCCCTCTCCCTGGCGAAGTTCGGGAAGGCCTTCCTTCGCGAGTAGAGTATGGCTCGATTTCGGAGGACTCGAAATGCGACCTGTACATTATAGCTACATAATCGGTTTACGGAGAGACGCGTCTCACTGATACTGAAATGTTGGACTTGCATTATGTGGAAAGTTGAACCTGCATCATGTGACCGTAAATTATGGCACGCGGACGGCATGAGTCTAGCCTGACGTGCGCTTGCTCGCGTCCATCATCACGGTCTGCTTGCCTCGGATCGTAGGTTGACTGATTTCATTCCGTTGCCGGATAACTAATTGACCGTATCTCCTTAACTTTAGTGACAGTAGAATATGCGCGCCGAAGACCTTCTCAAGCAGGCGACTTCGGTGGCGAACCTCGACTTGCAGCGCAATGGGTTTGTCCCATCCACCAGCGAGGTGCAGCATATACACGAGCTGTCGCACGCGCTCTCGTCAGAGCTCCCGACTATTGACGCCGAGATCGAGCGCCTAGATGGTCTGCGCAAGCGGGTCTTTACGCAGCTGGACGTTCACAAGTCCATCACGTCGCCCGTTCGACGCCTTCCACTCGAGATTCTCTCCGAAGTCTTCGCCATTCTCTACGACGAGGAAATTGAATCGTGGGATAAAGCATACATTACCATCTACATCCTGTCTCGCGTCTGCAGCACTTGGAGAGCGCTCGCGCGCGGTACGCCACGGCTGTGGCTGGAGATTCCGACGTTGGTGCACACGCCGAGGGACACATATCATCCACATATGCATCACCTGGAAGACCACATCTCGCTATCCGGTAGCCTGCCCCTCCGCCTCTCGCACCACGAGCCTGCCGACGACATTCTTCTTGACCGATTTCTGTTGAAGTTTCGCCCTCACCTTCCTCGCCTCGCATACATCGACATCGACGGCAGCTACTACTACTTTTCAGTCATGCGTAGTCTCTTCAACGTCCCGAATCTAGTGGAGGTGATGCTAGTGCTGCATGGCGCGCCCCATCCCGTTGCGCTGGACTTCTTGCTCGACGCGAAGGAGCTTGAAACACTCGAACTGTCCCATACCAACACAGACCCTGAAAATTTCGCTCGTGACATTCGGCTTCCCGCTCTCCCCACTCTGACATCACTTTCCCTCGAGTTCAATGCTTTGATGAGCATGGACACGCTAATGGGGGCCCTGTACGCATGCTGCAGCGGCCTCGAGTTCCTCAACTTGAGCCTTGGGTTCACTCGAGATGCCTGCACTTTTACCCGTCTAGAACTGCCCGCTCTCACGAGCTTGCGACTCGCCGATACAGGGTATACGATACTCGAGTATCTGAGCACGCCGTCGTTGGAAGTGCTGTGTATCTCGGCCGCCATAGAGCCCTTTGGTGTCACTGCGACGATGGAGTCGGATGGAGACCCGTTCCCTTCGCTGACTGCGTTCGTAACGCGCATTCCCCGCCCGCGTAAACTCAAAGAGTTGCGGGCTGGCGCTACTACGCGCAGCGTCGATACCTTCCTGGGCTTCCTGGATAATCTCGACGACCTGGAGGTGCTCCTCATCGGGGATAGGTCGTACACGGGACTATTCTCAAAGGACCTTCTTACTTGGTTGACCTGCGTAGATGACCAGGAGCCGCATCTGCCCCACCTCAAGAGACTCGAGCTGTACCTGCGGCGTCGCCGCGACTGTCGAAGAAAATGAAGCGGGCCTTGGAAAGGATGCTGGAGTCGAGAAAGGAGCGGCGAGTGTGCGCGTCTCGAGAGGTGGCTGCGATGGAGAGTGTGGTCGAGTATCTGTAGATGGCGGGTCTTGTTCCAACGCGGGCCGTTATTACAGCTGTGACGTCACGCGTCAGTACTTCGCGAGAACAATGGGATCTCTGCTTGACCTTGTTTGCATATTCCTTGTCCTCTACCGTCAAGTTCGACATCGAGGCCTCTCGTTCGAGTTATTCGTACTTTCTATGCACTTTGTCTCTTGAACACAGTATCTTGCTGGTCGAAGCAAGCAACCTATGGGCTTCGTTCATCGCGCCATTCCACGACCATGAAGATCATGACATGGAATATCGTACGCGTCTATGTCTCCCCCTTGATCATTATATTGACCAGAATCAGAATGGGATACGAACTATACCCCAATACCACCCGTACGCAGTATGATGAGGTTATAGGCCGGGTAGCTCAAGCCCCCTCGCAGTTGGAATGGCCTGAAGTCGCACAAGGACATTCTTGACAAGCTGGATGCGGACATCATATGCTTTCAGGGTGCGTGTGTGAAGAACATGTAGAGAAATATGTGCGCTGACGCTCTACCATCCCAGAAATGAAGTCGTCGCGTCAGAACCTGCCGAAGGACGTCGCCGTCCCCCCAGGTTACACCTCGTTCTTCTCCTTCCCTACCAAGAAGGCTGGATACTCTGGCGTCGCTATCTACGTCAAAGACCAGTATACCCCTTTCAAGGTCGAAGACCACCTCTGTGGCCTCGCGAACGCCACCGCGTCGGACGCCGATCGCATCTCCCCCGCACTCTCCTCATACCCCATGCATCGGTTCGCGGACCTAGACGACGACGAAGACGACCCCATCGACTTCAAGTCCCTCGACGCGGAGGGCCGGACGCTGGTCGCCGACTTCGGGCTCTTCGTCCTCATCAACGTGTACTGCCCGAACGACGGCTCGGAGGCGCAGGAGCGCATGAAATACAAGATGGACTTCCACCGGATGCTGAGCGTGCGCGTGCGCGGGCTGATCGACGAGGGGCGGGAGGTCATCGTCGTCGGTGACCTGAACGCGGTGTCGGACGTGGGGGACCACTGCGAGGGCGCGCTGACGGTGCGGAAGATCATCGACGAGGCCAGGAAGGAGGGGCAGGAGGTGGGGGAGAAGGAGGCGGAGGAGATGTTCTATGACACGATGCCGGCGAGGAGGTGGTTGAGGGACTCGTTGGTTGAGCATGGGGGACCGCTGGTGGATGTGTGCAAGCGGTTCTGGCCGGAGAGGAAGGGGATGTATACTTGTGAGTGGGTCCATATGTGATCCAGGTCGGAAGCTAACTGGGGTGAAGGCTGGAACACTAAGATATCCGCTCGTGCATCCAACTATGGCGCGCGCATAGACTTCATTCTCGTCACGCCGTACCTCCTCCCCTTAATCAAACACGCCGACATCCAGCCCGACGTCAAGGGTAGCGACCACTGTCCTGTTATTGTTGAATTCCACGACGAGGTGGACGTGAATGCTATACCCTCCTCCGTCAAGGCGAACCTCAGTTTACCAACGGGAGCGACGCGGGTATCCCTTCAGGCTCTCATGCCGCCACCTGCGTCTGCACCCCGCCTTGCGGCGAAGAATTGGGACGAATATAGCGGGAAGCAGAAGCTGCTCGACGGGTTCTTCAAGGGTGGGACGACGAAAGCAAAGACTGGCAGCAGTCGACCGTCCCTGCGCGCGTCGAAGTCGGCGTCCTTGACTCCTGCGCCTGCGCCGGTCGCTTCTCCGCCAGACCCGGATATCACGCGAAGCTCTCCGCTGATTGCTACGCCTGGGAACGAGGTCACAGAGGTCGTGGAATCATCGTCGTCTGCGTCGCCGTCTATCCATCCCAACGAAGCGGCTTCGTTCAATCCATCTCAGCCTCCCGCGTCCGCGCAAACCGCATCCGCATCCTCGTCATCTTCTGGCCCGAAGATCTCCACTGCGAAGCGGAAAGCAGGCACATCGGCAGGTCCGTCGAAGAAGCAAAAGGTCGAGAAGGGCGGCAAAGCAGAGAAGGGCGTCGAGGGGCAGACGAAGCTGTCCGCATTCTTCGCGAAGCCGAAGGCGTCGGGTGTTGCAGATGCAAAGGGGAAGGCGTCGACTTGTTCCGACACGAAGGGGAAATCACCCCCGAACGATCACGTCGACAACGAGGACCCCGACTATTTGTACGCCCTCGAGCTGTCGCGGCAGTATGATGAGTCGGGCCCGCTTTCGAGGAGCGGCTCGTTCTCGGTGGGGAAGACGGCCTCTCAGTCCTCACAGCGCACCTCACCGGCCTCGCCAGGGAAGTCCGCCTCCTCGCCTGGGAACTCGGCGTCCTCGTGGCAGGACCTCCTCGCTGCGCCGCCACCGCCGCGATGTTACGTGCACGACGAGCCCGCGCGCGAGTTTACGGTGAATAAGAAGGGGGAGAATAAGGGGCGGGCGTTCTATGTTTGCTCAAGGTGAGTGCGGCTTGCGCTCGTTATGGTAGTTCTGCGTATGCTGATTCTACTCAAAGGCCTGTTGGACCTGGCTACGACAAGGGGCGTGCTGAGCGACGACGAGAGGATGTTGATCCTCAATACAAGTGCGACTTCTTCAGGTGGAAGAGTGATGTGAGGAAGGAGTTCAATAGTAAGCGGGGGAAGGGATGAGCGCGCAACAAGCTACTTCTGTGATATTGCTTTTATTGCATAGAGCCTATTCAGCATGAACATGGTATGCCTGTACATACACTCATTGGTTGTCGTGGTTCCCGCGTCATTTTCACTAAAAGGATTTCTTCTTTATGGGTCCCGATTGATCCACCACGTGCGTCTTCATCCCAATGCGGAAGGAGGTGGCGAAGACGTTTCGCCTTTCCCCGCTGCCGTCGTCGTCGTCGAGCAGCGCAGCCAACCTTACTATCTATTGGTGCCCGACACCATGAGCGAACAACAACAATTGACTTCTCCACCAACCTCGGAGGACAGGAGGATGGACGAAACAATGACAGACGAAGGAACATCGCATATGCGTCAGCAGACCCCGCCATCCCCCAGGTCCATCCCAGCAGGGACGACGAACGACAGTGACGAAAAGAGCTCTCTTCCATTGTCCAACGATACAAATAGCCTTGCCGGGGCGCAGAAACCAAGGGAATTACGATCGAACGCGCAGGCTGCGTACCTCCTTTTCCAACAGGACTACCTGCGGAGTGAACAGGGTTCTGGCGATCGCAAGGAAGGAGAGGACGAAGGGGACAACGCCGCCGGTGAGTGGGCTGGTCAACCGCCGCCGCATATCCTTGGTTTCGTGTGGCGAACTCGCTGACTTTGTGGCGTCTACGCAGCCGCTGCGTGGAAGCATCTCCCCGAAGAACAACGGCGGGCATGGGAACAAAAGGTCGAGGGCAGCGCATCCGATCCCCCCGCTGAGGGCGCCGTCGACAAGGATGGCGATGTTCAGATGGGCCAGGAAACGGCGGCGGGGGATGAGCAGAATAATGTGGCGTCGGGGGAGGGGCAGGAAGGACCAGGTGCGCGACATGCAATCGCTCATGTTCACCTGCTGACATGTTATCTCAGGGGATGCCGACTCAAACAAGCGCTCGACAAGAAGCGTCGAGGACCCTCGATATGAACTCCTAGCTACTCTCATTGCACAAGGCGTCCCGGGAGAGGAGCTTGGACGCCGGATGGCGGAATGGGAGGCGGAGCATCCTCAAGCGCAACCCCCTTCGGCGGTCGCGAGCGATCCCCCGCCCGCACCACCCACACAGACATTCTACGATTCTGGCTACTCTCGCGCGTCGATCTACCCGACGTCCGACTCTCGTACGGAACGAGGCGATCCGGATGGCGAACATCGCCAGCGTCCTCCCTCTCCTGGCGCACCCCGAGCCGATGGTCCCCCCAGTGCATACCCTCCGCTCCGTACGCGAAACTATACCGGACCAGAAGGCGGCTTTGTACCTGCTGGAGCCTGGAATCTCGCAAATTCATATGGACCTCCCCCGCCTGGTTACACATACTACTCGCCTTTGACCGGAGGACCTCCTGCCCCGCAGGCCGCATCCGCCGCCTCACCCTCCAATGGCGCTAGTGCGTCGGCGACGCGCAAGAGGACCGCGCGAGGAGCTGCTAAGCAGGCGAAGGCAAAGTTTGCAGGGATGGAGGACAACGATAGGTGTGTGAACAGCTTCTTGCGGTCGGCCCTTCTGACACTCACCGTCGTAGCGATGAAGATGCATCCGACTTCGAGGAACCCACCCAGGATGGCGCAGATGGTGCGCAAGACCAAGGCTCCAAGGCAGTGCCGAAGCCGAAAGCCAAAGGCAAACGGAAGTCAGACGGGTGAGCGCACCGATATGCACAATTTCGATATGTGCCGACGCTTTGTAGGACTACCGCCGCAGCGCGTAAGAAGCAGAAGAAGACCGATGGCGGCGCTGAGGCTCCTCCCGTTTCCGAGCCCGCCGTCATGCAAGACGCTACGGCGGCGTCCGCATCGAACACTGGTCCCTCTGAGCCAATGCCCAGCAACGAGGGTGACGCAAGCACCTCCTCGCCTTCAGCTTCTGGTAAGAAGGCCAATCCACGCGTCAAGAACAAATGGGCTTGCGACTACTGCTCTGCCACCTTTACGCGCAAGTATGACCGCCAGCGGCATCTCGACAGTCAGATCTGCAAGACGCGCTCCGGCAATGCTATGGCCGCAGCTTCCCATCTCACTTCTGCCGACGCGCTGCCGCAAGAGCCCTCCACCGGCTCCACTGTCGTACCCGTACCGCCGCCTCCCAGCGAGCGCGACGTCGAGCGCACGTGCACGAAGTGTGGGCACATCTTCGCTCGGCGGGACGCGTACTTGCGGCATAAGAACAGCGACTTCAACTGCGAGACGTGGAAGGGGACGAAGGGGCGTAAGGGGCGCGGTCGACCGACGAAGAACGGGTCGATGGCGCCAGGACAGCTCGCCGCTGCTGCGGAGGCAGCGGGGATCACGATTGAGCAGGGTGGACAGGGTGGAAGTCCAGAGGCCCAATCGCAGCAGCAACAGCAACAATCACCGCCTGAGCATGGTCCACCGCCGGTGGGCCAACCGCTCATGTTTGCGAATCCTCTTATGCCGCAACATATGCAGATGATGATGATGCCGCCGGGTAAGCTTCCTATGATCGACTACGCTGAATCGCTGCTCATGGTGCGACAGGTGTACAACCGCCTCCAGGTATGCCTATGATCCCATACGGCCCTCCGCCTGGCATGTACGGGCCTGTCATCATTGATCCGCGATACCATCCAATGCCGCACCCATACCACCAGTATATGCCCCCTCCACCGCAGGGTAGTCAACAGAACGGCCAGCAGCCTCCGTCGCAGCCACAACCAACGAACGGATCACAACCTCCCGCGGCTGACGATCAACAGCAGAGGCCAGAAGGGACTCAGCAGGAGCAACAGGAGCAAGTCGATCCGGCACTGCATGCGTTGGATCCGGCGTTGCTGGAAGCGGTCGCGAAGGCATTGGCTGCCAATCCAGCTACCGCGGCTGCTGTGGCTGCTAGCCAGCCTCATCTTGTTGCTGCTGCATCTGGCGCGACGTCGAGTGGTCCCGAGGGTACTCCTTCAGCCGCGCCCGCTTCGGCTGCGAGCGGCAAAGATGACAGTAGCTCGGGAGACCAGCCTCCCTCGCAGTCACAAGACGCAGAGCAACCTGCACAAAGTGTGCAGGAAGGAGAGGCGCAGGCCAACGCGTAGGCAAATACTGGTGGCTCATTTGTTGACGGCGTGCTTTTCGGTCAAGATCCAGTGTTGTTCGATTTTCGTCTTGGATCGCTATCTTCTTTATGAATCTGTATTCAGTATCTCTTCTTCCCCTTGCCTTTGTAATACAATATTGTCTTGCTCGCGAGTTGTTGCAGGATGTCGGGTTACACCCAAAAAACTGACTTCAGCTCTCCCGAGCAGTTATCGCCGCTGTGGGCCCAGGGGGAGCGCCATCACGTGGTGTGACCTGCGAAGGTTAGCTGCGGGGAACCGCCACAAATTCCCTACCCTTGTCCGCGACTGTCATGTCGCAAAACCTGGGCGCTGGTATCCTGTATATTCTCGGATGTGGATGTGCGTAGCTCTATCCTGCTTCCTTCACCCAATCAGCCCAGCATGACCCCCTCGTATGCGCGTGAATGCCTTGTTCGGCCTGCTAACGTCGTTTTCCCAATAGGCTGCTGCCCTGGAGGCCAGGATCCTTACAACGGGACGTATACCTGCTGCGGCTGCAGCTGCTGTGGAGGGGATAGCAATGTGCATGCTCGCGAGAAGGAGGTGGACAGCGAGTTCTTGGAGCGCGACTATCGACGGGACGCATCTGGTCATATTCACATAGAGCCAAGTCCGACTCGCAGTATGACCGCGCAGACTAGGGCATCGGCTATGAAATGGTCAGTAGTTTGGGGACCTACGAATGTGTATTGATCCAACTTCTGTAGATTTCTTGGTGCTTCATAGTGACTTTCCTCGCTTAGGTTCTCAGATTGCTTTCGGACTTTGACTCACTCGATACCCCTCGCACTCTGACTGTTGTACCACTAGACCTCCGCCCTCGAACGGACCTTTTGCTTTGGGACGAATACACGAGTTTGGTATGACACGACCTGTACGCTTAGCCTCACACGTATGGTGCTCGTCAACGTCTCAAGCCGCGAGGCGCACAGCTTCATGTCGGAGATTATGCGGGAGAAGGGGGACTGATCTCCTCGTTTCCGTCGCACTGATTTCGATGAGTCGTGCCTTCACCGCCGAGAATCGTTACGAAGGGACGGGATTTCCGTCCAGCAAGCACAGTTGCTTGCCAACTTGGTATCTGGAGGGCCATTCGGTGGCGAGGCGAGTGCATCAAACACCATGTTTGCTCGTGGAGTTGTGAGAACGTGCAAATAGATCTTCTTACGCGCTGTACAGTACATGCATTGGCCTCACCGGCAATGTATCATGGTTCTCGTTCCTCGCAATCCTCCTCCACAAACGCTATACCGTCTCAGACTTGTTTGAGCCTCTCGTGTCGGCCGTGAGGCCTGGTGTTGCCACTCAGGTGTCACAAAAGGCACAAACGTCTGCAGCATCACCAAAGAAAGATCAAACCAGGAACGAGTCCCGCAGATCGATCACCGGCGGTAACATTCGACGGATCACTGTACTACACCTTCGTCACATTGATACACTCGCCGCCCCGCTTATATTCTCTCTTCCGTCCGTCCATCATCATCGCGGGGACGAAGCAGATGCCCCGTCTCGAGTTCGTCTGACTGACGGGTATCGCTGGTTTCGAGATAGACTGCAGACTGTAAATCGTCTGACCCCCTCGGTGGAGAGAACGTACTCTATAGGGCGACTGGACCTTGCGAGTCGCGAAGTATTTATCTGGCCTCTGCGTCCCTCCTCTGCGAACGGCCAGTCATGAGCGTGAATGCAAGTGAAGTGCATACGCTGCAGATTGTCATCATGCAGATGGGTGTCGGCTTCCTCTTCTATGGTACGTTGCCTAGTTTGGGCACGCCTTTGTTGTACTCACTTCAACTTTCCCTCTCTTCAGGGATGCAGGCGGCTTTGTCGGGCGCTGCGGTGACCTTCATGGCGTAAGGGCCCTCGAAGCTTCCTCGTCGAGGTATCTGCTTACCACTTATTAGTCGCAGGGACATACGGTCAGGCCTCGTCATCGCCGCGGTCGCCGGACTTTTCATCTCTTCGACCATCGAGGTCGTTGCGAACATGGCGTTCTACGTCGCCCAGTACCCGACGTTTCGATACCCGTCGATTCCTGGCCTTGAGCTGCTGTTGACCCGTCTGAACGTGGTGATTGTGGTGGCATCGCGGTTCAATGTAGGTCACAACCTCACATTCGGAAAGCGGTGGCTCACACGCGCTTGTGGCAGTACGTCGTCAGCGACACGGTTGTCGCATGGCGGGCTTGGGTGCTATGGCCCGAGCACCTCGCCGTGAAGGTCGTTCTCTCGCTTTGTATATTCTGCAGCTTCGGTACGCGCTAAAGGCCCCTCACTGTGCCTTCGGAGCTTATTCGTATTCAGCTGGCGCCGTCGCGAACTGCGTAATAGAGTTGAGAGCGCCGGTAGCCTTGCCTGACACCTTTCGCTCGTTCATATACACGATCCCGGTACTCTTTACGAACGTCGTCGCCACATCCCTCGTGGGCGTAAGAGTCTGGTGTGCAACATCCCATTTTCTCAAATTCAACTTCTCATGTTTCCGAAAGGTATTACCGAAGGGACGTCAAAGGCTGGATGGAGCAGATGACGAGGAGGACCAGAGCGGAGAAGATTCTCCTTCTCCTCGTTGAAGTCGGGCTCATCTACTGCCTACTATGGGTACGTCTTCCCTCTAACAGTGTACTGCAGTACAAGCTGACTTGCTTAGGTGGTATATATCGTCATGAAGGCCATCGACAACCCCGGCAACTCGAGATATGCCTTCGGCGTACTCGGAAATACATACCACTCGCTCACCGTACGCTCAGGGTCCATATACTTTTGTCAGGGCATGGTAGCTAACTACTGACAGGGAATCTACGCCACCTTCATCATTCTAGCCGTGGCGATGCAAAGATCCACAACGGAGACCTTGCGAGAGACCAAGTTCTCACAAGCACTACGGTTCGCAGAGCCAGTGTCTGCTCAAGATCAGACGACAGAGCTTGATGCCTCCGTGGGGACTAGCTTAACATACATTCACGACGGTCAGCGCGGCGAAAGCAGCACCGCCGGGCAGTCATTGCAGGAGGAGGAGTACTTACGTTCTCGTGATGTCTCTCGCACGGACCGTTGTAACGTGCACGAATGAATTATTGTGAAAGTGGACAAGAAAGACGCCATCCCCATCGTCGAACCTTTCTTCGAATCGACCGAGCCCGCATGGGGGCAATTGTGGGTCCCAGTATGGCTCAGTCACATGATGCCCGCCGCGCGGGAATTCGGGCCGAACAGCGACGAGAGGAGGGAAATGCGCGCACGTGGGCGTCCCGAATTTTGAGCATGCACCGTCTGGCGCCTAAGGCTGCGCGCGCGGCGAGCGCGACGTCGCGCTCGCTGTCGACAACGACGCCGGCACGATTTAGCGCGACCACCCCCGCCCTTGCTCTCAATCCCAATGCACCCGACGTCCCCGACTTTGCCCAGAAGAAGCGGGAACGGAAGCGCGCTGTGCCCGGCAAGGTCCCCGACAAGAATGTAGGCAAGGACGCACGGAAACACGCCTTCCACCCTTCACCGCATGCGCCGGCGAAGGCTCCCATCTTTCAGGAGTGGCACGTACCGGAGCTGGTAGTACCAACGATCCAAACGGTCAAGAAGGCGCCGGGCGCGGGCGCGTTCGATACCAGCCGTGCGGAGCACCCCTTCAACCACTTTGGGCTTCCGAAGAAGCAAATTGCAGAGGTGCGTAACTTTGCTATGGGCAGGATGCGGAGACTGATGGCGTACGAAGTTCCGTCTGCTGTCGAAGCCGGCGTCGGTCGTACGCGAGATCACAACGTTCACGCGGGACTTGCTCGACAAGGCTGCCAATGGGACGTCGGGGGAGAACCACCGGCTGGCGATTAGTGCGTCGTGTCGTGCCTCATTACTGTCTTTGTGTCTGACCGGACTGATAGCTGGCGCCACGGGTTCGGGCAAGTCCTTCTTGCTCCTCCAGGCCGTAGATTACTGCGCGGCGAACGGCTGGGTAGTCCTGTACTTCCCGAGAAGTGCGTACATTGCTTTTACATCTAATAGGCGAAGATCTAACAATCCTAAGGTTATAATCTCGTCAGCTCAACGACGGCGCACGTCTACGATATCCGAACACGCACATTTGCCCAACCTAACTACGCGTACGGCACTCTCAAACGTCTTATCGCCACCAACGCACCTCAGCTAGCTAAGCTGCGTACCACCCGCGCTCACGCCTCCGCGTCCCACCGCTTTGACGTCCCTGAGGGCACTCCGCTCGCCGAGCTCGCGCGTCTGGCACTGAAGGACCAGCCCATGACCCTCGCCCCTGTCGCGCTTGACATGCTGCTCGAGGAGCTAGGGAAGCAGGAGGACGTGCCCGTTCTCGTTGCGGCCGACGACATGCAGGCGCTGTGCGGGCAGACCTTGTACAAGGACCCGCAGTTCCGCTCGATCGCTGCATGGCACTTGGGCATGCCGCGGTTGCTTTTGGAGTTCGCAGGTGGGATGCGCAAGTTCAAGCGCGGTGCGTTTATAGGCGCGGTAACGAACTCTGATCCGCTCTTCCCCGTCCCTGCGGAGTTGCTCGATGCGTTCGAGATGGAGAGGTCATACCCTGCGAGGTATGTTGCTCTCTCGAAGGCATGCTTCATATAGCTGATCCATTTCAGCCCGTACGACTGCCGCCGCCCCGAAGTGATGGAGTACATCGACGGTATCATGCAGCTGCGTGTGCCCGAGCGCTTCAACATCGAAGAGGCCATGGCACTCTACGAGCTCTGGGCTGGCGCTGCGAACGTCGGCGCGCCGGCTTCCAAGACCGCCGACAAGAAGGGTAAGGCAAACGAGAACACGAAGGGGAAGAAGGGCGCGGAGGCCGCCGACCTCGTTCCCGAGGGCCCTCGCTTGCAGATGCGGGGCGGTGTCGCGCTAGAGGGACCTACGGATGAGGGCTTCTTGCAGCGCTTCACGGAGAGCGGCGGGAACCCGCGCGCGTTTGTGTGGCAGGGTGTGTTGGGCAGCTTGCAGACTTCGACGGCTGCGATCCAGGCGACGTCGGGTCCGGTTCTGCTTGGGGTCAACGGGGCTGCTGGAATTGAGCAGGCTGCTGCTACGAGCCCTCCGCCGCCACCGCCGATGACGGCGGGCCCAGCATGATAGACGTCTACGGCTGCTACTGCAATATACTCTACTCATTCCAGCTTACTTTGGTGTGACCCAATTTTGACGTCTTTGCGATGCTCAATTGAGATGCTCAGGCTCTTATGAATTCCATTGACTCAGTGTAAGGTGCGATGATGATTGTTTCTGGCGTACGTGCTAAACTACTCGATAGTTCTCTCCAGCTGGGGCGGTACGTAGGGTTCGTCGCCGAGGTTCTCCACGTATTCGGCGAAGGTGCGTGGCTTGATGTCCGGGTAGAGGTCCCGGTAGTCAATGGCACCGTTCGCTTTGGCCTTCGCCAGCGTGTTGTCGCCCCGTTGGAACAAGCTGTCCCAGTACTCATACAGGTAGCGCAGCATCATCTGCGAAGGACCACCGGTCTTCACGGCGTGTAGCGTCTTGAAGAAGTCCTCGTCGGAATGCTAGGAGAAAGTCAATCCGTCTGTTCAATCGTTGCAGTAGGAGAAGCGGTACGTACGATTTTCTTCTTCATCAGGGTTTTCGGAGATTCCGCCTAATGCGGTATACGCGCATACAAGCCTTCGCAAGCTGTAGCAAGGCGGGGCAAGCTTACGTGGCTTTACGGGCCCTTATGCTCCACAGCACATCCGGGTGTAATTCACAATTCTTGTAACTTTTGGCAAAGCCGTCGCACGCGGGCGAACTCCTTGCCATGAGCCTTCGATTCTCGCCTTCAACTTGCCAAAAGACCTCTCAGCCTGCTGGAAATTACGCCGCTCGAACGGATCCAAAAATCAATCCATTACCACCGGTTCTCTCAGGTTTATTCGTTGTAAATGCCAAATGGCTCTATTATTCACTTTGTAAATCTGCTACTTTTACTATGGACTATCTAATTTATTTACAACTATTGGAGAGACCCAGCGCATTATTGGATTCCCAAGAGAAACATCTGTCAACATGTCAATGATTCTTTCAACCACCCAGCCGCTCCGAGCTCACCTTGACAGCAAGCGCAACGAGCGCGCTGTCCCCAGAAAGACAGCTAACTCGAAACCTGATTGCTGCGTCAGCTGGGCAGTCGAAGAAGACGAAAGCATCTCACCAATACCAAGAAGGACTACGCGCTGTTGGCACGCCGCGCCGATATCAGTCAGTAACTGAGGCCATCAAGAGCGGGCTCGATGACGTACCTGAGGTTCCCGTGTGTCAAGGCTAGAGAGGACTACGCTGGGGGAATCAGAGCCTTCTTATGTACCTGCGCCGGGCGGGACATGGGCAGGAGATACTCCTAGATCGTGAGCTGGACTTCAACCGCTCACGTGACCCGGAACTTGCCAGCGAAGTCATCGGATCAAATCCTCCCATACGGCGCGTCCCTCGAACCGACTCAGGACGCTCGTTCGCCCGGCAATAACACTCCCAATGTAGAGAGTTGCTCAACCTGACTAGTTCCAAGGCTGACCGTACTGTTGTAAGTCAGCGTGATCCTTTTAGCAGTTTTTCGGGTCCTCAGACGGCCCAGATACGCTTGCCTGGGCTCTATACTGGCGCACAAGCCGGACACACGCTGACCGTCATTTGACAAGCCGTCGTAAGCGTATTTCTTGTTCGTGACTGCTCATACTCCGGTCTACTCTCCCGACCAGACTGCGTGACCTCGTGATGCCCGCACGCCAAAATGCGGAATCCGCCAATTTCCTGATGTTCTCGAGGATGCCCTCCCCGTACTTCTTCACCGCGAGGTCCCACACCTGGTTCTGCGTCACCTCATCCTCCCAGACGAAGACCTTCTTGTTCAGCGTGCGCTCGTCCTGGATGATGCGCGCCACGTAGTCGCCGATGTGGAACTCGTCGGCGACCGCGAACGGGACGTCGCCGGTGCCGATCAGGTTGCGCGCCATGTCCGCGGTGGCGGAGTTCATGTGCGCGGGGAAGATGACGGTGAGCTGCATCCACCAGCCGATCTCGATGTACGTGTGGCCGAGGCCGATGGACTCGATGTACTCGTGGATGGCGAGTTTCTGCGGTGATGGTCAATGGGAAAGCAGGCTAGAGGAAGGGATTGCTAACCCTGTCCTGCAGGATCATCACGCCCTTGGGGCAGCTGGGGCCGAAGTCGTTGGGCACGAAGCGCTTGATGCCGACGGCTTTGCCCGCGTCGGCGATTTTCTTTTGCGCTTCGATGCAGTTGGGGAGGAGGGCTGCGATGGCGATGTCCGCGCCGGCGAGGATCTCCTCGAGCCTCTCCTGCGTGGCGGACAATAGGTCCGCCTTGTGGATGGCGGCGCCCTGCTCGGCGAACCTGGAGGCGGCGGGCTTCGAGAGATCGCGGGCGACAATGGCGATGCGCTTGAAAGGCGTCAGCGTTGTGCGAAAGGTATGGATAGTATGAGCTCACGAATGCTTTGCTGCGAAGCAGACCTTCGACAATGCGCTGGCCCGTTTCGCCGGTGGCGCCAAAGACGACGACGAGAGGCTTAATCTGCTTCTGCGACATGTTCGAGGAGAGGATGTGAGTGCTCTCTGGGGTGGGTGATGATGTTCTTTTTGAAGGACACGTCTCGACCTTTTGTACCACTTCCAGCGGTTCGGTGAACGACCGAATGCATTATAAACATGGACCTCTTTATGGCGAGGTCGCAGGGAGACGAGTGGGTGACTTACAAAGCAGGTTCCAAACTTGTCAAGTCGCGTCGGTTCGCTATCCGAAAGTCCTTTCCACGGGTGTCTATGTGGCATTCTTGACCTTCTTCTTCGTGTCGAGTGCAAGAGGCGGACATCTGATACATGATCTCATAGAGTACAGTGAGGGCAGGATAAGCGCAGCCTACTTTCCCGCCGCGGTCCTCAGGGCGATGATAGTCGTGCAAGACCTAGTCCCATGATGAAGACCAGCGGCGGAAACGTAGAAACAAGCACTTTTTCGAGCGCTTACTGACCTTCTTGCTCAACTAAGCATCGGCATAACGGCCCTCCGCGCAAGGATGCGGCAGGTGGCGATCACGAAGGCTCTGCTTCTCAGGAGAAGACGCATGAAGGGCATAATTCCCAATAAAAAGCGTCACTCTTCCTCAGTAGTAGCCGGTAAGTGAGACTTGTTAGAAAGGGAGTTGGTGGCAGGAAGCAAGCATCTCGAACAGACATGGCAATATCGGTCCAAGTAGCTTCGGCGGTTGCCGGACTCAGGGCAGCTCATGCGTTCGATGACTTACACGCGCACCACTACAGGTCTACACGCACCACCATGAACGACGAGCACAAAAGCTGCATTACTGCGTTAACCGCACTCTCGTCATCTGTCTTGACCCTCAGTTCCACTCTCGCCTTACATGAAGTATGCCTTGGACGATTTGCGCGACAGGCCTTGTGTAGACTGACATGCCCCTGTAGGTCAAAGATCTCGAGCAGGAAGCGCGCCGCATCTTGGCAGCCGTGCAGACCGCCTACAACGCCCACGCACGCATCGACAAGCTCCTCAACGAGGTCTTCGGGCGCATCTTCTTACTCTCGCAGCCGCACTACGACGACTTCCTCCCGCAGGGCGCTTCCACGGGCCGCCTGCAGGCAGTGGCGGCTGGTGGCGACCTCGTTTCTTGCGCTGTGGGCTTCGCTCGACCTGTGTCATGACGATCCCGTGGACGTTTGGCGCGTGTTTCTGTCGCTGTCGGGGATGCGCCGCTCACGGTGGACGAGGATATGCACCAGATTTGTCGCGTGCTTGACGCTCCTGCTCCGAACCTGCGCAGTCTATCGATGCACATCAGAGATGATTCCCCTACTGGGCGTTATTCTGCTCGCGGCTCCCAAAAGCTCTTTGGGGGGAATCTCCCTTTGCTGCGCAAGCTTGCCGTTATGTCGTTTCCTGCCTGGGAATTGATGAACATCTCGGGTCTTAGCCATCTGGCTATATGCAACGCGCTTGGCGACGACATTCTTCCGCTTCTCCAAGCTTCACCAGAGCTTGAGGAGCTAGTTTTGGCTGCTGTATCCTTTCATGGTAAACCGCCGCTGGTTATAATCGGCGGCCAGCCGCTTGCCCTACACCGGCTTCGCATACTACAGTCCACTTCACCGCGTGGCAGAACGTTACCTTTTCTCTCCTGCCTCGAGATACCACAGGAATGCGACGTTCGACTGAACCTTGACAATTTGATCAAAGGCCCTCTCGCAGCATATCTACCTTCCCCGCCATCTTTCTGTCCGCTAGGAAAACCCGTGCACACCGTGCAAGTGCACTCTACTTTGACGCGTTCGGACGATTGGCTCGCTCTTCACCCCGGATATATATATGTGCGAGGGTACTTTGACCTCGAGCGTCTTGTCGGCATCACGGACAGCCATACGACGTTGGTGCTCATGATGGTTCACGACCACCACAACACGGTGGAAACCTGGAGAGGACTTCTCTCCAGCATGCCGCAGCTTCGCGCGCTGGAGGTACACGGCGGCGCGGAGAATGTCAACGACATTCTCAGGGCGCTGTCTACCGAGACGGACGGCCCCAGCCCTCTTATATGTCGCCACCTCGACACACTTCATCTGTACGTGGAGCGCAAGGATGCGGAGGTCGCATCCTCGGCGTGGCAAACGGTCTGTCTGCGCGCGGAGAAGGGCGTACCTCTTCGCGAGGTCGTTGTGCAGCTTAACGGGTTGCCGGTCTCGAACTGCTGGCAGTGTATAGAGGCGATCCGGCACACCATGGTCCTTGATTCGTCGGGTAAACCGACGTGTATGAGGTTCGAGACTACGTGGCGGGACTCTGCGCAAGTGGCGCAGGAGATGGTTGATGCGGCGAAGCCACTCAGACTAGCGGATGGATCGGAATGGGCCCGAGTGGAGGTCAAGCCCGAGGACGCCAAGAAGGCCGCTGAAAAGGACGAAGAAGAGAAGGAAGAAGATGAAGAAGACGAAGACGAGGAGGAGGATGAAGACGATGAGGAGGATGAAGACGATGAGGAGGTTGAAGACGATGAGGAGGTTGAAGACGATGAGGAGGTTGAAGACGATGAGGAAGATGAGGATCAATAGGAACTATGCGTCTGGACAGTCTAGGGGCTCAGTTAATGTCGACCAAGCGTACCATGCATGCGCACATCTTTTCCACCGTATAGTGAGTAATAGTTGTTACTTCCTGCTTTCTGAGTTCGTTCATTGGCCAATCGTCATGGCGAAGGCACGCTGAGGACGTCGTATCAGATGGCTTACTATATTGGAGCAACGCCCTGACGCCTATTCGCTGGGCTTTCATCGCAGGATCCTCCACGATCCTTTATCTTCGCATGATTGATAGTTTTCGGATGTCATTGGTGTTATGACAACGTCGCCTATACCAAGTTCCCGGGCTTGGCGTCAGCCTCGAGCACTCTGAACATACCAGAGTCTCAAATTGTAGATGGAGCGTTTGTGGTATGATCAGCTAACAATGTGGAATTGCTGGTTTACAGCTGTTGAGAGTGCGAGGCAGGACGGAGAGTTGTGGGTGCTAGGCAATTAAGAGCACGTGCGGCACACGCGTCAACTGCTCCCGGGCGTTAATGACGGCTCCCATCACCGAGCGGCGTCCCTTTTCCGGTAATTTTCCTTTGGCGTTCCCCATTTTCTCTGCAATCCTGTAGCCGGTTGGCGGCACTGTTGAACATACCCTCTACCATCTTCTATACCCACTTCCGCGCCCGGACGCGGTCCATAATACTTTCGTTCCCGGCGAAGCATCGGACACAAATTTGTCGGAGCCCTGGGATTGGCTAGGATCGTTCCGCGAGTAATTGAGGTGCGCGGGCAGTTTTCTACACCTGGACGTCTCTGACGAGCGAGCAGGACGTATCTTATCTACAAACTTACATAGCGCAGTCGCTCGACGACGATAAGGGCGCAGACCGAAGAGCAGTTTGCGCGCCGACCCCGCGCGCTTCGTCTAGAACCCCGCACCCGTTGATGCTCGAAGAGCGACTAGCGGCGCTTGCATGCATTCGTCCCAATCCGCTCCCAACGCGCACCCCTCCCGCCCCCACCCCAAGCACCGGACCTCCACCAGCATCTCTGATCACCTTTCCCTGAAGCGCCTGCTCGCGACCCCAGGCACCGGCGAGCGCTCTCCGCTCAAGGCAGCATTCGGACTCGGCGGCAAGGACAAGTCGAAGGAAGTGAAGGCCATGCATAAAGCTAGCAAGCGCGAGAGCGAGCTCGCGCCCTCACGGCTGCCGTTTGCGGCGCGGCAGCGTACGCCCTCGATGTCCACGGCGTCGACGGCGCACTCCCAGCGTGCGGCCTCTCCCACGTTCTCAGCAGCGTCATCCTCGCGCACCACCTCCTCTACCTCGCGAGCCGGCCCGCCGACGCCCGCGCGCAGCCCTGCGCGGAGCGCGGCGTCTACTCCAGCATCTACTCCTTCCCGATCACCCGCGCGCTCTCGGACGACGTCCAATGCACCGCGACCGTCTCCCCCCACACCCGCGCTACGTTCCCGCACTACTTCCAACGCCCAGTTGTCCTCCCGCATCCCGCCGCCCGCACCTCGCGCGTCGGACTCACGCTCAATTGGACGCGCGTCTGGACGGGACCTACGCATAGGCATCCCCATCATGCGCGAAGCGGAGCGCGGTGCTATGCTTCAGCAGAAGTCAGACGCGGGCGAGCGCACACCAAGACCTACAGCCGAGCATGCAACAAGGTCCACTGCCGAGCGCGCACCAAGACCTGCAACAGAGGGCAGCTCGCGGCCCTCGACCAGTCCTGCTCCCGCCCCGTCCCCTGCGCGCAACCGCGTCAAGCGCCGGACAGAGGACACTAGACCGTCGACAGCGACCGACAATGCGGAGGAACAACTTGAACGTCCGACGACGCCTCCGACGCCGATCGGGATTACAGGTGGTACCTTTGGCTTTAGCAACTCACCTACCAAGCGCAAGCCGGCGCTGAACGACATGTCAGTGCTGCACGAAGTCACGGGCAAGGGGAAGGCGCGCGCCGTTGACCAGGAGAGGGCACGCGCTGTCGAAGAGACCGACGAAGATGTCGTGATCGCCGTCGCGAGCGAGGGGCGCGTCGTGCGCGCGAGGAGCATAGGCAAGGGCGACGCCGGCGGCATCGGCAGGGGAAGCGCTAGCAGCACGACCAAGGAGGGCGCCAGCAGCACAGGCAGGGAAGGGGGAAGCCTCCGATCAAATAGTACGTCCCGCGCTTATATGTATGTGGGGCGCGTTAATGAACTGCGTGCAGGAGCTCGTGCGCAACCGACAACTCCGCACCTGCAGACGGCGGCATTGGGCGCGAATCGCAGTGACCGTGACGCCTCCCCCGTGTCTCCCGACGGCCAGCGCATAGCGCTGACGTTCCCGCGGCATCCTGGTGCTGTTTCTGCGACGTCGACTCCATCTGCGTCGACGAGTCCATCTCCGTATTCAAGTACGGCGACTACGCCGACGAGTGGCACCTCGCCGACCTCAAGCTCGAAAGCGGCGTCGACATCGGGCTCCAAACCACTCCCACGCTTGCGCTCTTCTTCGTCCCTCCCACGTTTCGCGAGCACCTCGTCTTTGGCGCCCAAGACCGCGATCCCGCGGCAGGCGAGTGCGAATTCGCTGCCCCGCGACATATCAGCAAGTCGCCAACGGACGACAAGCACGGCGGGAGAGCGGCAGCGGACGACGAGCACGGTGGGAGAGCGCGAGGGATTGGGTTCGTCGCTACCGCGACCGCGGGCCACGAGTTCGTCGTCACCCACTGCGCCGGTGCCCCGGGTGCAGGTTTCCGGACAAAAACCGTCTATCCCGAAGATGCCGACGTCGAAGGATTCGTTGACCTCCAAGGAATCGCTGGCGCTACCAAAAACGCCGGGTTCGAGTACGAGGCAGAGAACGGGAAGTTCGTCGACGAACGCGTCGGTGAGGACGAGTCCGTCGGTTCAGTCGCTCGGTCAGCAGGCCGCGCAGTCGTCGTCGTCGTTGACGCAGTCGGCTTCGTCTTTGCAGCAGTCGACGTCTTCGCTGCCACCGGTGCCCAGTTCGGCGTCGTTGCGCAGTACGTCGAGCGCGACGCGCGAGTCGAGGGTGTCGCCTTCGTTGCGCAGGGTCTCGAGTGCGGCGTCTTCGTTGGTGCGCGCCAGGAGTCAGTCGTCGTCGATTAGCTCTGCCTCGAAGGAGAAGGATCATACGCCCGCACCGCCAGTGCCCGACGCAGACCCTCGTTGGATGTCGGAGTCGGACGCGAGGAGAATGCACGAGACGGAGGGGAGGCGCGCGCTAGAAGGAGAGCCCATCTCACTCGGAGTAAGAGGACAACAGATGCTGCGGTCGCCGGAGAGCAGCGCGCACACCTCACGCGCGCCGTCGCCACTAGCGCGCTCCGCGTCGGCGTCGGTCGCCTCGTTGGGGCAGTCTGGGCCTGGGGCGAGGGGCGATCGGGATGTCAAGCCGCCGCCGTTGTCAACGACGCCCGCAGGCGCGTTGCCACAACGTGGGCGGGGGCCGCATGCCGGGGGTGTGGACCTGGGGACTGTTGAGGTTGTGTCGCGGGCTGCGCGCGACGTCGATCCTGGTCCTGCCTATTCCCCTCAGAGGATGGTTGCGTCTGCGTCGATGGGTTCGCCGCGTCATGCGTCGTTGGCGCCGTTTCCGTCGTCGGCGTCTGTTGAGGCTGCGGAGGTATGTAGGGTATGAATACCGAGGGTGGATTTGTAGACTGACCATTCCTCTGCAGGCGCCACCAAGACCGAAGAAGAGCGTGCGGAGGACGGCGAGCATGACACTGCCGTCGCTGTTGTTGCACAAGCCGCTGATGCCCTCCACCCTCTCTCCGAGCTTGCCGTCGGGATTGTTTACGCCTAGGCGGGACAAGAGCTCGTCGTCGTCTGGGAGCCCTCAGGAGGCGAGTTGCTCGGCATCGTTACCTGGCACTCCCGGTCCAGGGACACCGAGCTCGGGTGCTGGTACGCCGTCCACGCCTAGTAAGAGCGGGCTGTTCGGGCTTGGACGGTCGTTTGGCTTTGGGCGGAAAGCGAAGGACGAGTTGGACGCGGAGCGGGAGAGAGAAAAGGAGAGGGAAGCGGAGCAAGTGAAGGAGTGGGAGAGGGAGAGGGAGAAGGAGAAGCGGAGGCCGAATGTACTGAAGAGGCGCTCGTCGACGACGCGCTCGGGGTTGGGTGCTGAGATCCGCGTTGACTCTCCGCCGCCGCAAGAGTCTATGAGGCTGGAGCGGATCGACAGTAGCGGCGCAGAAGAGCAGCGGTTGCAAGAGGCGGAGAAAGAGCCAGCACCGATATTTGGACTTCCTATTGATCCCCGGCGAGGTCTGCCGGATGAAGAGCCCGCTGCTGCGTCCTTGGAAACACCGCCGCGCAAGGCACCTATATACGAGTCCTTCCGGCGGCGCGAGGCTCCAAAAGAGGTAAGCTCATGAATGCCGCGCGCATCGCAACTCGCTGATGCCTCGTCAGACGCAGCGCCAGGACACGCTTTCGCCACCACCGATGTCCCCGCCGCAGAACTCCAGGAGTTTGCACAGGTCGCCTTCGTCACCGATGATGATGCTGAACCCCTGGTCGCCGCCATCGCCTCAAGCGCCATTACCGGAACCGCACCATGCGTCGACTAGATCCGCTGGTGCTCTTTCCGAGATGTCGCGAGCGTCGTCCGGCAAGGATGCAAGCCCGAGGCCATCGTTTTCGTCTGACTCGCGACGCAGCTTCTCGCGGGATGCACACAAGAGGGGGCATACGCCGGCAGTCCCTTCCTCGTCGACGTTTGGGCCTTTTGGTACTCTTGGACCCTTCGATGGGCCCGATGCGGAGGGGATGCCCTCTCGGGATCGACGCGACACTGGTACCTCCGTGGGAAGCCGTTCGACGGCCATGTATACGTCGGACGGGCGGCGCGACTCGGAGTGGGAGAGTCGCAGGAATACCACGTTCACCATCGACGACAAGCTCGACAGCGAAGTTTGGCGGAAGACGCCCACCCTCAGCGACCGCTTGTCGTTGACCTTGGACTCTTACTACGTGACCCCGCCTTCCGCATCCGCGAATGATGAGCAGGACGCAGGACGCGGCGTGGCCTCTTTGGACAGCACGCTCGATCGGCCACAAACGCCTACGAAAAGGCTAGCTCGGCGTCCGTCTATGCTAGACGTCAACATCGAGTCCCCGGAGATCTCTATGGAGGGCGCATTCGATAGTCTCGCCTCCCGTCAAAGCAAGGACGGTGGAGAGTCGGCACCCGAGGTCCCTCCTGCTGAGACCGCGAAGCCAGAGGAGCTTGAATCGGCTCGCACGATGTCGCTCGAGCAAGCGCGCCCTCTACCATCGGCTTTGACAATACAACCAAGCTTCCGGCGTGTTCGGGCGGCCGACGAAGAGACGCTTTTGATACCTCCTCGAGAGTCCGTGGCGACACTCTCTCCATCGAGCGCCAGCGAGGGTCAGCCATTTACCCCGGTACACGCTGTCCATGGCGAGGGCTTCGACATGATTGCTCGATTGGCCAAGGAGGAGGCCGTGGACGAGGAGATAGAGGAGGTTCCTCGGCGAGAACGTCGCGGGACTGTGGCTGGCGTCGAGGTTGAGGTCAGCATTGGGCCATCCGAAGCGGCAGAGACTCAGCAAGATGAGAGGAAACCGGTACAACTTGATCGGGCTGAGGTGCGTGGGATGGATGCTGCTCGTATCAATCGCTAACGTATGTATAGTCTCCCTTTGGTACCCGAACGGAGCCTAGGAAGATACGGACTACGCCACTTGTCAAGGGATCAACGCCAAAGCCCGAGAAGGAGGAAGGCAGCCCTCACCTTCCTTACTTTACTGTCTTTGGGGGCGTCTCGCCTCTTGCCTCGACTTCCTCAGCGTTCGTCACTAGTGCCTTTGGGACCAAAGGGTCCGGTCCTACATCGCCCAATGTAAGTCAACGACTTTTCTTCTATGATGTAGCTAACGTATGGTTAGATCTTCTCATCGAAGCGTCGGCCCCAATCTCCGAGAGCGTCGTCGCCACCTGCGCGACCGAGTCACGGCACCAGCAAGAGTTACAGTGAGAAGGGTCTGGCGCGTAAGCTGAGCACGCGGTACCTGCGCGCACACGACGACATCGATACTTACACCAAGTCCTCGACCTCGACCCCCGAGAAAGAGTCTTGCAAGTCACGGTCCGCGTCGTACGAGGAAGAAGCGCGCAAGAGCGGCGAGCGACAACGCGCACAGCTGAGCAAGCGCAACCGCAAAAGCGAGCCTCCCGGCGCGCTGCTCAGCGCCGCAGATGGCCCGAGCACTAGTCAAAACAGTAGCCCTGGCTCAGGCGGGAGCAGGATATGGCGCTTGGTCAAGCGCATCAGCACGGGCGCGCTTCGTGACAAGGCGGACTGGGACGAGGAGAGCACAAAGGCGCCTCCGGTGCCGGCAATCCCGTCGCATCTGCGCGAGGGCAGTGCATTCATCGGCGGCCCGCGGCAGAGCGAGGAGGTGCGGTCCACCAAGTCGAAAGCGCGACCGTTGCCAGTCAATCGTCCGGGTAACTCGTCGCCGGAGGTGGAGTCGAGCGTTGACGAAAAGTTCTTCGCTGGCACTCGGCGGTCGAGCGTGAGCTCGGTGGATCCGTCGGATACTGTGGGCAAGCCGATTCTACCGCCGAGCGAGCTTGGAAGGATTGCGAGGGAGATGGAGGCGGAACGGCAGTCGACTAGGGAGGTGAGTACCGAGGCCTCTCTGCTGAGGTTCACAGCAGACGTTTACCGTTCTTCGCAGCGATCCAAATCGTCTACCAGCTCGAACTCCATGCGTTCTGGCCAGAGCACGCGCACGCGCTCGAGCAGTGGACGCGGCCAAGGTCATGCACGCACCGACACGGAGTTCACCATCATCGCGACGTCGCCCAGCGAAGAGCTCACAGCTCTCACCGCGCCTCCACCACGGCGTCGGAAAGACGACGATCTCGCCGAGTTTGGTGCAGCTGCGGCCGACTCACCCATGATCCCGTCCTTCTCGGTCGATCAGCCTATCAACGCGTTCAACCGGGCGAAGATGCACATTCCTTCCAGGTCTGCCCAACGCAATTTGTCGTTGCCATCCGCGTCCGAATCTCCGCCGTCGCTGCCGCCACCGAGATCGAAGACCCGCCCGTCACTGCAGGAGACGCGAGAGACCGGGCGGCTACAAAGCCCGCATGCCCACTCGTTCTCGACGTCCGCTCTCAAGCGGTCGAAGGCGCCGCCAGTGACCTTCCGTGAACTAGGTTCTGCGCCTACGGCATCGCGTTCGCTTTCGGAGAAGGAGAAGGCGGCGCGCTGGGATGACCTGCTGCTTATGAGTGAACGTGCTGGAGGCACTATTCACCTGGGTAGCGAGGGTTTGCCTTCCGACCAGCTGCGATTCTCGACAACCAGCTCCTCCCTCGATGCCCTGGTGAATGCAGAGGACTAGCCTACTGCATCATAACATCCTCCACTTGTCACGTCTTGCTTTCAGACTCTATCAACCTCCTTCGTATCCTCAATTCTTGCTCACGCCTCACGCCACGACCTTCGTACGCTCCTCACGCCCCGCCGCAGCGCGCTTGCGCCTGTACAAAACGCCCGTCCTCCTACCGAGGCTCCATCTTGATGTCCATGAACGACGCTGTCGCCGACAAACGTTCTTTCCGTCCGGGCTCGCGCCTATAGATATGATAGACACTATGTTCCCTCCCCTACCTCACCCTCGTTATGTCTTGCTTCACCTTCGTTGCGCACATCGCTTTCGTACTGCCTGCCTGCTTGCATCATACACACCTACCTACCTACTCATTCCGCTTTTGAATCGAATTCTGAATCTACGTCGTACCACCCAGTATAACTCATCGCGGACTACATTCGTATACTGATTTATCGGCTCAATCGTATCTCACCATCTTCAATCATACCATCGCTTGGCTATTGTTGCGCGTCTGACTCCTCCTATTGTTGCGTGCCCGACGTGCTCGTTCATGTTTACTACTACACATGGTCTTTTTGCCTTCATGTGCGTCTGATTTGTTTGCTTCGTTGGTTCGTGCTAGCACGTCTGCGTGATGTTTGTATACTTTCCTTGACTTCTGCTTGTGCTTGTAATATCTTTGATCCTTGCTCTGCATTTGCTGCGTACCTTGAATATGCGATTTCAGCGCTAGCAGGGCGTCGCAGTGGGATGACGGGCGCTCTTTACTTGTCAGGACGGTTGAGCAGAGGACGGCCCAACCCTCGAAGGTTATTGTGCCGCCTTACAAGAGCAAGTAGGTACTTGGACACGTCACCTATCCCCTCCGTATCGACGCCAATCATTCCATAGAAAGAAAATTTCGCGCCACCAAGCTTGCAGCTTGATCCCCACCGCCGCACTCGCGTTCTTGCTGGTCATCCCAGGACCCAGCCCCCCGTCAGAGAACAGGCGAGTTTCGGTCGTGGTCAACAGATGACAAGACATGTACACTCATGCGACTCACCAAGGTTGCCCGTCGATCTACACCATCGCCCTTGAGCCTCGTCCGACCCGGGACCACATATGTCACCGTCTTCACCCCTCAGTGGATGGCGCACTCGTACCACAGCGCCTCCCGACCAGTTCTTTCTCGACGGCCGGCAACTCGTGTTCGCCGTCGCCGTGAAAGCGCCCGACGAGTCCGCGCACATCCTCCTCGCGGTCATAGAACCTGGCGGGCTATTCTCCCCAGTACCAGCTGGCCCCTTCCCGGTCGACACTAGCAGGGGTCTTGCGATCGACGAGAAGGGAAATCTGCGGACGCTTGCGGCGGAGGATTACCAGGGCCTCACAGCGCTCGCGTATGGAGTCGATGCGATGCAGGACCCCGAGCTTACTGGGTCGACATGGCGGATGGGCAGCTCTCCCGAGGACCAGTCCACATACGAGCTGTCGGTGCCGGTACCGGGCAGATTACAGGGCCTGGGCGGGAATCCGGTTCTGCGCCAGACGCGCGTGTACGCGTACAGCAAGGAGAATACGAAGTTGAGCATGCAGCTGCCTCCGGCGCTTGTGGAGATTTTTGAGCTAGCAGAGGAAGCGCGGGTGGATGGGGAGCCTAACGAGGACGTGATCAGATGGGTGAAGAACACGTTGAGGTACTGAGATGATGAGGTCTAGAGGCCGGATGGTCGTGTAGCGTTCTGCAGCAAAGGATATGTCGTGTACTTTTCATAAGCCTCAACAACAAAGCAGTAGGAAGCAACGATGGTATTTTCACTGTTTCGAAAGTTGTGGACGAGATGAAGTTCGGAGCCGCCGTGACTTTGCAATTGAACGCGACCCACGTGCGCCCGCGCCGCTTTTGCGAAAATCGCCTTCGTCGTCGACCGCGACGAGCTCACACTTTGCAACTAATGGACGGATGAATTTGCTGCTGCGCCCGAGGATACTCGTAGCCTATGTGCGTGGCCGCACACACTAACTGTATCCCCTTCTGACTTCGAGCGCTGACACAGACGCGACCACGAGCTACCCCGGCACGAAGCGCCCTACCCTCCGCCTCGCCACCCTCTATTACACGACGCGACGGAGGCCCCACCCTCATTTTCCGCTCCAGTAGCACCTCCATCCCCAACCTCACCCGCAAGCAAGTTGCCAATGCCGTCGCCGCCATCCGCGCCGCTACCTCCGGCCATGCTCACATCGCCCCCGTCATCAACCTCGAACCCAAGACGTCGTACCCACCCAAGGAGACCCCCAGGATACCTATCAACGGCATGCTTGGCGTGCGCATCCCCGGCGCGCCCGACGTGCCCGGGCGACACGCCGTCCTGGACTCCCTCGAGCCGTGGAGCAGGCCGCCGAATAGGAGGAACTGGCTGGGGCTCGGAGGGCTGGGGGAGGTGTGGATCTCGTACCCGGTAGCGAGGGCGGGGAAGAAGCAGACGATGAGCACGGTGCGGACGGAGTATGGGAGGGACGCGGACGACAGGGTCATCCCCTGGCCCGCGGACGCGACTGGCGTCTTCTACCTCGACAAGGACGCGCCGGACGCGACTGTACGCTTCCGTCTGACGAAGACGGGGGAGCACGCCGCATTTGAGCAGGGGGAGGACCTGCGGGGAGCGGATGGCGAGCGCTGGGCCCTACGGTTGCACCGGCCTCTGCAGCAAGGAGCGGTGGCGAAGTTACCGGGAATAGTGAGGGATCCACGATTCGCGAGAGAGGAGGATATCCAACCACACGCCCCGGGCACACTCGTCGCATCTACGACCCACTCCCCGCGTACTTCCTCGACACCCTCCTCCTCCGCTCGATCTACCTCCCTCCTTCCGACATCAGCCACCAAACTCGACATCTCTAATCTATCCCCCGCGTTTCTGCAGATGCCCCAGCACGAGCGGCACCACAGCGTCATTCGACTCCTGTACGATCGCCGTGGGAGGCTGGACGCGCGCGCAGTTCAGAACGACACTTCGTCCCCTACGCCTGGTACCCCACCCTCGTCAGATACGGACCCCTCCTTGACAACCGGAGACCCCTCCTCGACATCCGGAGACCCGTCCTCGACATCTGGAGACCCCTCCCCTCCGCCTGGAGACCCCTTCACGACATCCAGCAGCCCTACACCTGCCGTTCCTTTCCGCCTGCCGTTCCCCGCCGGCACCGTCGGCTACCTCTACTACCACGCGCACCCAGAAGCACCCGTCACGGCCTCTGGCATCCGCTTCCGCGTCGTACCCGATGGCAAGAGGTGGGAGGAGGGGTGGGATCTGGAATCGGCGATGGGGAGGCTTATGGGGCTTGGGGAAGGGGACGCGGTCGGTGAAGGGGATGCGGGCGGTGAAGAGGGAGAGGCCTCGCAAACTCGACAGGCGGCGGAGGGTCACGCCCCACTCGTGCCTTGGGAGCTCACCATCGCTCATGCGGCCAGTTTCCTGGGCCCGTGGGGTCAGCTCGTCGCTGATGGGCATCTCTGTTGGAAGGCGAAGGATGCGACGAGCGATCTCAATGAACTTACAATTCCGGCTATCTCACTGCCTTCACCTTCACCTTCACCTTCATCTTCGACTGAAACATCATCTCACTCACTTACGCCCACTCCTATTGCCCATTCAACGTCGCCTACGCCCACCCTACCCGCACTCACGCCCCTTTTACCCGCGCTCACGCACGCACTGCGCCGGCCGACGCCCAAGTATCAGATTGACCGCCCCGCGGGGCTCGTGAGACACCTCGACGAACCGTTTGTGCTGTCGATCAGGCCGGCGACAAAGGCGTGGAGGTTCATGGATGCGATACACTCTGTGGTTGATGCTGTGTCTCCTACAGTGGGCGAGCCATCGTCGGTGCTGGATTCTGCGGGCGAGCCATCGTCGGCGCGGGAGTCTGCGAGCGAGTCGTCTTCGACGCTGGGCTCAGCGGACGCTGGCGTGCATCGCGAGGATGGGGTAGGGAAGGTGGTGGATGGCGATGAGGAGGATGCGGCCATGGATGATGAGGATGCAGCGCTGGACGATGAAGATGGGACGGATGAATCGGAGACTTCAGCAAGCACCACGGACGGTGGCACGACTGGCTCCATACCGCGCAGGCACTACGTCCTGACCCCGCATACGACGCGCGTGATGGTCGATCTGACGTTCGGGGCGTGGCCAACTGGGAGTACTGGTGAGTCCACCCGGCGTACTGCCCTCATTCTCCTTCAGCAAAACCTTGCTGACTCGCTCTATAGGCAAGATCCTCGCCAAGTTCGAAATCGCAGACGATGGTCGAGCCGCAGACGGAGGTAGGTCTCGTCTCCTCGTTCGCATACTTGGATTGATCCACAATTGTCACGCAGAACCCTCCCGACCTGTAGTCCTTGCCCTTCGCGTTTTGCGCGAAATCGAGCCAGTTGTAGTGCCTGGCGTCTGGGAGCCGACGGCCTCGGACTCCACGCGCCTCGAGGGGCAAATCCTTTGGCGTGTTCCTCTTGACGGCCCAATTCCAGAATCGACTCTCCTCAATATGCCGCGCTCCGTACATGTTCAGGCCATTTTTGAGCGCGCGCGAGCAGCATATTTCGCCCAGGGCCTTGCGAAAAAAGAGATAAAGCGACTGCCAGGCCACCCGAAGAAGGACGGGGAAGACGCGGGTGAGTAGAACGAGTGAACTTGTGGAGAGGATTTGCGCTGACGACCACCAGTACCAGCGCGCAAGGAGAAACTCACTGCCGAGGAGTTCGATAGCAAGTTCCCCCCTATACCGCGACGCGGGGTCTGCGCACCATTGGATGTGGCGATCTTGAACCACCAGAGGGCGGCCCTGAGGGCACTAGCGTTGACGAAGACGCAGACCGACTTGACTACGTGGTTTCACGGTGGACCTGACAACGACTCGCGCACCGGAAAGGTGAGGTGGCACCTTAGTCTTTGCAACGCAGCTGACTCGTTTGATACGCCTAGGCCACTTTCGATCCCACTCCTCTTCTCGCACACCGCATCGCTGACTGGGTCGACCCCAAGAGCGGCCTGGTTCGCAACATCCAGGAGCAGGTCGAGACGGATGTGGACTTCCTCAATCGTCCGCTGGTTGTTAGTCGTGGTCCGGCCTACCACGCGCAGCGTGCGGGGAGCACGAGGGATCACCCCACTCCCAGTCGCGCGGACCCCCTCGGCCTTGACTTGACGGCTGTCTCATTGATGGGTCGCCGACGAGCGCGGGGCGCAGTGGCGAGGCTAAGGAGGAAGTCTCGGGAGGCGACGTTGCGAGGAATGGCAAGCTCGGAGAAGGCGCTAGATCATGGTCTGGTATATCTGGCATCCTCGGTGCCGCCGACTGACGGTGACGTTGCGCAAGAGCATCAGGCGAAGGCGCAGGGGACCGGCCCAGAGGTTCGAGAGAGGGTTACGCGCGCTCGGGCAGAGAGATCGGCGGCCTGGGCGAGGGTGTTGGAGGAGTATAGGGCTCGACGGGAGCAGCAGGAACGCGAGAAGGCGGAGAGGCGAAAAGAGAGGGTCAGGAGGCGCGAGGAGAAGCTCGAGGAGGAGCAGGAGAAGAGGCGCTTGCGACAGCAGGAGAAGCGGGAGAAGGAGCTGCTGAAGATGAAGCAGGCAGAGGAGCGGGAGGCGCGGGAGCAGGAGCAGCGAGAGAAGGCGAGGAGCGCCATGGCTCAAAGGACGCGTGCACTGGACAGTCAACGCCTGCACTTGACGCGCGCGTCACAATGGCTCGAGCGCGCGGAGGCGTATCTGGACGAGGCGGAGGCTTACGCGAGCGGCGGTGCTATGAAGACCGACAAGCAGAGTCCACCGCTTGCGGGCTTCGCTGGCTCCACCTCCATGAATGTCGCTCTGGCTCGCGCGACAGTCTTGATGCGACAAGCCTCTCGACACCTTGTTCGTGCTCGCCTTTCCCCACGATCGCCTCGTCCGGCTGTGCAGCAGCTCGTCGGGCCTCTGGAGCGCGCGTCACGCTCCAAGCCGCCAAGAGCACGCTTTGTGGTCTCCACTCTAGCGGCAGACAAGATCACGGACCTGGACCGCGTCGACTTGAGCCGGACAGGGCAGCGAAAGCGCGAGGCTTTCATTGAATGGGAGAGGCGCAAGATGGAGGTCGAGATGAAGCAAGAGGATTGGGTCGAAGAACCGCGAGGACGACCTACGCAAGGCCCCGGTTCCGTCGTTCTCCATCATCCCGAGTGGACCCAGAAAGGCATGGTGATCCCGGCGAACACACTCGAGAGAGGCAGTGGCAAGCCAGGGGCGCGCACATCGCTTGACGACGGCGACGATCGTGGCACGGACATTTCAAGCTTCCCGCCAGCGGAGGGTTTCTTCTATTGGTACGAGGGCCCCGATGGACCGCCTGGGTTGCGCTTCCGCCTGGCGTCCAAGGGCACGGCCTTCGTGAACGGCCAAGATTGGGTGCCAGGCGGGGTTGATGGCGTTCCCTGGGTCTATCCTGCCACGACAGCCGTGCGCCACGGGCGTTTGTTTCCATGGCTTCGTGCCGACAATGTCCTCTCGCCCGCGGTGGAGGCATCTGCCTCTCTCGCCTTGCGTCGCGCATGGTATAAATCTGGCTTGGTCAGGCCTGCTTCGCACATCGTTCATCACCTTCTCCCGCAAAACCTTACCGAGGCGGACAGGATATGCTTCTCGGGATGCACTGCCGCAGTCGCTGTATCCGGCGCGGCTTATGCTATGCCGAATATCGAGCTCGACCGTCGGCGAGTGAAGGTAGGCTCGATGGGATTTGTTTACTGGGATGGCCGCTCTATACGCTTTCGCATAGCGCCGCATGGCGTGTCATTCGAAGCGGGTTGCGATATGCGTGCTGGTCATGGGCGGTGGCGGCTTACTGTATCACCGGACGCGCGTGCCATGTTTGCTGAGAGACTTGTTCGGGAGGGTCTACCGGAGCATGAGCGTGCGACCGTGCTCGAACACGCGGGTAGCACGATGGGTTCTCGCGGAGAAGTCAGCTCGCTAGACCCGACTGAGGTCAAGGAGGACGATCGTCTCATCCTCGATGGGTTCAAGTACTACGAAGTGCGTCTTGTCGGGGTCCCAACGAATACACCAGGCTTGGTCCTACGCTGGGGTGCACAGACGGGTCGTCAGGTAAGTGGCGTATGGCCCTCATGTTGACCTCGCTTACATATAATTAGCAGATCCGAGCCGGACCCCAAGGTTTTCCAGAAGGAACCTCCGGATTTCTCTATCTATTCAAGCAGAGCGTGGGCGGGACAATGTCTGCGGAGCTCCGCTTTCGACTTGTCCCTCCTGGTACCCCTTTCTGGGATGGGCGAGACCTCGAGCGCGCAGGCAAACCATGGCGCTGCGGTCTTCGCTTGCTCTGTAAGTGGCAGCCCGCAACGATGGCTGCACTCGCGGACGCCGGTCATATTCCACGTGCCTTCTATGAGGAGGCGCGGAATGCAGTCGGTCTCTCGCGCTTGCATCAAGGCTTCGTTCTTGATGACGACTATGACGAGACCGGGTCCCGACCCGTGCGATGGCGCTACCCGTCTGTGATGAAGCTTCTGGCGCTCAAGGACCCTCGTGCAGCGCGCTATCGTCGCAGAGGCCCTCGAGTGTCGTATCAACGTCGGGTGCCTCGTTACAAGAGCCCGCGTCGCCTGTCGTTGATGGAGCACAAACAGGTGTCGACGTTGGATCCCTCGAAGCTCACCGACGCAGATCGAGTCGATGCGCGCGACCTACGAGGCATCATCCTTAGCGTGTCCTCCGGAGCTGATGTAGAAGACAAGCGCATCGAAGTCAACATCCTGGCTCCGCGTACTGGTCGCTTCCCGCTGGATGCCATTGGCTTCATCTACTGGCACGATCCGCCGAACCGCCCGCCATGGGGCGGCGCATTCCGCTTCCGCGTCGCACCTCCCGGTACTGCGTTTGCTGACGGGCACGATCTCTTGAGTCCCTCGATCGGCCTTCCCTACGAGTGGGGTGTCAGTGAGCTCCAGAGGGACTCTCCTGGCTCGATCGCCGCGCTCGCTGCCGCGGGGCGTATCCCGAGAGGAGTCGCTGTCCATGCGCACACATCCCTCGCCAGAGGTTGGGTCCGGACCATAACGAACGTCCGGGACCCGGTCGTATTGTACTTCGAGGGCAGGAGGGATATCCGAGTGTTGACAGGCGATGGGCGCGCGCATCCGCTCAAGCTTCCAGCATGTTTCCAGGACGCGCGATTCCAAACGAATGTCTATACAGGTGCGCAAGACAAGTTGTTCGGCAGTACGTCGAGCTGATGGCCGTTTCGCAGGCTGGGCCCTCGCTCGCTTCGAGCACAATTCTGACGACCCGAACCGCCTTCATCTGCGCATTCAGAAGCTGCTGTCGCCACCCGTGCCACGCTTCCCGGACTACGACGGTTTCGTCCCGCCGCCGCGCGAGGGTGAGCTGGTGATGATGAATACGGAGACACCTTGGGAGTACGTGTACGATAGGAAGCGGCCTTTCGAGGACTATGCAACCGCATTGGACCTATTCTGGACGGAGGCGACGTGTCGGGCGGACTACACACGCGAGGCTGGCGGCGAGGAGCAGTGGAAGGAGGAGTGGGTGCAGCCGAAGAGACGGACGAGGGGGAGGAAGAAGTACGGCCGGTGAGGCGAGGAGCGTAGAGTCCATTGCTTGCTATCGTATTGATCTCATGCACCATGTATTATAGACGCACTTACATTATATCTTTCCTTTATGGAGTTTTTGTCGGTACTAACAAAGTCGCACTTCACTGTTTATCGTCTTCGATGGATCGCTTCTGTTAGCTAAGCCGGAAAAGCAGGTAAAGGCCAGCGATGCCGCTCAGCATTTTCCAGGTGCGTATCCAAACTTGACTATGCAGCTCATTGACACCTCACTAGTCGGTTACTTGTAGGTGGTACGGGCGCAAGAATCAGCATTGATTGCTTGCTTTCCTTCCGGCACGTCCGCTTGCGCTCTTTGTCTCTAATTACCCACTCACAAACATCGTGCTGTGCTCTCGCAGGTATCTATGCTCTGGCATGCTCGAAGGCGACTGTAGGACCATCCAGGTTGCCCATTACTAAGCGATGACCAACGCGCAAGGGCCGACTCGCATTTTGTAAACAAGACCACACAAAGAAGGATCTGGTTTGTCAGACACTCAGTTATTTCTGTAAGTCGTTGCACATTTCCCGTCGAAATCGCAGTCTACTCCTTAGTTGCTTTATCGTCACCTGTTTATCCCGTAGTCGGGATCTGACTTTGCTGGAGGGTCTGCACACAAATGACCTCTGATGTTCCTTGAGGTAGGACACGCGAAGACGTGCTATAAAGAGCGCGACAGGACGTAGTAGATCGTCCTCCTGAAGCATCTATATCTGTCTTGACATGTCTTCGACTCAGACCAAGCCTCTCGTCGTTATTTTCGGTGCCACTGGTGAGACCGGGCAATCCATCATCAACGGTCTCCTGCGCACCAATGCCTTCGTACGTCTATCTCACCTTTCAATCCCCACTTTTAAGCTAACACGACCTCCTCCCCCTCTCCCGTAGCGCGTCGCCGCCGTCACGCGCTCCCTCTTTAAGCCCGCCGTAGCTGAGCTCGCGGCCAAAGGCGTCGCTCTGCACAAGTTCGACCTCCTCGCCGCCGAGCAGGGGCGGCTGGACGAGTCCGCTTGGCAAGCGCGGCTCCAGGACATCCTCACCGGCGCCGACACCGTTATTGCGGTCGTCCATCCGTCGTGCATAGAGGTGCAGCGGAAGATCGCCGATGCAGCGAAGGCGGTGGGCGTCAAGCGCTTCGTGCCGAACGATTTTGGGACGAGCGCGCCCGCGGGGGTGCAAGGGCTGCATGACAGGGTAAGTGGAGCGCCGGACGAGTCATGCTTGTCCCTTAGTCGCTGACCCTGATTGTCCTAGAAACTAGCCATCCGGGAGTACATCCGCCAGATCGGCCTCGGCCACACCTTCATCGAGGTCGCTTGGTGGATGCAGTTCGCCGTCATCTACCCGGTGCACTACACTGGCATCGACTCGAGCATGTCACGACACGTCATTGGCGAGGGCAAGACGCGATTCGCCGTCACCGACCTCTTCCACATAGGCGACTATGTCGCGCACGTCATCCGGGACGACCGGACGCTGAATCAGACGGTCTTCATCTGGGAGGACGAGATCACGCAGCAGCAGGCCTGGGAGTTGGCGGTGAAGAAGCTTGGCGAAGATATCTTGAAGACGAAGATCGAGGTATGTCATCTTCCGCTCTCTTCTCTGATAGAGGAGCGACTCACGAAACACCTCACAGCACCCAGAAGCGGACTTCCTGAAGGCTCTTGACGCTGCACGGGCGGCCGGCTCTGAACAAATCGTCCAACGCTACGTGCACGAATACTGGTACAGCATGCATATTCGGGGCGACAACGTCGTGGAGAAGGCGAAGGCACTGGGCGCGCTGGACTTCAAGGAGCTGTATCCTAACGTGCAGACGCCAAGTTTCAAGGAGTTTGTGAAGGGGGTATACGCGAGTGAGAATCCGTATGTGCCGCATGGAGACGCGTACGAGTGAACGATAGCAGTTCCCGTTACGAGCCTAACACAGTCGCACGACTTGCTGTACTACATAGGACGATGCACGGAGTCTTTTCTTTAGGATAGAGATCGTCCAGAATTTGTACGCGCCATCAACATATACGCTAACTTACCCTGCGCAGGTACTAGTTCCATGCAGTAAACGTCGTCTTCGTGAGCCTCTGATCCCTCTACGGCGTCCGACTCTGGATTGGCACCCTCATGCCAGCTTTGTGGTAATAGGCGTTAGTGTCAAATAAGCGTCAATAAGGTTCAACAGGTCTCCATCATTTTCCTCTTACGGTCATCAAGTCGTCTTCCTTGTCCGTTTTGAGAACAAGCCTGTCCGTGCTCCAGCCGGCCATCGCAGCCTAGCAACGCGTATTTGCATCGCGAGAGCAGGGCAGCTAGCTGATTCGAACGCAGATGGCGGAACCCTCGAGCCTGCGTCCGAGATACAACCCAACTCCATGCTCTCCGTCGGCGAAAGATTGTCTTCGAGATAAATCGGGCCAGACTTGGACTCCCCTGCTGTCTTGCCCTGCCGGATATCCCCAAGAACTGGTGAGCTCTAAGAACCATCTGGCTCACATCCATCTCATAACAGAGCAACGCCAGTTCGAAACATCCCTAGAACAGATGGTACACCACCCAGAGTATAACTCTACGCTGATCCTGCGATCGGAATGCTTGTCTGACAAGAAAGATGATTTTCCTGAAGGAATACCGGCGCTCGAGGACCTGACTCCTACGCGATGCATCCGCAGGAAACTGCTCCCCAGGCGACCTGGGAGGGACTCCGCCTTGGAGCAGTATTGTACCTTCTATCGCTTGCCCACGGACCACGCGCCCTCTGTCCTCGTCCTCACGCCCATCGTCCCTGACGGTGAATCCCTGCCTTACTACCATCCGGCTGTTCGCCATCTTGCATTCCGCTATATCGCGCCCACTGCCGAAAACGAAGAAGCGACCCTCCGCCTCGAGATCGTTCCACTACCGGAAACGCCTACGGATGTCAGCTCTCGCCTGTACCGCACCGGCCTTGCGCTCCTCGAGACCGCGCACCGCTACGGCTGGGGCGCGCTGACGCAGTACAAGAAGCGGGTGCATCACGACTGCCTCGTCCCGCGGGAGCCGTATCAGGATCTGTATCTCGTCATGAGGGAGCGCCATCGACATCTGGTGGATGAGTGGCAGGAGAGCACGGATCCGCTGAAGCATGTGTTCGAGGTAGGTTGGTTTGCAAGAATTGAGGTGGACAAGACAATATTGAACGACGCCGTAGGATATAGGAATCGCGACGTATCTGATGCTTCTGTGGAAGTATACGTACGCCGAGGACGCACACGGAGACTCGTCGACGCCGTTAGCAGACGAATCACTACGCGAGGAGCCGTGGAAGAAATGGCCGCGACCGCCCGGCGGATTCGTCGATCTCGGGTATGCTGAACTCCTCAAAGCCCGAACCCTCCGCTAACACTGCACTCACAGCTGCGGCAACGGGCTCCTCACCCACATCCTCGCCAGCGAAGGCTACGCCGGCCACGGCTTCGACGTCCGCGCGCGCACCTCCTGGTCGCACTACCCGTCCGCCACGCAAGCCCGCCTGCGCGTGCACGCCTTCGATCCCACTGCCACCACCACTGCCACCCCTAGCACCCTCCTCCCTCCCCACGCCTTCCTCATCGGCAACCACGCGGACGAGCTCACGCCCTGGATCCCCGTGCTCGCCACGCTCCACGCCGCCTCCGGTTACCTCTCCATCCCCTGCTGCGCCTGGGCCTTCGACACCAAGTACCAGCGCTCGCGCTGGGCGCCGTATCCCACGCCCGACGGCTTCGTCGAGGGTCTGAACCTCGGCGGCGGAGGCGCCGTCGCCAGCGGGTACTCGATGTACCGCGTCTGGCTGGCGAGCCTGAGCCTGCACTGCGGCTGGGAGGTCGAGACGGAGGCACTAAGGATACCAAGCACGCGGAATTGGGCGATCGTCGGTGAGCTATGTGGAGCGCCGCGATCTGGTGTGCGAGCTGACGGATGTTTTTCAGGGCGTAAACGAGTTGCTGAGAAGATCGAGGAGGGTAGAGACAACGCGGCGCGCATCGTGGAGGAAGTTCGCTCAAGGGGTTCTTTCGCGGCGAGGAGACCCGAAGGAAAGGCCGGAGAGCATTAGACGTATACTTGCGGTCGCGCCCTCAAACCAGGTCTTTCATCTGATCCTACGCAGATGTCCTCACATTCTGCATGACAAGACACGTGTTGCTCGACTACTAAAACATGGTCAATCGAATCGGTAAAGTATCGCAACGAAATCGAAAGCGGTCCAAGAATCATCAAAGAGTGAAAAGCTCTACTTCACTACCCTCCTCGCCGTCCCAATCGTCGTGTTGTTCACCTTCGTCGCGAACCGCAGACTCGTCAGCGTCTCGCCAAGATGCGCCGCCAGCGGGGACACGTTCACGATCATCTGAAGACGTAGATTAGCATGTTGATCTCTTCGTCTATCAAGACGACGCAAAGCTTACGAGGGTCTTCGAGTTCCCGCCGAGCGAGTTTTGCAAGAGGTACGTCAATTTCGAGTTCCGGTACGGGATATGGCGCTCCCCACTGGCGCCTCGCTCGCCAAGCGCGGCAATTACGTCGCCGAGCGCACTCAGAGACTTGTTAATAGCCTAGCCCAAGCGCGTCAGCACACGGAAAGGTACTCATAACGACGTCGTGACACACCTGCGTCTCCTTCAACCGCACATTCACCCCATTCACCAATCCCGCCTCGCCGACACCCGAGTGCGCGAGCCGCTCGCTGCCCGCAAGGTCGACCAGATGAAGGGCACCGATGCGCGTCTCGCCACCACCTCCGACACTCCCCACGCTGCCAGCCCGCGACTGAGGCTCGCCTGGCGGGGTGGTAGATCCAGTGGGTGCAGACAAGGTCGAGCCGCCTCTCCTGCCGACGACCTTGACGGTGAAGACGGCGTGACTTCGGCTGGATCGCGAGTTGGCCATGGTCGCAGCAACGGATCGGCGGGCGGCCGCACGAGCGAGCAACCCACGAACTGCTGCAGGCGAGGGGAGAGGGAGAGTAGTGACACCTGAGGACGAGATGAATACGCCAGGGAGAGTCAGAGGGTTGCGAACTGCGAACCTGTTACATGTGTCTGCCCCGTCCTGGGATCATGCTTGATAGAGTGCTTTTCCTTCTGCTCTCCCTTCTTGTCCTGGCCCCAGTTGTCATTCTTGAGGTCGTTCTTATCAACAGGGGCAAGCAGATCATGTATGGTCTCGTTGTACTACAAGCGCAGATCAGTATACGATCAGGACTTGATGCAAGGCGAACACTCACGATCTCCAAAAACCTCCCCTCAAACTCCCACTCCCAGCCCTGTCCCTTCAAACCCTCTGCAGTCTCAAACAGCGCGTCGACCGCGCGCGGAATGAGGCCTCGGGTGGCCGGCGTAGGACCACCTTCCATTGTGAACTAGGAAGCCGCTTGTCACTATTTCCCAAACAACAGACACAGACTGTCACAACTCACCGACTTCCCGCTTCCCGTCTGGCCGTACGCGAATACGCAGACGTTGAAACCATCGACCGCGCTCTGCGTCAAGTCCGCCACGTCCGCAAAGATGTCCTCCTGCGTCGACGAGGGTCCGAACACGCGATCGAAGGCGAACTGATGCGACTCGGGGCGCGACTGTCCAGTCGCAGACTCCCCGGGCGCACGCACAGTAAGCTGTCGAGGCACCTCAAAGAAGTTCGTTGCAGATCCCGAGGGCGGCAGGCCGGAGTCTGATGCCGCCGAAGAGGACCCGCCCACCGTAGGATCGTCAGGAAAGGCCATCTCCGCGACGTCGCCCTCGTTCTCGCCCAGTGGTGGTCTTACGCGGCAGAAGACGCGGATGTTCCCCTTCAGCTCCTGAATCTCGTTGTGCATCCGCCGGCGGATCTCCTCGTGCTTGACCGCCTCCGCCTTCAAGCGCGCGACCTCCGCGCGCAGGTCCTCGTTCTCCTTCGCGACGTTCTCCTTGCCCGTGGTGACCGCCTCGAGCTGCGACGCGAGCGCCTCGCAGCGCGCCTCGAGCGCGGCCTTCTGCGCCTGGAGCGTGAGCTGCGCGGTGCTCCCCGCGCTCACCGCCGCCCTCAGCTCCGTCGCCTCGCCCCGCGCGCGCTCCAGGTCCGCGCGCGCGATCCGCAGGTCCTCGCCGAGCTCCCGCAGCTCGCGATCGCGCCGCCGCCCGTCCGCCTCGAGCTCCTCCCGCTCGCGCGCCCACGCGCGCCGCCCGTCCGCGAGCTCGTCCTGCGCGGCGGCGAGCGCGCGCCGGCCCGCCAGGTGCTCCTCGCGCTGGGCGACGAGCGTGGACTGGATCGCGGCGGCCTTGGCGCGCTCGGCGTCCATGTCGGCGGCGAGCGCGTGCGCCTCGAGGGTCTCGAGACGCGAGTGGAGGACGGAGAGGCGGTGGGTGGAGGGGGGTTGGGCGGTGGAGGAGGATGCAGAGGGTGGCTTGCGGGTGGTGGAGACGTTGAAGCCCGGGCGGGAGGGTGGCTTGACGGACGAGGCACCTGCGGGTGGGGCGCTCGTGCCTCGGGTCGAGCGGCCGAGGTTCGTCGATCGGGAGGGTGCGGGCCCGCGGGGCACGGTAAGCTTGGGGCGGACATTGTTGGATTGCGCGAGGCTGCCACCGGACACCGAGCGTGTGGTGGGTCGGGCGAGCGTGTTGTTCGTCGAGCGCGATGGTTGAAGTGGCTTCGCGCGTCCTATGCCGATCGCGGGCAGCTTGCGCGGTTGGTCGCGCGCCTCGTCCTCGTCTTCATCGTCGTCGACGGCTTTGCGCTTGCGGCTGGCAGGCGCTGCCTGTTCCTGTTGCATATCGGCGGCGGCGCGTTTGCGCGTCGTGATCGTTGGCGGCACCGCCGTCGGGGAGGATTGCAGGCGTGGTAGGCGAGACATGGTTCTTCTGTATCGTTTTGTAGGTGCACGGCGTGAGCAACGGTAGCCCTCGCTTCGGCGTCGTCGACGACGGTGGCGGAGCGATGGTGGACGGCGTTGACGTTGATGGCAAGTGTGACCAGACGTGATGTTGTGTCACACGGGCGCGTCGCGTTAGGCGGGTGCTCGCCTCTTGTCGCAGTCGATGCAGATGCAGCAGCAGGCCTTCTCGACTGCTGGGATCCCGTCCTTATCGCCCGCACCTGTCAACGGCTGCTCGATCGCGTCTCCCCGCCTAAGGATGAGGCTGCTCACGTCGGTTGGGCGGGGTCGGTGCACGTGCGCGGGCGGGCGACGTCGACGTCATGCGGGTGAGTGGGATCCGCGCGCGGCCTGCCTTTGTACGCTGGCCGCTCCGTCGACCCTTGCCTCGCGCGGGCGCTTCTGCCAGGGCTCGGGCAGGGTCTGGCTTGGCTTGGTCACGGTTGAATTTCCTTTTCGAGCGAGTTTTTGGTGTGAACGCAAGTCCAAAAAATGCTACATACAACTCGCGAACCGCTGCGATTTGCGCCCTCGGACAAAGCGGGTTCGATAGAGGGCGAAAATACAAGGTCCTCTGTGCTCTCCTCGTCCTCGTATCCGCCCTCCCTCGTCCTCTATTCCCTCCCCATCCCGCCGATCCCATTCCCGATCCACTGTGACCGTTACTATTATCTCCGGCCGCACTCGTGTTCGAACCGCTCGCGCTCTCGACTTGCTACAAGCGGGGGGTGGTAGCACGCACTCGGTTCGACAACATGCCTTTCCGTCCCATCTTCAGCACCTCTCTCCTCTGTCCTACGATTTTTTCTCCCTCTCTTCCCTCTTTTGGACAGGTCTTGGCTGCCCTCCCAGAACTCAGTCAAGCCAGACAACTCACCAGACGTGCAAGCATCAAATACGTAGTCGTCTGCGGCTGCGGACTTCCTTGACCGAGTTACGGACTTTGCTTGCCAAGTTACGTCAAACAAGAACTAGGATGTCACAATGTTGCTTCACTGCGGGTTTCAGGCTCGGTCTTGCAATCAGCACAAAGCAAAGAGACATTTGGAGGCTCAAGGGTATGAGATGGCAGTGCTGCAAGCTTTGTCGACAAGCTCAGCAAGAATCCATTGCATCCAAGTGTGTACAGAGGTAGAAGCTATGCAAGAAGATGCGTATAGACTATTCGTGGGGAGACCTCAATTTGCTCAGAAGGATTGGCACACGAATGAGGGGATAGGGGGGCTCAGAACACGGAGCTACATCGCTCCACAGCCTGCAGACACCGGGTAAGTGCTATACTCGCTCTCAAAGCACAGTGCACGCACCTAGCAGATATGCCATCAATTCATGCACCCGGGATGGGAGCGCGGGCCGAAGTCTTCGGGTGGGAGTACGGCCTTTGAGCAAGTCATCGGCACAGCTTGCGTTAGTGAGAGGGACAAGGCTAAGGAGAATTCGAGGTGGAGGAGGCCTGAGCAAGAGCGAGAAGTGTTGTGGTGAATGGCCAGTGGAAGGGTGGAGGAACGGGAAAGCGCAACAGCGAGCAGGAGCGAAAGCGCGACAGCGAGCCGGATGGTGGGAGCAGGAAGCGAGATGGTGGGTGCGGGAAGCAAGTCGTGGGATGGCGCGATGGTGGAAACGTGTGATGTGGTGTGCGGCGGTGAGGCATGGTGCGGAGGTTGCGTAATGAGCTCGAACGGGTCAATTGACTCGGAAGGCCAGACAAATCGGAGCGTGGGCGGAGGAGCGGCTGGAAAGGAGGGAGTGAACAGCCTTCGAGGAGGACACAGTTGATCACTGAGCAAGTCGGAGGGCCCCGCTGCTCACTGACATCGCCGCACTAGCAGATTCCGCAAGCGCCCGAACATGAATCACGCACGGTGAGCGAGACAGGGTATATTACGAGTACTTCTAAAATCATAGCACGTATCGTATTAGCCTGCTCGGCGGACGGCGATACATTGCCTCATCGCCTAGGCGGTACTGGGAAATAGATATGTTGCGAGAGAAGACGGGAGTGAATCGAGTGACCCACAGACAATGAAAGCATCTGCGTGGGAGGGGTGGAATGAGAGAAGACGCGAGTCACGGTACGGGATCAGGCAACATGGGGCGGGGATTTGCGGAGGGCAGACATGCGACAGGTCGACAAGTCGTCATTGCACGCGGAGAGCCTCTCCGACGACCCTGAGACGTTTTGGGAACAATAGCGGTGCTCGAACATGTCGAGCGCTGGGTCAAGCTCGCGGGATGGAATGCAAGAAGTCAACACTTTGGCTTCATGGAAGGGAATATGAGCGGAAATTGCAGGAATGGGTAGATGTGTGAGAGGGGAACGCGCCCGCGGCACGAGAGAACAAGGGGAGAGGCACCTCGAGGAACGACGCCGCCGAAGGTGACGGTCGGGATCAACAAGCGCTCGCCGCTTCGCCCCGCCCCGCCGGTTCTCGGCAATTGCCGATCGCTCTTGTCCCCCGCGTCCGTCTCGATACCCATCCATCGCCAGAGTTCCCTGCACGTGCGACGATGGGAGGCGCGTCGTCGGGGTGATCGACGCATATCTTGCGCGAACGACAAAGGGGGCACGAAGGGGGCACGCCCGGTGTAGCCAGGACGTGTAATGGACACGTCGGCGCTAGGATGCATGCACGATGGATGCGACGCGTCAACGTCGGGAACCCCTCCCCCTTCATCTCAGACGCCTATAGACAGGGTATCTACCTCTCGAGTGCATTCCCCTCCAACACCAACCACCTCAACAGTTACCTATATCATTCCCCCCACACACGCGAGATCTCATACCGCGTCACCCCCGCACTTTTGCTCAGATCGACATCAGTGTACCCCCTTCCCAACCCCTCATAACCTATTTACCGCTCCCCGCGCGCTGAGTTGCCTCGAAGCATTCGATATACACCATCCACAGATGCCATCCCCAACCCCCCCACTCCCCCGCATACCGGCACGACGATATTCGCCTACTGAGCATCCAGATGCTGACATACTAATACAGACCTGCGGAATACTGATCCGCGTTGACGAACGCCGCGTTGCGCTCGAGCTCGGCCGGACACACTCGCCTTGCCGGGGAGATGCATTCGCCGCCCACCCCTGCCCAATCTGCCTCCCGCAACATGTCCACAGTATCGCAAACACGTGCTACGTTGTCGCGCTGGTGCTCGTGGAAGTTCGGGGTGGTGGAGGCACGGCTTCGACGCGCTGGATTTGGCGCAGCTCAAGGCCTGCCAAATGGAGATCCAGCGTGATCGCGCGATGTTCGACATTTTCCTGACTTTCCTGCGCCGCCCTCGACCTCTCGACACTGTCACGCGTCACGTACCCCCCTCGTGTACTCGCTAGGTACGCTACTTTGCTTTGCTTTTGACGCTCAGCTCAAGGAGAACAGCACAGAACAACTCGCACTCGCAATGGCCCACCGCGCAAGAACGACCGCCCGTCTTTCCACCCCTACCTTCCGACGCTCCGGCGACGGCTTCCCGTGCCCGAACACGTACGTACAATGCACTTTCCACCGCGTTCTCGCTGACATTCCCGCAGGGAAAGGCGGAAGATGGTACGCGCGCGAAACGCGCTTATTCCCCCCCAATCTTCCGCTTCTCCATGGCAGAACTCGGGTGCGCCCCACCGAGGTCTTCGCGGAGTGATGGCGGAACATGGGCTGGAAGTTTTGGCGGGGCCCGGGCGCGGCGTCTACCCGGAGCGCGATGTATATAAGGTGACTGCTCTAGCCGTTTGATTCAGCAGTCTACCTTTCCCTCCTCCCCTCCAATCTCCTTCTCCTCTATTCTAGCTTACTTATCATCAAAGGTTTTGAAGTCTGTGCGCTTTTCTTACCCTCCGTCTTCCGGCTGTTCCTCATCCACCTCCAGTTGTTTGGTCTCGTCCTCTCCTTCGATTTTGTAAGTCAATCCCTTATTCACTCATCTACCCGTTACTGATATCCTACTCTACTCAGATCGCCTCCACGAGACGAATATTGCTACTAGCGAGTCCCCGTCCTGGCCCTTCTACCTCCGCGTTGCTGATCCCTTCGCAGCTTCCTTCCTTCTCCCACCACCACCACCACAGCAAGTCATTGGCACGCACGCGCACCATCAATCGACACCAAACGCACTCTCGTGCGTGCTACGCTGTACACGATCGTTGGGCTGGCCTCGAGTGCGTCGCTTGCCGCGTCTTCGGGGTGCATATTGACTGACGTTTCGCAGTGATGGCGCTCCTCGTCGTCCTCGTTCGGCCCCAACGATTTCCTCCCCGCCCTCGGTGATGATGACCTCACCTGCCTCACGCTGCTTGCTCGGCGACGACGTGCAAGCCCTCGTCGCCGTCTTCGACCTGCTCAAAAGCAGATTTGCCGCGGGCGTCATCCACGCGTACGTCGACGCCTTTGTCTCCCAGATCTCGCCGTCGAGAGCGCAACATTCTATGCCGAAATAACGCTAACCAACGCCCTGCGCCGCCGTCGCACAGCCCACCCTCGACGTTGTCCTCACCCCACCTCAATAACCCATACCTACCCACTCGCCGCGCCCCGTGTCTCGCCCTCACCCTTCAATGCGGCCGCCGAACCACCCCTCCCTATTACCTGGAATTTCCGTAGGCACGGCTCCCCTGCCCGCTGACCAACGCACCTGCCGAACGAAGACCCCACCGGCATCCATCCAGAGCCCCCCAGTCTGCCGGTAACGTACGCGCAATTTTCGATGGTACGTCCTCCTCTTGTCAAAAAACCTGTTCGCACTCACCTCGACGCCGCAGTTCCTCATCGAGTGCGGGGGTGCGTCGCTTTTCTCGGGTGATCTAAGAGGGGTGATGTACGCTTGCGGCAATGCGCGAGTCGTGTAATGGGGTGCGCTACCCCTTCCGTATGGACCTTCCCCGTTGACCACTCCCCCCTCCCCTACCTGAAAATGCGTGCTGACGCCTTTTGAGACGATTTTTCGCTGTTTCCGAACCGCCGGAGGCACGCGCGCACCCTCTAGACGAGGTATGCGATGAGGGTGGGGCACCCTCTCCCCGCGTCACCCCTTGTCGCCCTTACCCACGACGGTCGTCGAGCAGCGGTGCGAGGTCTGGGTCCCTGTGTGACCGGTGAGTCAGATGCCTCGTAAATACATTCGCTCACCATCGCCGAAGGCACGCGCGTGCTCGCGTAGAAGAGTGATGCGAAAGGGGGTGGGGGCCCATCCCCTCCCTTCCCCCTTGTCGAACCGGGGCAGGGGGAGCTATCCCCCATCGCGTTCAGGTGAGTATACATCAGAAGCCTTCCCCTATCACTCCCCCACACCCCCCTCCCCCTTGTCTCGACCCCTTCCCTGTCACGAAGGCGTACTGATTTTGTTTGTAGACGATTTTTCTCGACCCCCCTAACCGCCGGAGGCCTGTGTGCGCCCCCTCGGCGAGTTGGTGCGATGAAGGAGGGGGTCCTCCCACCCCACCCCCTCCGTGAGGTGCGCTTGGTCCCCTCCCCCTTCGCAGTTCAATGCTGATAGATTGACTTTAGCCCCTCCCCCTCGTCTTGGCGTCGCCCGTGAGGGTCACGGGGAGGTTGCGAAGGGGTTACGCACCCCCTTTCTGCGTCGAGGAAGGCTCGAAGACGAGGGGAGGCGCGTTGGTGAGTCTCATTCACGGCAGGGTCAACGGCTGTCGACACGGGGGGTGTCCCTTGTCCCGATACCAAAGCCCCCCTTCGTCCTGCGCCGCCCCCCTCGGCGAGTTGATGCGAAGGGGGAGGGGGTCCTCCCTCCCCCCTCTCCAATCTCGCAAGGTACGCTTCGCACCCGCCCCCTCGCACTTCGATATTGATGGATTCATTTCAGCCTACCTACCCTCCCCTTCCCTTTGTCTCGCCGCGACGACGTCGAGGGGCGTGCACCCCTCGCTTACGTCCATAAAGGACTTGAAGGGGGGAGGGGAGGGGAGGAGTATCGGTAAGTGGTCTCGGTGAAGGGGTCCTTGACAAGCGGGGCATCCTTTCTGCCCGTCGGTAGCACCCCCTCGTCGTGCACCACCGCTCCCTCCCGCCTCATACGACGAGTTGAAGCGCGCTGACAACTTTTGTCGGGTTCTTTTCGTCTGGAGGCATGCCTCGTGCCCTCGGCGAGCGAGTGCGACGAGGGTGAGCTGCCCTTCCCACCCCCACGCATATCCCCACCCCTCAACGCTACGAAGGTGCGATAGGGGGTGGGAGCATCGAGTCATCGCAGAGGTAGGATTTCTCGAGCTCCCTTGCAGCTCCGATTAACTAACACTGTTACAGATCTCCTGATGATATTCCCTCCCCACCTCCCCCCTTCGCTATCCACGAAGGTGGGGAACTCGGATCGGGCGAGAGGGTGGCCCGAAGGCGCTGAGCGCACCTTCGCTGCGAGAATCGAGGGGGAAGCATAAGACGAGGGGAAGACTCGGGGTGTGGGAGGGATCCCTTCCCCTTCGTTCTCGGGTGCACCCGCTCGAGGGTGGGGTCGCTTTTCCGGGTGCGTGGTGTGGGTAAGCACTCCCCTTCTTCGTGTAGCTACAGGTTCGATGCTCGAGTAGACGAGGTGTCAGTAGATACCAAATTCAAGACGTCTTTGCCTCATTTCTCGTCCCCTTCCCGCGTGCTCGCGCAACACAGAAATGAGTGCGCTACGTGGCGTGAATCCAGGTCGTGTCATAAGTTCAACTCGGTAAGCCACAAACTCGACTCGGGGTTCAGCTCGTCGGGTCCCTACCTTCGAGCCCCTCCCCTTCCCTCGCTCGACTTGAGCCCCCACCCCTTCGAAAGGGAATCAGACTCGATTAAGCCATCTCGTCCGCCTGCGCTCATCCTCGCGACGAAGTTCACGCTCGACAATGGACATGCTCGTGACTTTGTTCGTGCACCCGACTGCCCTTCGGATGCCTTCACTTTCCGCCTCCCTTCTCTCATATCTCGAAATCACGTATGGTCGTCGTAGGAAATGATGATAGATTCCGATTCCTGAGAGTGCGAGGATCCCCCTCGTCAAGTCCCTTCCTTCCTCCTCGCGTGTTCATCCCCTCCCCCTTCTCGAGGTCAGCCCCTCCCATCCCCCTCACTGACTCCGGCATCGCGCGTTCGTGGTTTCAAGAAAGTCATTTTCATTGAAGTAACTACATATGTACAGCGTGCTACTTACGTACGACGCGCTACCTACCCTGTCTCCCCCTCCCCGTTCCCCTCCCCCTCCCCTACACCCCCGCGCGTCGCCACCCGCACGTAGGCGCAGCCCCTCGCGAGCTGTCTCTCGAAGGGCATGCCCCCCTCCCCCCTTCCCACCTCCTTCTCCCCCCTCCCCTCCTTCTCCCCCCTCCCCCCCTTCTCCCCCCTCCCCCCCTTCTCCCCCCTCCTCCCCCCACCCCCTCCCGCGCGCACCAACGGACTCCACCCAAATTCGTCGCAGGGATGTCGGACGCCATCGAAGCGGACCCGCCCCCCTCGTTCTCGCCCAGCGGCGGCCGCGGATGTTCCCCTTCAGCTCCTGAATCTCG